AAAGGTCAAACCTTAGAGTAGTTACTTACCCGACCTATCGCTTGGAACTTACTCGTCTAACGAGCTCTAACCCCCTTGTACCGCAGGTGCATAACAAAAGGCGCCTCTTAACTAGTAGGTATTAGGTATCTACGCCGGTTAGGTACTATCGCGTATAGCGTTACGATCGGCTACTAAGAATATATACTCCTATACTAAGCGTAGTCGACGAGTAGGTAATCTAGTATTATTACTAGACTAGTTAGCGTTAGTCTCGAATTTACGTAGCTCTTATACGAGCGTACGCTAAGCTAAGCCTATATCTAAGGCGGCCTAGAGAACTTCGTTATCGCCTAGTACGCGTTCTATAGTAACGTCGATAGAGTAGTACTAAGCCTAGTACGTTCTAATAAAAGTATTACGTAGTTTAGATACTTCTATAATACGGCTATTAAACCGTAGAGGGAGCTATTATTAAAAGATATCGAACCGTATATAGGTTTTAAGAAGGGTAACTTATAAGTTTATAGCTAGCTCTCTTACTACTAGAGTAGTACGCGTATGCCTTATAGTCTAGTCGCTTATAACGACGGCTAATAGCGATACTTTTTATATACCTCTTATAGGTAGAGAACTTAGCTTTAGCCTCTAGATTAGCGGCGGCCTAGGACTACTCCTATATAGCGCTATCTTTAAAGAGTATTACTATAATACCTAGTAAATATAACCCCTTAGTATAAGTACTAGCTATATTAATTATTAATTATTAATTACTACTTATAATTAGGTTATATACCGCAACTATACCGTATAGGATCCGTAAGCCCTCTAAATATACCTATATATATAATAGTACCTTACTAGTTACTATATAGGTATTATAGATAATATTATTAACGATTAGAAGAATCTTGCGAAGACTATTAATATAATATTTAAAGTTAAAGTAAGAGTAAGAAGGGGAATTAGGCCTACTTATTTCTTAACGCGTAGCGTATAAGTAAATAAATAAACGTATAGGCTTTAATATCCGCCTAACTTACGCGAATAGCTAACCCTAAGTATTTATAACTCGCTAAGTACGTAGGTACTCTTAGGCGGCTATTCGTATTATAACTAAGGTATATTTATAAGATAAATTCCTAACTTAGATATAAGTTTAAAGATAGTTATAGTTCTACAAACCTATAAGGTACCGTAGAGTATTCTTAGGGTTACGCTAAGGATCTTAGTAGGAGATACCTATAGTAAAGCGAAACGAGGTAAAGCCTACCTTTTCTACTATAGGCCTAATAAGGACCTTAGGTATAAGAGAGGGCGTCTATAAGGTATTATACTATATCTATAGTATTCTATACGTAACCGTAGGGGACCGTAGGCTATCTATAGTTAGCCTAGATTACGTAATATATTCCGGCTCCCCGCTTAGGGTCCGTAAAGTATCTACGCTAGATACCTAATAGAATATATTAGCTCCTATATTAAGCGAGGGGGCTTAGAAGAGGAGATAGAAGAAAAGGAAGTAGAACTTCCTTCTCCTCTACTTCTTAAGTTTACTATCGTTACTATTATACTAGATATCGCGTACGTACCGCTAGCGTAGCTAGGGTACGTACGGCGAGTACGCTCTTCGATTAATCCCTACCCTCTTCCTTACTATAACCCCTTCGTCGTAGCCGTATCCTCTACGTAACTATGCTAGAAACCTTATAAGAGCCTACTCTATAGTTAATATCGTAGTTAATATCGTAATCTAATCCTACCGTAAAGGAGCTAATAATACGATAGTAGATAGTATAGAGGGTAGAGAGAAGAGAGAAGAGAGTAGAGGAGGATATCGAGTAGTATAAGTATTATTAGACTCTATTATTACTACCTATATTATAAAATATAGAAGGTAGATAGTATATCGTAGCTTCGAGGGCACGCTAAAGTTATATAATATAGAGGCTAGAGCTAGAGTATTAGGTATAAATATATTAAAGGGAGTTATAGCGTATATACCCTAACGCTATATATACCGTATATAGCTTATAGAGGGTAGGGAGGGCTAAGGTAAGTAAAGTTAAAGAGTTAAAGTAAGTAAAGTTAAAGACTACTACTATAGTAGTCTTTAGAAGTAGCCGAACTTTATAGAGGCGGCTATACTTTACTCTACGCTCTTATACGTATAGACGTATATCTATACGCCCTCGCGCGTCCGACGACTACTAGCGTATACTTATACCCTAACCCTAGTACTACGAAATACTATCTAGACGTACTAGAAATAATACTAGATAGATAATCGAGTACTATAAGTAAGATATATCCTATTTCAGCGTATAGAACGGCGCCTATAGGTAGTTCTAGAAGTACAGACCCTACTAAATAGAATCCTACTAAAATCTAGACTATATAGCTTTGCGCCTTACTAGATTTAGGGAGGATCCTACTAATATTTAGTTACCTCCTAGGCCTTATATTAGTTAGGTAATTATATTACGCTTACGCTTCTAGAAGCGATCCTAGAGAGAGACTATAGTATATTACCTATCTCGCTAGCGTCGCGTTTTACTTAGATAGTAGGTAGCTTTAAGGTTATAGAAATATATAATACTAACTTTAGTAGACGCGACGGAGGTAGTAGCGTATTACTATACTTATAGGGAGCTTCTACGGTCCTAGTAGCTATCGAGACCTATAAGAGATATTAGGATAGTTAATATTACTATAGCTAAGATCTTACGCCTAATTGCCGTTAAGATACTAGTACTAGATTAGGGAAATATAACTCTAGTACTAATAGTATTAAAAGAGTACTTTAAGAGAATAAGCTCGTAGTAAAGGTAGATTACTTTAATAATTAAAGAGTATATTCCTATTTGGAGGAACTATAATAATATATAAAATAACTATCGTATACTAAGACTAAAAGTTAGAGAAAGTATAGTATTCTTAAGGAGCGCTTATACCTAGGAAGCTACTTAAGGCTCCTTACGCTATATTATAACGTAGATTAAAAGTAATAATACCTTTAACTCGAACTATTATTATAATCCTTACTCTTTTTAAGCCTTTATTAAGACGATAATTAGATATTTTAGGTATAGGCGCTCCTCGAGGATACTACGTACCGTACAACTTTAGGTCTTAGCATGCGATAGTTATTTTGCGCACAATTGTACCTCGGCTGCGAACATTGCTTGGCAAGGTTAAGATTCTTGATGGCCTTGGAACTTGAAGTGTGAGATCACGATGGGATCAAGCACGTCGTTAACGCAGCCATGGTTGGTGATGTCTTGACTGATGACTGGTAAGTGGAGTCAGTCCATTGCTCGTCAGAGGCAGTCTCACTGACGAGATTTGTAGGCGTGGCTGGACGAAAGAAGTTGCAGTGCGCAACGTCCGGAATGTGAAGATATATAATGCCTTGGCAGTACTTATCGCTCAGCACAAGATCACAGCGTGCGAAGCACGTACTCGCCTGAAAATGAAAACAATAGCTGCTGAGAGAACAGACGCCCAATTGAGAGACGAACAACTGGCTACCTCAACTGATAAGCGAGACGAGCTGATGAGGTATGTTGACGCGGTGGGCTACCTGCTTGCTGGGACGAGTGTGTGGAGTGCTTCCTGCCCACGCTACAACGCCCACAGAAAGCTCGACGCTGTGCTGGACCAAGAACCTCAACACTGTGCTGTCGCCTGCGACGCTTCCGCAGAGTCCCGTGTGCTGGCCGCCTAGATGCCTAGACTGATCAAGGACTTTTGCTTGATCCGTTGCTGGCTTGATTCCAAATTTAGGGCAAGGTGCTATATTATCTTTTAGAGCTCCGAAGTTTCAAGCGCGTGGCAGAGGCTGCGGCTGCGGCTGCTTCACTGGTGCATGATGCAACCGCCTTGCAATAACGTACTGCTGCTCCTCCGGGTCACATTTTTGGCTGCTTGGCTGGAATGTGTCGACTGTGTTGCTGATAATTTCAAATCCCATAGACTTCAAAAAGTGCAGCAAACCCTGCTCCGTCATCATGAACGTTGGCAATGCTTCTCCGAAGAATGGTGCCGGATAATCTTCCACCCAAGAACCCGACTTATCGTAGCTGGAGACATCTTTGACGTATCGATCCGCAGGCATCTCACCAATGATGAATAGGCCGCCAGGCCTCAAGGTGCTGGCGAACTTGTAGGCTGCCGTGTGGAAGTCCTTGTACGATAGCTGTAAATGGCAGAAGATCATGAGGACGGCATCAAACTCTCCTTCAGGCTGGTACGTGAGCATGTCAGTCTCAAGGAAGGTGCCCTTGACTTGACTTCTCGCCAAGGCGATCATCTTTGGTGCAATGTCTGTACCAACGACCTCCATGCCCGCTGAAGCTAGCATTTGAGCCACAGGAACTCCTGTCCCACAGCCGACATCCAGACACCGAGCACCGGGTTCCAGGAGAGCGATAGTGCTTTGAATACAGCGTTGCTTGTAAAGATTGTCCTTGTATGCATTTTCGTATTCGATGTGTAGGGCGTCGAAGGTTTCCAAGCCTGCTTGTGCTCCAGCGGTCGACATTGTGACTGCCAGTCCAGACAGAAGTAACAGGGTGGCGGCAGCGACAATACAATAACCAGTCACGAAAGAGCCGCTCTGGTAGTGTGGCGAATACTACGCCGTCATGCAATGTAGAAGAGATGCAACACCCCTATACTGAGTCGATGTGCATCAAGCGAAGGTCAAAAGTCAAGTGCTACGAATGACCCACTTCGGCAACGGCTTTAGTGCAGTACACTAATTCCTTTACCATGCGCCACTACTGCATGTATGACTTGACCCTGCGCTAGCCATGCGACGTGACGAGGTACCAGACACGGACAACGCAGTCGACACGAGCTAGTACAAGGAAGAGACCCTAGTGATATTGTTGTCTACGGATTGGAAGCACAACGACTGATGGCTGGTATCTACACACTCGGCCAGCTGTCTGATCTTCCAACACCGCGAAGGTGCTCGGAATTTGTACCCTCGGTGCAGCAACTACGCCTACATACGCTTGATATACGCAACAGGGCCTTGATATTCGTGTCGTGCCTTGACGAAGTAGTAGATCATTGCGATGATGAGTAGACCTCCGAACATAGCGCTTGACCAATTCATGTTGGTCGGCGTCACGGGTGTGGCTAATGGCCTGTTGAAGTCAGTTACATCACGACAACATTGAGATCGAGTGGATACTTACCAGAAGGCAAAGAACCATAGTGGAAGCAGAAAACAGAGAGCGGCAATGTTGATCGGAAGACCGAATCGTCCAAGCGACCACCGAGCTCGTGGTAGAGGCGGACCGTTGAATCGCCGCCATATGAAACAGCTGATCGTAATGCTGCAGAAGTCATGAGCATGAATCCACATCTGTAGGTGGATGACTGGATTTCTTACAAATAAGATGTCAAGATAGCCACTCCACCGAGCGAGTTGATGGCATTCAAAGCGACCGAAGATCCAAGATTGATCAATGACAGCAAGGAGCTGACCAACAACGATACGCAGACGGCGCGCAGAGGGATATTCCAGCCTGGCGAGACCCATGAAAGCCACGTGGAGCCAGGAAGACCTCGATCGCGAGCGAAGGACCACAACTGCCTGCTGGCTGTAGCGACTTCGCTGACACAGCAGGAGACGAGCAAGATGAGGACAATTGCAACCATCACACTTGTTGCGGCGTAGCTTCGGGTGGCGTTGTAGAAGACCTGGATGAAGGGTTGATAAGTTGGTGACGAGAGGATGTTCTCTATGTCGCCTAGGGTGAAGCAGAGGGTCACGGCCTAATCAATCTCTAGTCAATAAAAGTTGCAGAAGTTGTGACATATAAACTCATACCATGATGAAAGCCAGGACGAAGTTGGGAAAGGTGGACCACATAAGTGCTCGTGGTAGAGTGATGGAAGCGTCTCGAATTTCCTCCGACATGTGCACAGAGCAATCTATTGCATTTCACTCAGTAAAGCTGTCGTGCCCATCTTCCAAACTCCCTTAACGTACCATAACCAATCATGACCGACAAAGGTGATGTTAGACCGATCATGGCTGACAAACCGGTGCTTGGCCAGCCTCCATTGTTGCTGAAAGTGAGGATGGCGTCTTTGGCCGTGGCTCGAGGCGCCATTACCCACAGTGGGATGATAATCGCGAACTACGCAGATCGTATGTCAGTATGGTTGATAGCAGTAGGGCGGCTTACCTTAACTCACGAAACCGACGAGGTGCAAAATGAACATCACGCCCTCAATCAGAGGGAGTCTGGTCGCTAGAGCCGTGTTGAAAACAACGGAGAATGCAATGACGGCAATAGTCAAGAGCGTGCTATGCCAGGGTTGCAACTCATAGCCTGGTACTTGTAAGACGATAAGGCCCTCGATCACGGATCCAATAATGAAGCAGACGCCGGCAAGATAGACCTGCCATCCAATGGCGCATAGCCAGCCTGCGACATGTCAGAGGCTGTGATCATCTTCTTGCGTGGCCAAAACTCACCAACGATGTAGCTCAACTCTTTCTGGATTCGAGGCGGCGCAAATTCGCTGACCCTACAGACAGTGAGTGACGCTCATAGTGATTCCCCATGACGCGCATACCAATGATATTGACCTAGCAGCGTCAGCAAAGTTCAGCAGATGTTGTGCTTGCTCAACCAAGCAACGGCCTACCCTACCTCCAGCAGTTGGGCTGATCGATGCCATCTCAGCTAATGAAGCATACACAAGAGTCATGCCGATGGCGACCGCAATAAAACCCCAAAACAAGTCCGCAGTTCCACCGTCTGTCAGGACGAAAATGAACAATGGCAACAGAAGCTCCCAAGACGCCATCACCGTCGACGCAAACCCCAGCATGGTGATGAACTTGAAGTTGCGCCTCAGCACCTGCTGCTTCCCCAGGATCCTCATGTCTTCTCGATCGGCGGAAGTGCCTCTGTACTTCTCCTCCACCGTACCGGGCTTTTCGTCGAAGTGATCATCGTCACGGTTGATGTCGCGGTGCGAAGTTGCAACGTTGATGTCATTGCCGCCTGCCATGGTCTCAGGGTACGAGGATCCTGCTGAATGAACGACAAGAACGAAAGGCCAGGCTTGTGAGTGAACAAGCTGTCTGTCACAGCTGGGCTAAAGAGCGTGGAAGGGAGAGGTGGAAAGATATTCCGCGATAGTAAGATTGACCCCGTTGTAGCATCCGTCGCCGCTGTGACACTCCGCTCATCCGTTCGTACTCTAACACCCCGGACGATAGCGATCAACAGAACATCGCTACAGCACGTGGCGACAGCCTTTGTATAAACCATGCTTTCGCACGAGGGAGCTCGGGTGCCGCGAGCACTAGCCCGGCTAGTGGGAAGGGGACCCAAGCGGGCTTGCTTAGTGCATATACTTTCTCCACCACTGCCCTCGCCGGATTCAAAAACCGTGGTTAGATTCGAGTCATGCCGTCCTCTCACCTCTGTGGCGATCGTCCATCCGAAGAGGCAAAGTGCTTGTGCACGACCAAGACCGCGGAATCCTGAAGCATGGTTCTGCTTAACCGAGTCTTCTATTGCCGTAGCTTTCGCACCGATCGCACTACGCGAAGCCTTTTCTGTATAAAGCGCCAAGTCGTCCCTGCGTCTGATGCTCCAGGAAGCTGAGACGCGGGACGAGAATGCAAATTGTTCGTGAATTGATCGAGGCTAGTTGACTCTCACATTTGGGATCCAAGACATTTTGCGACATTGCACTCGATTCCTTCATCAGCGGATGATGAGAGTCGCAATCGTACTGCCTGAGAAAGCGAGTCGTGACGAGCATGGCGGCTCCGTGGGTCTCGAGGCCGGCATGACATGAGAAGTGTATGCAGCGGCAGGGGTACGCGATGCTAAACGCCACTCACATCTAAGGTTACTTTGGAGAACATCCGCCGTCTGGTTGTACCGTATGTAGGATGCGGAGATGTGAATCACTCTCCCGCACATCTCAGGGATAGCAGGACAGTTGATCGTGCGCCGATAAGACCCTTCCTATGTACTCGTCGTAATATCTCGTGCGTCTGTCCTTGACCTGGAATATACAACATACACCGGTTGCCCGCTATGGCGATTGCTGACGATTTCACGGTTCCTGCTGGACAATATCCACCTTTCGCCGTTGTGACCGAAGACGACCATCGAGCCTGGATCATAATCACAGCCGCTTTGGGTCTTGCTTGTGCTCTTGTCTTCGCGGGCATACGAACATTTGTACGATGTGCTTTTACGGACGGCTTCGGGTTGGACGATGCGATGGTTGCGGCATCGACCGTAAGCTTCTCTTTTCGATCAACTCGAATATGGTGGGACGCAGCTGGGGTGTGCTGATACGCTCGACGTCTAGGTGCTCTACACCATACAGTCAACGATCGTATTAGCATCAACTAGTCAGGGCAATGGCAAGTCGATCGATCTCTTGGACGCAAGAGCTCAAGCTTCGATACAAAGAGTGTGTCGTTACTGTCCCAATGCATGCACTGTCCCGAGCTGATCGCTTCCCGTTAGGAAGTCTATACAGCGCAGATACTATTCATCATTGGGCTGGGAATGTCGAAACTTTCGATTACTTTGCTTTTACATCGACTTACGCCCAATGAGCAACAACGACGAGTCTTCGCGGGAGGTATGATTGTCTCCGCGGTGTGGACGTTCGCATCTATCTTCGCCGTCGCCTTACAGTGCGATCTCAGCCGTCCTTGGATCACTCTTGACCAGACTTGCGCTAGCTCGGCGAGAATATGGTATGCTGTCGGCGCTTTTGATATCATTACGGAAATTATGCTCGTGGCGATGGCGGCGTATCTGGTGTGGGATCTCAAGATGATATGGCAGAGTAAAGCCACAGTTGTGTTTGGGTTCGCGGTCCGACTACTGTGAGTATCCTCGAGCAGCCACGCCGATGCTATGTACGCGACTGACTCCAGCAGAATGATCATCGCAATCGGCCTGCGCTTAGCGGCTTTCGATCCCATCGGTCTCACCACAAACCCTTTCATTCTCGAGGACGAATTCATTATCTGGATGCAAACCGAACTCTGCTTCGCCAATGTGTCCGCTAGTATTCCTACTTTGCGCGTGTTTGTCAACTCTCTAACAACAAGCTACGGAGGTTCGGGCGAGAAAAGAACGAGGAGCTCGAACAAAGACTACTCGTATGGCTCGCAAGGCAGCCGGCGACAACGGACGGGCATCATGCTTTCGAGCTTGAAGGTCGGCTCACGACCGAAAGCTAGAGCGTCGGTGATTGGGTCGAATCTCAGGTCGAACAATGATGAGCTAGATACCCAGTGGCCTGCCAAGAGTGCCGGAGAGGCATACGATTACACCATCTCTGGAGCTCGACGTGATAACCTCGGAGATCGAAGTCAAGAGGCGAGCAGTAAAGGTGGTGGTGGGGTCGATGCTATAAGTGTCGGCAGTAGTGAGAGTCAACAGCGCATGATCATCAAGAAGGACATCACGTGGGATGTGCAGAGTGAGAGGAATTGAGTGTCTGGATATCTCCGCCACATAAAACTGGACACGAGACTCATAAAGAACACCATGAGCATTTGCGGGATCTTAGCCTTCCAAATCTGTCCTGAATGCAGAGAACTATTGTAAACAGCAACATCGATACAGCGAGGTATGACGTTGCCATCACGACCGCTATCTCGAGCTCGGCAACCCTGCGTCTTATATCGATTGGGTGTAGTAGAATAGATGAGCTGGGTCATAAGTCGCCTTGAGGATCTGCAATCTCGCCAAGTTCGATCCATAATACTCCCCGTTCGCGGTAGACCGGTCAAGCTGCGAGTCGGTATAGTTGATATACATTCCCCAGTCCGAATCTGCCAGAGGCGCGACGGTCATATTGACCCAATTGTTGAGGAAGGAGAAGCCGGTTGAGGGGTAGCTGCCGGAGTATATGCGGTCGTAGGAATGTATCATGAAAAGCTTGTCTCTGTGGGCATAGGAGGAGAGGCTTTGGTCACCATTGGTCACGGCGCTGTTATCGCCACCGTGGATATCAAGTTGGAGCCACCAGCCACGAGAGTTGGTTGGGCCGGTTTTGAACCATTAGTTGGCGAAGTTCTTGGCGGAGGTACCCAGCTAGAGATCAGATTAAGGTGGAGATGACAGCACAGAAGACATTGCATACCATTCAGACCCTTTAATATGAAGCTCTTTGAGTAGAACGTCTCTTGCTGATGTACAAGTCAGCACTATGCAGGCACTGCAGGATAGGATCCACGACCTTACCGAGGGATCAGTAGCGAAATCAGTATTGGAAGTATACGAATAATGCTTGAATGCGGACAAGAAGTCCGTCTGTGTGGAGCCGGAGATGGACAGACCGTGGCGTTCAAAAGTGGCTGCAGAGCAGTCTTCAAAGCTGTGCTGTTCCCCCAAGTCCATCCCCTCAAAGTATGACGATCCGGTCGAAGTGTACATCCGCATCGTCAGCTCAGCAGGCATGACGGTGTTGGCGTAGATGCCCACGGCTGCTAAAGTGGTTGAAGCATTATTGATGTTCCACTTGAAGTTCATGTTGAAGTCAGTGACGGTCGATGGTGGTGCAAACGTGGTCGACTGATACGAAACGACCACGCCGAAGTTGGAGCCGGCGCCACGCAGAGCCCAGACAGGTCAGAGTTCTGCGTGGCGGAGCAATCTGTTATAGTGCCATTTGCAAGCACGACCGTCATGGCTGCTATGCCATCGACAGCCAGTCCGTGCTTGTGGGAGCTCATACCGTAGCCGCCGTGAAGGGCGTGGCCACTGACTCCGACGCTGAGCTAGTATTAGTACCCACAGTCCATCAATGATCGGAGTGACATACCCAGGACAAGTGCCTGCAGATATGGCTCTTTTGCCTTGAGTCCATAGCGAGTTCGCAACATGTCCAAGTCTGGCGCCCGCTTGGACAGTAGCGATATTTGTGATAGTATCGAGTGTGACGATGTACATATTGTCCAATTGGATAATGAAGTGACCGTCCTCGCCGCCGAGACCCAATGATTCGTAGGAGTGTCCACCGCATTTTGGACTCGTCTTGATGCGAGCTGTTCGTCCACAGTTGACGGAAGCTTGGACTTGTGCGATCGTGGTCGGTACTGCTACAGCTATAGGTGTGTATGGTAGGCGAGCGTTGAAGGGCAGGACATCTGTTTTCCAGGATCTGGAGCCTGAGGTATCTGTCGGGATGCCGGATTGTTGTAGGCAGGTGTCGAGGGCAGCGCGCTTGCCTAAATATGTTGCATGAGTGAGGCTGGCGGCTAGCAATGAGAGAAGGAGAGCTTGAAAAGACATGATAGAAGATGGAGATGCTATGAGAGTCGTGCGGCCATGGGAAATGAAAGCTCATATCCATTGTACCGACAGCGCCCAGCATACCTTATCATCAAGCTGACATGATTATTGAAGAACTCCGTGCATACAACATAAGTCTCCTCTTAAGCATTCTAGGCGGTATAATGATACCAGTCTCGTCGTCGGCACCGGAATCATCTGCGCCAAGACGAGGACACACAAGCGACGCATAGCCAAGCACCGCTCGTGACGTCGATAGTCGCAGCTTGCTAGATGCCAGGTCCAGCTGGAGAAACTCTGCTCGGGACAGAGTCGGCTTCATTTCACAAGATCCTAATCCAGACGATTGACACTGTTTGTTCCTGATCCCTCGTTGCTCTGCTGCAGTATGGCAATAGCGTATATACGACGAAAAGCCCATGCATTCCCACACCGGTTGGCTGATGGGCTTGGACAGGCGAGACTGGTTTGGACGTCCAGGCACATCTCCATCGTACATTCGCTTGCCGGTGTGCTATTCGAGTAGAGTCAGTGGCAACAGTATAGTGTCTTGCATAAGATGTGCTGTAAGCTGATGTGGTTCGATACTGCATGAGTTCTACCAGAAGGCACGGCTGGTTCTCGGGTGGCAGACTGCGCCACGCGCGAGCTGGCTTGCTTGAGCCTTGAGACAGATTCCAATCACGCTGTCAAATTCCTGCATTGCTCACGTATCTCGATATCGGACTTCCGTCATCATAGGCTGATACGACTACATGGCTTGGGGCGATATCGACGGACGTGTCGCGTACCGACGACGAGCTCTCCTTTCCATCCGATGGTTGTCGCTTGAAGAACCAACACCGCCCGCATATGTATTATGTCGCTACCACACCTGAGAATTTGCCGGACGAGTTGGATCTTGGTCGATCTCGACGGGTGGGCGCACAGCATTCGCGGATCGGATTAAGGTACAACGACCGCTTTGGGAGACTCCAGACCAGTCTGGCAGTCGCCTGAGCAGCTTGGAACGTCAGCAAGCAGCAGCAGATGGACGTGCCGGACATGATTCGAGCTGGTACGTGCCGTCCTCAATACCATTTCCCGCCAAGCGACTCTGCATCTGTCGCTAGTCCTCATCCACCGCACAGCTGCCAGCTACCGGCCGCTCGATGCAGCCCTGAGCCTCCTCATGTAGCTTTGACTTGCATCTTGCTGGCAGTTATGACGTGGCTAGAACCCAGATGCTGTATTCGGCACTCAACGACTGATCACCACATGCTCCGCCTTTCACTACCCAACGCCGCATAAGGTGGATCCTACTGATCTCACGCTTCTGAGGCGAAGCATGGAGTCGCCCGGCACATCCTCAAAACATACGTCCGGCTGTGAAAAGCGGCCCTACTGAGTAAGGTCATGCTGTGGCATACCACTCACATAGACTTGATGCCTCATTGATAGCCGGAAAGAGTACTCCGAGTGAAGGATCATGCAGTAGGCTACTGCTTCATTATTGACACTCCCCGGGTAGTGTCAGGCCCCTGTACGTTCGTCTTCTGCAGGACTCTATTGCCTTGGCGTCTGGATCTGATCATCGATGCCCATCAAATGTATGTAGACGGCACTATGCATCTGCAATATTTTCGGCGTCGGAAATGCGGTTTGAGGCAACATTGCCTTGTCTGGTAGCCTCACGACCGGATATACGAGCACTTTCGCACAACTTTGTTCTACAGGACCATAGATCTGACAAGGTTGCCGGATGAACATAAGAAGGCTTACCCCATAAGCTTTACTGGGCCTATAAAGCACATAGCGCCCATCTCGCACAATCCTCTTGCTAATCCTGACATTACTTTGCGCCACGGGCGAGGTGTCGGCCAGCTTTGTTGCACAAGCTCGCCATGCCCTGATAGAGAGACAGAGCAGTAGCCAACCCAATTCCGTGCAGGATTGGGAGAACGACTATGCTACGGAGACGTTCAAGACAGGTTCTAATGGTCTGTTTTCTGTGGACTGGGCCAACGGACCAGGTAAGCTATGGCTCTTATCCATTCCGTGGGGTATATCTGACAGTGGCAAAAGGTGGTGACTTTGTCGTTGGACGAGGCTATCAGCCAGCACGAGACATGTGGGTCCCTCGAGAATTGCTATGAGTGCTCCCCTGACAGTCTCAGGCTCGTGAACTATACCGGCACCTTCCAAACAACAGGCAACGCCTATCTTGCACTCTGTGGCTGGACGCAGAACCCACTCATTGATTACTACATCATTGAGTCAATGGGCATACACAATCCTTCCGAAAATGTCAGCTCGACTCAGTACGGTTGTCTGCAGAGCGATGGCGGTATCTACGAGATCTGGCAGAAGGCTCGCATCAATGCATCCTCGATTCAGGGCGACAAAACAAACTTCCAGCAGTTCTGGTCAGTCAGGACGACTGCGCACGTCGGTGGTACGATTGATACTGGCAATCACTTCCGTGCCTGGGCCGCTGCTGGGCTGAAGCTGGGATCTCAGCTCTACATGTGAGGTCTCACATCCAGCTCATGTAGGAGAGCCTCGACACCACTGACCCCGATCGTAGGGATATCGTCGTCGAAGGCCAACTCGGGGCCGGCAATGCCACAATCACTGTTGGTACGGCGCCCAAGACGAGTGTACTCAACTACCCGACCTCGACGTACAGGTCACAGCGTAAAGCAGGAACGTGTGCAAAGCCTTCCAGTACTTCGTCGGTCAAGACTTTAAGCACGATGGTGGTGACAACGACGGCGGCCGCGGTATCCAGGGTTGCGACGACTGCCGCGGGCACAACGTGAATGGGTGAACATCCTGCAGCTATATTGGCCAGACGCCATGGGCAACGAAACCTCACTTGCATGGCACACACTCATCATGCGCGTTCGTCCTTCGTTTTATACCATGCTCAAGATGTTGAGACTGTGCCATTCAGTTTGCTCAGGAGCGACATCATTTTTACGAAATTACTGCCGGAATGAAGGTCACACATATTGTATCTGATGCTGGTTCGACGTGGCGCGAATTCTCGTCAACAGGCAGCTGGGAACGTTCTATACTGATACATACATCAACCACATCCATGGCTTACACAGACTCATGTCAAGTTCCCTAGGCAGGTCTCATTGGCCATGAACTTAAAGCTTATTACGACCCCGCGATCATGACCATCCCAAACTTGTGTCGAACCTTGGGCGTAGCCGCTATCTTCGCGCTGCCTCGCTGTCCCAAAGAGGCATGAGCGAGGCGAGGTTCTGATGCAGGTACATGACATGGCTGAGAAGTAGTTGTGCAATCTTGATCAGCAATTACATGGTGCAGATCTCTGTGCGACCAGCAGCAATACCAAAAGGTGGAGTCAGCCACGATATCATTCGACCACAGGCCATCTGGATCCTACACCATCGCTCCACGTCTTCGATCACGACGTCGAAACACTGTCGCCTTCGAAGCAACACTTTTATGACGGCGAGAAAGATAGTCAAGCAACATGGGGTCTGGAAACATGCTCGAGGCTCATGTCCATGAGGACACATCTGTCACACTGGTTTCCATCCCTATACCTCATGTCCAGGGGCCAAACGATATTGTTGTCCGGGTAATCTGCGCGTCATGTAATCCGAAGGACTGGAAGTAGGATCTACGCAGCCATTGACAGCAAGACTGATGAGCGCTAACTCTACGCAGGATGCCAGCAGGCTTGCTCAAGACGATATCAGATTGTCCCAACTCTGGCGATGATGTGGCTGGGATAGTCCATGAAGTAGGATCAGCCGTCACTTTGTACAAGCGAGGGGACAGGGTTGCAGCGCTGCATCAGCTAGGAGCACCGTACGGCGCATACGCCGAGTTTGCACTAGTCAAGGACTTCGTCACGTTCCACATCCCGCCCCAGCTTGAGTGGGAACAAGCGGCGACGATGCCGATGGCGTCCTATATGGCCTGTATTGCACTCTTCGGCTCGCTTCAGATCTGTGCAGGACCATGGGAGACTGCTCAGAGGCCACCACCACTTCTGATCTACGGTGCTGCGACAGGAGTAGGCAGTCTAGCCGTCAAGCTAGCTCAAGTCGCCGAAATACATCCACTACTCTGTGTGGCCGGTGGCGGTGCAGACTTCGTGGCCGGCTTGATTGATGAGAGCAAAGGCGACGCCGTTTTCGACTACCGCAAAGGTGACGAAGCTTTGGTTCAGGACATCAAGTCCGCACTCCATGGACAGGAGCTAGAATACGCATTCGACGCTGTTAGCGAGAAGTCCAGCATAGCGAATGTGTCTAAAGTCTTGAAGTCCAAGGGTGGGAAGATAGCTCTTACGCTTCCCGGCCGAGCGCATGAGCTTTCAGATCAGCTAGAGATTTCGCATGTCATGGCTGGCAGCTTGTGGAAGAAGCTAGTAGGGCGACATGAAGGCGAGCAGCTCGGTAACCTAGGCGTCGAAGATGGACCTGCATTTGCCAAGACGATGACATCAAGCATCGAGAAGATGCTGTCCGAAGGCGTGCTTGCGGCACATCCACACGTAGTATACGAGGGAGGACTGACTGGGCTGGAGCGAGCGTTGAAGGATCTGCGGGGTGGGAGAGTAAGTGCGAAGAGATGTGTTGTTCGAGTGATTGATACACCTGGGAGGCACGCACCTGATATCGGCGACGGCATCTGAGCTTCTCGCAGGTGAAGAGCAGTACGTTAATATCATGGCGCGTGCGACCATGTCCTACATTCAGATCGACATTAAGTTTTCCGCGAATCGTCCTGATCATCTATTGGGATGGGACTTCGGATATTTGCATTAATACCTTTGACGTCCCAGAATCGTACAGATTGTCGCGATGAGCCGATATTAATGCAGATGTCCGGATTTGAGAGCCGGTACCCCTCGTTGATGGCTGCGTGTGCGAGGTGTCTAGCGAGACCGCATATTAAGGATGTTCGTAGTAAAAAGAATTGGACGAGTACTGCGGTCTACATCGCAGTGAGCGCACCCCGAGATTTTTGAGCACCATCACAGATCGATACAGCCTCATTGCCGATACTGTACGCGCTGCCCACCTCTCTTCTCCATCTTCGCCGCCCGCTTGCTCTGCCCGGCCGCCCCACTGCTGCTCCCACTGCTCACACCATCGCCACCCTGCCCGCCCGCTCCGGCACTCAGCCCAGAAAATCCAGACCTCATGCCAGTATAGGTAGTAAAAGCCAAGTATCCCGAGTAAGCCGGGACAGCGAGATAGAACCACCACGCCCAATCGCCTACTAGTGCGACAAGGACGACATTAATCCAAGTCCAGTAGACGACATCCCACATCCACTCTGTCAACCCCTTAGCTTCGAGATCCTCACCTGCACGGCGGAGTTCTGGGGCTGTGGAGCCAGGTACGGTCGTGTAAGTTGGGCGGCCAACACGTTCGAACCAGAATTCTATTACCAGAGCTGGGGCGGACAGGAGGGAGAAAGGGAACAATCTTCTCGTGAAGAGTATGGTTCGGACCAGAATGAAGAAGACGTAGATACCTAGGGAGATGAGATGGGTGCGGTTAAGAGTCGCTGCGTTGCGGGTTGCTTGGGTCTTGAGTGCTTTCTGGTATACCTGTGAGTGATGGTGGCGTTGTAGCTGCGATGGGTGCACTCACTTGCGCCATGATTGCTTCTTCTGAACTCAGAATGTTACAGTGGTGGCCTGACTACCTGCTGTGCGTCGTCCTCAGTCCGAGTGTTTCTCTGCAATGCTGTCAAATTTTGCAACCGTGGTGAATGATATTGATTGAAGTGCTAACCAATTCTGTGGATTGAAGCTAAAGTGCTTGCTTGGCGGACATCCCGCCTTGGACACAAACAAAGCGATCGCGGGCGGCAACGGAGAACAACAATCGCGTGTACAGCCCATTACACGGCTGTACAGGATTAAGACGGGCGAAGCAGATTGGGTTGTATGGGACGAGGTGGATTGATATGGCAAGACAACATAATCCGACGAGTTACGACGAGACGACACGATCTGGTTGTTCTGGACGTAGGTAGACATCTGGCTTGCACGAGCGTGGAGTTGATGTGGAAGTGGACTTGAGAGTCTCATGTGCCGCCATCTCGAGAGCAGACACCATTCCTCTTTGCTCCCTCACTTTGTCCTGGTCACACCTTCTGGCTGGCAACACCATCCACAACCCTCACCATGTCGCCATCCCAAGGCATCGCAGCCACGCAACTTCACCAGCTGATCTACTACCACCTTGACAATGACCTTCTCGACACGGCGAACTTCCTCGCCGGCCGCCTGCATGCCCTCGAACCGCGATCAGGCGACTCCGCGCACCTTCTCGCCCTCACCTACTACCGCCAATCCCGTTACAAGGCCGCCTACGACTACAGCCAAAAGCATGGCTCCACAGGGAAACATCTCGGCTGCGCCTACATCTTCGCCCAGTCTTGCCTACGGCTTGGTCGGAATACAGAAGGATGTACTGCGCTGGAGAAGGCTAAGAGTTTTTGGGTCGGCAGACTGAACTGGAAGAAGCATTCGGAGACGACTCGACGACACTTACCCGATGCGCCGGCTGTGTATACACTGATGGCAAAGTTATGGCAAGCGCATGGCGATGCGAGGAAAGCTGGCGACTGCTATATCGAGGCACACAAGGCAAATCCCTTTGTATGGGAGGCGTTCGAAGGACTGTGTAAGATAGGTGCGGATCTGAAAGTGGAGAACATGTTCCGAGGTGCACAAGAAGGCGGTAGTTCTGCGCCGACGAGCACTGCTGGCGGTGGGGTGCCAGAGATTTATACGGACGATGCGCCATTGCAGACTCAGCCACTTGCGCTGCAGCACAATTTCAACCAGCAGGTGCTGACACCTTCAGCAGATCCTTTCAACACCAGTAGAATTGGTGCAGAGGGAGCCCAGTTCATGCTGCCGAATGCGAAGGGCAAGTCTTCGATGTTTGGGACCTCGCGACAGCAGGCTAGCGACTGGGACACGCCGACAGCTAATGGCAGTCTGGCGGAGGATGATGTGGCTATGGGAGAGACGATGGTTCAGGACGAAGATGCTTTTGGTGGTCCACCTGCTGCTCCATCGCGGCGAGCAAGACCAGTTGCACAGTCTGAGGTGCTGGAGCGGCCACGGCATCCTTCAGCACGAACTCATCTGGCGGGTTCTGAGGCTGCCGTAGTAGAAGACCCAATGAGACCTAGTCTAGGTGGCCAAAAACGGACAGTATCGGGACAGACGTCTGTATCAATCTCTGTAGTTGATTCTGGAGCTCCACCGCGGAGAAGTAATCGGCTCTTCGGACAAGCAACTACCACGACCCGGACGACGCGATCAGCCGCGGATACCATATCCTCTCTTGCGAACAAAGTTGATCGGACTGTACGGACCGCAAAGCCTGCGACAGGCGCGAAAGGTCGAACAGCTTCCACAGTCGGCCGAGTCGTCAGTGGGAATCGTAAGGTCATGCCACAGGATCCGGCAGACAAAGAACGAGAGAAGCGAGCACCGAGTCGAAACAGCGAGAAGTCTAGTGTACCGGGTGTGACATCTGTGGTACTGCAGAAGCCGTCCACTCATGCTCTGCCACAAATAACAGACGCGCAAGCCGAAGAACAAGCCATGTCCAGCTTACTCGACTCCTTCCGACAGCTAGCAGTTGGCTCATACGCGGTGGCACGTTTCGACCTAGCAAAAGCTATCCAGACCTTCCGCACCGTGCCAACTTCCACACGTGACACACCATGGGTGCTCGCCCAGCTGGGCAAAGCTTTCTACGAAGCAGCCGACTACCGTAATGCCGAGGAATCCTTTGCAAGGTTATTGAAGATGCAGCCCACTCGGGTGGATGATATGGAGATATACTCTACCGTCCTGTGGCATTTGAAGAAAGAATCTACTTTGGCATTTCTATGTCATAGTCTACGGGATCAGGATTTCCATGCGCCGCAGGCATGGTGTGCAGTCGGAAACGCCTTTTCGCTTTCCCGGGAACATGACCAGGCTATTTCGGCCTTCAAACGAGCAGTCCAAGTCAACGAGAAATTCGCTTATGCCTGGGCGTTGATGGGCCACGAATACATCACCAATGAGGAATTCGAAGCAGCGCTCTCCGCTTTCCGAAAGGCAGTGGCGATCGATCGCCGCAACTACGGTGGCTGGTACGGCCTAGGGAAATCATACGAACGGATGGGTAAGCTGGAGGAGGCCGAGAGGCATTATCGCATAGCTTCCACCATTAATCCCTCCAACGCCACCCTCCTCGTATGTATCGGTGTGGTGCTGGAACGACTACGGAATCGGAAAGCTGCGTTGGCGAATTACACAAAAGCGCTGGAGATTCAACCCAGTTCCGCACTGGCGCGGTTCAAGAAAGCTCGGGTGTTGATGCATATGCGGCTTTATGACCAAGCACTAGAGGAATTGGGCGTGCTGCGGGACCAGGCACCGGACGAGGCGAATGTGTGGTTCCTCTTGGGCAAGTGTTGGAAGGGGCTGGGAGAGAAGAGTGAAGCATTAAGGGCGCTGACTACTGCATTGAATCTGGATGTCAAGGTGAGGCTTTCCAATCTCCCATGCTACTGCGTAAGGTGATGTTGCTAACTTGTGGCTTTCGTGCAGGCTGCACCCTTCATCAAAGAAGCTATGGAAGCGCTTGATGAGGATGATGAGGAAAGTGAGGAGGATTGATCCTCGGCTTGGTTGGACTGATGCGAGCATGATGGTGAGCTTACGATGGACGATGGCTTCTGCATTGCGTGGCGTATGGTCCAGAGTATTTTGGGAATGGAGGAACGTGGTGCGTGAAGCGCTTCCCCGAGCATTATCTGGCATTGTCTCGAAGCATGGGAGGATTGTTATGTTAGCGCTTGGTTGCATCCTGGTTGATGGAAGCGAGAAGGGACTGCACAACTATCAGGCAGTATTCATGGCAGTGTCCCGATACTTTTCCGTACCTGCATCGTCGGTGACTCATGACGATATCCAGAGTCCGTGCTATCACATGCCAATCCCGCCACTTTCTTCTATACCATCCCCGCAAATTCCACCTCGTCTCCTTCCATCACCATCTGCCTCAGCTACATTTTCCTCATCACCACTCGTTTGTCATGGCACCCACCACGTCTAAACGCGTCCGCAACACGACGATCCGACGGCACTTCATCATAGGCAACGAATCCCACCTCCTCCCATACGCAGGCTACGCCAATCCCGCCCCCGACAACCATACCAAAGGCTGGAAAGTCTACGTGCGCCCTTTACCCAACGGCCCGGACCTGACGACGTGGCTGAAGAAAGTACAATTCAAACTCCATCACACCTACACCGATGCCTCGCGGACAATCGAAGCCCCGGGCCCGTACGAGGTGAGTGAGACCGGGTATGGCGAGTTTGGGGTGGAGATTAGACTCTATTTCGCGAGTGAGAGTGGAGAGAAGGCGGTGTATCGGGAGCACTATCTCGTTCTGGCTCCCTACGGCAGTGAGGAGCAGAAGGCGAAGATGGAGCGGGAGAATTTGGTCGTGGCGGAGCGCATGGAGACCGTGGAGTTCAATGAGCCTACGATGGAGTTCTTCAAGACTTTGACGAGTGAAGATCAATATAATTGGTTAAAGGTGAAGAAGGGAAGGGGCAAGGGCAAGAAACCCGATTTCGTTTTCGAAGGGGAGGTAGAGCCGACTGCTCAGCTCCCAGATAAGGCGGATGCGGGACAGGGTGGGATGGGTGCGGGAGGGGCGTGGAGTCAGGTTTATGAGAGGCAGGTGTTGGCACAGTTGGGTCAGAGTGCGGCGAGTTTGGATCAGGCGCTTGATGAGGAGAAGAGGGGGATGGAGAGTAGGAGGAAGAAGATGGAGGAGTTGGGTGTGGCTGTTTCGGCGAAGTGAGAGATGAAGACGGGCATGGTATTGTCATAGGCATGGTGATACGGTGCGGTTCCCGAACGCACATGGACACGGCAGCACATGCTATCAGCATCAGGATAATCAATACCCGAGCGTAGGTGGTGTGTGACTTGGTTCTTGGCACGACTCATCTTTACCGACAGGTTTTGTGTTTCTCGTCAGGCTCCTGGTCCCCTACCTGCTACTTGGGTTCCCGCAAAGCAAACCTGGAAGCAAGCAACTCAGCACATAGCAGAAGATACATCGACAAGGGAGCGATCGATGGGTCTGGTGTCAGCTGCGCCTGGTTAGACCGTCATGTGCATGCAAGAAGTGAACCGAGCAAACTACCGCGGTGATGGTGGACATTATAAGGACGTCTGACGAACATTACTCGGAACTCGTCAGCACGGCTGTCTCGATCAAGACATGGCAGATATTAAGACAGAAGCCTGGGGGCGAATAGCACTGCACTCCCTGCTTGCACTCTGTCTGGAGTTCTTGAATGCTCGACAGGAGTGCTTCCACGCTTTCAGCATCTTTCTCGGCCGTCGATACGTCCAAGTCATGGTTCAAGACATGATACATCAGCTCATCAACGGCCTCGTCAATGCACCCTTCCCAGGTTCGGCGGCTGCCAACAACATCTTGCCTACGATGTCGGGCATTACAGAGTTTGCTGACTATGGTGGCGTAAGCATGGTACCCTTTGATGGTTCACGTTTAGCACCCACTAACGACAAAATCACCAGATGACCTCACGACCGCAGAAGCCTGTACAGATCACCAGCACAGCCATTGCGATGACCTCTTCTACACTGCCGCCCACACCAATCGCGAACGAAAGGGAAGCGCCGTCATCGATACCAGGCGGGCTGAGTCGGTCATCGGGCTACTTTTCCTTCCCAGATTGGACAGCCTTAGACACCGTATTCCTGATCTATCTCATCTTTGTGCGTCGTGCGCGCTTATCAGGCGGAGGAGAAGAGGAAAGAGGACGCCAAAGCTGAACGAGATGCGACTCCGGCGTCTCAACAGGATGAGCAACATGCTGAGGAGGATCCCGAATGATAAGTGCACTGGCTTCCGTTGGCTTCAATGAGGCATAACGAGGGAATGGCATGTTGTCTTGCAGAAGTCGTTGATGAACGAAGTCAAGAGATGAGCCTTCTTAGTGCGCGATCCCCGCTGTCTTCTCTAATAAGACAATTCCAGACTGTTCATGGTCCTTGTAATGTTATCAAAGCATAGCGATGTGACTCTCGTAAGAGCATAAGTCCTGTTTCGAGCCATTGATGACCCCATGTCAAGGAAATGGATGTTCATGTCATAGCTTGAAGTGAACACAGATAAGAAGAAGCATATCCATCCTCGACGGTGAGCGAAGTTCTATGGCCGTCTCAAAGCTGCCCCGCTTCGACCGATCGCTGCTCATCTGTGTACATCATCTCCGGGTCGTCCAGAGCGGGTTTTGGGCATCAAATCGTCGAGTATATCAGGTCGCAAAAGTCAAGTCCTCCCACGCCACCATGACAGACGGCAACACCGCATCGAATGCTGCACTGGCAAGGTTAGTGCCTCTTCAGAAAGGGGCAAACCAGAGAATGACTTTCTTAATAACAGCATCTTCAAGACTGGTGCTTACTCCGACGTTGTCATCAAATGTGGCTCATACGACGCCAAGGTACACAAGGCGATCATATGTTCTCGCTCCGAAGTCTTCGCTGCGATGATCTCCGGAGATGTATGGAAGGTTCGTCTTGGTCTGTCTTGCGTAAGCCACGCCCTACCTCATTGACACTTTCTCTAGGAGAATCAAGAAGGAATTCTGCGTCTCAAAGCAAGCACTGATGCCGGTGTCGATCCCATGGATGTCAGCATCGATGATCCGGATGCTGTTAAACACATGATTGACCTCCTATACACGCACGACTACGAGACCACCTCAAACGACCGCGAGACCATTTCTGTTCTCGAACCGGAGGCTGAAGTAGACCAAGATACCGTCATGCATGCCAAAGTCTATGCTCTCGGTGGCAAATACGCAATACCCTCTCTGCAGACCAGCGCGCTCACCAAGTTCCGTGGGGCCGTGACCAGTGCGTGGGACAAGCAAGATTTCGCAGAAGCTTTGCGCTGGGCCTTTGACTGGAACGAAAGAAAGTGACAAAGGCCTCCGCGATGTCGCAGTGCAAACTTTGTTGCAGCACCATAATGTGCTGCTCGCGAAGCCCGAGATCGAGGATTGTGTCCGCAAGAGTTCAGGTCTAGCCTTCGATTTGTTCAAAGCCAAAGCGGCCGAGAAGCCTTTGCCGCGAGGTCCAAAAGTCTGCGATACGTGCAGACAAGCAGCAGTCTGCACTTGCACCAGGTGCAGATTGGCTTTTGCGACGTGCTCTTGCGACCCGACAGCGAACTTGTACCGGATCAATGGGAATTTCATCAACCAAGTGACGAACGGCTGGCGCTGCAAGGAATGTCGGGGCTAGAGTATGCCACGGTCATGCTGCGCTATGTTATCGCCATATATCAGACACGCTCAGCAATGTATCCGTCCGGTAACAATCACTTCCAGTGCTGGAAAGGATGCTTTGTCTCTACAGCAGAATGTCAGCCTATCACCAATCCGTTGTCGAAATCGACGTTCATGGTGAAGGGCAAGTACGGGATTTAGGTGCTCTGCGCAGGCACGCTCCGGCTTCCTGATAGCGCGATGATGCTCTGACAACCAAGTGCGGCACCTAGTAGGTGAATACGAACAAGCTCGTACTCTATACATCGCCGGAGTGCTTGGCCACACCACTCGAGTCGGGCGGTATCTGACTCACAAGTACTGTTTATTCCTTGAATATCAAGAGGGCATCATCAGATTGCAAGCCACGACAGACGCCAGATCGATCTCGATGATCCGACGACGGACGTCTTCGATCTGCAAGATTCGCGGTTTGTCTCAACATCATGAGTTTGAAGGTCGCGGACGTACCACTCGACACTGTCCCGGAACCACGTCTACCATGAAAGAAACCAAAAACTACAAGTGAGGTAACAAAGGCTTTAACGTAAGATTGCCTGCCGACGTTACAGCATGTGGCGATTGCAGTACACTTGTAGATGCGAAGGTGTATGCATCTAGTCTGGGGCATGGCATGTCCTTGTTGCGGACGGTAGCTTCGCAGAAGTTCAAGACCATTATCGCGCATGGCCGGGAGTACAAGGAACTCGCAGAAGTGCTCTCATGTGCATCGAACGCGGTGCCTGACCCCGACATGGCCTCCTCCGACATCTGGTTGTCTAGGACCGAGTCTCCCAAAGCGGGTGCGTCTGCTAGGAACGCGTAATGGCCATCGGAGGCGAGCTGGATTTCGTGGTTCGAGGGAACTTGACTATGAGTTACGTGACATACGTCGCTTCTCATGATCAAAGCTGGCCGCATTCTGTGATATGGTCATCGAGCAGACCAATGATGGCGGTTACGGTATGCCTTTTGCCAAGTACAGATGTCGATACATAGAAAGTCGACTCAAGGTGTGTCGAGAAGGGGACTCCTCGGCAGGATATAACCATACACCTCAGTGCGGTGCCTTATGCACGATTTCGGGGGTCTGTAAGTCAAGGGCCGCGCCACATCGGAGGTGGCTGGTGAGATGCTCAAGCACATGCTGCAAAGAGCTTCACTCATTCGCTGGCTGGGCGCCTGAAAAAGCATGGTGCTATGTATCTAGCGTCAAAGACGTCCAAGAGGTTCAAGAGAATAGTCAATAAACGAAGTCCGTGAAGATGCGGTGCTGTTGCGATATGTGGTGAGCTTCGGGAGTTGGCCAAGCCATGGCACGAGGTCGGCCGGTCGTCGTCGGCCATTTCAGAGCTCTCTCCGCTGCTCTGAACCTGTCCCTCACGCACGTGTTTTCGACTTCACACGATCAACCCGCCCAACATCCTACGCCCAGCAGCCAAGGGCATGGCACATCTGGTTAGAAGCAAACAGCCTGTCGACCTCACCTGTGCCTAGCTATTACACCATGAACCTGCTACTTCGAAGGCTTGTAACATCATCCATGAATGCAGGTGACGATCACAGCAAATCGTCAGAATGCACAGGGGACCTGGCTGCCAAATGAGCCGAGCTGTCGAGACTGTTGTCAAGCCATATCAAGCCATGGAATTGTCCAAGACTCAGGGATCGTTGCGGCCAAGCGAGCTGCGCAAACACAAGCTCGCACTACCATCAGTGCCCAGGATTGAGATCTTGCCAGAGCCTTGACTTGCCACAAGGACTGGCGGATGGCGACAAACCTTTCGGTTCATTGTACGGACTAGGTAAGGCAGGCCATCTCAGAGTTTTCAAGTCCACCAGTGTCAGCAGCATAAGTACAATCTGAGTGCCCAATCCTTGGTATCACACAGTACCGCAAACAGTCGCGCACACATCTCTCTTAGCAGACCGCTCTCCTTCAGACTGCCCGTCATGCCTGTCCTCGCTGAATACAACTACGTTTTCGCCATCGGCACCTTCTTTGCCCTGCTCGACGTCTACAACAATGGCGCTGTACGTTCAGCATCATGAGACTCAAGACATGCCCGCCACTGACATCCTACTTAGAACGATGTGGCCAACTCTTGGGCCACCAGTGTCTCTTCAAAGTCCATCTCCTACAGATGGGCCATGGTCCTCGGCACATGCTTCGAGATGTTGGGTGCCTTGACAGTCGGCGCCCGTACCGCCGACACGATCAAAAATAAGATCATCCCGCTCGATGCCTTTCAAGGAAATGCTGGTGTGCAGATGTTGGCTTTCACTTGTGCTCTCGCCGCGGCCTCGTCATGGGTGATGTGGTGTACCCGACACTCTGCCCACGTCTCCTCCACCTACTCACTGATCTCGGCCGTTGCTGGTGTCGGTGTTGCAACTGTCGGTGCCTCGAAGGTACAATGGGGCTGGAACGGCGGACAAGGTCTTGGGGCTATCTTCGCTGGTCTGGGTATGGCTCCGGCCATTGCTGCTGGGTTCGGCGCCACTATCTTCATGCTTATCAAGGTCGTGGTTAGTGATGACCTCGCCTCTGCTGGGCAACGTTCTTCGCTGATCAAATCCACAGGTCCACATGCGCAAGAACCCTGTGCCATGGTCCATCTTCACTGCTCCTTTTTTCTTCTTGATCGCCGGCACAATCTGCACGCTCTCGATCGTCTACAAGGGCAGTCCGAACTTGGGCCTCAACAAGAAGCCACCAGGATATATTGCTGCCGTGACTATGGGAGTGGGAGGCGGTCTTTGCGTCCTCGCTGCCTTGTTCTTCGTGCCATACATTAATGCACGAGTGGCCAAGCGCGACGCCTCCATCAAGTGGTACCACGTCTTTATGGGCCCAGTTCTCTGGAAGCGACCCGCTCCGACCAACGCCGGTGAGGTGTCGACCGTCCCCGATTACACCCACGGCCACGATGTGGACGACACTCGTTCCGCAGAGACCCTTGCTTCCGACAGCGATGATGGCGAGAAGGGCTTTGGCGAGAAGGGCATGATGGCCACCCAGCCACGCACTGTGGTACACGGTCAGCAGAAGACTACCAAGCAACTTCAAGCTGAGGCTCAAGATCGCTTCCACGCCAAGCTCCGTGAAAAGCGCGGCCCTCTTGGCTGGGCTATGCGTACGTTGCATAACACTCCTTTCGGTCCCGGCGAAATCTACGAGACCCACAACATGGCCATCGCTCTTAAGCGTCTCCCAGCTTACGTCTGTGTCGGTGCTCTCTACGGTGTCAACTACGACATCCACGCCGCACAGGCTGGTGTTGCAGGCACTCCAGAAGGTGCCCGTATGGCCCGTGTCTACGCTGCTGCCGAGAAATACCCCAACGAGGTCGAGTACACCTACTCATTCGTCCAGGTTGTTACCGCTTGCACGGCTTCATTCGCTCACGTCGCAAACGATATCGGTAACGCTGCCGGGCCCTGGGCTGCCATCTACGGTGCCTGGATGACTAGTGATGCTGCTCAGGCCAAGGCACCTGTACCAGTCTGGCAATTGGCTGTCCTCGTAATCACTCTGTCCATCGGTCTCATCACTTACGGCTTCAACATCATGAAGGTCATGGGCAACAAGATTACATATCACTCGCCAAGCAGAGGTATGCAGGAATTTACTCAAATATGCCATGACACATCAGCTGACAATGTAACGCAGGTTGCTCCATGGAGCTGGGCGCCGCGATCACCGTCCTGCTCTTCTCGCAGTTCAAGCTTCCAGTCTCGACATCCATGTGCATCACTGGTGCGACTGTTGGTGTCGGTCTCTGCAACGGTACCCTCAAGGCTGTCAACTTCCAGCGTGTGGGCTTGCTCGTCTTCTCTTGGATCATGACTATTCCGATTGCTGGTACTCTTGCTGGTCTGCTCATGGGCATTGTGCTGAACGCTCCTCACTTCGGCTAAATAACGACTTTGTAACTACCGACTATTTGCACTTTGAGCGGTGTTAAGGGTGTTGGAAGTCCGATAGATGCTTGTATAAATCTGATCACTCGCTGAATATCGATCATTATCCTCAGGCTTATGTCGTGGTTGAACTCTCTGCCAGCCAGCTTCTAGAGAGAGTATCGTTATTTTCGACCGGATGCCTTCGACGCTTGATTCGCTATCCTCAGGTTCAATGATAGCTTTCCTTGCGACCCCAGACTTCTCGCATGTAATAGCGGTATGGATTTCTTGCCTCGATGATTGCAGCTTCGCGACACCACCCTGCCAACCTGTCAGTCTTTTGCTGCCCAGATTTAGATGGATCTTAAAGGTGCATGAAAGACGACCTGCAGAACAGTTCACCGGAAGTGACATCCCGCCAAGACATCCACAACCTAAACTCGACTTGCCAGCCAGCCACGTTTCGCACATCTCATCTCCATTGGGCACTCTCCTGAACAAAAACATCTTACCTCCTCCTGACATCTTCCAAGAATTGATGATGGGAGCCGGAGTAGGTGAAAATATTGCTGTCGTCGCCTACCTTCGCCCCAAGGATCCGGTAAGGCCGTCGATCATGGCTTTTGGCTTTTAAGCCTCCAGCGCCCTGGGCTGCAAGCAACCACTTCCTCGCGACAAGGCGTGCCACGTCCGGCGCGCCTGAGATCCTGACTTGATTCGTCGACCGCATCATTGCGTGAGTGTGCTGGCGAATGGCTCCCTAGTAATGGGGCGATTATGCAGCGTGCTGCCAAGGCTGTCGGCTTCGGATGTGATCACGACATCTTATGTGAGTGCGAGGCCACCTCCCAAGACTTTCCTGATGGACAGCCTGGTCGCGCGAGTGATTATATTCCTGCTGCCTTCTTGTCCACTTTGCTATCGCGTCTACGTACCCTGGTGTTTCATTTGTTTGGCTGCTGGTGTTTCATCTTTTCTCTCGCCAGCTATCATGTTCTCACTCATATCACTGCCACCAGCCTTGGCAGTGCTAGCAGCGACTGTACTTCTACCTGGTTTCGCACTCGCCTCACCATTGGATCGCTCCGCTGGGCACGAGTTCTCCTACTTAGGTCGCTTGCTCGCACAGCAGATAATAGTAGTCAACGAACAGCACGTACACAACAGGGCCAAGACTCAGGATAGACCATTTGCGTCGTCTACATCAGAACCCACGGAGCCGACCAAGGCACCATGGCTCGCGATCATTGTCAGCAGGTCGTATGCGACGACCACGATCTCTAATGGCACCATACCCACCGGTCCTACAGCGCCTAATATCATCTGGGAGCGAGGTCTCATGAAACAGGAGGAGCATCATGTCGAATCAAGACGACCTTCGACATCTCCGAGTTCGTCAGCCAGACCGACTGAAACTCCCAAAAGGTGTAGTTCGCCTACGGTAATGACGCGAGATCAGCATTGGCAGCCAATATGGTGAGCATCAAATCGGGTCGTATGCGAGCCATTTCCCACTGACGATTGATAAAGGGGATCATGGAACGAGACCATGCCGGGAATGAACGACGAGCCTGTTCACAAGGCCAAGACGCAGCTTCAACTACCTTTCCCAATGTGCATTGGCGGTCAGTGCTCGCGTTTCATTACAGTGGGCTCAGACGGGTACATCTACCTCGATGCTGTTCGTGGTGAGGTCAAAATGAAAGCTTTTAGTGGACAGGGTCGAGGGCTGTACCTCTATGGTAAGTATTTGCAAGCCGTGGGCGCTGTGGGACTTCTGGCCTTGCTTTCGCCCCCGACTGACCATTATTCTCTTCTAGCAATGAAACGAAACGGCATCTTCTTCGGCATCTCGGGAGTGGTAGGCTCGAGAGAACTCGTGCTCGCTTGGTATGCAGGCACGCTTGCTTTTGAGCATGAGCAGGCGCACTTCACGGCTACATATCATGAGAACGAGCCAGGCCGCATCAGATATAAGTACTACCGCGTTGATCAGACAGGGTCAGGCCCAGAAGCGCAAGCTACTTTGCAGTACCGTAGGTCTGATCGTCAAGTAGTAAAGATAGAGCACCAGAGCTAACGGATTCCTGACAGCGAACCATTACATCGTGCCTTGGTCGAGGGGCAATACTTTCGAAGCAGGCATGGAGATAGATATCGCAACAGGAGATGGTCTCAAGCCGCCAGATGTGCGATTGACCAGGCATGATGTTGAGACGTGTTCATAGCAGGCAGAAGCCGATCGCTTACTTCATACCGCATCGTGTTAAAAACAAAATCGTCGTGTAGTCACAGTCATTGTGCCCTCACTTGCTTCTGAGCACGCTCAACAGGCCGAAGTGCTTGAAATGCGTATCGTAGCACGGCTCTCGTCGAAGTCATGTCTTGGGATATGCCCGCCTCGAGGTTCCTTGTGCCCCGGAACGATCGCGTACGTGCAATCAACTCGTTCACTCATATTTGAAAGTTTTCTAAAATCCACGAAGTCCGGAAGCATTTTTCGGTCGGTGAAGTTGAGACGGAAAGCGAATACTATCTCAGCCGCAGCGAGCTGCCGAAAAGGGCTTCTTTGTCGTCATGCACGGATCTAGCCGGTGTCGGCGAGGCGGAATTGCTTGCCTTCAGCAATCACACCACTTCTCCTGCATACGCGGTTTACCATCGCAGTCAATGTTGTAGCATACAATTTCCTCTTTCAAGACCACGATCGTATTCCGAACGTACTCGCCTCACAAATATTGACCGGCTCGAAAAACGCCACCATCGTAATTCGATCTGATTGTGCGATTATCAGATCTTTAAGTGAGTGCATTCCCACCTGCATCCTCCCATCCCATCCGTCCACCCAAGCCGACCACGGCACGGCATTGCACGACATCATTCCGCACCTACAGTGTACTCTTGTACTCCTGGCATATGTGCTCGCCGATCCTCAACATGCATTTGTCACATTAGCATTCACTTACATACCATGGCCATACAGCTTACAACATCCTACCCCGAGTCTTCTCAACACACCCCATCATTCGAGCGCTTCCTCCTCTCTGTACCACAGTCAGACGAAAAGCAGATATGACAAGTCCTACCAGTCGACGTCATTCAATGTCGCACTTTGGGGTCGAACATCACAGACACAGGAGCATACCTACGTGCGCGACCAGCCATCCAGAAAACCCGATTCCGTCCGAACCTACCGACACACCACTACTCAGCGTGACACCAAGCTTACGGAAGCACTACAAGACCATGGCTTCTCCGAGAACCAGCGGTGAGAGTCTGGCACAATTATCCGACGACACCAGCGATTCGACAGCAGCAAGCACACCATTGACAGAACCATTGGACATGGACGAAGTCACGGACAAGCTGGAGAGTCTACCACCGCCGAGTATGCAAGAGAAGCGCAAGCGAAGAGCCAGCGCGAGCACGACCTTGACCAACACCGAGGACATCAGGAAGCTTCTCGGTGATGGCAAGGGCACGGTCTCGCTCCAGACATACTGCTGTGGCGATGGCTGCTGTATGCTCGAGGCACTACCTGCACCTGCCGGTCAACCTCAGCACGTCTTTATAACTCCGCCAGATAACCAAGCATATCGCTTTATGGATCTCAACCTTGGCTCGCTCACACAGACGACTGAGCTGACGAAGCTGCCCGAGGTGCCAGAGTCGAAGGTCGCTTTCGGTGCTCTACGAAAACAGTCCATATCCGAGAAGTTTCCGGAAGAGGCCAACCACGACCACACACGAGAAGATGTCGACGTCGTACCGCCAGTGTACATGAAACCGCATCCACCATATAGCATTCACAGTGCACCGATTTATGGCGCTAGAGAACTCACGAAGCCTGGCGCGGAGAAGCGGACATTCCACTTCGACCTTGATGTGACAGACTATCCCGAGGAAGGCGGTGTGGATTTCAAGGTTGGAGGCGCTGTTGGGATATGTCCTCCGAATGACCCATACGTGGTGGAGGATATTCTGGATCAGCTTGGCGTACCACGTTTCCAAAGAGATAAGCCCATGCGACTGGTAACACAAGGCGGACGATGGCCTACTATTTGGGGTGATGACGAATCGCGAACACTGGTAACGACGAGACGAGAGGTCCTTACGTGGACGCTAGATATCTCATCAACGCCACCTACCAAGCCACTCTTCCGACTACTGGCCGAGTATGCCGATGCGCCGAACGAAAAGCAGATTCTCCTCTTTCTCTGCAGTGCACAAGGACAAGCGGCGTTCTGTGAGGTCCGCACAGGACCACATCTCACGCTCCAGCAGTTACTACACGCCTTCCCATCATCGAAGCCGCCACTTGAGAAGCTATGCGCGGTCACGAATCAGCTGATGCCACGCTTCTACTCACTATCGAACGACCCTCATGTGTCGTCTGAACGAGAAGGACTGGCCGGCAGACGACTGATCGAGATGGCTGTTACCATCCACGAAACGCCAGCCTACACCGGCACAGCCCGAACAGGCGTTGGCTCCGGCTTCCTTGAACGTCTAGCACAGAAACTCATCAACGCAGAGTCAAAAGCAGAGAACAATCTAGCGGCGGGGGAAGCTGGCCGCCGCCTCAACCTTCAACTGCCCATGTTTCGAGGCCTGATGTCCAATCCACTCTCCCGCCAATTCAACAGCGACGGTCCTATGGTTCTGATCGGCGCGGGCGTCGGTATGGCGCCCTTCCGAGGCTTCATCCTCAACCGTCTCAAGAATGCGAATTGTGCGAACAAGATCTGGCTGATTCAAGGTATTCGGGACAGTATGCTAGATGAGATCTACCGTGGCGAGCTCGGAGCGCACGAGAGCTCGATCAAGAAGGTTGTACAATCTCGCGCCAAACCACCACCGGCATCCGAGGACTCCGAGGGCGTCGATGCAAACGGCGATGACGAACGACGACCTGCTAAAGTCAGCGATGCCAGGACCGAGCAGAAAGTAGCCAAGTACGTCCAAGATGAGGTTCGACTCCAAGCCGACATCGTCTGGTTCGTCGTCAATTCCGTCGACGGCCGAATCTTCGTCTGCGGTTCTACGCAAGGGATGGGCGAAGGTGTGGAGAGTGCACTGATCGACGTTGCTATGGATAAGGGAGGGATGAGTCTGGAGACGGCAACGGAATTCTGGCAGGCGAAGAAGGAGGCTGGGCAGTATATCGCTGAGACTTGGTGATTACGAGCGGGGAAATCTGTGAATGGGCATTTTTGAGCGTGATGTATAGAGTGGATATTTGCGAGCGTTCATGCATTGGGGGCACGATGGGTGCAGGCAACTATGTAGAATGGCGTTTGGCTTGTGTACAGTGAGGCGGTGTTGCAAAGCCCTGGAACTACGTACGGTGCTATCTAATCGACTTACATAAGTCTGATAGACTTGAATTTACGTGCTAGCCACAGGTCCATGGTCATCTCGCAAAGACAGCATAGTGTCTTCGCATCATATAGACGCTGCCCTGGTCTTGGTCCTTCCTGGACATGTTCGCTAGGCTGTGAATGCCTGAATCATTACGACCAACTTGCTGCACGCTTGTGTCTGAGATGCCACACTCGCATCTATGCCACGTATGCGAACATGGTTGGCCTGTGTGTCTCGCAGTGGGACAGACAGGCTGGTGAATGGAGGAAGACGAGATGAGACATGCGCCCTACTAGAAGTGACTACGACATGAGTGGGAGACACATAGGGACAGTCACTTCTATCTATGATGATTATTCCTCTTCCATCATCGACATCACTCTGTTCATCGAGTTTTACCATATCACGATACCCCAGTTACGTCGCAACTTCAAGCACAGAATCCTGCAGACTACCACAGACTCCGACCAGGCCCCGCCCACCCAGGAGGATTTCGACATGGATGTCCCCCCCATTTCTCTCCAGGTAGACCAGACCCAAGACACGATCGAGCGCACTCCTAATCCCATCGCCAACACCAACAATGGGCCGGTTGTGGCTGAGAAGACTAAGAAGCGGCTTGCATGCAGCCTGCTCCAGACTCGTCCACTAGGTACTGTGGTGATTCTAGCCCAGGTCCAGTCAATATCAGTAGATGACCGTGGCTCTGAAACCGGAGGAGATGGTTCGCACGATCCTAAGTTGGAAGAGGACCATGCCACCGTTCGTGCCCGGGAGGAACCCACGTCCCTTGAGGACGGATACGACGGCGACAACATAATCGTTGCTCCCCACCGCCGAACTTATCATCGTCATCATCGCCGGCGCAGCGCCCGCATCCAATCTCGAGCCGCTGTAGCTTTTGGTAAAGAAAGCTCGTCGGACAGCAATAAAGAGAATTGCCCTCCTGCCTCTGCGCCTCGACATATGCGTACGCCACCGCCTTCCTCCGCCATCCAGGGCAAAGAAACAGCTTCGGGTGGTAGGAGGTGTAAGCGTAAGAGGGCTTCTACCGATGTGGACGGGACCCAAACCGGCGACCAGGACAACGACGACGACGACGAGGCCACAGCTATCATCCCGATGAGCAAAAATAGGAATGAGAATGAAGACATCCCCACGATCGAAGCCAACGAACATGAGACCACCGAAAATACAGGCTTCGAACATAAGACAAAGAGGCTCCGCCACTCTTCCAAAATACTAACCCAGGACCTCGCAGCGGAAAAAGCCATGGCCCTCTTCCTGCTCACCTAAACTCGTATCCTCCGATCTCAGCTCAACAAGCAAGAACTCGCCATAGTAGACCAAAGAAAACGTGCTGAGACCGCCGAGGCCAGGGTACTGTGCATGGAAGAAAAGGTGAGGACGAGACAGACATTGGCGGAGAAGGAAGCAGAGAGGAGGACGTGGAAAGCAGTAGTTGGCATGATAGGGATGGGTGTCGTAGCTGGTGGGATAGGGGCGTGGAAGGGGTTTGAGGCTGGGGTTGGGTTGTGAAGGGGTGTGATGAGATGTAGATGTAATCAGATGGTCTGATTTTCGAGAGGGGAAGGTGAGAGGATCGGGCAGATGGGGAGGAAACAGGGTAGGGTCAATGAGACGGAAAGGGAGGGAAACGGAAACGAATCGATGGGGGTTTGGGAGGAAGATGACCATAGCTACCCATTTTTGTGCCGTGTATCATGCAGTCATTCCCGGAGGCTTGGAATCCCAGGCGGGCATAGGACTTTCTTCTTGCAGTTGTGACCTTGAGAGAGATATCAAACATCTATGCAAGATACCACAAAACCTCGCAAAATTCCCTCTACACGTACATTTTCCCCCAAATCTACCACTCATCACCTCCTAAACCCCTGCGCCTTAAGATCCCCCTTCGGCTGGGCCGGCTTACTATACAACCACACCACCACGAACGCCACCCACCCAGCAACCGTAACCCAAATCCCACCGATCCACGGCCACGCCCCGGAAATGACAAAAGACCTCGGCCACTCATCATGCGCGAAATGCCTGACCGTCACCGTCCTTTTCTCCTCGACATTCGTGAGGAAGGGCCGGCGATACTCGACGAAGAAGTTGAAGATGCCGTGTTGATCCGGTAAGGTAAAAGTGCTGGTGAAGATTGTCGCGGTGGGGGTTTGGGATGAAGGGATCAGGTTGAGGCGGTGGAAGGGGGATAACATGCTGAATTCCAGCTGGACGGAGTCGGCTGCGGCCGGGGTAAAGGGAGTCCAGTGTGTGCCTGACCATTCGGATAGAGCGATGGCGTAGTGGACGGAGTTTTTGATGCGGTAGATTGTCGGGTTGAGATCGACGTTCGCTTGTCCCAGGGCGGAGGAGGAGTTGGTGAGAGTGCTCTGGGGACCTTCGTTGAGGTAGTGCGATACACTCTCCACCTTCAACACACCCGCCTCTTTGAACGTCCAAGCACTGACTTTCTCCGCGAAAGCCTTATTTCCCGTTTTCTCGCTCTTCTTGCCTGCGCCGGGTACTTGGACAGCAGCGTCGAACCATTTATCTTCTAGTGCTTCCGCGCTGCCGACGACGGTGAAGCGGGCGCTATTGCGGGCTTGGAAGGCGGAGACGAGGGTGATTTGGTTGCCGGAGGCGAAGACGTCTTCGAGACTGTCGCCGCTGTCGTCTTTGGGGTTGTAGGTGTACGCTGTGCTTGGGGCCTTTAGGATGGAGGAGAGTAGGGGTGAGGCGTTGCCCAGGACTTGTCCTACGGCGTGGGGGAAGGCTACCAGGCTGTCGACGGAGAAATAGTCCTTGATAGCGTTGTTCGCCTGCTTCGGGCTAGGTAGGAGGAGAATATCGTGGTCTTCTGCTGCAGTCTTGGTATCGTAGTTGAAGTGATCAACGACCAAGCTATTCCTGTCCGCCGGTAAAGTAATATCCAGCTCGAGTAGGAGACTGCTGATGGCGCTGGGGATGCCTACTTCGCTGGATAGAGTGAGCAGGACATTGGATCCAGCGTTTACAAAGTCAACGATGAGGTTTGGTGTGAGAGCTGGACCGAGCCCTTTAGCTTTGGTGGGCAGGAGGAGAAGGTGCGAGTAAGCCGGGACGCCATGTTGGAAGAGTGACAGGCCCGTGTCTTTGGGTGAGCGGTAGGTGAGTTGGAAGCCGCGGTCTATAATATCACAACCATACACATTAGCTTGCTTCAATCTTCAATCAATGTGTTCAGACAGTATTTCATTCTTACCACTCAGACTGCTCCAAAACTGTGAGTAGCGACTCTTGTCCGCTTCTTCCTCCAACACCACCAACAATTTATTCCCCTGCGCCGACAATGCCGAGACCAGACCCAGCAGGCCGACCAGCAGGCCTAATACCCGTAGTCTCATCGTGTTATGTGGGTGTATGTGAGGTGAATGGGTGCTTGTCTTGAAGCTACGTTGCTGTATCGAGCGCGAGCTACTGTAGTGCCAAGACTTGAGATTGAGGCTCTGCGGAGGTGGAGCTGCGGAGGCATTACTATTGACGTGAAGTGACGTGAAGTGAAGTGGACAAAGCCAAACAGACAGATACAGTACAACCTTCTGCAACGACATAGCAGCATGGCGCCCGTCTCCTTCTGGACCGCCCCAGGTCAATACATCAATTGGGCTGCACGCGCCAAGCCGGCCATCTTCTGGAGTATTGTGCTGGGGTGTATGGGTCCCGTGTTTGTGGTATGCTGGCGACGACCTCTAGACTTGCGATACAGCATGTATGTAGATGAGGCAGTCATGCTGATATCATGTTACATACAGGCAGTAGTCCCACCCACACGAAAATACTTTGGCGATGGACCGCGACCGCAAATTCCTCTGACTTATCCGAGTGAGTATCCTCCACCTACACGCTAGTAAGAGGGAGACTGGGCCAGATGTGAAGGGACGATGAACAGAACCATGCGAGAACACGAGAGAACATGTGCGTGACGAGGGCAGAGGACATAAGCTGATACGCTATCTCCCACAGTACCACGAGGACCCCGCCAAATACCTTCCGGCTACGATGATTGAGTGGGAAGAAGGAAGGACAGAAGCCGGTATGGGCACAAGGATATGGGATGATAAGGAGTTTTCGGGCGCACAAGGGCTGCCAGCTTATGGTGGGGACGGATTCGAGGTCAGCTGTACATACCACAAGAGCCACAAATCCGCCACAAATCCGCCACAACTCCAAAACATGCCCGACCACTGGAATGTGTGCGAGCACAACCTACAACACTCATGATACTGTGTATACGCTACATTACGCCCCCCCCTCATGCTCAAGGACTGCAGAAGCACAAGATCACTAATCCCCAAAGCTCATGACAGTCAGCAGACCCAGCTCGGCACACTCCACGCTACTAATCACGATACGACTAACAAGCCCGATCGTAGTCACCACGAGCAGATGATGACTAAGTCATATGTCGTGCATGAGGGGAGTCGTGCATGAGGGGAGTCGTGATCATGCCATGTGCAATGCGAGCATGTCATTGCCCGCCCCGGTTTTGAATATGTGATGCAATAGCAACCACCAAGGTAGTATCCATCAAGGTCGAAACATCACCATTTGTTCTTTGTTGAAGCTACCTTGCGAGGGCTAGGAAAGTATCTACTGACAACCCGGCCGACACCAAGTACCTGTCATGGCTGGAATCATGACAACCACAACGATGACAACCACAAACAACACCACCTCCACGAACCGAACGACCAGCCAAACCATCTTGATCTCCACCCTCCCCTCAGAAATCTGGCTCGACATCATCTCCCTCATCCCCTACACACCCCTCCAACTCCTGCACCTCCGTCTCCTATCCCAACGCTTAAACGCCCTAATAACAACCCACGAGAAAAGTCTAATCCGACATCTCCTCCGCCAGCAGAACGAAAACAATAGTAACAGTCTACAAACCAACCTATCACTCTTCCCAGACCTGAAAATCAAAACCTATCCCGACCTCCATCGCCTACACACTCGGACCACGGGTTTTCGGAACCTGCAGAATACCATCACCGAGATCGGCGAGAAGACCGAAGAGTTGGAATGGCTGGCAGGCCGCTACGAACCCCTCCTCCATACCGGCCTCCTCCTCCTCCACCGCCTCCAGGACATCGAACCATTAGCCGAACACCTCAAACACTTACCCTACCTCTCCCTCTCCCCACCCACCTCCACCTCCACCTCCACCTTGCTACCAAACCCAGCCTACTGCGCCAAAATCGCCCTCCTGCAATCCCTGCCCAAGACGAGTCTAGCCTGTCTACTCTTCAGCCTCGTGGCAGCGGTCAAGGTCTTGAGGGCGAAGGGTCCAGAGCCGATAGGTCAGAGTTGGTGCATGAGGGATGCGGAGGAGAGGTCAGAAGTGGAGTTGGCAATGGAGGAGTGTTTGCTTGAGCGTGGGCCGGCTGTGCTGGCTGGCTTGCTTGGGATAGAGGGAGGTGCGGAGTTGGTGTGGGCTAAAAGGTACGGTCCCATCCTCTCTATCCTCGCCTCGCCTCGTATTCGTTTCCCGATCACTTATTCTACATCCGGCTCACCGCTGACTTCGGCCTATTTTTTTTTAGGCTACTAACGGAAGAATACACCTCAATGCCAACCCGACAATCGCCCTTTCCAGATGGGACGTCCAAGCCGAGAACTTTGATTTCGTCGTTGAGGAGGGCGTTGGCGGAGAAGTGCGGGGGTAGGTATTCGGAGGTTGTGACGAGGATGTGGGAGGTTTTGTCTGGGACGGGGTTTGATCGGGTTGGTGAGGAGGATGTGGTGAGGTTGGTGAGGGGGCAGGTGGGGAGTGGGGGAGGGGGTATGAGGAGGATGGGATTCTGAACGATTGAATTAAGCGATGTTCTGGAACGTCGTGATGTACAATATGCCGGACACATGGTCAAGCAGGCGTCACCATCACCCTGTCCACGAAGATGTGATCATTTATGAATGATCCGTGACAAACGTTCCGCACGCATGTACAGTTGTGAAGATAAGCATACAACCGTGAAGATGAGGGACAAAGTCCTTCGACTCTCAATAGCCACACGCATAGCCAACGACATATCAAGAAACTGCTGCCATAGTTGTCGTACAACATGCGTCAATGCACTATAATAAAATCTCCTCCTGAGATCTTATGCAGACAAGCCGGCCGTTATCGTTCTGCTCACAATTATGTCTTTTCGTCGTCATCTTGAAATCCGTAATCGTCCGTAACATCAAGGCCAGTGTCCAAACAGGACGGAGAACCAAACATCCTTATCGTACAATGTGGCCGGCCGCAATATGTTGTACATGCTCACTCGCCACCACTACTGGGGGGCTCAGCCTCCTCCTTCGTACTCTGTCGATGATCGCCATCCTCTTGGACTTCCAAGGATTCATGATCATCCAACGCTTCCGCTTGTGTTGGCGATCTGATGATCTCCACGGCATCTCTGTACGTCAATCCACCTTTCATCAGTATCTGTATTGCACTCGTGGCTCGGCTGTAGTATGACGCTCGTGGAGCCAAGGCATCGGTGATCTGTAACGATGCCAGGTCCTCGAGGACACTGTCTCGCGGTGACCCATGCTCGGACTGTCCAAATGCTACGTTTCGATATTGCATCAACAGAGGCACGATGGATGCAGTGTTGACCTTACCGATCGACTTGACCTTGGTTTTGTGGTCGATCGTGTGTGTCCGGGCATAGTCAATGCGGGACCACTCATCCAGCCTTTCGGTCGGCTTATCGGCATCGACACGGATTGCTATCGGCTGCATCTGTCGACCATTCTCCGTGACATCGAGGGCTACTGGCTGTTGTCTGCCTGTGTAGATCATGCCGTGCTCTTCTACGCGGACACCAGGCTTGCGTACACCCTGCTGACTATAGGTGGTGATAGGTAGTACGCTGCAAATCTTGTTGCCTTCGCGTACGACCACAAATCGACGGGTTGTGCTGTGTACCCATTCGCCGTAGCAGTCTTCGCTCCATGCTAAGCTCATACTTATGCTCTTCCGCTCACTAGCCTCGCTGTATACAGCTTGGAAAACCTGTCCATGTCAGTGATCTATGGCAATGATAGAGATTGGATCGGTTGCACTCTGCCAACGACAAAAAATCTGACCGGGTACTTGCGCCGCTGATACTCTGCATAACGTCAGAGAGAGACTTTATTGGGAACCATGCGACTTGCCAGGATTCAGCGAGCGTCTTCTACTTGAACTTGCCACATTTGACTGATCCATGGGAGGTGTGTGGTGCAGACCAGTCAGCATTGAATGAACGTGCGTGGGCGAAGACTGGTCTGGGCGAGCGATATTCCCATCGCGTTGGAAGCCGTTGCTTCTCCGTCGTGACAACGGATATTGCTGCGTCTCCCCAACTGGTGAGCTACGGTTATTCCATCGGATCTCGTTAGGACTATAAGAGACTTGTGCGTCTCCTGCTACCTGCTGCGGTAGGTAATGTGGCTGCGGTAGGTAATGTGGCTGCTGCGGATATGGCGAGTACGAAGCGTTTGATTGAAACACAGGTTGCTGGTGCAGTGGCCATGCTCGACCTGGGTAGTTATGTGGTTGACCCTCGCTGGTCACGGGCTGTTCGGTTCCGTGACTGTGTTTTGTGATAAGCTCACTGTCCGCGCTGAGTTCAGCCTCATGGGCACTCACGCTTGAAACACAGCGGGTTGGTAAAACCCTTGAGCCCAGAAAGCATCGTCAGATTTGTCTTGAGGTCTCGGAAACATCGTGTCTGCGAAAGTTTGATTGTTGCCAGTGGACCTGTCAAATCGGTCACACACGAGGCGGACCATGCACAGCAGGATTTTTGTGCCCACGCAGGCTTTATCATCTACGAGTCGTCCTAATAGCGAGCGGTAAGGCAACGGTCCTGTAGTTGATTCGCATCCACGGGATGATAGCGCAGGCGACACAGCGAGGCCGCCCTCGCTCTAGACGTGAGCCCGGTCAGGGCCGCTAGACCTCTGAGTAGGGTTGTCAGGTGCAGCGAGCTTCGTATCATCAGCTGATACTGTATTCTATTTGATTGTACGGTATTCGCACGCAGCGTCGGCTTGAAGCATTCGTTCCATGCCTCTTTGCAACACCCGCTTGGCACGATGGGGATGTCATGGCGTTCATGAGGACAGCCGCTGAGGTGCGATGACGGCTCGATGTATTGAGGCTTGCTCGAGTTGTAGAGGTACATTGCAAAGGTACATGTAGGTGGCATCTCACCCGTGCCGCCCCTCTTATCAGCCCGTGCACAGCTCTGCTCTACCTTGCCTCGTGGCGTGCCGTAGCTTCCACGGCCTGCTTGTTGATCTTGCGATCGTCCCAGGTCGACATAGCCCAGCCTTGTTGACACCCAGTTGCCGAACATACTGCGAGTCTTCTAACGGAACAAAACTCGTGGAACGGGTTGCAGATTACCGCCATCTGGGATCAAGCTCTCGACAAGCTGGCGACTGTTCCGCTTGGCTCAGAGGCCCATGTTCGCGCTCATGAACAGCGCAGTCCGAGGACCATGCGATGTCACTAACGGAAGCATCACGACCCGGACTTTCGGATGACTCCCTCACTGCCGTCGAGGACGCCAACATCGATGGCCACGGGAAGGATTCGCTGGAGGGCACCACGAACCATGCTACCGTGGAACCTTCTCAGTACGAGTATAGGACAGACACGGGTAGTCCAAAGCAAATCTTAACTCAAGAAGACGATGCCGTGCGTTTGGAGCCCACGGTGCTACATCCGAGCGGACGTGGAAAGGTGCGATTCGATAATACAAAAGCGTTGCTCGACAATGTGTTGGCCAAGAGATCTGAAGTCACCAATGAGCGTGGCAAACTAAACCAGCGGTACCTAGAGATCTATCATGCAGCACAAGTCCTCTGCGATTACGGTGTCAACTCATGGTCTGCGCCGGCTGACATCGAGCATACTCAGAAGCTGCAAAGCGACTTCAAGGAGCTTGTTGAAGCGATGCAAGCCCAAGAAAAGGTTCGTATGGCTGCCATCGACAGTCTCACTTGGCTCGAAATAGAACTGTTCCAAGAAGAACGTACTTTGTCGAAAGCGTTAGAATTCCTTCCGGAGGCCCAGTACACGTCAGGGGCGAGACAACCCAGCCCGTCCAGGAAGGTCACGAAAGCACCATCGGTAGGCGAGGTTGATCCGCTGCTTCTAGCCTATCAAAACCGTAAAGGCGACGAGAACATTTGGCGTGAACGATTACAAGAACTTCAATACAATCATGGACAGGGTCGGGAACAGCGAGAATTTGTGAAAGACAGGGGCGACTTCCACTTACTCCACATGACGGATGAACAATTCGAAGCACATTTTCAGAGACGACGTGCAACTATTCTCCAGAATCTTGAATCAGCCGAAAAGGATGCGCTCGCAATAGAGAAGCAATGCCGGGCGAAGAGTCTACTGATCGATGGCGACCAGCCGGCCTCCTCCTCGATCGCTGGTGAATCGGTCGAGAGCTCGGCTGCACACGAGCGGCGAAGCTCCAGACACAGATCTCGTCTTCCTTCGGGCTCGATTGATGCATGGTCTCCGGAGCTGGAAGGAGATGTTCGACCATTGGAAGCTGTGACAGATTGGCTAGAAACAATAGATCCTGATGCAGCGGCGAGCATTGCACCTTCCATGTCCGCAGACTCCGAGTCATCGTCGCTTTACGAGGCCCTGGACCCGAAATATGAGGATAAGACGCAGGCCTCACGTCCATTCGGCGACGAGCTCGACGACATAGCGTATCCTGATCATGGGGCTATCGCGATGGGTGGCGAAATAGAGACTGATCGACCACTAAGAATGAAGGCGGAAGAGAGTATTGTCTTGGGAGTGGAAGATTGGACTCTCACTTCACCACAAAGTAATTCTTTGCCGTTGATCCTATCTGTAAGATCCTTTGAGCATGGCTAACCGTACTAGAAGCTCCATCAACTCTGGATACGGAAGAAGTTCCCAATCTGCCGTGGTCCGAGAGTGAAAAGGTCAGGTGTTCGAGTCGTGTGCTCCTTACGAAGCTCACATAAGTTCAGGTTCAATTGGTCGTCGAATTGCTCAAAGCGTCATTTGCTCCTACAACGCTACTCTATGATTTGTTTTCCCGTCTGGGCGTGCAGCCGAACATGGAACTATTGCATCTGCCCAAAGGTCCGTCCATCTATCCGGATGGTCAAATCGTCGTGCTGGACCTTGGCTTTCGCATGGTCTTGCGACTCGTACCTAGCGAGCGAAAAGATTCAATAGTTCGCTCAGGGCTGACATTCTTCTAGGTCGATCAGTGAAGTCTGCCTCAGCACTACTGGACGAACTGAAGTCTGATCGCTCTACGAGATCAAAGTCCCCCCTCTACATCAATGGTCAGGAGTACAACAGTATTCCAATACCTCGCGACAGCTCTGGTAATAGCCTGTCTATGGCGAGCCATGTGAAAGACCCGCGCAACTCGGCGGGAGACAAGAGCACCGAAGTACAAACAGAAGGAGCATCATCAGCAACTAATGGATCTCGGGCTAGCGACTCGATGATGGCCTCTTTCGTCGACTCGACGGTAAATGGAGCTCTGAATACCTCGACAAAGCTTGCATCGGTGCTACATGGTCGGGCAGACCACCCTATGCACTCGTGACTGTGGCTAATGAGATTCCAGTCTTCCAGAGAAAAGAAGAATCATGGTGGATATTGGGCAGGGCAAGTATCATCTATGAAGGTAATGAGATCAGACAGGACTGACCATCGCTCGAAGTTGTTCGAGACGGGGTTAGGTCAGCTGAAAGATACAACCTCATCTGGCGAGCAATCCGATCAGGTCGATAGCGTTGACGGGAGATTCGACTTGAAGATACGCTTATTGCTCATCATCGAAGTACGAAAGCGACATTGTCGTGCTCTGTAATGTACACCACCAGCAAGATTGCTGGCTTCCTGCTGACGAACAAGCAGCCGCGTTGAACTCCGCCGCAAGTATGGCTCAACGGCACCAGAGCGGGACTACTGCGATCTCGTTGCTGAGGGGCGAGAACTTCCCGAAGCTCTGTCCGCTGGTCAAGCCGGTGTATCAACAACTACGACTCGGCCTGTGATACGAATCGATCTTACAGACAAAGGCGAATCGGGTTGGGAAACAGGGGCTAGGCTGAACCTTCGCCGTCTCTACTCTCCGGTTGAAAAACACTTGCGAGTGCGGGACTGTGGGCTTGTCATTCCAGAGGACATAGATCTTCTACTCCGCCTGACTAGGTCCAGCCACTTCAGGGCAAAGAAAAATGTCGAGTAAATCAAATTTAATTACGGAGATAGTAGGTTCCAACCAGCAGTAGATGCAACACTAATAGCTATACACCTCGACTCCTCCCGCACTAGATACGCACGATTGACCAGTAGCCAGCTATCTTCTGACTACGGCCGCACATAGCAGTCGTATAGTGATCTTCCGTACGTAATATGCCACATGGCTGCAGCGACCCCAACAAAGCCAGCACGCTGATAAGAAAGTCCGACTGAAGCACATACCCAAACGCCTGTTCATGAGATGGAAGCGGTATGTAGACAGTGTATTGCATCTGCCATGTATCCCAAATGCTGAGCTGTACCGGCATGGGCTATGCACGATGTAATCCGAAATGAGCTGGTATATCCAGCAATATGGTATGCTGGGGGGCGAGCGACTAGATGCCGAGGACACCATGTACCCTGATGAACCAAGAAACTCGCTCAGGTGCGTCGCGGGCGAGACCTGCCGCTTGTGCCATGGTCAGCACTGGAGGACGAGATCTGCTTGTGTGCTGTGCTAATTGATCCAAATATCTTAAGTAGTCCTGGATGGCTTCGGCAGAGATTGTAGCATTGCTCATGACAAGAGCTCGCAAACTCTCGAATTCGCTACGGGACTGGGTCAGACGACTCCCGTCAGATGAAAGTCGAGGAGGGGCGGTCGTGGTGGATGGCCGTAAAGTTGAAGGCCCAGCGACTACAGCAGCTGGATTCGCTGGGCGTATGGGTCCAGTTCCAGCAGTCCGGCTATCAGTCGCTTGGGCCGACATGCTCGACGTACGGGTACGCTGATCGCGTCTCGTCGACCGGTTCTGCTGAGGGGCAACTGGTGGTGTTCCGCCGGTCTGCATGGCAAAAGAGTTCCATACATTGGCTCGCTGGCTTGCTAACCTCGCAAGGTGTTCAGGATGTACGTGACCATATATGGCCAGACCCCTAAGACTCGTATCAAAGTGAGTAATGTCGAAAAAGTCGAGGCGAGACATGGGGTCTAGTGGGCGGGTTCTATCCCGGTTGACAACAAGTATTGGCTGTCTTTGCATTGGCGCTTCTCGGCTGCCCTGTCGTGGTCTTTCAGCCGGCGAACAATCCGGTGCAGGCGGCCTTAAAGGTTCGGTATAGATCACGGCGTGATGCGACTTGTAAACGTTTGGAGCACTGACACCCATGCCATTGTAGGTCTTGATTGGCCTATCGATAAGTCAGTGGACGTTGCATATTGCAAATGCGCAGGAGCTTACAATGCACTGCACATGCGACCGTTGTGAATATTCGGATCCATCACAACAAATCTCCTGACGCCAGCATGGAGACCTCCCGGAAAAGTGGTTTCCGGACGAAGGGTCAGCATAGAAATTGTTGAGACACTGTCTGGAGGGGCAGGGACTAGTCGTGTCTCGATGACCTATGGTGCAGTCAGTAACAAGTACCATGATGACTTTGACCAGTGCGTGAGCGCCTACATCACCAAGCGAGAACCGCCTGAAGGTTCTTCTCGATCGGATCGGCTCTACACAATTTAGCTCACGTGTTTCAACAGCTGCGGACCAGGCTAGCTTACTTTTGCCTTGTCTGCGACTGTCATCAGATTCATCGGACTCTTGATCGGAAACGTCTGACGCTTCGTTGTCGCTGCCCATGATAGTTTTCGCTCTATATGAATGGTCCCCAAATGTCTGCGTGGGTCCGAACCTCCAATTGGTGTGTACTCCAGCGGTTGTATCCGCTGCGGTGAGCGCGGTGACCCCATTGCCAAGATCGCGTGCTCGAGTAATGCTAGGTACGGCAGCAGTAGGAGCACTCGTTTGCGTCCCGGGAGCTGTCACATCCAGTCGATTCATGAAGGAGGTGATGCCTTCTACAGTACCGGGACTTGATGCGTAAACCCCACGCGATGTAGATGCCGCGCCGCTATTATCACGCTGTATGTCAGCGCAAACTCCATGTCACTAGGTATCTTGCAGTGCGTACCGCGAAGCCTGGGCTGGGCGGCCATCTGCGGGTCTAGCTGGCGCGGCTGGTCTTTGCTGATCAGATGGCAGCGAAGAAGAATACACCACATCACTGCTCCTACTCGGCGTGTTCACAGGCACAGGCCTTGGCTGGGACCTTTTTCTCGTGAGCTGACGAGTATTTGTGGAAATGAGTTGCCGCTACTGACCTTGTGTCCGGCTGGGCGGCGCCCTGAGCAGGCCTAAAATATGCCTGCGCAGTAGCTGGGAGCCTGCTACTGGGCTTACCACTCTCGTATACCTTCCAAAGAGAGCCACCAGACTCTTGGATAGAGTAGACTTCGCGGGTCTGGGGATCGCGGTAAGGTTTGTTAAGCTCGTAGGTCCCGGACATGATCACACAAGCCTCGTGAACCAGGCTGATCTTCCAAGAGTACTGTTGGCCTCCGATTCAAGCGCATTCTGTTATGAGAACCTCCTTCGTCGCAAGTCACGCTGCAAGGCTGGACGCGATACCAGCAGTCGTCAAGTTGGCGATTGAACTGTACGTGCCCCCCGCGCAGCGTCGAGCTTATCCAGGCATCCCTCGAGTACTGCGAGCCCGAACGTGTCGGAAGAAGCAGTGCGCACTTGGCAATACAGAAGTGTTGTAGATGAGTAGACAAAGGAAGCAGAAGTTCCACGAAGATCGGCTATCAGCTATCGTGTTGGCGACATGCCTGCTTCGCTCCAGCGGCAGATCTGGCTCGTGATGCGAGGCTGCATTCGCAGCCACAGTACTAGGTACTTACAATACCTCGCAAGGTGGAGGCCACAATCAGCAAGTGCTGCCGCAGCGTCATGTGAATGCTGCAGCACACTTCTGACCGAGATTGTGGACTGCCGGGCCGTTTAGCGCGGCCAAAACAAACCATGCGATGAGTAAAACACCGAGGCTTCCAAGCTAACTCGCCTCATTGCAAGAAGAGAGTTGAGAGACCCACGTCGACAATGTTGACGGTGAGCGATCGATGCTTCTAATATGTACTTCTAATCTCCTGGACTTCCGGCAGGGCGTTGGATGTCGCGGGCCCTCGGCGGCGTAAAGGTACGTTGGTGATCGGAACTCTCGTTCCAACCGAAGTCCGACGATTATTATTGCAGGTTGGAAGAAGCGCGGTGTTGTCTCACGTTATACATTCATTATCAGAAGGGGCGTCAGGTGGAGAGAGATGTCTAGTTCTACCTCCAGCAGGATTGTTCATAAGCATCTACTGGTCCTTTCGCGAGTATGATGCTCCAGCTTGACACTATTTCCGAGTTGCCTTCAATGTCTGTCCGAGATTCGAGCCGCGGTGCGCATCCACCGCCTTCTGCCTGTCAACCGCTACATAGCATTTGCAGCATCGATCGAGAAGAACTCGAAGCTACCGACTGGCTGATTGTCGACAACGCAGACCAATGTCAACAGTCCGATAGCTCGAACTCCGATCGGTTGGAGACGTCAGTCAGACACGACAATGCGACAACAATATCCGAGCCACCGGGCACCACCGGGACGAGTACTACATTTTGCCGTCCACAAGGCTGCAATGATGTAGCGTCCTGGACAGTACTACGCGCGGCAAGAGCGCGATCGCGTTCCGAGCGAGCTCGGCTGCATGAATGTTATTGTGTTCAGCATCGCAATATTGAGCGATACACCAAGCTCGCCATTGACGCAACCCTGGTCGTAGAGCTTCTGCATGGGCTACGACAACAGATGAGCACTGATAGTGCTATTGTTGAAGAACAGGCGGCTGTTGTTGAGGCTACTGAAGAGGAGGTCTGCAGGCTGGAGGCAGAGCTCTGCGATTACAGGACATTTGAAGTTCCCGAAGCCGTTTCGGGGAGTACTGTAGAGTCAAACAACTGCCGGACGCCGCCACTGGTAGAGTCTTATTTGCGTCGCTGTGGCGATGCATCGATCGCGCGAGAGCGACTCGCCGAGCTGGCCCATGAAGCCAACAACAGCGTTGTTGGCCATGGACGAGGACATTCAATTATGAGCCCACACGAGAGCTACGTCTGGACCGAGTCTACAAGGAGAGAAGAGCTCGAGATGGACCTGCGTTGTGCATTAGGCGACATCGAGGCTTTGGAGGCTGCGTGTGTTGCAAATAACCTGGACCCGGAAACATCAAGATTTCGTTGATACCACAAGCGTATCAGCAACCATAAAATGACAACACAATGTCTCCCCACAAATCATGAAGGTTCTACCATTGAGGCTTGTCATATCCTCGTCCATCTAGTTTTTTCGTACGTACAATCCACGACAAGCTTCGGAACTGCCGGATTTCGACATAGCGTCAGTGTGCAACGACACGACGGCCTGAAAGGAGCGGCTAGCGGAACGTACGTATACCAATGAATGCTGGTGGGTAGAGAATTGTTGCACCAAGCTGGCAAGGTATGCTTGAACATTCAGCCTCGCGAAACAGCATGAAATTGAGACTAACGGAATCGTTACAGATGATTTTGTGCAAAGGTTCGCCGCCCTGTCAAGGTGTCTTCGTGGACACAATTTCCACATCTTGTCGAAGTGAGGCGGCGGGAGTAACGATAGAGCTTCCGAATGACCCGAATAGCGACAAGATCGGCGCAATGAAGCACTTGGCGTCGGTGTCAGAGACAAGACGACTGTGTGGACACCCACGGGATAGCGACCCCAAACCGCTCGACGGACAGATGCTTGGACAATGCTGAAGCATTTCTGGGTCAACGCTGAACTCAGCAATGCTCGATCGACGGCTGACCGTTCATGGTCGGCGTTGGTTGGCTGCCTCAGACCTGTAACCACATCTCCAGCGGGCAACGATGTTCAATAACATGACGCCTACGACGGTGAATGCCGGCACCGAGCTATGGAGTCTGCTTCTGAGGCCTCCGCCGAGCTACGCCGTCACCGTGTGCGACGAGTCACACACCGCCCAGACTACCTTGGTCACCTCTGATCGATTTGGCTGGCAACAACACTTGCTTGAGGTGAATGGGGCCAGGCTGAGTGCAGATTAGCTTCGCAAGACCCTGAAGTATGCCGAGCAAGCCAGTCTCAGCGATCTATCGTCTTATCGACCGCCTCATAGTCGGTGCAGTGGTCTCATATCCCGATTGTTCGAGGCTTGCAACAAGAGACGCATGGCGTTGAGGCGTGCATCAACCCTCTCCTGTATTTGAACAGGTAAGTGGTCAACAGATTTCGAGGCCATGGGTGGGCTAAGCGGCTGACTTAACTTTTCCATGGCCATAGTCCTTTCTGCCGGGGATTGTCGAGCACGCCTTCTTTGGTATTGTAAGAGTCACAATTTGACTCATCTAGTGACTCGCTAGATATATGTCTCAGCTAGTAGCACACTGCTGGTTGGTCTTTGGCTGGCGCTCCTGTGTCCATTTTCTACAGGCTCATGCTTCCTTGAACTCGATTTGTATGCACCGGTGGTAGCGTTCGGGCCACGCTGCATTGGGGGCTGCGTCTGGACAAGCTTGCAGCAGACATTTGTCGTTCGCTCCAAATGAGGCGCGCTCAAGAAATGCTTTGTCGCAAAGATTGCTCGCTCGATTAAACATGATGTGCACTGTATACGTCTGTCAAGTACGATAGATGTTGCTTTTGTAAGGCGAGCTACGCCAAAGGATGATTCCGTAGGACAGAAATGTGATCGTGGCTATGCATTCAAAGGTACAGAGGTACAAGTCAATGCAGACCAGGTCTGGGTTCATGCGGCCTGCGGGTGAAGACAGCGCAGTTTCGTGGAGCCCGTTAGTCCTTGACCTCATCAACTCCGCGGCTCTACCTTGACATGATATTCTCTGTGCCAGGTTTCTTGATCAGGTTCATTGCTGTCAGTGCAAGACGACCTTTTGCCGCCGCCGCCCGTCCTTCTGCCAACTCTGTTGCACTGAAAGCAGACGGGTCGGCGGCCACAGTTCTAGCAAAGCCAGGTATGAAGCACGATCTGGAAGCGTGTGACCGCCAGTACTAGCAAGACTACCAAAGAACAACGCGTCCCAATGATGTCGCTGTTGAAGCTCCGATCTCTCTTACGATGGTTACGGTGGCCGGGGTCAGCAGGCAACCGTGGTGGACGCGTAAGGACTACAAGTTCGGATACGTGTCGTAAGCTGATAATCACTTAACAGCCAGTATCCCCAGAGCTCGAGTCGGGAAATGCTACACAGGATAATGTACATCCGCCGCCATCTACGACCATCCAGGCTTCGCCAGATACACCAGCCCAAGACACTACCGCATTCGACTGGGAGGTAATATCACGTCGTATCTCACCGCCGGACGCTCCTCCGAATGGGCCACTGCCACACGCTGTCGGTATGTTGCCCGATGAGCCTCGTGAGAATGCTGGACACGGCATGAAACAATCACCAGAAATTTCACTTACCGGAGCAACGAGAACAGATCCTGACGGACTCGCTCGCCCTCACGCTCGTGTGAACGCAGAGGAGAGACTCGATACCTCATCACCAGTAGTAGATGCTTCCATTATACATGAGCCTGATGTCTCCCTTGCTACCCATCGTTACATTCGCCTTACAGAAAGGTGTCTGTCATTGCGAGCACAAGCCCAGAACGAGCAAGACGCCCTGAGGCGCATGCACGAATTTCTCATGGAATCGGTCGGCAAGCTTGTGGAACTTGTTTCGTCTCCCGATCACGACGGGACGCGTGGGGATGCGACGACTAAAGCCTGGGCGCAGTACAGAGATGATGTCGCCCTTCTAGAAGCGACGAATGCCCGTCTGGCTGCTCTGCAATCCAAACTGGGTGCTCTGGAATATCGTCTGGTCAACATGAGGAGTGGCTTTGTGCAGGCTTACCACATAGTCCAGAGCCAGCTCCCATCGACGTTATTTGCTGACGATTCGTCCCAAAGCTCAAAGCACCAGTCTGTGCGGAGTACCACTCCAACACTTTTGCGGAAGTACTATGATCGCAGAGGTGATGAGGGTATCTATCATGACCGTCTAATGGAGCTGGACGACTACTACCACGATGGACGTACCACTCGCGAAATGCTGAGAGATCAAGGGCACCAGCTCGATCTAACAGACGAAGAGTTCGACGCTCAATACAAAGAGCAGTATAGTAATATCATGGTACAACTGGAGTCGGCCAAAACGGATGCAGACGAGTTGGCTGTGGAATGTGGTGCTGCAGATATAACGATCCCCAGCGCCACAGCACGACCACCTTCGTTTGCAGCCACCTCTTCCGAGCTCGGTCCCGCTGATACTGATGGGCTCGTGTCCTCCTTTGTTCCAGGTGACTTTCTCAATAGCAGCCCTGGTGGTCAGAGCCTGTCAACCTCGCCGGAAGATCATCCACAAGTTCAGCGTTGGCTGAGCCATATGAGACATCAGTAATTCAGCCATCTTCCGGATAGCAATGTTTGAGTCCGGGAACACAAGACGACATGCGCCAACCCTCTTCACTCCATCACCCTTCACTATACAGCCTGTGTGCAAGACATCGCCGTTAGCGGACAGCGACTAGTCGCCGCGACGGTCAGCTATGCTGCACCAATCCATTGATCCTGACTTCGACTCGTCAACCATGATGGTCTGGACGGCGGAGTCCATGGAACTCATCGTGGTCCTCTGCGCTCAGAGTGTCACTTGGCGGAATGAGCATGTGAGGTCCAAAAGGCGTATGCTTCTCCGTCCCTTGTCTTGATTCAGTAACTTGCTAATGAATCAGGCCGTGCTCCCGAGACGCAGCCTGATCAGCTCTGATAATCTCTGGGAAGCCAAGGGAGTGGAGCGAGGAGCCTCGGATAGAGGAGATGAGACTGAGCCCGGGTCGTGAAATGACTGGCCGTCCCTCAACAGGACCTACAGACGTACCAATATCAAAGGCTCGGCAAGTTTATTCTTCGGGTCATACATGTCATGCTACGGATGGCAGTAGTAAGGAGAATGCGAGGAATATCCTGATGCGCCGGCCCACAGCATAAAGCAGGCTGCCATCCCAAGCTAGTGTTCGTCATACATTCATAAGTGCGTGGCGCACGCCAATCACGCCGTGGCCCCACGCTGCGTATTGTATCAAAAATCGCCTCCGGGGCGTGCCGTATCCTACTGGCCACTGCTAGCGTCCACCTTTTCGCTGAAAGGTTGCACGAAGTCGTACCAGCCAAGCCTCTCGGAGCTGAGGATTTGCAGCCAGCTGTTGCAGCTGTGCCACGGTCGAAGCCGCTAGAGGAATGCCCAAGGCCAGTGCATGGTTCTGTAAGGAAGTCCAGAGATCCCTCATCTGGTCAAGAGTAATTACACCGCTGCCGCTAGAAGCAGAAGCAGCTGGTCCTGTAGCTGACTCTGCACCAGACTGTGCAGCAGCCTCTGGAAGTACCGCAAGCCTTGCGTGAGACATGCGGAACGATTGCTGAATATTGTGATACTGGACTCTCAGTGTGCCAAGAGAGTCTGGGTGAACGTCGCCGTATAGCCGAATGTCAATACGTCTGGCATCGAAGCTCTGGACGTCTGCATAGTGCAATCGAGACATAGTATCAAGGGGCCGCGCCTCATCGTAAGGAGTTACGCGTATCGGCTGAGCTTGCATGCCAGCCTCGAGACGACCATCAGGCAGACGTTGAGGCTGCTCAGTAGATAGACACGATGGCCCCCTCCCGCGTGTGTATATTATTGCGTGGTGAGCTTTGATTGTGCCCTGTAGAGAAACGCCCTGAGACAGATATGTCTTGATCGGACTGATCCGGTCAGCATGGTGGGTGCGACGCAAGAAGATGTGAAGAGTTGGTTGGTCTTACAGTGCATGAAATTGCGTAGAACCGGGTTGCGGTGCTTGTATGATCACGAATCGACGCATACCTGACCCATACGCTGCTGCGGAGACGGTCGTTGCATTCGACGGTGGCGGCTGTCGTGGTATCTCAATGACCTGGACTTGAAATCAGTGGGGTGGGCTTAGATACGGAAAAACTGAACCCACTCTGCCAAACCTATACGTTGCATGCCAGCTTTGGTTTCTGCTTTTAGCTGCTACACCATGCTTAGCGTGGTTGACGGATGATGAATAGACGACCTTACGAGCTGGGTCCACCGTGCTTCCTTCACCGTCGCCGTCATCCTCATCGCCATCGTCATCGTCATCGTCGTAATCTTCTTCGTTGTCGTCGTCCTCTTCATCATTGCGGTCGTTGTCGTCTACTGTTGCCTGTTCGTTGTGGCTGGTACGAGTTTCATACCTCGTACCGCGAGTCTGCTCGCCAGGAGCACCAGTCCTGTTTCTGCCGGCATCATCGATCTCCTCGTCAGACGCGTCTTCTTCGTCATCACTGTCACTTTCATCATTCACATCCAGCTGCTCGAGCTGTCTGGTCACGGCATTGGCACCAGTAGCGCCGGCTGGTGGAGCTTGTCCCAACCTATTGGCTTCAGTGAGCAAGCTTGAATCTCTCCTAAAGCTGGAGACATTGTCGTACCTGCGTAAATGATCATGGATTGTTGCACGGACTGCAGGCGTGACTCTTGTTCGGTCTTGGCAGACCCAATCCCCTTGGCTTGGTGACCAGGCGACTCTGTGTGGTACGCCTGGAATCGTACGCCACGGAGTAGAAGACGCCATTGCCTGATGCGTATGCGGTACCAGCAGAATTGCTAAATCACATGTCTCGCTTTGCGGTCACGAATTGACCGCGGTCTGCTAGCCCGAGGGCTGGTCGGGTGCGACTCCAAAGCCGTCCGGTCTGATCCTGAGGCGCGAACACAGGCCAGCGGTGCGCAGTACGGCGACGATGACGCCGTGAACGTATGTCACACATGAAAGGACCATCGTGGCCGTGAACATCGAGGTCGCCGGCTAAAACCGCCTTCACATGTGACTGTTCAAAGTACGACCTGATGTGCTGGCAAGACCAATCTCGGCCTTATTTTGCCCCTCGGTTCTGACTGCTGCATCTCTAGCGCCGAACTCATGGTACAAGTTGTTTGTCGGAGGCCCGCGTGTCTTTGTTCTGGTCAAACCTTTGACATACTGTGCTCATCACACAAATCTCACGCCCTACTTCGCCCTGTTTCGCGGAGGCGGCGCCTCCTCGCCGCCAGCATCGATAAGGTAGTGATGGCCCAACAATCGTACCACCGACGGCTGCTGCAAATTGCGACGGGGCACCGGCCGTCGCTTGATCGATGGTTTCCGACCTCCAGCCACAACGCCACGCAATATTTGACAATGGCACCCCACCCCTGTCCCGAGAGGAATTCGTCCTGCGAAGGAGCTCGCTTGGAGACCTCCCACGACACCGTCACAAGCTGTCTACTATATGCGGACCATTGACTGCAAGGTCTCCAGCGGCATGGACGCATGGCTTCTGGTCGACAGTGCCAGCGGCAACGCCATTGAGGGGGATAAAGATGTCTTCGTGGAAGATTCAGCTCCCGGCGCACTACGAGCGGAGGAGGCGGACGACTACGTGTGTCTATGCACTGCTCACATGGACTGGACATGCCTCACTGACACAATGCTACCTAGGCCCGGAATGCTATGCGCGGGGTCGATCAGCGGGTCGAACGCGACAAGGTCAAGCTGGCGAAAGCTGGCGACGCGGTGCTGAGCAGTCTGGCAAATTTGGAAAGCTTCGCAGAGCCTCCCCACAGCCGAAGTCAACAGGAGTTGCTACGTCGAACGTGGCTGCGAGCACTGGACTATCTGGAGAGCATCGGCACCAAGATTGAGAGTGCACCACATGGATATCACAAGGCCGCACGCGCTGAGAGTCCGCTGCTCGTACGATCTGACGCACCTATGCCCGTCATGCTGCAGCGCAAATTCCATGGCGGCGCTTTCGACACCACGACGAAGCAAGACGATGCAACACTGTTGGCTGAATATATCATGCGAGCTGGTGACGCCTCAATAGCACAAGAACGACTCGACGAGTGGGATCAGGAAGCCTTATTCCCAGCGTCCACTCATCGTCGAGCGTCATTGGTCCAAGACTTGATGGAAGCGTCATATGATGCAGATATACTTGCTGCCCAGTGTACAGCGCGAGGCCTTGACCCCATGACAGCACGTATCCGAAGAATGTCGATCACCTGAGCTGCTTGGCATTGGAAAATGTATCTGTCGCGTTGTAACGCAATTCGAGGAGGCAAGAATTGATACTTCGTGGATTCAGACGAAGAAGCCGGGGTGAAGATGCATAGGTGCGAACTGAGGGCGTGTGTAGAGGACGCATGATTGAAGTGCGATGGCAGATGTGCACGAGCGACTTGGCAGGGTGAACACAGGAAATGGGCCTTCTGCGATATATGAGAGCAGCATTGTAGGGGTTAGTGATATTTGTGCGAGCTCTGGGCTGGCAATCTGATACCAAACGAGTATAAGGTACAAGTGTATGGTAGGAGTTGAAACGTAAAATGTAGTCGGTATAGAGCAGGAGCTAAAGTAGACCAGCCGCATGCTCCACATCGTGGTATGCTTAATAAGTTTTCATACAAATCCACATGGGGCAAGCGAATTATGGGCCCACAGACATCTTACAAATATCCTTCGCCCTCAATGTCTTCGTCCACCCTGCGGGCAGTTGAAGGGAGATGCGATGATCCATCGTTCTATGTCTACCATGTCGCCGTCCACTTCTTTGCAGACTGCAAGGTCACATTTTCTACCATCTCCAAGGACGGACCTATATTGTGCTTATAGGTCGTGTCAGTAAGTGAAAGGGTCACTCGAGCATCCAGCCACTCCGATGTATTGGCTGCCAGGTCGTGCAAGACATCATCCGTGGTGCGCCACACGTAGACTCAAGCCTTAACGTCCGAATCGACCATTTCATTTCTTCTTGAGCATCTCGAAATATGTCCCTCGATCATGTTGGAATACTAGCCGCTGCTATGGTCATCGGAGCAAGTAGCCATACGCTTTGGAACTCCGTAATCAGGGCCGCCACAGAATCGGGGTGGACACAGCCGAAGGCAGCGACTTTGAGGTTGTGGTGCACCGTGTGCACTTTGGCAAAGTCGATGCGAGACATCGAGTCAAGACGGTCCTCTTGTCTATCAGGCACGACTCGGATCGACTGAGCTCTCATCCCTCTTTCACCTCGAGTGGCCAGCTCCGCGCGTTGTGGTGATGGTGGTGTACGGCCAGTATATATAAGACCATGTTCCGCCTTGGTGACTCCAGGCTTTGCCACACCTTGACCCCCATAACTGACGATGGGCAACGCACTACAGTAATCCTGGCCTTGTCTGATGATGACAAACTTTCGCACTTTCGAGAAGATGCTCTCGCCAAATCGATTGGCAGACAGACCCGGATCTGAACGGTCGTTCTGGACAAGCGTGTTGATTGTAGTGGTGTCACTGGCAGGTTCTGACCAGCAGACAGAGAACACCCGACCGACCGTGAAGAATTGACGCTGTCTGCGTTTGAATGTCGAAAACAGTCTTTCTTCGCCTTCCGGAGTAGGGTATAAGGCTCTTCGAGCTGTAACACCGGCCCTAAACAACTCTGGATCGGTAATCTTCTCTTTTGGTCCCGTAGCCGTGACCACAGCCACGCCTGTACGTGGATCTGTCGCGCTTTCCAGGTTGACTTGTAGGTCAGTGAATGGCTCGGGGACAGCGGTAGCAGGCGTGGCTCTCGTAGTCGTCGACCAAAGTGGATCAATGTTCGAGGCCTCACGCACTAGCGCGGGCTGAGAAGGGATCGCTCCACTATTGTGGGCAAACGTGTTGTGCAGCAGGTGGCCATGCTCGTCAACCCAGGAGCGTCCGGGGTAATAATCGTCATACGGTGTAGACAAGATTGGACTCCTCAGGTGCGAATGGTGTTGCGGGACCGGGCCAAGCTCGCTGATCGCTGGACTTCTTCGGTACTCTGGTGGTAACCTTGGGTCGTCCTCATAGATGCGAGTATTAATGCTATCAACCAGGTAGTACAAGCGGTGGTGGTGATCAAACAGCCATTGTGCTCTGCTGAACATACTGTTCGACTGGTCGAACTACCCGACATCGACACTACCCGACATCGACACTGACGATAGACAGGACCCGAGGATCATTTCATATCATGTCGGTCAGTGATCGTTCTTGACCAAGGCGACTGCAACTGTGATTGGCGGGACGAGCTGCAGCTATACCTGACAACGCACGGCGGCCCAAGGGCAAGCTGTCTGGCCCCGTGACTACGCTCTGAAGACGACTGTGGATCTGACAAGTTGTGGCTACAGTACCGGGCGCCGGTCTGACCGATCCACATGAGGGTGTTGTGCCTCTTGTTCAGCAAGTCACTACGCCCATCTTCTCAACCACACGGGCTTGTGCCTCATTTTCATTGCACTTGCTGTGCTGAAGCCAGGATGTCAAGTTCACCAACAGCTGGCATAGCACAGATTTGAGCAGGACTAGCGGACGTAGCCCACGCAACGTTCCAATAAGCTTCAACCTGGCATCGACACTTCTACAACACCATATTATAGCTCTTTGCTCGGTCTCCAGCTTGATATCGTGGAGGAATCGATAGGTTCTCGAATACTCACAGCTCTGAATTATGCAACTCTGAGGACCCCGCGCTTCCGGTGAGAGACTGTGACGAATGGCATTGGGGGTGAGTGCTCTTAGCCACTAGCAGTATGCGATGATCGTAGGAAGTGACAATTCCCAGAGGATCGGCCACGGGCGTGGTAATCAGCCATATTGCATTGAGCTCGATGCGTGACCTCACCAAGCGGTCAAGACATGCGACCTCGACGGCGTAGCTTGATAGCGACACGAGCAAGAGAACGGGCTACCACATACATAGCCACTGATCACGACTGGGAGAGAAGAATTGCTCTCTACAGAATCAAACCTCCGACGCACCAAAAGTTCAATATGATGTGGCCGTGGTATCGTTAGCATGCCTATGAGATCACGAGCAAGCCTTGAGTGATGCAGCGTTGGCCGCTCGATCTACCAGACCATACGACCTGGTCCCCAATTACAGTACGTATAACGGATCATCCTCGTCATCATATAAGAAGGCTGAATATCGATTGGATTTGTCGCAAGTCCACAAATGCCGGAGATCTGGCGCAAAGAGCGTCCCTGATCCATCATTCCGACCTCAAACATGTGAATTGCCACACCAAATCGGACCGATGAACCAGTGGCTTTGTTTTCGCCTGCGCAGGCAACAAGGTCTTCGAACGGCGTTGGCCTCACTATCTGAACCATATTTGTCGGCGATCTCGAGTACATCGGATGCTGCGTTTCAAAGTTCTGGAGCAAGCGTTGAGCTTTGTGGCTGCCGAATAAATCGAGGGACGGGTTGCTCGCCGTCGTACTCGAAAGGGTGAATGATCGTTGTAGATTGTCGGCAGCAAGCGTTAATAAGCGCCGTACATCTCTCCAATTGAGTAATCGTCCTTCGTCTTACGTTTCATTCGGGATCGTTGTCATTGTCATCGTTATCATCATCGTGCTCATCCTCCGAGGCCTCTGCCTCGTGCTCGGCCCCGTCGTCTGCATCGTCACTTTCGTCATCATCACCTCTTTCATCCCCATCTTCTGCCTCGCTGACGTCATCTTCATCACCCGCCCCTGCCTCATTCACTCGGACAGTACGCGCAGCAGCTGGATCATTCCTTTGTCGTAGCACATTACCTTGGCTGTAAGTCTGGCTCTCTTGGGTCGCTCGACGAGCCTGCTGCAATCGGTCCAGAAGGAATGTTTTCGCACTCTCTGCAGAGTACCGGGGTTGAGCTTTGACAAAGCGCTGGACAAGAATTTGGAGCGCCTCAGCTGGCGTTTGGCCCTGGCGTCGCAGAGTTTCAAAAGAGGTCAGAACACCTTGCGCTTGGGAAATCTGCAAGCTTGTAGGGACGGCTGTTGTTCTAGTATTGGCAGCAGCAGGGCTTGTGGGGGGCGAGGAGTAGGTCCGCCTAGGTTTTGACTCATCATCTGAATCGCCCTCGTCAGGCTGCGAGTCGTCATCATCGTCCTCCCCTTCCCCAGCATCGGCTTCTTCATGAACATGATTAGACGACGGACCAGCCGTTGGGGGTGGGGCAGCTTGCAATGCCCAGACCCGTTGAAATTGCTGCATTAGAGCTCTTATTGAGTTATCGTGAATCATACCGAGTTGCCGGACCTTGATATTATGTTGAATAGTATGAATCTTTCCGAAGTCCAAACGCGAAGCTGGATCGAGTTTGTCGACTGGGTTATCGGGCACCACGCGAATTGCAACCGGTTGCATGCCTTGCTCACCGCGTTGAGGCGCTTCGCTCTCCATTGGTCTAGGAGGAGTCTGGCCGGTATAGATGATAGCATGATCGGCCTTCTTTACTCCACTTCTCTTTGCAACACCCTTGTTGCCGTATGTGGCTATCGGCAAGGCGCTGCAATAATCTTTGCCAGCTCGAATAACGACGAATCTCCTCACCTTCGAATAGACCCGTTCGCCGAAGTTCCCCGTGGACATGCCACGGTCATTTTGCTCGCGTTTAGTAATCAGAGTCTTTGACTCACCGGCTGGCTCAGCCCACAGAACCAGAAATACACGGCCAACCTTGAAGAACCGATCCGGCGATTCGCGAAGTTTGAAAGTAGAATATAATCGTTCCTCCGTCTCGCCTGGATTGCCAATCAACATGCGGTGGGCATAGATGCCACGCCCGAGCAATGCTGGATCCGTGATACGCTCTACTGGCTCGGTGGCGACGGTGGACGTCACTTTCGTCGCAGGATTATAAGAGTATGTACCCCGCAGCCCGTTACGATTGAAGGGACGTGCCTGGAAAGGCGGTGTTTGTGCTATTGCCTGCACTGTCTGATGTCCTTGAATAGCCATTGCCGCGAGTTGGCTTGTGTTATTGTCTACCTGGTCATCATGTGAGTGTCCTTGGGCCCAAGGGTTGGTAGATCCTGCATTGTCCCAGGTATATCTATGATCCTGTGTAGGAGAATTCGCATGCTCTGCAGGCCTTGTAAAGGCTTGGGCTATGGCCTCGAGTAACGGCTCACGTGGAACGTTTCCAGGACGGGGGTTGCTGCTTCCGTCCTGATATATAAAATGATCTGTTTGGCCATCGTATCCATACCACTGCTGTCGAAACTCATTCCAATATATAAGATAATTGTGCCTCTGCCTGCTTTGATCCCAGACCCAGCCGGGGGCAGCATTCGGTCGTGACGCCATCTGAGCCCTGTCCGAAAGGCTGGCCGGTGCGCGGAAGGAGCTGCAAGTCTTTAAAGAGCGTCAGGCATTGTACGGCTTCGCCGCTCAGACGGTCGCGATGAAGTCCCATGTGGACTTCAGGAATGCGATGCATATAACAGAGACATCAGCCCAAGCTAATGTAGATGGACGGCTAGGACTATGGTAGGGGTGGAGAACTTCGGAACGAGGTACAGTAGAAAGTGCAAGGACTATGGCACCGACGTCGACTTTTGGCTGCTGAGCCAACCATCACCTGCGAGTGCTAGGCTACATTCAGCTAGCAATAGCTTTAGCTCTACCCGCGCTCGACTGCACAATAAGAGCACAGGTAGAAATGTGGCACCGGGATGTTTGAGCTTTGTTGTCAATTATTTCGGACGCAGACGAGCAGAGTATAAGCAAGGAGATGTAGGAGATTCGACTTTGAGGCGAGGTCAACAACATCTAAGGCCTCGTGCCTATAACGGTCGAATGCAAGGCCAGGTTCACGACTAAGAACAAATCATGCCGATCCAGCGTTGACATTGCACAGAGCGGCCCTCGTCGATCTGCTCCAGTTCCATGGACCGTCGCGAGGACCTTCCTGGCCAAGACACTCTCCCTGAAGCGGGCTTGCAGCAGGTTGTGCTGTTGGGTGGTCTCTCACCAGTAAATACGCCTGAGAGCTGGCGCTTTCTGGAGGTGCCCAGTGAAGCGCGCCCTGGGTTGACGGAGCAGGCAAATCATGACCCGACAAAGCCGCTCACTGCTCGGACTTCGCGAAAGCGCAAAGTTGGTCGTCAGAAGAAGAGCATCGAGACGAAACCATTCGAACCAACTGCCAATGAAGCCGCTTGGAAAGAAGCTGCTGAAGATGTCATCGATCGCTTTGACAGACTCAGAACACTACGAAATGAAGCTCTCGACCTACGCGACCAAGCGTCTTATAATGCGCAGCAAGTGGAGCAACAGCGTCGTCTTCTGCAAGTGTCGCAGCAGCAGCTCATGGACGACTTTGTCGAGGCCATGAGTGAAGTCCAGCTTTTGCCGAGATTGGCCAAGATACAGCTCAGCTTCCAGGCCGTGCTCGACGACTCTCGGTCACTCAGCGAGCACTCAGCGACTTTGCAAGCCACGCAGGATGAAGTTACTGGACTTATGTCGAGATTGGACACAGAAGATCCCAGCCTCAGGGATGCTGTCAACGGGCTTCGTCGTGTTGTGATAGGAGAACAAATCCCTGACACGATACAGTCTACACTCATGGTCGACCAGGCCTCTGGAGCGAATCGTGTCGATGAAGTCCATCCCGTCCCTGATCCACTTCTGACCTGGTTCCAGGACTGTCTCGGGGAAGTTCAGATCATGCGTGAGCGACGTGGACGGCTGGTGTGGGACCATACAGAGAGCGTCGTGCACCGGAACTTCCAATCTGATCATGAGCACCCGGTCGAGCCTCCGGACGATGTCTTCGAAGAGGAGTACCGGTCGTCATTAGAACAAACGGAAAACGATATAGACAAGGCCATGCGTGGTCTGGATCAAGCACGTGAGACTTGCAACCAGAACGGTATATCAACGGAGAAGCATGAGCTTGCAGCAGAGTCGTGGTTTGCGGAGATGTTACGAACACCGACTGAGGTTCAGATCACGGAATCTTTGATGGACTTATCTGAGCTGGATCTGGAAGATAAGGAAGAGATCCTGACCCCTGAGATGGCAAGACTCGCGACCATCGATCCCGTAAGCCAAATAGCTTCGACTCTTGCAGCGCGCTCAAGCTCGCTTGTTGTTGGAAAGGAAACATCTGCTCAACGCACTCAACGTAAAGACAACGCCAAATTGAGGATCAATGACTGGATAGATTTATCTGTCGACCAGGCTGCTCCTACCGCGCAGGAGCGCACTGCTGATTTCCTTGCACGAGTGGCAGCGGTACAGCCATCCATCTTGTCCACACGATCTTCACCCACCTTGGTACCCGCAGGCGGGACCTTGAACTCCGACTTCCTTCTCGATCGAGCTCACAGTGAACCGCAGATCACTCGTGCAGGCTCGACTAGTACTCTGAGACGACATTTCTCCGAATCGCACTTGTCCGCTATGACTGAACTCTTCCTCACTCGCCAAGAGGCCGTAGACGAGCTTAGGGCAGCAAATCTTCCCTGAATCGTGGTCTTGGCTTGTTCTTACAGTATTGCGTATGTATACTAGTTCTACGACCAGCGATATAACATCTAGCGATGGCTTTGGAAGAGTCTAGTCTGGGCAGTCTGTGAGTTTCGAATGTAAGTTTACTTTAAAGCAGTACGTAAGATGTAGCATTAGGAACAACGATTTACAGAGGCTTCAAAAGCAGCTCTTTAGCCTTGCGCAACAGGAGCACTGGACGTTAAGCTCGAACCCCATGGCCAACACTCCGGGGCCTTTGGGGGATCTAGACGCTGTCTGACGTGTTCTACGGGACTTCTCGCGGTGAGTTGAGCCGATGTCATCCACCAACACCATAGCCTCATCCTTCAGGAGATGTCCTTCCTGGTTCAAGGTTCCTGGTTAAATCTCCAAGTCCATGAGCATCACGAAACGCACGACGTGGCACCTCGAGGCGCGCCTCAAATGTGCAAGCCCAGCAGGTCTTCGTCGCGCTTCTAACGAACAGAGCTACATCTTGTCTGACACGTACGCTGATGGCGGCGGGCACAGCATGCTTCCCTGGGCCACGTTCTGCAAGCTGCGGGACTACAACGCAACTTCCTGGCCAACCTTGCCCTGCCATTGTAACTTTCTTCTCATTGGGACGATTTGTGTTTGTGAAGCCATGACTCTGACCCCACGCATCTCGGATCTCCATCTATACCAAGCACAGTAATATGATCATGACTCCGCCACCTCATCTCCCTTGAGCCGCAATCAAGGCAACCGCATCCCGTGCACCACAAGTAAAACGGCTCGATGCAGCCCTCCCGTCACGCCCGAGGACTCGGAACGCTTGCCTGGTCGACGTTACGCCACGTCGCCTTCTTTGCCGAAACTGCCGCTACTGTGCGGCTCTACGACGATACGACCCATCATCTGACACAGATAACCAGTCATACATACCAGCTTATCTTATGCACGATGTACAGATCTCCAATCTCATTGGCTACCTCCAGCGCGAGCTGGCCATATGAGCACTAAATAGACGCGTGCTACATAGTGACCTTCACATGCACAGAAATACAGACAAGGCTGCCCAGTCACAGAAGGGAGCAGGAGTCGTTTGGAAGATATTGAAGGTCAGAAGTCGTGAACTCAGGCGAAAGCCTTCGATCTATTTGACATCCCTTCTGTGCCTTCCCTGCATCGCCCACATGTTTCTCCGCTCAAAGTCTATCTGGCGGATCTGACTCGGCATGCAAAGAAGACTTCAAGACTACGGCCCGTGGGCGGACGGAGGAGAGGAAAGGCCCGACATGCACATTTCGACTACAAAGCCAACTTTGCGGACCATCATGGTGGTGGTCGGGAGATGTGAGAGTGCCTGAGGTGTGGGAGGTCTGTGGGTGTGGTGAGCTTATCTTGACTGCAGAGTTGGCATACAATATTGGCAGATGGAGTGGTCGGGTGATCCGGTACGGACCATTTTGAAGCGCTTCATGGTATTCTTCAAGTCGTGCCCGTTAAACGATCGATTTACGGGTTACAGAGTATCAGTGGTAGACAGTGACGCGAGAGCGCCCGGGCTGGTGATCAATGGAGACTCGATATGCACTCGATCGCCTCATATCACCGAGCTGCGATTCGACTTTTCTCGTTCCCGGTCTTCAGGCTCGATGTCCTCACCTCACCACACTGATCATGACGCAGCCTCTCGTCTCATCAAAAGGTAGAGTAGGCATGCCAAAGTACATGACTATCTATCAAGCTCTCCATCGTCCGACGCTTACTACAAGCATCACCTCGACCTACCGCTCAGCCAGAATACTCCTATAGTCGATATGGCAGAGCTCCTACACCATGCGAGCTCAGTAGCGAGTGAACAGTTCCATGCCCCTAAGGCTATCGCCACTGCAAATACAACAGATCGTCGCACAGGGCGCTCATGCCTTTCCAGCTCCCGTATGAACTGACCTCCCAGCCAAGAGAGGCAGTGAGTATCAGGGACTCCTGTCGAGCACCGGAGTATCCTCCATGCCATCGTGCTCCGCCCTCTTCTTCACAGCATTGTACCCGTCAAGCCCATGATTGAACACGACAGCTCGAGACCCACATTCGCTCACATGACCATCATCATCATCGCCAACCTCCTCCTCCTCCTCCTCCTCCTCCTCCTCCATATCATCATCAGGAACGCCATGCAATATTCCAGCACCACAGCCTGTGACAGCGTACCAACCGAGCAAGCGATATCATTCAGGAGTGTGATCAATCAAGTCCTGGTCATCACTGCCCAAGCAACAGCGTGGCGACGATACCAACAAGCCTTCCCAAAAGTAGCCCAGAGTAAGATAAACCACGATCGTGCTCCCCGATCGCACGAAGCCAGTAACACGACTTTGGAAGAGGGAGAAAGCAAACCACCATGATGCCAACATTGCTCAAACCAGTCGACCAGAAGCAAGAATCTCTCACAACAAGTGAACATACCTCAGCCAACGACACCGCTCTGATCTGACAATCCCATCATCCGCTAAGCTCGGTGGAATTCCATGATCCGTAGATCCCCGTACTCGCTGGATAATCACCGGAAGGATCCGACTTCGGTCCGTGGAAGAGCTGTCTGACACGTGCGTGGAAGAGCTGTCTGACACGTGCGTGGCGCTTGTGTACGACTTATCAAACCCGAGCTGCGGAATCTCGGCACAGCCTTTTTCACAACTCATACACCACCCATGCACAACCCATACACACACTCTTACTTCTTCCCCCTGCCCCTGGCATTAAGACTCTTAAGCGCATCCAATCCTTTCCCCTTCCCCAACCTCCCCTTCCCCCTCCCCTTATTAAAAGCCCTGCGCTTCCTCAACCCGTTCTCCTTCTCCTTCCTCAACCCCACCCAACCCACATCCTTCTTCACACCCACCTGCCCACCCGCAGGAAGCAAATAATCCGGCACATGCCTCAAATGCATCTGCTGCCTGACCGCATGGGACTCAGTATCATGTCTCAAATGCCTCAGATCCTCCGGATTCTCCTCGAAATACCGACTCAGTTTCGCCGAGTTCACGATAGCGTTCTTGAGCTCTTTAGTACGGGCTTCGCGGACTGCGATCCTCGTGACACCCCTCAGCGCATCATTAAACCGATACCGAAATCCCTCCAACTTCGCCATATCAAACGCCCATTCCTCCAACCTCGCCCCCTTTTTTTCTTGCTCCGCTTGAATAGAATCCAGCACATCTTCATCCTTCTCACACTGCTCAATAGAAGTAGATTTATGCTTTCGGTATTGCTCCTTGGGAATATAAAAGGAGAGGGACATCCCCGTCTGGCCGGCGCGGGCGGTGCGGCCGATACGGTGGGTGTAGGATTTACTTGTCGTTGGTAGGTCGAAGTTGAGGACGCAGGAGACGTGGCGGAAATCGATGCCGCGGGAGAGGGAGGACTCGGGATCTGCTTGAGGCTGGCGGCGGGGTTTGCGGTCGTTCTTTTTAGATGGCTTGGTAGATGATGGGGTTGCTTCCTCGGGCTCGGCGTCATCGTCCTCGGCGTCATCCACCACAGCTTCTTGCTCCACTTCTTCCACCACCTCCTCATCTTCCTTCTCCTGCTCCTTCTCCGCGGCAACCTTCCGCCGCTTCCGCCTCGCCGTACTCTTACTCTCCCCTACCACTTCAGCCTCGTCCGCCGCGATGATGATGTCGTACACGCCTTTGTTGAACTCTTCCACCGCATGAAAGCGCGAGTTGATAGGTAGCTCACTATTTAATACACAACTCCTAATCCCGAACTGCTCCAGGAACAGTTTAACCCGATAACACCGATCCACGTCCGCGACAAAGATAATGACTTTTCCTTTAATAAGCTGCAGCTTGAATATGGCGTAGATGAGGAGAAATTTGTCTTGTTCGGCAACGGGAACGATGTATTGTGTCAGTGTTGGTTTCTCCTCTGCCTCTTCAGCCGAGAAGTCCAAGATGGTGGGATTGGCATCCTCGGTCGGGAAGAAAAGTGAAGTGACGGTGTCCACCTCCGTCTTCAGCGTGGCAGACATGAAGATCTTCTGTACTCCACTTGGAAGTGCAGTAGCAATAGCTTGTAGTGCCTCTTCATGCTCATACTCGAGAACCAGATCCGCCTCGTCAATGACCAGCTGTTGCACACCCTCCAGCTTGACCACATCCTGATTCACCCAAGCCATGACTTTCGTGGGCGTCCCCACAATCAGATCCGGTTTCTCCGCCAAGCTCGCCTTCGTAACAGCGGCATCTTCCTTCTTACTCACGTTCTCATACCTCACACTCTGTCCACAGAAATCAGTATACTTCTTCAACTCCCCCATCACCTGCGTCGCCAATTCAGTAGAAGGCACGAGGATGAGAGCAGTTGTCTGCTTGGCGCTCTTTCCAGCTCCAGCATTGCGCCGAAGGATGTTGTGTAAGATGGGGAGCAGGTATGCGAGCGTCTTTCCCGAGCCTGTCTTGGCGCGAGCGAGAATATCTTTGCCGGTGAGGGCGAGGGGGATGCCTTTGCTTTGGACGGGGGTGGGAGTCGAGAGCTTTTCGTGCGTTATTGCTTGGAGAAGGCGGGGGTCGAGGCGGAGGGCTGCGAAGGTCGAGTCGTTCTTCTTCGATGATACATCTTTCACCGCTTCCGGTACATCGTCTTGGTTTAGTTTGCGCTTCATCTTGTCGTCGTTGGTATGAAAGTAGTTGTTTCTTCAAACGACCGAAAATGTTCGCAATCCAAACTGTGAATTTCGGGGAACTTATTCCGCTGCTGCACGCTGACGCAATGACAAGCAGTGAACGAGGCAGCCGTCCCGAGACATGTGCCTCTCAATTGACGAGGCTATGAGTATAATGTCGCTCTCACTCCTACTATCCACATCTCACAATCAGAAGACATGTCCCGCTACAACAGCCGATACGACGACGACGAGGGCTACTCCAGCTCCGACTCCACCCTCGTGAACGAACGCCAGCGCCGACCCGCACCCACGCGACCACGACAGAGCAGATATCGCACCCCATCCTCCTCCCGCTCACGCTCACGCTCCCGCTCCCGCTCCCCACCGCCTCGACCCCGAACCTCATACCATCACGACGACACCCATTCCACCCGCTCCGCCCGAACAGCAGAAACGCCCGGCTCAGGCGGCTCCAAATTCGACACCCTCGGCAAAGCCACAATAGCCATCGGCATCATCTCCGTCCTCTCCGGCCTGCTGCAAATCTGGAACACGAAAAAAACCGCCGAGCGGGAACGACAGGATAAACGTCGACGGCGGGAGATGTTTGAGCGATCAAAGGTACAGCGGAGACGGGAGGAGGCGAAAGTGGAGGATGAGAGGCGCAGACGGAGGGATAGGGCGAGGTGGGAGGAGGAGAGGAGTGAGGTTAGTGATGTGAGGCGGATTGGGTATGCGGGGCGGGCGAGGGAGGAGGAGTCGCTGCCGAGGCAGATTCGCATGATTGAGGGTGGGGAGGGAGAGGGAGAGGGAGGTGGAGGTGGGAGGAGGAGGGGTGGGGTTGGCGATGATGTCGGGTATGAGGATGATTATCGATCGAGGCGAGGACGATGAGATGAGTTTATGTGGACATGAATGAAATATATGTGTTATGATAAGATACCAAACTGTTCCACATCCCGCGGCCTCTGCTGGCGTAGTTTGCGTGCAAAGGAAGTCGAGGCCTGTGCCAAAACTACTCCACTCTCCGCTTCGGGGCTGAGATCGGATGGCTACAACACTCACAGTCAAACCATTTCCGATGGCACTCTAATGGTCGATCAGCTACCTATCAGACTCTCTATCGCCACCGGTAGGGCTCCTCTCAGCGACTGCCAGAAACCTCACATCCAAACCTAACACTCCCGGACTGCAAGCAGCCAGAGAAGCGCATATCCTGGCATCCGGATCTGAGTCCCATCTACTCGTCATGGCCACACCCGCCGTCCCGTTCACGGTAGCGATCCTAGCACGCCGGGTGTATACGATGCTGCGGACACATCCACTTCGGTAATGCGTTTGCTTACGGCCCGCATTTCTGGTCTATGTTACGCCAGACTCGATAGCCCTTGTCACTACGCTTTTCATCCATGCTACTTGCTGGCCTTCAGAATGCTCGGGCGGTATCTGCCTTTTTTCCTCACTGTCCTGGCAGGAACGGCAAGCACGTACCCTCCCACTGTCTCCATACCATACCAAATCGATCCCTTGCCAGCGTCCATTCACGCAGATCTTTCATGCATCACAAGGCACCCCACGTTTGCAATTTCACAAGCCATTTCCGCCGGCAAGCACACCAGCACTTCCACGTCTCCTTGTCCGCCTTGTTTTCACTTCCAAAGACGAGCAAACACATGCAGGAGTCAATCTCCATATGTCCAGCCTCCTTGCTCTCCCTCTGAGTAGTCTTTCCTTCATCATCGCATCCATACTTTGGTCTTCATATCAGAGGATCAGGAATATTGGCTGGGATATCCCTACAACACCACGAACACGAAGACCACCGACAGCCGCAAGAACGACAAGACAATACACGACAACATGACAGACAGTAACACAGCCAACATGACGACGCCCAACCATGCCAAGCAAGGCACCGACATCCTCTTCCCAGCTCTCAACACCATGATCCCGAACGCTACACCCTTCAAGGATCTCAACAACCTCAAATTCTCCATCGATGCCAAGTTCAAGTGGTGCGAAACGATTTACAGCACGCAAGTCGCGGGTGCACACAACCGACTCTACTGCCTAGAAGCTTCCGAACTCAAGCTCATCCGTCGCACCCTCGCGAGCTATGTGGCCTCATAGCTTTCCGTCAAGCCTTTTGTCATCATGGAGGGTAAGGCGGCCTTCCTTGTGCTCGAAGACGGCACGAGGAACGTTGATCGCAGGTTCCTGGCGGGTGGCGAATCTCAATATGCGGCTATCATCACTGTGTACGAGGGTCGCACGAAGGCGCCTGGTTGGAACGAGGGAGAATTGAAGACCAAGCATGAGACAAAGCTTCGACGCGGCATCTATGATTGTGAGTCGGCCATGACCATTGGTGATGAGGCAGATCGAGCATTCTTGTATGTGCAGATCGCTCAGTTGCTGGAAAAGCTGAGACTCTTGCTGAAGGATGAGGTGTTCAGCGATCGTGGTATATGTGGGGCCTGCGAGGAGCACGGCATACACTTTGATGGGGATGAATGCTGCGCAGTTGGGATCTTCCTGCACCGTCAAGATGTCCTGCAGGCGTTGAGCCTGTACGTTGCGGTAAGTGTGAGTGTGAGGTAGACATTAGAGTCATACTCGGCTGCTGTACCACTTGGCTGTATCAGAAGGAAGGGAAGTAGGGGGAGGGAAGTGACAGCGCTCTAGATGTGGAGCTGTTCCGCCCAGGCAAACCAGGCAGTTATGAGCTGCCTTCACCGCAGAAGCGGGAATACCTAGTAGAGAAGGCATTGGTGCAACAGCGATCACTATGGTGACGTTAGTGTGAATGTGTGTTCCCTAGCCTCAGCAGCTCCTGACCGTTGCCGTCTGCGCCTCAAGCTACGGGCTACGAAGTGGAGAGTGATAGGTACTGAACGGTCTGATACTAACCATATCTCCGCACGTGTATTGGAAAGAACCCGTCCGGTCTATACTCGTGCTCTAGCTCGCGTTGGAGAACTACGTAGTCGACCGCGCCTCACACGCTGCAACATATCTACACTGGATACTGACCACTACAACAATGTATCGTAAGGCAAGTGTCATTACTACTGTCGTTGGTTGTAACCACTTCTCTTGCCTCCTAAGCAGTAAATGCTATAGCTGTGACGTTCACATCCCGCTTGTAATCAGTATCGAAGCCAGCCGAATCGCATACTGTGAATCCTGCCCATAGTGTGCCCACATCCTGATCGACCGGCAGACAGTCTGTAACGGTACCCCTGTCCTGCCCAGAATATCCTTGAAACGTGCAGGATGGCGCTCCTCGGGCGCAAGTCTGGTCGTACCACAGACAAACGGAGGGGTCGTACGAGGTGCCGAACTGTGTAGTCCACTGGTCGTCCGATACCACTATGACCGCCCCCAGATAAGCGTTGTAGTCAAATGTGCTGCCTTCAGTGCCCTGGTTGGTTCCACTCCAGCTCTCCTGATAGTTGTTGCATGAAGTGTCCGTGTAAAAGTTGATCTGGAAGCCATTGGCAAAACCAATAGCGAGTGCGGCCGCCCGGATTGAGAATAGGAACGACATAGATGCTATGAGAGATTCTATAAGTTTGGGCACGATAGTTGAGGGCGATAATATCGTATGTACCTCTTTGCGACTGATAGCGGCAACGGGGGATGTTTAAATTTGTTGATGTTGCTTGCAAATGTGCGTTCGAATGTGTTGCACCATTGTGTCGGACACACAATACCCAGGGCTTATTATACCTACAACTGTACAGCGTCGTCATGGAAGAGTCACATCATGGTGCCACACTCGACACGTCGACGAGCTGCTTTTGTCTATCGTTCGGGTATACGAGAGTCGATGGCGCCTCTCGTGTGTTCGATGTTACATGGCGCGGCCGATCGACCATAGAGTGCTCACTAATGTGCATTGTGGAAAGCATATGCTATACAGCTCCAAAAGGTGTAGCTTGGCGAACTGGCCTCCATCACATCCTTGACACGGCCAGCAATTATCTGGTTCGGCCAGTCCCATGGGTCATATCTTGAGGTTGGTCGTGCATCAGACACATTGCTGGCCGCCAATCAGCCAGCATGGCAAGAGCAGTCCATCTGCCTATCGATTCCAGTCTTTACGAGGCATTGCTTTTCTGTTGTCGCAACCTGGGAAGTACACGTCCTGCGGATGGGGTGATCAAAGCTACACTGGGCCCACGTGTTTCTCCTCAGCATGATGATTAGGAGAAATCATCATGGTTCTCCTGATCGTTTTCAGTACAATGCCGATCATTCGTAAGAGTTGCAGATTGGGAGCACACTAAGCTACAGTGGAAAGTAAACAATGAGCCTCTGACGTTGTCACGCATGCGCTACGCCATAGAACCACAGAGAGTAAGCATTCTGATAAGTTTAGGGTCACAAAGCTCATGTGGTGGAGCTCGTGCCCTGCATAACTTCGAGACCTGCTTCGGTTGACGATGGCTTAGTATGATGCTGCAACTGCGGTAAAAGGACGAGCTCGGAATCTAGGCCTGAGAATTCGAGAGCCTGCAGCGCATATATGGACATTATCGCTGTCCACTCGCTCCAGCTCGTATCCGTACGAGATTCAAGTCACGGTAAGAAGTACGACGTCATCCAGGATGCGCGGGAACGACGACCAAGAACCATTCTTACCTTCTGTCGAGGAAGTCCTGCTGCCCCGACACTCAACTCTGGCTACGACCGCTTACTTTGCATGGAATCTAATTGCGACTGCTTCCATCCTGTTATCGATCATCCTCACAGCCAACATTCTTTCCTCTCCGAAGACGCCAACGCAGCGCACGGAAGAAATTAGTTCGTCCGAGGCCATTGAGAACAATTACTTAGCTAATAGAGGTGCGTAGAAATTCCAGACCTGCCTTTGAAGCAATTGCGGTTCTCTGGGTCGTTGAAGTATCACGATGATGGCAGTCTGTACCTAGACCGCCCGTCCAAGGGTCCAGAGTACGTTGGGAATACGACTGCGGTGTCACATGCCTGGGAGATGTTCGAGAGTGGTAAGACCTGTGAAATATTGACGAGGTAATTGCTGATCAAGCGCGACAGCACAAACTGTTAAGCTTGACCCATCGGAAGTTGACGGAGAAGGGCTGTACCGTGATGAAAACGGAAATATCATTACCATACTTGACTCATTTCATCAGTTACATTGCCTGGTAGGTCCGACTGCTTATTGTAGGCTGATTCTGAACTCACACCGCGAAGAACCAGATACGAGAAGCGCTCTACAACAACGGCATTCAGGAGAGCTCAGACCTACAGTCTTATAAGCGGCGACTCCACATTGGTCAGTTTCCGCAGGTTTGGTATAAGAGGAATGAACGTCAAAGCTAATTCTGATTGTAGAGCATTGTGTGGACTATATTCGACAGGCAATTCAGTGTACTGCCGACGTCACGCCTTTGAAGCTGTACTATAGCGAGCCTGCACAGAGGGTAACAGTAGATTTCGAGTCTACACACACCTGCCGGGACTTTGACGCGGTTAGTAGATGGGCATGGCAGCACCATATATTTAGAGAGCATGTATAGATTAACCTACTCGACTCTGTACCTGCCTCTCGGCCCTGGAGTTTCTTCTTATGGAACTTACTGGCTTTGCAACAATGCAGAGCTTCAACAAGCCAGTCACTGGGGCACGGCGCAAGGCATTGGCTGAACGCACTTCCAACGTGACCATGGCTTCAGAGCAGAAAATCAGTGTCGGCTCGTACATGTATCCATACCAGCTCCAGCAGACTCCGGCACCAGTCACCACGAAGGCTGAGGCATCGGCCGTCAAGCAGACTATTGATGCCTCCAACAAGCAGCTAAGTGCTGCCATCCCGCGCGGCGGACCGATCATCCTCTTCATCGATGCTGCGGCAGAGACCATGAATTCAGAGGCTTGGGAGCAATTGTGCCAGCATTTTGCCAAGCATGGGAACTTCATGGCGAGTGGCATGAACGACATCAACCATGGTCCATCGTTCCCACTCAGATATGCCGAGGATGACCATCTTTCTGCTCAGTGGACTATGCACCTCAAGGAGCACCTCAGGGTGCAAATGGAGACAAACTTCCGATCCAACCGAGCCACTATCGTCGTGGTTGCTCTTCAGCGTCATAGCTTCCGCAAGAAGATCTACCAGACAATCAAAGCCAACTGTGACGTCGAGCTTGGCCTACAGTCCTAACTCGTGGACATCACCATTACCATGCATGTGATCAAACGTGACGTTGATTCGAAACAAGTCCGCCCGGGCAGTCATGTCCATGATCTCCGGAAGCTCTACCTATGCACCATCACGACCAGGGATATGGGTAGCAGCAAGACCTACAGCACCGGTACTCAGCTGCACAGTCTCCTTGACATCCAGTCCGGCAAGATGAAGGTGCAGTTTATTGGTGTTATGAAAAGGCTCAACCGTGGTCTCAATGAGGAAGCCTCACACAACTCCGCTATCTTCGATCTGGCCTCGTGATGCCGATACATGCGACCAGTGCCGAATTCTTCCAAGCGATGCCTCTATCCTCTGGTAGCTCTCCTGCATCGAGCACGAAGCACGCCCGGGAAGTCGTCACCGCCAAGGCGACGACAGTATCGCCTGCGAAGCAGATTTGTCATCTCAAGGTGAAGTCCAAACCAGACTCAAAGTATGTCACACCAAGACCAAGAGAGTCCGCAAAGTCCTCCAGAACAAGCTCGACGGCCCGGGACCAACATGGTACCTGATCAGCGAGGACGCATCCCCTCTCTTGATGAAGAAACTCCAATACCTCACCAGAGAAGACCTCGCGGGCAAACCGAGGCCTTCTCTACAAGCTTGAAATGGCTCGACCCTACACTCCTCATCCCACAACCCGACAACGACATTTTCATCACCTCCTGCAAGAAGCTCCTGAGCCTGAAGAAGATTTCCGGCGAGCCCGGCACGGTGCTGAAGGGGGAGGAAGTCCTATCACTCGCCGCACTGTGGAAGGATACTCATCTCGAGTTGCGCCCGACTTTGCTTCCTGCGCCGACGTATTTGGCTTGTTTGGCGGTTGAGCATGCGGGGTTCTATCTGCACAAGGATCAGTCGGGCGATATTGTCGATACCAAGGCTCCCTTTTCTCTTCCCAAGGTCCACAATGATCTTCAGAGGACTCTGTAGTATTTATAGACGGATGGAGGATATTGGAACGATTACGATAATCGGGTTAGGATGCGAAGTCCCCTGGCACGAGCCAGGCTACACATCAGCCTTGTCGTGGTCGCCTGTCTTCCGATAGCTGATCGCTGACACATCTTGCTGCGTTTCTGCTTAGGTTTGTGGCGTTCAGGAGTTGGATTACGCCGAAAACGTATTATTAGCGACTTTAATTGCCGGTTGATGGTCAAGTCGTCGAATCAGTAGCTTTGCTTCTCCCCAGAGGCCATCGCAAACGGGCACTGGCTGGGGGATGCTGGAGTTACTCTTTACATAGGGAGGCAATCGCTTTGGATTTGTACGTTCGTGTGCCAATTCGTCTTGGGTGAACTTGTGTTCTGGTTATCCTACAACGACATTACTGTACAGCCAGCCAGCTGGACTTGTCATAACATATTATATTATGACTTCTCGTGCCTGCCATCGTCGCCATTCTCGTATGGGCCTCCACTCTCCTTCACAAGACCTTGCTTCTCATTCTGCTCCTTGGGTTGCTGACTCCATCCGGGTGCCTCGTCCTTGCCACTCTCTTCCTCCTCGTCACCTTCCTCCTTCGTCTTGTGCACAGTCTGTGGATCGTGCTCAGCTGGGCTATAGACCGTCACTAGTTCCAAAGGCTGCGTCTTGGATGTGTTGATGAATTGATGTTGTGTGCCTGCTGGAACAACGACGACGTCTGTTGCTTTCACGTTCTGTGGCGATCAGTATTAGTACACAACGGTGCAAAGGAGGTCGATATCGGCATACCTGATCTTTGCCAGCAATAGTAGCCTTACCCTCACCTGATGTGAAGATCAAAACCTGATCAACGGTATGCACCTCGTCACCAATATCTCCTCCCACGGGAATCTCCATCGACACAAGTTGGCTGTACATCCCAGTATGGATGACCTTCCTGAACTGCCCAAAGGCTCGCACCTCACTGGTCAAACCAGGAAAGTACACCATCTGGTGCTTTGGCGGCTCGGTCGACATCTTGCTGTCTTTACCCATCCTCGCGGGTGTGGTGGTAATTCTTCGTGAGGTTTGGTATGCTGCTGTTGTTCGTGGTAGTCTATTGATGAGTCTGCTGGCAATGGCGGAGGTACGAGAGACAGACATGTTAGAAAGAGCTCAAAAGAAAGTACCTACTTATGTTGATCAGACTTGATATCGTACTACTTCGTCATGGTCTACTATGTGAGCTTGAGCACAGGTGAAGAAGACGGAATATCGACGTCACCAGATCGGGCAAATCGAGCGGCGCCAGGTCCGCGAACTGTCTTCGGAGTGTCACTTGTACAATTCTTTGCCTTCGTCGCATCTTATCAACTTCGTCGATATCATGGTGGATAAGGTAATTGCTGGAAGGAGGTTGCAACCGAAATCCTTCCAGCGTGTAGTGCTGTCGATCAACCAGACTACACAACGTCCGTTCCATCGGCCGAAGTGTCATCGTCCGCATCTCGAGGAGCGGACGGTCGAAGCGGACGGTCACGCTATACCACGAACATGAAACTGGGGCCCATGAATCAGATCTTGCTGCTCCTTCCAGCGTCCTAAACAACAGCATCTCCGTATGGCGGCACACCGTCCGCGCCCGTAGAATGTAGATCACTCGCATATAAGAGTGCGTTTGAGGAGGGAGAGTGTTTGCGGTGCAGTATCCTCTCACTATCACACTTTCTACTCCTGACCTTACAAATTTATCATATCTACAATGTTCTCAAAGAGAGCAAAGCAAGATGCAACGTCTGCTAAAGAACCCATCAATGCAGAAGATACTTCTCCAAACCCGCCTGTGGGCTCATCGAACGATGGCTACGACTACCCAACAGGTCTTCGCCTGGCACTCATCCTCACCTCGATTTATATCAGTGTCTTCCTCGTTGCACTGGTAGGTCTGCCTTCATACTGAGAAGCCTGATCATCTGCCCTAATCATTCCATAGGACAAACTCATCATCTCCACCGCCACGCCGGCAATCACAAACGACTTTCAGACATCGAGCGATATTGGCTGGTATGGCACCGCATACCTCCTCACGAATGCGGCGTTCCTGCTCGTCTTTGGCAAGATGTATACCTTCCTGAACGTCAAGTACGTTTTCTTAGCGGCCGTAGTACTCTTCGAGGTCGGCTCGGCGATATGTGGTGCTGCTGCAAACTCGGTTGCTTTCATCATCGGCCGTGCAGTGGCTGGTCTTGGTGCTGGAGGTGTACAGTCCGGCGCAGTATGTATCCCGCGTCTCAGGACAAACCTACTCGTTCGAATGTTGACACGATTTTCGCCTGGCAGATCACGCTCATTGTCTACGCCGTCCCACTGGAGAAGCGGCCGGCGTTCCAAGGACTATTCGGTGCAGTCTATGGCGTATCGTCCGTTCTGGGTCCTCTTGTTGGCGGCGCCTTCACTTCTCACGTCACCTGGCGATGGTGTTTCTGGCTGAACCTCCCACTCGGAGGGCTCGTCCTAGCCTTTGTTACATTCGCGTTGGACGCGAAGGGCGGCTCTCAAACTAAGACCACTCTGAAAGAGAAGTTACTGCAGCTGAACCTCGAAGGTCTGTTGGCACTCCTGCCAGGCGTAATATGCTTGTGCCTTGCGCTAGAATGGGGTGGCTTCACATATAGCGTAAGTCTTGCGTCCTGAAGGCTTACAACATTGCTGATACACCGCAGTGGAATGATGGCCGTATCATCGCCTTGCTAGTGATAGCTATCGTGCTGCTTCTAGCATTCGTTGCAATTCAGCTTTGGCGACCAAAGCGAGCTACTGTACCACCACATATCATAGCTCAGCGAAGCATCGCAAGTGGCTTCTTCGTCAGCTGTTGCCTAGGCGCTCATCAGACACTGATCTGTGAGTCCATTTCGTCGTGACCTACTGAGCTACCCTTACTGACTTCTTGACCTAGTATATTATCTTCCTGTCTGGTTCCAGGCCATCAAAGGGAACTCAGCAGTCGCCAGCGGCATTCATCTTCTACCACAAGTATTGGCATTGGTGGTTGCTTCCATCGTAGCGGGTGTTCTCTCCACCAAGATCGGCTACTTCACACCATTCCTTCTGGGCGGCGTTTGCGTTACTGCTGTCGGAGCCGGCCTCATTACAACATTGGGAGTCAACAGCACAGAAGGCCAATGGATCGGCTATCAAGTCATATATGGCTTCGGATTCGGTCTGTGCATCCAAGCCCCGAACCTTGCTGCACAAGTCGTACTACCACGAGAAGAGGCGTCGATTGGAGCATCACTAATGCTTTTCGCCAACACCATCTTCGGCGCGATTTTCGTCAGCGTCGGCCAGAATGTTCTTGACAGCAACCTCGTCAGCCGACTCAAGGACATCATCCAGATCACAGCTGAGCAGATCGAAAGTGCCGGTGCTACGGGCTTGTTAGATATCGTGCCAGCACAATACAAGACGGACGTCTTGTATGCATACAACGGCTCGTTGCGAGTGTGCTTTCAGGTCGCCCTGGTCATGGCTTGTGTCTGCATCATACCTGGTCTTGCCATGGAGTGGCGTAGCGTGAAGAAGCAGGATAAAAAACCGAATGACGAGGAGACGCTGGAGAAGCAGAAAAGTAAAGGTGCTTGTGCAGCCGAGGAGGATGTATGACAGCCTTTCTACTGTTTAAGATAGAGGCTTCGAATGGCCTATGCTGCATTCATAGCCCAGTTCTCGTCATCACCAAGAAGGTAGATGTCCAGTGTCACATCACGGCCAAAGTCTAAAGCTTCAAGGCTGGGAGCCTGCATCGAATCGTCCATCCAGGACTCCCAGTTTGACCAGCACTGAGAAGTCTCACCGTTTGCAGTCTCTGTGGTATGAGGCTGCTCGGTCAGTGTCACTGCATTAATGGCGTCCACAGCTTTTCGTGCCTCAGTCCAGCGGTCGGACTTCTTCGCAAATAATGGTTTGGCGAGCACCAGTGCTTGTACAATCTCGTTCTTTCGATACAGTGAACTCTGTTGAAGTTTTGCAGCACGTTGCAAAGCTAGACAGAGCAACATCGTAGCTTGTAGAAATTCTTGGTTCAGCAGGGAGACCACTTTCCACCGTATGCTATAGAATATGCCACCAGGTGCAGTCTCCTCGTCCAGCCGTCTTTGATGGCCAAGGATTGTCAGCGCAGCGTCGATACACTGCTTGTTCGCAGCTGATTGTCCTGTGAATTCTGCTTTGAAACTCCGGCGATGAAGCAAGTAGAAGTCCTTCTGTATCAGTGTATCAAGACAAATCTGGTTTAGCAGTGACATCGGATCCTGTGCTATGGAAGTCTCGAAAGAGTGGAACCTTGCCTCATCGGAGAGACTACTGATTGTAGTCTGTAGCTTTAATAGCAATTCATGCTCGGTAGCTGGCGAAGCTGAGCCAGACTCAACAGCATCATAGATTGCAGCGCCTACCGCGATGATCTCGTGTCTTTCGATGAGCCCAAGTAGACTCGTGCGCTCGTTACATCTGCGTTCAGGTGGTAGGTCATGTATTTGGAAGTTGAGATCAGATTCGAGAAGGTGCCGTGGAAGACGCACATCACACTGCGAGTCCTTGATGATCCGCGGCAGGCCAGTTTGAGTACTCGTGAAAAAGTCCATATGGTACAGCATTATCCACAGGCGACGTCGGAGCTCGGCTTGAAGTGGCTTGATGTTTGGCCAGTTTGATGGATCACGATGCAATCCTGCCCTCATTGCGACGCGAACAATAACGCCTAGGAGCATCCAATTCTCGGTGGATGCGTCTGGACTGTTGTTATGATCCAGTGCAAAGTGAAGTATCAGAGTTTCGACGGTATATTTGCTGGGCTTCAGGTATTCCGACGCAGAAAGACAGTGCGCAGTCATGGCCCTATAAGAGTCCAGCATCTCATACGGATCTAGTTCTGACGTGCTTTCGCGAAAGCCTCCCCGTCTTTGCATGAGGAGTGAAGTACCCATCATGCTGAACAAGAGTCCAAGCCACATGACAGGTGTGTTTGATGGTGCGATCCAGAAGCGAGTATACTCTTCAAAGAATGTGCCTCGGTGTATGAGGACTACGCATGCGTCAATATCAGCAGGAGAACATGAGCCAGACAAAGTTCAGTGTCACCCACAAGGGCCCAGGTCAAAGACATTAAAGAAATGCGACACAAGTCTATCAGCAACCTTGCGAGCTGGTATGAAACTTAGAATGTCCTCTCGCGCTAGATATGGTGCACTGTTGAGAAGCGAGACTCTTTCGAACGTTTGAGTATATTCCGCGTCCTGGACGGAACTGGCTGGTGTTGAGATTTCGCTAGGATACTCCTCCGATAGCTCGGACTTGATATCCTGTATCTAGACGAGAACGTCAGTGTTCGGTAGGGTGGAAATATACGCTTTGCCACTTTCACTTACTTCTTCAAGTATTGTTGTCCAATGCGAGCTTCCAGTGTACGCGGCGCCATTGTCAGTCAGCTCGAGCTTGCCAATACTGTTCGCCAGAGTTGATTTGGTGACGTTGGCCTCGAAAGCACTACGAAGCTCAGTATCGACGGAGGTACGGCGAGTAGGGTCATGGTGAGACTCTTGAGCCTTGAAAAGTCCCGTGACAAGGGTCTCCAGACGACTGAGCCGTTTCCGCGCATGCTGGTTCCTGGCGTGCGGTCTGTAGTCGACAGCGTCTTTACGTTGCTCTTCAGTGCACGTGAACATGCATTCTGCTGGCCGACCTCGTCGCGTACAAGCACCGCAAGGAGACAACCGGTCACACCGCAGCCTGGATGCTCAGTAAGCTATGGCAGTCGGGTTGTGCATGTACTTACTTTCTCCCTCTGCAAAAGGTGCAGCTCAAGGTGGGCTTGTCACGCTTCCTGCTGTGATCAGCCATTGTCAAGATCGATGAGCGCCCGATATAGTATGGACCATGAAAGGACATCGCAGTAACGAGTGATGTGATATCCTGGAGGAAGGGCTGAGTGCCGAATGCCGAACGCCGAACGCCGATTCCCGCAGCTCAAAGTTATGTACCACTTCCCTAGTGAGCGAAGCCTCGCTCATCATAATCAAGTGCTTTAAGGCTTTGAGTTCACAAGAGATTGGTGTATGCAATTCTAATCCAGACCTTCTGCTTTTGAGCAACTCGACGTGTTGGTAAAGTTGATCGAAATCAGGCGGGGACCTGGACTAGACACTAGCCGATGCACATCGTAAGCTTTAAACATTGGCGAATGCATGAAGCCATCTTGAGCCGACAATAAACTTCATGCCGGTAGATGGCCAGGTATAGAGCAATTCACAGATCTATGTATATACGTGGTGCATCCAATTCGAAATTTCCACAGATCCGCGTCATCGGAAGTGTATGATCGATGCGGCAGCACAGGTGGATTTGAGGCTTCAATGTGTGCTCAATATCTTGAACCCTCTCAAGTCTGGCAGCAAATGAGTTGCATGTGGCCATACTACTCGATCGTATAGTGATCCTACCATCCCCATACAGTCGGAAGAAGGCTTCAGTTGTCGCAGGAGTTCTTGGAAGTAGCTACGACCATTCACATGAACTTCCACCTCTGATCAACTTGCTTCCTCGTAACCTAAGATCACCGTCAGCTATATCCCATGTACCAGAAGAAAAGGAAAACGACCTACCAAAGGCGCCACAACAAAAGTCAGAACAGCCAACGCGGCAACCGTGGCCAACATCTGCAGTTTATTGAAGTCCTTGCCCAAAATATCAAAACTGAAACTCGGGCTCAATTTCGTCCCGAACACGTCCAGCCCGTACGCAAACACCAGACTCGTGCTTTCGATCAGTGCCGGATTAGTCACGACGTCCTTGATCCCGACGACCTCTCGTTGGTGCGAAAGGTACCACTTCGGATCAAAGTCAAGAACAGGCGAGTACCGCACCAGCCCTTCCATCTGCTCTTCTTTCGTCGGGTCCCGAGCTACGGGCCGTCGAGGATCTAGCATGGGGTAGGGTATTCCCACTAGTGCGTGGGAGTCCGGGAGTACGGCAAGTAGTTGGCGAGATGTGATACCCTGTCTTGTCCTCGTCACTGATAACTTCGAAATTGTTTCAGGAATCTGGTAAGTATGTGTAAGGGTGAAGGGCTCAGTGCCGGTTTCTAGACTGCTGTAGTTGGACTTTCCGGTTAGGGGGCCCCGATCGTTGGGCACGAGTGACTCGAAGAGCTCGCCCATCACGAGATGGTTGCCCTTTGGGGAGTCGTCGGCTGCTTCGACTGTGAAGGTGTAGGCGAACCAGTTCTCGGAGACTATCGAGGCGATTGGGGCGGTGATGTCGATACCGGTGTGGGTGTTAGTGTGAATTATTGCGCCGGAGACTGTATTCAGTACATAGAAGCTTGCAATGCTGCTGCTGTTCTTGACAGTCACGAGCAGTGCCAAGTTTGGGTCTAGGTATTTGTAGAGCACTCGTCTGTCGCCTAGGACTTTACCGATGGATGCCACGGGATCATTGACGGGTCGTGGTATGAGACTGTGGATATACTCGCCTTGGGCCGGTGCGAAGTGCCATGCTGTGTTTGAGTCTACTTTGGCTTCTAAAGCACCATTGGTCATGGTGTACTGCACGGCTCGTGGTGCGGCTGCGTCTGCCTCGACGTCTTCTGGGAGGGTCGTAATGATCTGTTCTCCGTCTGTGATATTGTATTGAATACCAGTCGCCGCGTTGGAACTTATGGTGACCACGCCAGGTTTCGGCGAGGAGAGACGAGGTTGCCATGATTGATCGGGCTTAAGATCTGCGACTTGTCTGTTCCAGAGGACTCTGTCAGGCTTACCAGCATCGAGGGCCAAGACTCTTCCACTACGAGTGGCACAAGTGATGATCTGATGGAAGCCAAAGCTATCGCTAGCCACATCGTCCTCACTCGTGCCCAGTAGTCCCTTCACCAATGTCTGTGGCAGCGTGACAAGAAATGCTGGCAGTCTTTGCAGCTCGGAGAGGTGCCTCGTCAGTCGGTGGGCGTAAGCTGAGACAGGATTGCTGTGAGCTTCTGCCTGCAACTGCTCCGCTAGCGCTTCGATCTTGGCAGGTGCAGCAAAAGTAGCCGCAATCGTGCTCGCAAGCATCTCCGGTCTATTCCAGATTGCATTGCCGCCTCGCAGCAAAACCCAGTCGCCTGTAGACAGAAGAAAAACTGTCCTGATCGCTGACACTGCATCGCCTTTCACAGAGACCTCGGAGACGGCATGCACAGGCTCAATAACCTCACCGACTCCACCAGCTACGCCGAGAGGACCAATCGGCCATCTTCCGAGAACACCATGCGAGGCGGAAGATAGAGTAGACAGCTCATCGCGTGTGATTCTGGTGAAGTAGACATTCGCATCCGATGTACTGGTCGAGAAAGCACCTTTGCCTGGCAGCTTCGGCAGACTATATGCTTTGGCCACCTTGCCATTCTTGGCATCGATGTGGTAGACTTCTGCCCAATGCGAGGTTGCTGTCTCGTAGTGGACAAGGAAATGTGATAGGGAGTTGACATGGTATGGTGCATGTAGTCGCACTCGTTCGACAGTCTCCTCGCCATGCTTTTCGATGTTGAAAGAGGCGATGCTCTTCGTGCCAATGACATTGACCTTCAGCGTCGAGTGAGCTGCATCAGTCCAGGCGATAATCGGCGATGCCGAGTTTGCACCCACAGAGACGATCGTATCAGCCGTGGCCAGCTCGTTTTCGGAGCTGAGGGTGTACTCGTCCATCTTCGTGCCCGTCACGGGGTCCAGCGAGACTACGCGGAGCTTGAGGTAGCCAAGCATCGTTTTGTGTAGCAGAATAGCATAGATATGCGTGCTCGATGCAGAGACCTGATACGGCTCATCTGACCCATCGAGCATATGCTCCCACTTCACCGCCCCCGTCGCACCATCTATGCGCCTCACAGCAGGTCTTGGTCCTGCTGAAAGAGCCACAGCATCTTTTGCGCCAGCAGTCTCCTTCCCATTGCTCAACTCTAGGATTTCCACATCCCGAAGCTCCCCCTCTGTCCGGACATTCCACACTAATCGTCCATTGTCGGCACTCCAGCTAGCTATCTCGTTGCCAATCCCACTAACAACCACATCCCGACCCTCACCAGTCCTCAAGAAAGAAGCATTGTGGCTATAGCTATTCTCCTGTAATGGCTGTCTCCAGACCAATGATCCGTCCCTCGGGTTCACTGCACCCAATGCTCCTTCCTCGGAGAGAGTGTATATCAGAGAAGCTTTCAAAGCTGGGTTGGGCTGGTGAAAGAAAGTGGTCGATTCCCGGGGTTCACCTAAGAGGGCGAAGTGATAGTCGACACTCCAAGCCTCATCTGCGAAAACCGCGAGAGAAGGTCGCAAGAGCAAAGTTGCCGCTGTGAGGAGCGGGAGGAGCATACTGGGCGCATGGGTCGCGGGTGACCATGGGTGTATTGCGATGGCATATGTATGTCTTTAATTGCGGCCACATTCACTTAGAGGCGGAAGCTTTCCGCGTACACACGTCAATCCATGAAACCTCGAGCGCGACTGCACTATAACATCGATATGCAAAGCTTGGGGACCCGACATCTTGAACGATCAAAGCTCAGCTTCTCTAAGTATGGCGAGAACGTCGAATCATCAGCATATGTGAGTACATTTCATCGTTACTGCGTCAATACGGGGCCTGATGAACAACCACGTTCAGTGAAAGCTGTTCTCTGTGGTCGTGCAACTACGTGTACACACAACCCGTGAAAGGCTCGAACAACTCCGAAGGTCTTCTAAAACGGCCATGGGGACTCAAAGAGAGCACTGAATCCATCCCTGTCGATTCCGATAGCTTGCTCAAATGCTCAATGGTTATGCTTACTGACAATACTGAGAGGAGGTGCCTGCAAGATTAGGATCTCTATGAAGATGATCGAGACGACTGGATCAGGCTTAGAGTATCTCCAAGTCTTTGAGACCTGGGGACAGAATTTCCTGACAAGCAGTAGCCCGGTCCATGTGTCGGAGAGCACTGCCATCATGACATCCATTATTTCACTGCTGCTCAGCAGTGTCAGAGACTCCTGAGAGTCACCTTCTGCTGGTGCTCGCATGTGACACTCGTCCACCAACCGGAATTGCGACTGGCTGCCCAGCTGTCGCGATACGAAGAGCGATCTGCAACCCAGCAAAGCGCAGACATAGTCGCCATCCATGACGTTGTACTGCCTGGTCTCGACACGAGCCCACATCCCAGCTCGGGTAGCCTGCTCATAACCTCTCTGGTATTGTGCGGGCAACCCGCAAGGCTTGAGTACAGTTGATAACGCCTCTGATGACAAGGACGGTGCCGTCCGCTGGTAGCTTCACGCACGTCTTACTCCCCTTGCGACCAGCAGCCTGCACCGCTGCAGTCATCCGAAAGCCGGAGCCGCTATGCTTGCGGCCTCTTGGTCGACCAGTCCACTACCCACGATGGCCAGTCATCCTTATCTAGATTTAAGCTTGCTAGAGCTAGGATAGAGGCGATATTACGTTGCAGCAAGAACCATGTCAAGTCGGCGAACACTTGGCGCAATGGTTTCGAGTAGTCGGGCTCGCTGATACCTTTTAAGCCCCCTTCTATCAATGGTAAGATGGCATATAACTTATCTCGAGGTTCCGCGCACTCGAAGTGGCGGGTTCGCTCGAGCATGTCGAATAAGCGTTGAGCCTTAGCGGCGCACCGGCAGCCTCCAAAGCTTGCTCCGGCTTGCCTGCTCGCCAAGACCACATGATCGTAAAGGTCTCCGTGGTCGATCGCACTTTTGGGATGGTCTAGCGAGCCAGAGGCCATCTGCAGAACGACAACGTCGGGAATCTCGCTCATCAGGTATTGTTGACTCCATTTCTGATATGCCTGTACCAGACCCGACCACGGCGTAGGGTATCGCTCTTTTTCGGCGCATAATACCACCGAGCTCGAAAGCATAACTTCTTACACAATCCAGGTCCGCGTGTACCTAACGGTACATGAGTGAGCGAGAGACATCAATTGATTACGAGGCTCGTGGCCAGGTGGACTGACCAAGGACTATAGAAGAGTACTACTGGCCTAAGAGCGGTGTACTTGGCTTTGTTGTCGAAATCGGCGCCAATATAGCGGTCATATAGGTCGTAGAGATCCTCGGGGGCGAGACTTCGCAACAACTCGTTAGGATTATATCTTGGCTGCGGCAGCTCGACCGCAGCAGCCCTCGCGGCTTCATATCGCGGTTCCGTGAGGCAGACGATCGTCTGCTTGGCTTGACAGAAGGTCAACCCCATCTGTGCCACCTGAACACTGCGCTCCTTGATATCGTCCTGGTTGATACATATCGCGTCGATCCAAATATAACTAGTACAATGCATACGTTCCAGGTCCTTAAGCATGGAGCAACAGTTCTCACCTATAGTCAATGTCTGCTGGTTGCAAACGATGGTCTTGGTTTGCGTTGGGTCGCCCCAAGTATATGACATCGCCGTATGTCCCTTCGCTACCGCTCTCGCCCTTGGACATTGGATGAGCTTAGCTTGAATACTTCGCGGTAGGTTATCGTACAGACTTGGTCTTTCTGCCTCGAAACTTCTCTGTCCGAAACAGGCGGATGTTGGCTGAGCTTTGTAGAGGATGCCATAAGAAAGGCTGAGCTTCAACTGGACGAAGCCATTCTGCTGGCGACGTTACAAGATACAGAAGATCCGCGAGGTCCAAGACTGAAGTCATGTCTGCCAATAGATCGGCGGTCCTTCCGGTGCTCGTGAAGGTACAATACTCAACTTTCCTCAAACCTGAGAGGTACGTGGAAATAGATCTCACGTCGTGCGAGGTGAGGCAGCGTGCATAAGGTTCTGGTCAGGCTGAGTAGGCTCGCTACACTGAGCACACCGCCAGGTGCACAGCCACGTGCGATTGATTGATCGATCGCCACTCTCCAACAATGTTCTGGACTGTAAATGGCGATTGAAACGTCAAGAAGCAGGCGTACACTAACTACTACCTAATCATTACATACACGTGCATACGCGCAGAGGGGATATCCGATGCCGAACGAAACCACAACTCGCTAACCCATTGAAACTGTGCAACGCTCGAAAGATCACCGTCGTATACACATTGTCCGCCCCCCGCCCTTCCCATGGTCTTGAACCACAACAGCAATATTAAATCGTTCACTCCTCCCCATCCTCCTCGTCCTCACTCTGCTCAACCTTGTCCTCCTTCGCATGACCAGACGTCAAAATTCTTCACAGCTCGTCCTTCGTCCTCCCCGTGACCGAGCTAGCCACACTAGCTACGCTCTCCGTGGCCTCGCTGACCGCACTCCCGGCGCTCTTGCCTACTTCACTAACCGCCGAACTCACACTACTCGCTGCCTCAGCCACAAACCCCCCAGCATCCCCAACTACGCTCCCCGCACTCTCGGTGACCTGGCTAGCGATCGAGCTGACCGAACTCCCCACCTCCACCACAGCACTAGAGGCCGAAATGACCACATCCTCGACCTTGAAGGCCGCGATCCTGCTCGAAGCGCTCGCCATGGCAACAGAGATGGAACTCTGCAGACCATCCACATACCCCTTCTCCTCTCCATAAACCGCCTTACTCACCGACGAAGCAACGGCAGCAGCTTGGGACGAAGCAGCAGAGGTAAGCGAATCGTAGACACTGGCCGCGCTGTTGGAAGCAGCCTCGACCGTACCCGTAGGAGAACCGTAGATAGCCTCCGAAATACTCTTACTCGCCGCCGCCGCCACAGCAGCCACAGAGCCTTGTGCCGCCTCAGCATAACCCGTTTCATGCCCATAAACCGCCTCGCTAATCTGCGAAGCCGCATGTCCAGCCATTGACGCGGCGTCGGTGTAGACGCTCGAGGCAGCATCGGTAACAGACTCCAACGTCCCCTTACTCTGCCCATAGACTTGCTGGCTCGCGGCGTCGACGGCAGCGTTGAGCTGAGCGTTGACGGAATCCATAATATTATCCAGACTACTCGGTGGAGTAAACACCGAAGCCACGACCGAAGAAGCAGAAGCATAGGTGTCCTCGACAAAACTACTCGCACTAGAGACCATAGCCGGGGCACCAGTAGCATACGCCGACTGGAACCTCGCCATCACCGAGTCCGTGAAATCCGGCTCCCGTCCGCTCACAAGCTCAGAGAAAAGCGATTGCACAGCTTCATACTGCTGTGCCGCGGCCAGAGTAGCCTGAGCAGCGTACGCCGTAGCGGAACTGTATATCGCATCCGTCATGGGAGGAGGTTGACCATAGATCTGTTCGCTCGCGTGGGCAATCAAGGCCTCCCAATTCTCGCTCGCCTGGGAAGCGGCGGCTTCGGTCCAGGGGGTCTCGGTACCATAGACGGCGGAGGAAATCTGGGAAGCGGCGTCGGTGTAGTATGATCCAGCTGCCTCGGTGGCTTGCTCGACGGAACCCTTTTGGGAGCCGTAGAACAATACACTGGCGCTGCTGGAAGCTAGTGCGAGCTGGGAGGAAGCAGCCGCGATGGCGGAGTCGTAGCTAGCGGAGAAGTCGTCCAGGTAAGACTGAGCAGCCGGTGTGCTAGAGACACCCGCCACGCTTGAAGCCGAAGCCATAAGATCTTGCATATTAGCCGAAGCCGCAGATAGAGCAGCACTATATGTGCTCTGCGCCGCGGCGAGGTAAGCCTGGTAGCCAGTCGTAGGCGTAGCGCCCGCGACACTGCTCGCGGCGTGGAGGAAGGAAGAGTACCTGTCGTGAGCCATACCGATCCCTTGATAGTAAGCCGCTTGGGCACTACCAAGGTACGCCTGATGAGCTGGAGTCGGGTCGACACCCATAGCGACCTTAGCGCTCGTGTACTGCGCAGAAGCCGCACTCAAACCTTCCGCGAGACGAGAGGAGGCGATGGCCGAAATGCTTTCGTACCGGCCAATAGTTGGTACGGCCGCATACAGATTGGCTGCTGGCGTTGGTGAGGAGCCCAGGGCTTCATTCAGGCGCTTGCTAGCCGCTGACAGGGAGTCAGAGTAAGCCGATTCCACGGAAGTGAACATTTGCTTATGCACCGGTTCAGGGGTCCCAGAGACCTGGACCGAGAGACGAGATTTAGCTGCTTCGTAGTGGGAGGACGCTTGGCTGAGAGCGTCGTTGTAGCGCGAAGATGCGGCGCTGGCAAGACCGCTGGCGGCTGGGGTGCCGTAGATGGCGTAGGATGCACTGAGACATGTCAGTATACCATACAACATGATAGATATTGCTGAGGAACTTACGCAGTAACAGCACTCTCATACAAATCCCTCGCCATTGCACTTCCCGTACCCGTAGCCTGTGCTGCCTTGCCACCAAAGAGCACGCTCGAAGCAGCATTAATGGCACTCTCGTACTGCTCACTCGCAAGCGAAGAAGCACTACTAGCATAAGAACTCGCAGTACCCTGGACATCCGTAGCCGTAGCAGTAGGCCTCATAGCATCCAAAACCGCCTGCGTAAGTTCCGTAGCCTGATCTTTGGCTGCATCAACCACACTCTGGATTCGGGCGCTGTACGATGCATCGTCGTCGATAATGTCCTCGTCGAAGATAGGTTCGCGCGCTTCGACGATGACTTGGGCGTTGGCGCCTAGGAAGACTTTACTACTCGCTGATGAAGCCACGGAGCTGGCGCTTGAAGATGCAACGCTTGCCCCGGAGGAGAGGCTGGAAGAGGCATCACTCAAGGTGGAGGACGGGGAAGCGGAAGCGTCGGATGCGATAGAATTTCCAGATGAGCTGGCCACAGTAGCGGCGGATTCGGCGCTCTTGGAAGCTGCGTCTTTCTTTGCTTTGCCGGCGGCTAGGATACTTGCTGCTTTTGGACCAAGGGACTTGCTTGCGGCGGACGAAAGGCTGGAGGCGGTTGAGGCGACCGGGCTTTCCTCACCGAGAACGGCAGAGGAGATGCTTGATGCTGCATCTGTCGCCGAATCACTCACGTCGGAGGGAGTACCGACAACAGCAGATGAGATGCTTGACGCAGCATCGGTTGCAGCATCGCTGAGTCCGGAAGAAGTCCCGATGACAGCAGAAGACAAGCTCGAAGCGGCATCAGTAGCGGAATCACTGACACCCGAGGGCGTACCAATGACGCTCTCCGAAATGACAGAAGCGGCACTCTTCACACTCTCCGTAGCTTTGCTCGCAGAGCTGCCGATCGAGCTCTGCCCATCAACAACAGCCGACGAAAAGCTCGAAGCGACGTCTGTGGCAGAGTCGCTGACGCCCGAGGGTGTTCCAACGACAGCAGATGAAATGCTCGAAGCAACATCGGTGGCTGAGTCGCTGAGACCAGACCCCGTGCCAACGACAGCAGATGAAAGGCTCGAAGCAATATCGGTGGCGGAATCGCTAACACCCGAAGGCGTGCCAAGCACACTCTCCGGAGCGACCGAAGCAGCACTCTTCAGGCTCTCAGTAGCGCTGCTGGCCGAGTCAGCCAGAGGACTCTGCTCACCCTGTCCAGCAACCTTGGCATACCCCTCACCAGCAGCGCTTTTGACGTGGCTAGCCACGCTCTCCGCGGAGCCCACAGAGCCATAGACAGCTTCACTAGCACTGCTAGAAAGCTGACTAGCCTTCGACGAAGCAGCAGAAGAAGCGGACTCCACAGATCCCGTCGAAGAACCAACTACAGCTTCCGAAGCGCCCGACACAGCATCCTGAACCCTCTTCGCAGCTTGGGCGGCAACGGGCGGTGTAGCTTTCGTCTCAAAATCATCCGCAGCGTCCCTCGCCTGTATCTTCCACAACCCAACCTCCTTCAACCTCCCAAGCTCCTTAGCCACATCCTCCGCGATGCCCATACCTTTACTCTCCACCTCCTCAGCCTCACGCTTAGCACTCCCAATCGCCTCATTGCCGGAGACAACCTTCGTGACATCATCGCGCCACGCTTGTGTAGCTTTCTTGAGATCGGAATATTTACTCCACTCCTTGTGCGGAAGCTCCTTATCAGCATACTTCCTCCCGATTTCACTGAGGCGGATTTCGCGGATCGAGTCGATGGTTTCGAAGGTGCTTTGCAGAGACTTGTCGGCGAGATCGTCCGTAGAGGTGGTGAAGGAGGTCTTCCAATCTCGAACAGCTTGGGCGGACTCCCGGACGCTTTTGCCGGCGTTACGGATGGCTTTGGCGAGATTGTCTTTTGCTTCGCTCAGATGGGAGTCTTCTGCTTCTTCTGGGAGGCCGCCGACTATGCCCAGGATGTGGGCCTTGACGCTGTTGATCGCTCCCTCACCCGTCTGTTCGAGTTGGGTCAAGAGGGCGTTGCCTGTTTTGGTGACTTGCTTCGCGGACTGGTGAGTAGCGATTTCATCGACGCGTTCCTTTAGGTGCTCGGAGCCTTCCTTCACCGCACGTGCGCAAGCGTCGTGCCAGTGTTTGAGGTCATTTTCGAATTGCTCAGTCAACGAGACACTAGGCTCGGGGGTAGCGGAAGACGTGACAGCCGAAGCCATGGATGCTGTGCCCTTTGTAGCCTCGCTAACGACAGAAGAAGCCGAAGAAGCAGCAGAGGCGATGCTGGAGCTGGACTCCGCGTATGAAGAAGAGATCTCCGCACTCCTGACCTCCGCCTCAATCTTCTTTCCATCCTTGTACCGACCCAAACGCTCAGTGATCCTCATAAGCTGGGGCTCAACATTCTCTCCATACAGCACGCGCATCCTCGGCCAGGCCTGCTTGACCCAGAATGTCCACGCAGCAGAGCTGGCATATTGTGCTTGTGGGAGAGCAGTGTTGACCGCAAATTCCTGGCCTTGGGTGTACATTTTCTGCAGATAGGGAGCGGTATTGCGGTAGACGGGCTGGAGTTCGAGTTCCCAAATATCGCTTGCGGAAGTCGCCACGGAGTCGTAGTAGGGTTGGACCACACCCTGGACTTGCTTGACGTGCGGGCTGAGGACGGCATCGTATTGCTTCCCGGCTTGCTGGCGGGCGACTTCGAGTTGTGGTTTGAGTGTCTTCTCCCATTGTACATGTGCCTGCTGTTGTGCTTGCTGGACTCGAGGGGCTGCATGTTGATTGTATGCTGCCAAGCCGGGTGTGTAGACCTTCTCATTGACTTGATCAAAATATGGCTGAGCTCGCTGGACGTGAGGAGCGAGGTATTGGTCGTAGTATGGTTTAGCGAATGGTGTGACATAATCCCTCGTCTGCAGATAAGGCTTGCAGAGCTTCGGCGTGCTGTCCAAGACATCCTTCTGCTGCCCTGGACAGCGGAATAGTACTGTGGCCAAAGCATACCAGACAAACACCTTCAATCCCTTATCAACCACCCAACCCGCATACCCCTTCTGCTTACTGGCACTCCTCCGTCTTCTCCTGCTGTCCCGTCCTGCCCTACGGCCATCGGAGCCATTTACACTCCCATTCACGCCGTTCATCTTGGCGTCTGATGCAGTCGATGCAGTCGATGCAGTCGATGCAGGGTCGACGGCCATCTACGCGAAGGAAATGTCGTGTAGCTTTTGTCGTTTGTGCTCGTGGAAGCTTCAGCTAGCTTCGAGCTTGCAGTATCAGGACTGCATACAGTATGACGCCACGCGTGTACCACAAGTTCTTTCGAGTTTGGGCAAAAGGTTGTGTTTTGGCAAGCGCGAGTCGGAGTGCTCACTCTCTCGAATTGCATCTGTGAGCTCAAAGTGGATCTACTATACGAACTCCGTGACAGTGGTGCAGCTGGTGCTACATGTAAAATGGCTAGAAGATTGCGCGTTTTCACAATCTCCTCAGAGTCCTCCTTCTCCAAGCGAGCGTGTCAAAATCCTGCTCTCCGGACTTCTTGGCCCAACGGCGGCGGCAGGATGGCGTCAGTGGAAACCAGCATCCCTGCAAATGACACGTGAGTGTGGCTGATCTGAACATGCAGCCATATCTTAGTGTCAGTAGTGTCAGTAGTGTACTCAGGCACGAACAAACGGACACTTCTCTAATTAATACCACATACTGGGAGTCACGCATTAGTGGGTGTTGACTGCTGTTTTTCTCCTCTGTTCCGCCACCACTCGCGCCATCAGAGACATCCGTTGGAGGAGGACCGCTATCATTCTCGTCTCCATGATCATCTAATCCACCGCCATCGCCCGCAGCGGCCACATCACAGTCATGTCGACAACCCCACCGCCCAACCCCGGTGACGGTCTCATCTCATCTCACGACAATCCCCTCATTTCAACAGCCACCCCATCAGCCCGCGCCATGTCCACCACCTCCACCACCCCTTCCAACGGCAACGACGATGACTCCACCCAAACACCAGAAACCTGCCGCATCTGCCGCTCCGAAGCCACGCCCACCGAACCCCTCTTCCACCCCTGCAAATGCAGCGGCAGCATCAAACACGTCCACCAAGAATGTCTAATGGAATGGCTCTCGCACTCGCACAAAAAGCACTGCGAGCTCTGCAAGACGCCGTTCCGCTTTACCAAGCTCTACAACCCGGATATGCCTGATAAGCTCCCCTGGGTCGTGTTCGTGAAACGAGCGGCGTGGCATGGGGTGTGGATGGTCGGGAGTGCGGGGAGGGGTGTGCTTGTTGGGATGGTCTGGTTGGTGTTGCTGCCTTGGCTGATTAGATGGAGTTGGAGGTGGATCTTTTGGGGTGCGGATGCGGGATGGGCTAGGGATGCGTGGGTGGGGAAGATGAGGAGGGAGGCTTTGGCTGCTGCTGAGCAGGGAAATGGGACGGTTCATGGATCAGAGATGAGTTTGACCAGTACTTCTTTTGGCCCTGCGGCCTATGAATTCGTTCTCAACATCTTCGGCTTATATCTGGGTACTGTCAGCTATTCTCCAGACGACCCAGCAACCTCTGTCTCGGACTCCCCAGTCGCAGATACCTCTCTTCTCAGTTCTTTCACCTACATTTCACAGCTCACCACCTCCCCCAACCTCAACAGAGTCATCCTCGACATCTTCGAAGGTCAACTAATCACCTGCGTGGTGATCGTGGGATTCATATTAGTCTTCCTGATCCGGGAGTGGGTGGTGCAGCAACAGCCACTTGTCAACCTCGACAATCTCAACAATGTGCAACAGCAAATACTGGAGGCAGCGGCGAGAGCGGAGGCGGAGAACGTGAGGTTGAGGCGGCAGCAGGAGTTGCTTGAGCAGGCAAGACGGAGGTTATTGGAGTTGCAGGCTGAATCGCAGGTGTTTGAGAAGGAGGGGTTGAGAGAGTGGAAGCAGATCAACGAATCGATCGATCTGGCAGTGCAAAGTTTGCACAGTCACAGCGAAGAGGAAAGACTCGAATTCAAGACTCATGTCAAATTCGTGCTGGAAAGTGTGAAAGTGGTGAGAGCACAAGAAATCCCAAGGCCGATTGTTGAAAAGCTCGCTATCATGTCCGACGACGACCGGGCTGCTTGGGATGCGGCGTATGGTGGCGAGCTGAGTCGACTCCTCGATCGTTGCGCAAAGGCTCAACCACAGCCCAAGCTTGATGACCCTGCGCAGCGCGCGACGGACCCTTACGCGGCGGCGGCTGATGCTCAAGATACGGAACCGAGCACTGATCTTGACCAAGTACAAGCAAACCCACACAGGCCTAGGATGCCCGATCGCGACTTCTCGAGCCGCGCGACGCAGATCCAGCGGTTATTGGAAGAGGCTGAAGGCATCTTCACTCCACAGGAGCTTGCTATGGCCAGAGATACTACACCACAAGCGCAAGCGGACACGAGTCCGAATTCGAGTCCGGCTGAGCGGCTTGAGCCCTCGCGAGCTGCTCAAGCGTCTGAGGCAGAACAAGAGGATGGTGATGATGAGCTGCCCATCACGAATGCAGGTCCAGATGCCAAGATCAACATTCGACGAAGAGGCTTTAAGGGCAAGGCGCCCGTGCTGTCCGAACCCAAGTCAGCATCGACCGCGGATGTGCTACGGAGACACGCTGAGGACCAGGCGCTGAAGAGGTTGGAAGACGAGATCAAGGCGGATGATGCGGCTTCCACCAGAGCTACGAGAGGGTCATCACGAAATAGTGATCACGAGAGCGCCGATGCCGAGCCTGCCGGTGACGATGTGAATGAGGGTGTGGCGCCAGCAATAGAGTCCGCCGCAGCAATCGCTACAGCACCCAACGAGAACCCCTTCCACCCAGAAGGTCCAGCACCGGACCCAAGCACGAGTACCCGAGCGAGTATAGGCCGAGATATCGCAACCGATGTCCTTGGTCTAGACGGTCCGGAACAGATCGACGAGTTCCATCAAGTTGCTCGAGCGGTTCCAACGCCACGTCCCGCAGCAGACGAACATAATATGCCCAATGATGGCGACGAAACTGAAGAGCAACCCCCTCGCCGGCCACAGGTTGCAGTTGGGATGTTCCAAAGGATGGTCGATTGGTTCTGGGGCGATATAGCGCTACCTCCCGCTGCGGCACAACAGGAAGCTGCAATACCAGCTGAAGAGGAAAGATTACTCCCCGGAGGGCAAGAAGCGCCGTTCGTGCCTGTGGCGAATGGTCGTCTCGTGCCCGCGGCTGTGGAAGAGGAGGAAGCACCACCACCATTTGTCCCAGCGGCAGCAGCCCATCCCGACCCGGACCTGTTAGCCGCAGCACAAGCCGCTGGTCTCGACGCTGACGCCATGGACGATGCGGAGGATCTAGAGGGGATCTTCGAACTCATTGGTCTACAAGGCCCTTTGCTAGGTTTGTTCCAAACAAGTACTTTCTGCACCGTCCTCGTCACGGGAACCGTGCTAGGAGCGGTAGGCCTACCGTATCTATGGGGCAAACTGGTCCTCTCTTTCATCGGCGACCCGATATGGTTCCTGATTAAGATGCCTTTGCTGACCATAAGTTTCATCGGGGATTTCCTCGTGGACCTCACCCTTCTCGCTGGTGGCTGGTCCGTACTGGTCTCTACCCTCGCCTCTGATCTTCTGCTCTCTCTCCTCGGACGCTGGGTAGTAAGGTTAGAGGATGTGAGAGTAGCAGCATGGATCGCGGATTTTGCCACCGCGACCGCGACAAAGAGCGGGACGAGACTGCAGCATTTGTTCCTTACGCAGGAGCCTATAGAGAAGGAGATTCTGAACTGGAATTGGGCCTTTCTGGGTGCGAGTGTACATGCGCATGCTTCGCTACGGCAGTTGCAGGGGGAGATCGATGGGGTGATGAGCTGGATGGGTGGGACTATGACGAGGGTTGTGGAAACTATCTCCTCTGGCTCCGTCATCGCGAGCTGCTGGAAGGGTCTACAGATGTTAGGTCGTGTGTCGGAGGTGCCTGCGCACGTGTCCACCATAGCGCAAGGTGTGAAGGAGTACGCCGCGCCCGTCATGCACTCCCTCGGCCTGCTTAAAACCGGCTCCATCAACTTCGAAACATCAACTTCCGCCCCTCTCGACCCAAGTCTAATCTACTGGTCCACCACCGACCGCACCCTCGCAGTAACAACCGGGTACCTCTCCCTCGCCCTCCTAGCCGCCCTCTACGTCGCCCTCGACACCCCCATAACCCGCTCCGAAGCCGGACGCAAAACCGAAAAGCAGATCCGCGATACCTTCAAACAAGCCGGCGGAGTTCTCAAGGTAATCCTAATCATCAGCATCGAAATGCTCGTCTTCCCCTTCTACTGCGGCCTCCTGCTGGACCTAGCATTCCTCCCTTTATTCCGCGACGCGAGCGTAGCCTCCCGTTGGGCAGGGGCGGGCACATCCCCGTACCTCTTCTGCTTTGCGCATTGGTTCGTCGGAACGTGCTATATGTTCCACTTCGCGCTGTTCGTGGGCATGTGTCGCAAGATCCTGCGGAAAGGCGTGCTCTGGTTCATTCGCGATCCGGACGATCCGACGTTTCATCCTGTGCGGGATGTTCTGGAGCGGAACGTCACTACTCAGTTGAGGAAGATCGCTTTCTCTGCTCTGGTGTACGGAGCGCTGGTTATCTTGTGCCTGGGAGGGGTGATCTGGACTATCGGCAAGATCTTCGATGGCATGTTTCCGATTCTTTGGTTGAGTACGGAGCCGGTGTTTGAGTTCCCGTTGGATTTGCTGCTGTATAATGCCGTTACGCCGCTGCTGGTCAGGCTGTTCAAGCCGAGCGACGCTGTTAGTGCTATGTATGCTTGGTGGTTGAGGAGATGTGCAAGGGGGTTGAGATTGTCACATTTTATGTTTGGGGACAGGAGGGTTGAAGAGGAAGGGAATTTCATTGGCAGAAGCTGGGTGCATTTCTTGACATTACGTGGCCCTGCTGATCTTGATACTGCTGCGTCAAAGGTGGCTGAGGAGACTAGGACCGGGGTCGACAATAATCAGGAGTCACCTAAGCTCCAATTCAAGAAGGATGGCAAATACGTCCTCACGCCCTGTAATGACCAATATCGACCACCGAAACCAGGAGAAGCTTTCCTGCATAACGAACCAGCAAACAGCGTAAACTCAGCCACATCAAACGAACAAGTGGAAAGCGAAGTCTACATCGCCGACGCCAACGGCAAGAAGAACGACCACTTCGCCAAAATCTACATCCCACCTTTCTTCCGTCTGCGGGTAACACTCTTCATGGTCTGTCTCTGGATCTTCTCCGCGCTCACCGGCCTCTGCGCTACTCTCGTCCCGCTGATCTTCGGAAGGAGGATCTTCCATGCCATCATGCCCGAGGCGATGCAGGAGGGCCGGATCAATGATATTTATGCGTATACTGTTGGAGCATACATACTGGCTGCCGTGCTGTACACTGTGCTCAAGGGCGCGAAGGCTCTCACTTTTCTGCGGGACAGCACCCCAAGGATCGATATCCGGGCTTGGACGGCACCAGTTGTGAGGTTCTCGGCTAGAGCGCTGAAGTGCTTGTACGTGTATGGGTTTGTTGGAGTGGTGCTACCGACGCTTTTCGCACTTATTCTGCAGTTCTACCTCATACTGCCGCTGCATACGTATGCCGTATCCATCGCTTCAACGGGCTCAAAAGATGCCATGGTCTCTGCATTGAATAGCACACTTTCGCTCAACTCAACAACCACCCTAGCAGATGCTGGTCAGAACTTCACGATCGCTGCCGGTGGCAAAGCAGGATCCATGGCCTCAAGCCTTCCTACGCTAGCAAGCCACACAATCCACATCCTACAGGACTACTGCCTCGGACTCCTCTACGTTCGTCTCGCAAGTCGCCTCGTGGTCAGCACCCCAACCTCCCGCGCAGCCGAAGCTTTCCGACGGATAACAGCTCAAGGATATCTGAACCCAGACATCAAGCTAGCCACACGGTTTCTCGTCCTGCCACTCGTACTCTTCGCCGCTGTCCTTCTGCTCGCTCCACCAGCTATGGCACAAGTATTCATCTCGACCGCAACCTACAGCTCAACCAAACTTGCCGGCATCCTTCAGGATGAGGTGAGGACGAAGATCTTCCGATACTCTTACCCTATCGCCGCCGCTATGGTAGTGGTGGGAGTCTGTGCAAGCGAAGTCGGCGAAGCGACGAGCAGGTGGCGAGCGAGGATCAGAGATGAAGTGTATCTTGTGGGTGAGCGGCTACATAATTTTGGGGAGAAGAGGCCTCCTGTAGGAACGATAAGTGTGCTCAGGAGGGAGAAATAAGGTGGAACAACAGCGGTGGTGTATGCCCTACTTTTGTAGCTGTGTTGTAGTATATCCCACTCGTGTATACAGTTCTATGCTCCTTGTCTGCACGTGACCACTAGCCGCACGCTTGACCGCAAGAGATCGAGCATTTCGCGTGCACAATCTTTCAGCTGAATCCCTGAGGATCAGCATTGTCAGCACGCCAACGCGAACCCGGTCGGGCTGTATTTTGAAGCTCTACAGGGCACGAAAAAGGGCACGATGTGTTCACATACTTCAGACCGACTCTCAGCTCATCGGTGCAACTCTGACACTTGACATTTCACCTCGAGATGGCGCTTGATTCACTCACGAGAGTACTCTTATTATCTGGCCTACTAGCCGGCTATACTTTGGCAGAATACTCACCGAATTTCGAAGGTGAAATCGAATACCAGGCCAATGTATCTGACATCAGCAACGCGTGCGCAGAATTGGTGAGCCTTCTAGCATGCTTTGCCCGCAACGAGGTGCTGATGATGAACCCAAGTGCTCTGTCTTATCCTCGACCTTCACTACCACAGTGGCCCTGAGAAACACGACATCATTCAAAGACAACCAGAACACGTACTGGTCCCAATTCCAAGCCGACGTTTCACCACAATGCTTCGTTCAGCCCTCGTCTGCGGAAGAAGTAGCCGCCATTATTGTGGAAGCATCGAGTAGAAATTGTCCCTTTGCAGTCCGAAGCGGCGGGCACGCTGCATATGTAGGCGGCTCTAACATCCCAGACGGTCTCACGATCGACCTTCGTCTGTTGAATGAGCTTACTGTTTCTGACGACCGCCTCACGACTCGTGTCGGGCCCGGCAATGTCTGGATCGATGTCTACGAGAAGCTGACACCCATGAATCTTTCTGTCGTGGGAGGCAGAGTGGCGAATATTGGTGTTGGTGGACTTACGCTTGGGGGTGGAATCTCGTGGTATGCTAGCAAGCGAGGATGGGCTTGCGATGGTGTGCGGAACTACGAATTGGTGACTGCGAATGGGGAAATTCTTGAGGTGAATCAAGAGTCGTATCCCGATCTTTATTGGGCTCTGCGTGGTGGTGGCAACAACTTTGGTATGCTACGCCCCAGAATCGGAAAACGAGATGACCGTTCATGCTGACCGTGATTCATGTAGGTGTTGTCACTCGATTTGATCTTGAGACATTCGAGCAAGGACAGATGTGGGGTGGAAGTGTATTCAACTCTGCCGAACACAACGCTACGCTGATCGATGCACTCGTTGACTTCAACGCCCACGCTGAAGAAGATCCCGATGCCTTCTCATGGGTCGCTCTTGTGTACGTTGATGATCAAAAGTCCTGGTTTGCAGCCACTCAGATGGTCCTTGCAAGACCAGAGCCCAATCCGCCGATATTCAAAGATCTAGCAGCAGTGGAGGGCTTCCACTCCTCACTACGGCCTACAAACATCAGCGACTTGGCCAAAGAACTCAAGGAGAGCAACCCGGATGGTCTGCGTCAAAATTGGTGGTCCATCACGTTCAAGAATGACGCCCGTATCCTCCATGCTGCTCATGCCATTCATTTCGAGGAGATTGAGTCGATCAAAGATGTGAAGGGCATCGTAGCTTCGCAGGTCATCCAGCCAATCACTCTGGACGTCATCAGAAAGTACTCCAGGAATGGCGGAAATCCTCTCGGCATGAAGGAGGAAGATGGACCGCTTCAGCTGATAAATTTGGCAACCATGTGGCTAGACGAGTCTCGCGACGAAGAAGTAATGGCGGTGCATCGTCGAATGATCGACCGTATGGTTGCGAAGGCGAAAGAATTGGGTGTGGACCATCCCTATATCTACCAGAACTACGCCGCAAAGGAGCAAGATGTCTTTGGCGGCTACGGTGAAGAGAATAGAGCACGTCTGATTGAGATTAGTAAGAAGTACGATGCGGAGCAGGTCTTTCAGCGTCTTCAGCCCGGGTACTTCAAGCTTTGATAGATGAGGGTCTCGTCAGCGGTGACGGGCTTTCGCGCCGAAAACTAGTGGCATTGCCAAATCGGGTTGTCTTCAACTACACCTATTGACTGCTTCTGCTTTGTGCCATTTGTATGTACGTCAGAATTGATAAAGATGTGTGTTCGCACCTTGTATGTTGTGCTAGTGGCGTCTCAGCGCCGGTCAAATCTCTCGGCGAGCTTCCATGCCTGGCTGGCCGAGCAATTTGGCTGCACGATCGATGCGTTGATGACGGGGATTGTTGTCACTGTTTCGTGGCCGTGGCCTGGTCTGTGATAGAGCATTGGAACAGCTCAGGGCATGCTGCACTCAACAATGAAGTCTGTACTCCTGGCTAGGAAGATGTATCCGATATTCGCGGTCCGGACCAACTCCTCGTTGCCGTCGACGCTCTCGAAACATACTTCCCGTCCAAGACGATGAACATGTGGACTTCGCGTATGACTTGCTGAGATGCCCAGGTCAAGCATGGCAGGCCATGGATCACCTCGGAGTTGAGCTCCGCGTTCGTCTTTGCGTTTCCTAGTGCTCGGAGGACCGTCCGACATCACTACTCGTGTGGATAGTGTGCAGCACCATACATCCATCATCATGACATGGCCGTGTCACTATACTCTTACCAAGACCTGAGTGGAGTGCGAGTGGTGCAGGCGCAAGACAGACTGCTGACGCATTTACCAGGGAAATGACCATTTCTACCGGGTTCACCATATGGTCAATTCGAGAGCGCGCTTGCAAGCCAGTCGTGGCACATGTATGCATCTCGATGCTGCCTCCCAGTACTCCTTGAAGAAATGATGATACACAGTACAGGCTCAGTATACCCCGCTTACACAGCCGCGTCGAGTGCACCAGTCTTCTCCAGAGTGACTCGCCATCCATCGTATTACTGAGTGGGAAGGATTGACAGTGGTCTCATCGACTTCGCTGTCCAGTGGCTACGGTCGTCCAGCATCTTTACGTCCATGGTTCAACAGCCGGGCTCGGACGTTGGAAAAACCTCTCTCTGTCGAGGTCAGCCACTTTGCTCGCCTGCCAAGCTCGCAGTCGATGAAATTCTGCTGGAGACTCAATGAACGTCAGGTTTAACAGGACGGACTGCACGAGCGAGCATTAGATCGGAGGGAAGTCGACAACATCTATCTAATGTGTGTCTCAAGGACACTAGCAGCCTGTGGCTCTAGCTTCGAAATCGGTCTCGAAATTTTCACGGCATAAGACCAGTGTAGCCTAGTACAATGGAGTCGGTCGTGCAGTCCGGAGCATGTAGCAGTAACAAACACTTCAGCATTTCTATCGATATCCTGCGTGCCGCACGACTCCCCGTAGCCGTAGCCGTAGCCGGTACACTCGCTATGACCGCGTACAGCACATAGGCACTCAGCAGAGCAGTCGTCGCCACAAGGTAAACTGCTTATAGGTAGCAGGGTCTCTGACAAAGGCCTACTAACGTACCCGAGTGGCCGAAGCATGCAGAACATAAGCCACCAAGGCCTGTGACTGATCAACAACCGCCACCTTGTTGTCAAGACTCAGAAACCCGATCTTCTACAACAGCCGACTGACCATGGCACTCTCCTCCCGACCAGAATACACACCACAGCAACTACATGAAGTTTACGAGCGCGTCAAGCTCCCCTCCCGATACCGATACGAACCAGGCGAATTCAGCAGAGAGGTCGTCAGACACCGCGACGGTCATGGCTTCCTGGGAGCACTGGTGAGCCACACCCTGGCTCACGTCCCGTTCGAGAACCTCGCGTTGCACTACTCGCCGCATCACCAGGTCTCGATACATCCGGGCGAGCTGTTCCAGAAGATTGTCACCCAGAGGACTGGACGGGGAGGGTATCGTCTTGAGAACAATGTGTTTCTGGGCACGGTGCTAAGGAGTATTGGATTCGAAGTGTAAGCCTGCGACCACCGCATTCCCACAACCACCGACCGCCTTGCACGGAGCCGACGATAAAGTTGACCATGAATTCCTGCACAGGATGTCCGTCGGCGCCCGAGTTAACGCGGAAGTGAAGAACACCGAGGACGAAACCGGCCGCTGCAGATTCGGAGGCTGGAGCCACCTGGTAAACCTCGTCACGATAAGAGGCGAAACCTTTGTGGTCGACGTTGGAGTAAGTCGCATCCCCGAGCCAAAGAGCCAGGAGCAAAAGGCGTAGAGGCGTGCAGGCGGCTAACCGCTTAACCATGACAGTTCGGCTCCGGCGGACCGACGCGGCCCATTGCGCTCAAAGAGGGCGCAACCGAGTTATCCTTCCCACCGCCACCGCACGTACGACTCCGCCGTGATGCAATCCCAGAAAACGAGCATCGTGGCAACAAACTCTGGATCATGGAGCGGCGAAGCGCAGACGATCGGCCTTGGACGGCGCTATACTGCTTTGAGGATAATGTGTGTTTTCTGCCCCAGGATTTCGAAGTCATGAACTTCTTCACCAGCACGCACCGGACGAGTTTCTTCACATATCGCGTCTTGTGCAGCAAATACATTCTGGACGATGAGGAGGAGAGGGTGATTGGAGAGATCGTACTTTATGAGAATAAAGTTACGAGGAAGATTGGAGGTGAGAGGGAGCTTCTTGCGACTTTTGCCACGGAAAGTGAGCGCATGGCGGCGTTGGAGAAGTATTTGGGTGTGACCTTGGATGCAGCACAGGCGACTGGTATCAGAGGCATGGTCACAGAGCTGGGGACTCCCGACCGAAATCTTGGACCGAACGTGTAACGATTTGATGATGAGCATGGAGTATGGGCGTGTATGAGCGTTGATACCACTGCATGGAGAAGGCGTCGTATTGAATCAGCATTCTAGTACTAGGCAGTGCACTATCGATACACACGAGGAGACTGTATAGCTATGAACAGCATCGAGCTGAACCATCATGACATTTGTTGCTTCTGCACATCCTGCTGGCTCAAGTAGTGGTGGTGCACTACCATACTCACGCCACTTTGGCAGTCCGCGCGTGGCCTTCGCCAGCTTCTTACCAGCACATTTTTGCACCTCACATCCGTCTGTGTCTTTCAATAATGGAAGCTAGAAGCAGAATACCATGTCGTCGAGCTTGCTGACAGGCCGAGCCTTGTCGTACCCGAGCGACTCAGTGGCCTTCTTCATAGCACTGACCATAGGTGGCGGACCACAGATGAGGATCTTGATATCGTTTGCCGGCGCAGGGAAGTGCTCCTAGAATAGTATCAGTATTGAGCAAAATGCAAGGACAAGAACCAACGCACCTTAATCATGTCCGCAGTCACAAACCCAACACCTCCACCCCACTTCTCAGGCGGGTTGTTGAGCACATAATTAACACGGAACTTGTTATCCTCGTCCTCCAACGCCCTCAGATCATCCCTGAGCAAGATGTCCTTCTCGTCAACATTGGCAAAGATGAGATCGACTTCCGTCTTGTCACCCTTGCTCCTTCCTCGCAGTATCGCCTTCACGACCTGCAACATGGGTGTGATACCAGTCCCGCCAGCAATCATACCGAATCGTCTGACCATGTTTGGCGTGTATACCATCGCACCCTTGGGACCCTTGACTTTCATGGTATCGCCAATCTTGAGCGTCGCGAGATGTCTACTGATGTTGCCAGTAGGGTAGGATTTGATGAGGAGATCGAAGTGGCCTGGTTCCCAATCTGAGCTGATGGGCGTGTACGAGCGTACCACCTCCTTGTTCTCCACCTTCTCCGTCTTGGGGTCTTTGACATCGAGGTTCGCGGCGAGGGAGATGTGTTGGCCGATGGGGAGGCCGAGGATGCTGTTTTGAGAGGGCAGGCTGAAACGGTAAATTGCTGTATTGTGGGAGATGACGGTCTTTTCAGTCAAGGGGAAATGTTGGAATTTGGTTGGGTCGAGGGCTTTCTTTTCCTCTGTGGTTTCAATGTCAGCGGATGTGAAGGGCGTTGTGCGGATGCTGTGGACGTGCGGTTTGTGAAGAACTGGTACCCTCCCAACGCCGCAGCGACGACAACAGCCAATGGTGTCCATGAAGCCTTGACGGCCGCAGTGCCGGCAATAAGTATCACAGATGGTATGTAGACGAAGGCGATGTATTGAGGTGCAAGCGGTCCGGTCGGCTTGGAAGTAGTCTTGCCAGACACGACGTCCGTCAAAGCCGTGAGGACCTCTACAATCTTCGTCATGGTTGCTGGGATGTCTCGTCTATACCGCAATGGCAATTTACAAAATTGTAGGGATCAGCGCCTATATGCGGCCCCCACGAAGACCCTCACCGAAAGCCGTTCATACTTTGCCATTTGTGGTAAGTGGGACCCGTCCGCACGGAACACTTCCGTTGACAGCGAGGTCTTCGGGACTGCATTTCCAGGTTCAATCGAGTTGATATCGGTGTTGAAGAATAAGACCAGTATGTCATTCTGTCACGTGAGCGGCACGATAATGGCGAGTGCATTGCTGTGATCGTGTCCCGGTAAGGAAGGCACGGTTCCGCAACCCAAGTATACAACGTCCGAGCTTCGAGGGTTTTGAACACCGTCTCGGTTTCTCAACGTCTTCTCCATTGTCCTATAACAGACGTCATACTACTGACCATCAAGCAGTATTATCAGACGCTTTGTAGCAGGACCGTCCACTCACCATGACAACCCCCAACCCAGAAGAAATAGACTATAAAAACCCGCCCTTTCCCCTAACAGCAATCGACCGCCAACTCCTCGCCACAAAGGATTCAGACTACCACCGTATAACCTGGATTGACCTCAAACAAATCATCGGCATGTGTCTCCCAGAACTCCAACCCAGAAACCACCACTAACATAACCCCCAGCAAAAAACACCCTAGAAGACCTAAAACGCCTCCCCTCAGACCTAAAACGCTACCTAGCCTGGTCCCACAACATCAAGGCCCAATACGGCAGTATAACGACCTTCGTGATCCGGGAACGACTACGCTGGACTCCCGAGCCATCACCATCACCATCATCCACGAAACCCGGTACACCATCCACAACAGACTCCGGACCACCCCTGTTCGCCCACCACTCCCCCATCCCCTTCGCGGACGAACGAGACTATGCAGTCCTACCAAACGACTGGCCCTATGGTTTCGAGCCCGGGATAACGCATCTACTCGTCTGGACCAAAACGCGGATTCCCGTCGATGAGGTCCGTGGAGATGTTACGGGTGAATCGCGGCAACTGGTTGAAGAATTTGTTGCAAGGTTCTTCGTCCGGGACTTGCGTTGTAAGGAGGATGCGGATGGGGATGGTGCGGACGCGAGGGAAAGGGTCCAGTGGTTCAAAAACTGGGTGGGGTTGCAGAGCGTGAGGGGTGTAGATCACGTGCATGTTCTTGTCAAGGATGTCCCGCAGGGAGTACTGGAGAAGTGGGCAGAGAGGAGAGATCTGTGAGCGCGGAGAACTCCACAGGTCGCGATCCGACAAATCACAGAGTGGATAGAAACCCTGACCAAGATGGAGTCTTTCCCAGGACGTCTCAAGAGAAGCTAGAATATCTGAAATAGAGCTCAAAGGGGCGAGGGCGAAACACTTCGCCAGAGCAGAAGTGGCGGCTCGTTCAAACAACCAGCCCATGCTTCCTCTCCCACTCCTCCAACCCCAACAAAAGCTGCCCCCCCATCTCTACAGCGCCCATACCATCCGTAATCGCTCCAGCACCACCAGCACTAGGAGCCGAAGTAATACTAGGGGCCAGGACAGCGCCACCTACGCCGCCATCGCCACCACCACCATCGACCTGTAACCCCGCCCTCGCCCGATCTCCAGCCAGCTCCGCCATCCCCTGCCTCACATGCTCCCTCATCCTCGCAGCCAACTGCTGCATGTCGACCAGACTCATCTCCTCGAACCCAACAGGTTGCTGTTGTTGATGCAACAGCTGCTGATGCTTCGACTGCGCGAGCCCGTTGAGGAGTTTATGTTTGCCCTTCCCTGGCTTACCTGGTGGTAATCGTGCGGTGACTTCTGGAGCACCGCCCGGGCTGTTCTTGTTGGTGCTATTGCTCGTGTTGGTGGGGTGGGAGTCGCCGTTTCCAGCTTGTTCATCTCCGCTGCTTGCGTGGCCGGTGGCGAGGTTGCGCTTTTTGCTGTGGGGTGAGGGGGCGCTGATTTGACCTGATAGCTCGCGGGCTTTGGTGTACTGGTTGTTGCCCAACTTCTTCACTTTCTTGCCCGGGAAGCGCTTCTGTGGAATCTTGTCTGATGCGGGATATGCGGGTGGACTCGGGGGTTGTGATGAAGGTGGAGGTGATGTTCGAGCGCTCGTGTCAGGTCGCGGGGTTTCGTCTTCATCGCCTTCTGGTTGGATTGATGTCAGTGCAGATCTGTCGAGACGTTTATCCAGCAACTCACCGTCCACACGTCTCCTACCCGCGCGTTCTTGTCGACGACCAGCAGCTTCAGCTCTTGCCCTTTCACGCCCAATCTCCTTGTCTTGCAGCTCGGCTTTCTTCGCAGATTGTACGGCATCAGCCCGGACCTTCTTCTGTCTGCTGGTCGTGGTATTGTCGTCATCGGAGTCTTCGTCTTCAACGGTATCGTTGCGAAACATCAGTTTAGTTGACTGGGAGGTCGTTCGCTGCCGCTTGATGTCCGTCTTCGTACTGCTGCTTTATCAGCCACGCGTCTCCATGTTCACAACTGTGCTATACGCACTCGTCACCAGCATCACGCCCTCGCTTGCCATTACGCCGACCAGTGCCATCACCAACCTCCTTCTTGCTCTCCTCCAAGGCTTGTCGCAGCTGCTCTTCCTCGTCATCATGCTCTTTGCTGCGCATAGTCGCACGTCGCCGTCCAGTGACTGGATCAGCGCTGGCGCGCGAGTTCGCCGAGTCTCGATCTCGTCTAGCATTGTCGCTTGATTTGCTCACCGATTGTTTGCGCTTCGCTTGCGGATGGAGTGGTAGATAGTTCGTATACTGCTGGCTGTTGGATAAACCTCTGTTAGCATTTTCGGCTTTCACTGCAGCTCGTCGAGGAGTCGAGGCTTCATGGTAGCGAGCCATCTTTGCATGCTGTCTGAGATATGAGTGGGAGGAACTGTAATGGTTGCGGTGGGCAAAGTGAGGGAGTGAGTGACAGATCACATGCCAGAGCAGGTCCTGATAGCCCTCGCCTGAACCTGCTGTAGCCGTCTCTCCCCGACTGCATGCCTGCCAAATAACACGAGTATCACCGCAAGCGTGAACGAATTTCCACATAGGAAGGAAGCGCAACATACCCTCGAGAGTCCATATGCGGATCATGCAGCTTAGGCCTGCACTCCTCGCAATAGTACTTATCTGGACACTGACTCTCCTCGGCAATCCCCACACATCCACCATGCTGCCAGACACTACAGCCATCACATTGGATGAACAGTCCTCCAACATCATCACCCTGCGCCTCGAGCCCACTAAAGACCTCGCTGAGTGGTGGGCCAGGATACTCCTGATGACCGCAGATGCAGCGCGTGATCTCTTCTTCATCGCCGACAGCTTCGTCAGCGTTCTCGTCGTCTTGCACCGCCTCTTCTTCCTTCGTGAGTAGGGCGCGTTGGCTGCGACGCGGCGGTTCGCTGACGTCTTCGCTGGAGAGGGAGTGTGGTGTTGCTGATTTCAGCTGCCCATTCGGTCGTGCGTCTCGATCTTGACGGCCGGACGAGAGGGAGGAGGCGGTGGAGTTTGTGGTTGGACCATTTGGCTTTGCTGGTGGTGGTGCTCTGGCTGAGCGACGCACCTCTGAGGGCATGGTGAGGAGCCCTCAGCGGGTGGTGGGGTTGATTTGAGTGGCTGTCTAGGCTGATACCAGACTGTGATGCTGGTGGAAGCAGCTGCACGGCTTTGTCAGAAGCACAATGGTCGTCTTTACTGCTCAGTCGCGCCAGACGCCCATGTCAAGGACGATGCTGGAGGCTTCGTGGATCAGTAGATTCTGCTGTCAGCTATTCCAGAGCGTGGGCAGGATGCGAACTACGTCGTGAAAGGTATAGAATGTGCTAGGGAGAAGATCGGATGGTGCGAGAGAAGGAGATGGCATGCAGACCACAGCGCTCTCGCCCGCACTTTGAGATGGCAGCAGCAGAATCGCCGACGCTGAGAGCTTCGGAGTAGATTCGCCGACTGCCGACATCTGATTGGCTTGACCATTTTTGCCATCATTATCATGGCCTTCGTGGTCTGCAGAAGAGGAAGATATGATAGGTAGCAGGCGAAAGTGATCGTGTTGTGAACCTCGACCGTCTGATGTTTTCGCGTATGTTCGGGAATGGTGCTTGATAGAAAAGCTCGTGAGGATCAGGTCTCTGCTTCAGCGCCGGTGTAGAAGCCGATCCGGAAAAGCGCCAAGCAATATCTGACGTCAAGCTGACTGAAGCAGATGATCCGTCAATGAGGCGGAGAGGATCATGTCGTGTTGGGAGAGAGAGGAGACCAGGACCATGCATATCAAAGGATGTTACGACAGACGTCCTCGTGTTGTCAGGACACAGAGCCACAGTACCAGGGTTGGAGCTCGTCATTCAAAGGTGGTAGAACAGAGCTCCGAGCTTGGAGCCTCTGGTGGACAAAGACCCTGCATGACGACTTCACGGTCCAGGGGCGGTATGAAAACGACAGTGGGATGAAATGAGAGATCCATGCTTCAATCATGCTAGACCATGACAGTCATCCATGCGCTGGAGAATGATGCGCATCGAGCGAAAATTCGTGTCGGGTACTCACGCAAGTACCTTCTCAACCACCATCCCATACCACGATGCCGAGTCCGCAAGAGGACTTCGCTCTAGGCAAGACCATATAATCCCGTCCTCCGCTAACCCCATACGCACCACATCCTCTCCTGACTCCCTCACTCCCTCACTCCCTCAACTCCTCACTTCCCACCCCCGCCTCCACTCAATTGCCCCTCCACAAAATCCAACGCCTGCTCCCTGCTAACAACATCAATCCCACTCGCCTTCCCCAAATAACTAACCCCATAACACTTATCCGCCACAAGTAACATCTCCGGCCTGAAAGTCGTACAAATGAACTGTCCGCCCTTCGCACTCTCCCTCAACATCTCCGCCACCGCAGTCCTGTACTGCGAGTCCAGATTCGCATCGATCTCATCGAAAAGATAAAAGGGAGCGGGATCCGAGGCCTGGATGGCGAAGATGAGGGTCAAGGCGCAGAGGGATTTCTGTCCGCCGGAGAGCTGCTGGATGCGTTGTTGGTCGTCGTGTTTGCTGTTGAAGGAGACGGAGATGCCGACGCCGGTGTAGGAGTCCACGCCCGTGTTGGCGTGATCGTCTTCAGCTTCACTTTCATCTTCGGCACCTCCTACTCGGGTCGCTGTGGCGCGATCGGTACGGCGTTGGATGATCAGCCGCCCCTTTCCAGCCGGGACGAGACGCTCGAAGATCCGAGCGAATTCGCGACTAACTTGCCGGAATGTCCGTTCGATCGCCTCATCTTTCTTATGATCCAGATGCTCGATCAGGTCATTGATAGCAGTAGCCGAGGTCTCGATCTCCGTCTGCCTCCCCTCCAGCATCTCCCTCTGCTTCTCGAAACTCGCAAATTGCTCAAAGGCCTTCTTGTTGACATGGCTGTACTTCTTCAGCGCATCCTGGACTTTGTGGAGCAGATTCGTCGCTTTATTGGCCGGCATGGCGGTGTAGGGGGCTTTGAACGCGACGTCTGGTAAGGCGCCTAGGTTGCGGACTTGGGTGTTGACTTCCTGCAGACGATTATTGAGCGCTGCACGCTTCTGGGCTCCTTTCTCCACGGATTTCTGGTGGTTGCGAATAGCACAGGTGAGATCCTCAATCTGCTTCGCCTTGGTCGTGCGAGATGCTTCGGCGGTCTGCAAAGATTGCTGCGCTTCCTCCAAGGCTACTTCGTTCTCGTTGAGCTTCTCTTGTATGGTACTGAGGTTCTGAGTCGCGCGCTTGAGATCCCTCTGCCGCTCCTTCAGACGCGCATCAGTGTTGCCAGCACTACTGACGTCGTCCTCTGCGTCATCCGCAAACAGTTGATCGAGACGAAGGCGCAAATTATCCCGTAGCTCGAGCTCGAGCGTGGTCTTCTGACCTTCAAGCCCCGATCGCTCGCTGCTAATGGCATTGAACTGCTTGCGCAAGTCCGGCAGCTCCACGTTCAGAGTCTCTAGCTGCTGCTCCTCATCATTTGTCAGAGCTTTCTTAAAGTCACTGTTCATCTCGTTCTCGTAACCAGCCAATTGTTCGCTCTGGATGCGAATGTTCTCCTCCACAGTGTCACGTTGACGCTGCTTGCCATCAAGCTCATCGCACTTGGAGTGGAGCGTGCTTTCAATATGTCGAAGCTCGTCGCGCTGGGGTCCATACCCGTTCTCAAGCTGGGTGCGCCTTTGTTCAACCTTCTGCAGGTCACTCATGGCTTTGGTGACCCGCTGCATGATCGCGTCAATCTCACGCTCAACCTCATGCTTTCGGCTAGCGTGTTGCTCGTACTCCTCGCGAGCCAGCTTCTCGCGCTTGATGGCGACCGTGCGAGAGCTTTTGGGATCATGCCAGCCACCAGTCAAAGCACCCTTCTTGTCCGAGCGGTCACCATCCGGCGTGATGGCGGTGAGGTGATGAGAGCGTGCATACTGTGAGGCGACCTGGATGTTCGGGCATACGATTGTCTTGCCAAAGACTTGTTGGAAAGCAGGATCGTAAAGCGGATTGTACTTCAGCTTGGTGACGAGGTGTACGGCATCACTGGCTTTGGGAATGTCCACGTTGCGTACTCTGATGCGATTGAGCGGGATGAAAGTTAGTCGTCCAGCGTTCTCCTTCTTCATGATCTCGATCAGTCGTGAAGCCGTCTCATCAGTGTCAACGACATAGTTGAACAAAGATGTGCCGGCAGTGACTTCGACAGCAGTCTTGTACTTGTCGTTGAAGTCGAAGAGCTCGCCGAGCGGGCCGTAGGTGCTCTGAACGTTGTGCTCGCGGATAATGCGACGCACATTCTTTAGTCCACGACTTGTAGCTTGGTCCATCATGCGACTCAAGAACTGCTCAGCCTTTTCATGCTCCTCCTTGGCTCGCTCGATGACAGAGTCAAGCTTTGCTTGCTCCCGCCACAGCTCTTTACGCTCGTCATGAAGACGATCGCGCTCTTCTTTCGCACGAGTCACTTCACCAGCGATGGTCTGCTGCTCATCGCCACGGTTCTCGATGCGCTGGCGACGGTCGGCAATCTCCTTCTCCAATTGCTGTATCTGTCCTTCGAGCTCATCGATGTTTTCACGATGGCCCATGGCGACAGCTCTGCGTTGGCCAAGCATGTTGTTGATCTCCTCGATCTGAGTACGCAGCCATTGATCGCGATCGCGTTTGTTTTTGAACTGATTCTGACGATTCTGCTTGTTGTAGAGCCGTTGAAGTGTGGCTTCGGCATCTGTGATCTGCTGCTTCAGAGCACGCTCCTCGAGCTTCTTGTCATTGTACTGTGGCACGATCTGGGCAAGCTCGGCCTCACGTTGGGCGATCTGCTCCCGAACGCTGCGCAGATCTGCAGTATGTTGTGTGCGTACTTGCTTTGATGTAGCCTGGTTATCGGACATGGTCTGAACATCCAGCTCCACTGCGGCCTTCTGCTTCGCACCATCCTTACGATCGTCCTCAAGTGCTGTACGTTCGTCCGACAATTGTTTGATCTGCGTCTGGAGGTCGCTGATTTCGGTTTCGATGTCCTCAAGCTCGACTTGGCAGCGGTCTAATGCCTCACGATCCTCTTCCGTCTGTTCATTACCACCCTCGCGGTCTTCTTCCAGCTTGTCGAGAGCATCTTGTAGAGCTTGTTGATCTTGGCGATGAATACAATGCTCTAGACATCTCCTCTCACGGTCCCTTTCTTGAAAAGCACGCAACTCCTCCTTCTCCTCCTCGAGCTCCTCCAATCTTCCGCGAATGTGGTCTAGCGTCTCATCGACTCTGCTACGCTTATGCTGCGTGTCCTCCATGAGCTTCATGCTCTCCGTGCGGCGTTGATCGTAGGTCGTAGTACCAGCGACCTGCTTCAAGATCTCCAACCTCTCGGCATCTTTCGCGTTCGTCAACTGTGTAATTCGTCCTTGTGGTACAATGTAGTAGGGATTGCTTCGACTAAAGCCAGCCGTCTCCAGCATATTCATGACCTCCTGCTTGGTCGTGTTCTTGCGGTTCAAGCTATACTCATCCTTCTTCTGTCCGATCGTGCGCCGAAGGACAACCTCAGGCGTGTCTGTGGGAAAGCGGCCATCGCTGTTGTCGAAGATGATCTCCACGTACGCGCTCATCACTGCCGCGCCATGGCCTTCGTGGAGGAGTTGTTGTCGATCTTCTCGTCCCATCTGCGTGTATTGATCGCTGAGCACGAATCGAATGGCGGCGAAGAAGTTACTCTTCCCAGATCCATTGCGGCCGACGATGACATTGTGGGCGGGCGAGAAGGGTTCGACAACTGTCTGGTCCTTGTAGGACTTGAAGCCTTGGATGATGATCTGCTTGACGAACATCGTGGGCGGCAGTCGTGTATGATCAGTGAGGGTGTCGCATCATTGGTGTCTGTTTGATAAAGTGCTTATGAGACGCGTTTCGTTCGACGCGTAGAGAGGAAGTGGGGCCAGCTTGGAGTTTGGGGCTTTCGCTTAGTCAGGGATGTGAAGCGAGTCATGTGAAGTTCTGGTGCTGGAATGACGAGTGAAGGAAAACCGACCTTCGAGATATCGCAATTATCTCCAAAAGCAACAGGAATTACAGCACTCCCAGCGACAGCCACAATGAAGCGAAAAGGATCGCCCAGCCTTGAGGAAGACGCCGAGTCGTCGAAGAGACGCTTCGCCGAAGAGGAAGTTGCGACGGAGACTGGCGACGACACCACACAACCACCACCAGCAGAGTCAGAGCCAGTAGCACCAGCTCAGACCGAAGACGCGGAAGACGCATCGACTACTACTATGTCCACCGACCGCGCCGCCCGCTTCGCTGCCCTCCGCGCCCGCAACCAGGCCTCACGCAAAGAGAATCTGAAGGAGACGAAGAACGAGGCCAAGCGAGCCTCGACCGACCCAACCCAACTGACAGCCCTAAACCGTAAACGCGACATCGCCCAGCACAAACTGCTCAAAGCCGAAGTGGAAGAAAGCGGGGAAGACTTCGAGCGCAAACGCGCGTGGGACTGGACGGTAGAGGAGAGCGAACGCTGGGACAAGAAATTGGCCAAGAAGGAGCGGGCACGTGATAGTAATGCTTTCCAAGACTACTCGACCGAAGCCGGAAAAATATACAAACGCCAGATCGATATGATGGAGAAGGCGGGGTGGGATGATCGCAAGGAAGCCTACGAGCGAGAGAAAGCCTCCTCGCTCGACCGCGCAATCCAAAACGGCGGGCTCGAACTCGTAGAAACACCAACAGGCGAACTCATAGCCGTAGACAAAGACGGCACCTTCTACAGCACCGCGGACAGCACCTCGCACATCACGAACAAGCCCGACCGAGCGGCCGTGGATCGCTTGGTAGCGGATATCAAGAAGGCGGAGGAAGTGCGGTTGAAGAAGCGGCGGGAGAGGGGAAAGGATGACGGTGAAGGGGAGAGGGACGTCACGTTTATTAATGAGAAGAACAAGCAGTTTAATATGAAGTTAGCGCGGTTTTATAATAAGTATACTGCGGACATTCGTGAGAGTTTTGAGAGGGGGACGGCGATCTGAGTGGATTAATCCTGTGGTTGGAATGGTGTTGGATCCTTTTTATTCGTGGATTGGGGATGTTTCTCTTGGTGGAGGGAATGGGAGTGCGGCGAGCTGCGACAACTCTTATATGCTAGTGCCGCAGGACAGCCTGGGCGTCATGATTCGATGCATATCGGCAAAAAGCACGTGCGAAACTGTCCTTCTCGAGTCTCCTACCGTGGTACTCGACCCGTGTCTGGTAATGCGAGCGATAGATGTGGCAGTATCAATATGTCTCGAGAATGCTGTACCCTCGGTCTGCAGAGCCTCAGGTAGGACATAACCGGGACATTGCCCAGGCAAGATGGCACTCAATCACACCACGAACCTCTCCCTCCCCAAACCCTGGCTCCCATGACCCTCCTTGACCGCCCGACTCCAAGCGAAGACATCCACGCCCCTCGCACTCTTGCACCCCCTGACCAAACCCGGGACACCCATGGCAGCAGCCTCAAGGTCAACAGCCGGTGCTTCCTCTGCTGCCTTGCCGTCACCGGCACTCCGCGTCTCGATCAGCGCCTGTACAACTTGGTTCTGCTGACTATCCTGCTCAGTAGCGAAGTACAAAATCGTGCTAGCTGGGATCCGTTCCAGGATCTGCGCTACCACATTGAAGTCCTTCAGCCGGGGGATATGCAGTGGTGCGAGGACCTGACTCGGCTGATTACGGCGGTATATGCTCGTCAATCTGAAGGTCTTGAGGCTTGTCAAAGCAGAGAAAGCATCAAAGTCGACGTCCGCATAGCTAGCGTTGAAGTAGTCCGTACAATCCAATATCACGCAGAAATGCCGTAATCGTTCCAGTACCGGTTGTGGTAATCTAGTTTCCGAGATCGTAGGCCAGCAAGTATCGTGAGCGTTGACCGTGAGCATGACTTCATTCTGATCGAGCAGGATACTCTGTGCTTCGTGGTAGATCCTGTGGTTCGTGGCGAGGAGAGCTGGAGTGATGGCTGGGACTACTGCTTTTCGTCCAATGTTTGTTGAGGTGAGGTGTAGGACTCCTTTTGGTGCTAGCGCCATCTCGTAGATGCGAAGACGAAGTTCAGATGGGAGGTCGAAGAGACGGAAGGGTCCTGGCCATGTTGACACTCTCGTCGATACTTGTGCTTTCGATTGAGCTGTCGAATTCCGTGTAGCAAATGCGAGGCCGACTTCGTCCAGGCTTAAGGCGAAAGCTCCAATATCTGACTCCATAGCTTCGGCTGGTCCTGATATGGTCAGTTGGATCGAATGTGTAGTGATTGTTCACTCCGTCACGCAACGACGTTTGTCGACGAGACGATGCATCTTAAGCCGAGATGGCAACTGCTATACTGCTGCCTCTCGCTGACCAAGGCGAAGTCGCGTGATAGACTGCATGCTAGCGCCAGGCGGATAAACGAAAAGCATTCATCGTCGGTTGAACAAGATGACGAGCGGTGAGAATGTGGTCCGAGCGCCGTACGCACGTTTGGTATCGATACAGCAACTGTCAATGGATGCCCTGGCTTCTAGAAAATTATCAACAATGGCACCATCAATTTTCAACGCAAACGCACGCCTGCAACATGCAAACCATAAGCACTGCTTTCCTTCGTGTGATTGCATCGCATGTCCCGGACTCCTGCACGCCACACAAGGCGTAAACAGGCCAACGATAAACCCAGCACGGTGAAACACGACAATAACAACGACGAGGACAAGATGCTCAACAACACCTGGTCCGAATACCTGACGATCCGCCTGGTGATTCTCTTCCTCCACTCCCTCGCCCCGCTATGTACAGTGTACACCCTCACCCTCCTCCGCCGCGCCTTCTTCGCCCGTCGCTTCAGCCAACCAGTCTTCACGACTCCATTCCAACTCTACTGCGCCGCGGAAACAACCTTCTTCGCTTTCACTCTCTGGTATCGTGGACGTCTCCAACGCGAAGCCGTCCACCCACCGCTCAGAAGCAAGGAAGACAGGAAGAAGTTATTCGACAAAGTCAGATCTGAGATCCATGATCCGCAGAAGTTTCTCCAGGGATGGTTCCGAGGCGCGAAGATCGAGGAGATAGGACGAGAGGACCTGAGGGAGTTCTTGAGCTGGGCGTTCTTTGAGGCGAGGACGGATGATGAGAGCGAGGGGGAACTCGAGGCGCTGGTGGGCAAGGTGGAGAAGATGATGGGGAGCTCGTTCAAGCCGGGTAAGGGAGGTGCGAAGAGTTTGAGACTCACGTTGGATCCTATTGAGATACAGTGGAGGAGTTTACTGTGGTACGGGATCATTATGCTCGTGGACACGATCGTGCATGTCAGGTTCTTGGTGTATGGGTTCGGGTACAGGAGCACGAGGGGTGGGAGCTTGAGTGTGTTTCCGCCTAGGCCACTGCCGGCTGTTACAATGGCGGTGGGGAAGAGGAGTCCAGCGGAGGGAATTTCGTATTGGGTCAAACGCCATACGTCGACTACAAGGCTGCCGGTGGTATATATTCACGGCATTGGTGTCGGGTTGCATCCTTATGTGGAGTTTCTTCACGAAGTCGACCGTGCGACAAACCATGGACACGATGCGAAAGACCAGGTCGGCATCATCTGCATCGAAGTCCTGCAGATCTCCTCGCGTCTCACGCACAGCATGCTCACCCGCGCAGACTTCCTGGCGCAAACCACCAAGATCCTAAATCACGAGCAAGGATACAACCGCTTCGTCCTGATCTCGCACTCCTATGGCTCGGTCTTCAGCACACATATGCTCACCGACGACACCATGTCCAAGCGGGTCGCAGCCACCTTACTCGTGGATCCCGTGACGATGATCCTGCATATGCCGGACGTGGCGTACAACTTCACCATCCGCAAACCTACTACAGCGAATGAATGGCAATTATGGTACTTCGCCTCCAAAGACCCCGGCGTCGCACATACGCTTGGTAGACATTTCTTCTGGAGCGAGAACATATTATGGCGTGACCGTATAGCTCATCTCGTCGAGAACGGTATACGCGTGACGGCTAGTCTTGCCCGCCGGGACTTGATCGTTGATACGGAAGCTGTGGGAGCTTATTTGATGGAGAAGAAAGTTCTGGACCCGGTTGTGGTGAAGGAAGGGAATGGGAAGACGAAGATGGAGCTCAGTGTCAATGAAAAGGATGGTCGAGAGGACGAGGACTGGAAAGTGAGGAAGTGGAAGGGTAAGGGGTTGGAAGTGCTGTGGTGGGATGATCTGGATCATGCGCAGGTTTTCGATAATAAGGATGACAGGAGGAAGCTTGTTGAGGTTGTGAGGGAGTATTGTACGAACGAGTAGGGTAGGTTGTAATGAATAATGTCTGATCGATATAGTCGACTGTCTCCATATATGTCGATTTCCTCGGTCTTGCCGCATTTGTTAGGCCCTGCAAGCGCTTTAGCGATGATGGCGTCTTGGCAATGGCATTGGCGCATACAGTTCGTGTTGGTTTTTTGCGATGTTCATTGTCGCATACATGGTCGAGAGGAAGACTCGTCTCAGGAGCGAGGGAGACGAAGGACAAAAACCACAATGGCCTGGCGATAACACTTGATTACGTCGTCTACCTTTCTCATCGCCCACGATGCCGCTGCTCATCTCCGCCCCATCGGTCAACTCCCGCTTTGCCCAACTCGTGATTGCTACGATACTGCTTCTGGGAGTATTCTGGTATATCACACCTTCCTTTGAAGCGGCAAGGCATATCAGTATACCAGGCCTACGTCACCCCGCCGCGCCATCGGAGCCGAAACCTCTGGCTCCAGAGCATGAAAGCAGTACTGGAAGCAGCAAGACGCCAGCACTGAAGCCTGACCACCCGATTGACCACATCATTACAACAGCCGAGAAAGAGTATAACGAGCTCCTCCAACAGGAGACGACCACAGTAGATGATGCAGCCAAAGCCTACAAGGAAAGAAGAGGGCGCAACCCCCCACCCCACTTCGATGCGTGGTTCAACTTCGCCCAAAACCACAGCACCCTCGTCATCGAATCCTTCTTCGACCAAATCTACACCGACCTTGCGCCCTTCTGGGGCGTGCCCGCCAAGCAGATCCGTGAGCAGGCGAACAGCTTCGAGCATAGGATCAGTGTCAGAAACGGGAATGTCACGAAACGGACGGATATCGAAGTAAGGGCCTGGCTGGATCTATGGGCGGATATGGTAGGGTCGGTAGCAGAGTGGTTGCCGGATGTGGATTTGCCGATCAATGTTATGGATGAGTCGAGGTTGGTGGTGCCGTGGGAGGAGATTAATGGGTATATGGGTAAGGAACGGGAGAGTAGGAGCGTATTGGAGGATGAGGAGTTGGAGATGGCGTATGGGAGTACGGCTGCGTTGAAGAAGCTGGATGCTGAGGCGAAGAAGGACGAGTTTTATGATCCGGGGTTTGAGGGTATGGGTCCGTACTGGGAGTTGGCGGTCGTGGGATGTCCACCCGACAGTCCGGCGCGGAAGGCATATATCGAGACGGACTTCACTACCCCTCTCCACCTCACCGGCGGCTTCCCACAAGGCTCGTACCAAGGCTACGTCCAAAACTGGACCCTCGCCACCTCCCCATGCGAAAACGCCCAACTCCAAGGTCTCCACGGCACATTCGTCGAACCGATCTCCATCGCCACGACCAAGACATTCTTTCCTCTGTTCGGTGGCAGTAAACTACCTATGAACAACGAAATTCTGCTCCCACCAGCTATGTACTGGACAGACGACCCCTTCTACTCCGGCGGCGAAAGCCACGGAAGTGCATGGGAAGAGAAGAGAGCCGGCCTCATCTGGCGTGGCGCTGCGAGCGGCGGAAGGAATAAAGAGGAGAACTGGCGGCGATTCCAACGCCACCGCTTCGTGAGCATGGTGAACGCTACCTCCCTTTGGCATGCGGAGACGACTGGAGTCGGACCGCCTAACTTTGTCCTCCCAGCCTTTAATCCGTACGATCTCGCTTCCACGCCCTCCGATAATGTTGGTGGCTCTTTCGCAGACTGGGTAGGCACCTGGTCCAACGCAGCAGTCGTGCACCTCCTCTGCTTTCCCGACCCGAGCCCCCCTCACTGCTCCTACACAGACCCGTACTTCACAGTAGCGAAGGCCATGCCCATGTCAGAACAATACAGCTACAAATACCTCCCCGACATAGACGGAAACAGCTTCTCCGGCCGCTACCGAGCGTTCTTGTTCTCGACGAGTTTGCCGATCAAGGCGACGATATATAAAGAATGGCATGATTCCCGCTTAATACCGTGGAAGCATTTTGTGCCTATGGATAATTCTTTCACGGATATTTATGGGATTATGGAGTACTTTTTCGGGAACGGGAAGGAAGGTGTGCTGGGCCATGATAAGGAGGGCAAGGGAATCGCGGAGGAAGGGAAGAAGTGGGCGGAGAAGGTTTTGCGGAAGGAGGATATGCAGGTGTATGTCTTGAGGCTGTTGTTGGAGTATGCGCGGTTGTGTGATGATAACAGGGAGAAACTGGGGTGGAGGGGCGAGGGGGTGGGTTAAGGTATGGACTGTGATACTGTCTGTTGTAGCAAAGTATATACAAGCTCTTTTCGGTCTGATACTGCTACGTGTGTCTCTCAGAGTGGAGGGATCGGTCCAGCTAATCGGGGCGGAGGCGGACGCCAGGGTAATTTGGGTTTCCCGTTGATCAATTTCGATGTGGACAGAGGCGTGCTCTTATCTGTCTTTGCAGCTCGCTCCACTACAAGGGTATACCGCAGATGATTGTAGAATTCACCTCGTGTCCGCTCCGTACGCTTGTAGCTGACACTGATCTGGAGCCTTTCTCCTCCTATCGTGACGGTCTCTCGTGTCCTATTTGCGTAGTGCCCATCTACTTGGGCTCGTATGCAGGTGGTGAGCAGGGTCGCAACGGCGTGGTCTGCAGTCTGTTCTAGGTCCGTTACAAGTTTGCCAATCACCAAACATGGTCGAGTGGGTTGCTCGGTGTCGATGGCAAGTGCTATGGTGAGTCGTTGTGCTGGGATACCCGCTATTTGCAAGGAAGCGGCGAAACGCAGTGTTTCTTGTGCACTAGCAAACTGTCGGCACCAGCAGCGTTTCGCCAACTCCTTCCAGAAAGGCTCCAGAGGCCATGTCGTGACAACTTTTGTGAGGTCCTTAGGCTTACATACATATTCGATCTCCCATACATCCGGCGCTTCCATTGGGCTGTAGTGCTGGGCGATCCGAATCGTGCTCCTGATCGAAGGAAACACCTGGCTCGTGAAGTAGGGAGATTCCAAGAGGATAATGGCAAGACGCACTCCGACATCCAGGGAGTAAGGTGCCATACGACGGATTTCCGACCATCGAAGTAAGAGGCACACCTTCCTGACTTCATTGTGACCCTCTAGGACTGCCAGACAGAGGTTCGATGGCGATAATCGCACAATGTCCGTTTCGCCGATCTCAAGGTATGAGGGCAATAGTGTAAGGCTGGAGCCGTCTCGGGGCAGTGGGCTGAAGCCAGGATCCTGTGAGAATCCATCTGCATTCGTCGCTAAAATGCCGTATTTGAAATCCCGACGATTTGCAAGCGACCCTGGCCAAGACCAGCACAGAATCGAAATGTCCGCCGACACTCTGATGACTTCTTCCTGCAGCCGTTTGAACGCCTTGTTTCCCTCTCCGTAAAGCAATGGCATGTTGATGTCTAGCAAGCCCAGCAGGCAGTATGCGGCGTCTTCTATCCTCGTAGTAGTCCGTGTAGCTGCCCATGATAATCGTAATGCAACTGAGCAGTTGCGGACAGTCTGCGGGCGTACGAGAAAGCCAGGATCGATTCCAGTAATTGAATTGATGTGAGAGCTTAGGTCGCGTTTACTTCCAACCCATTGCCACGTCTTGTCGTAGAACTCGACGACTCTTGGCGCAAGTAATTCCTGTAGCGTCCTCGAGCACGAGTCAATATCGATTTGCATCGCGCAAAGGCGACCAATAGGACTGCTACACTCACCATCCACGTCCAAACCAACCGCTCGAAGAGAAGCCTTCCACTTTCTGCGCATTACCCAAGGTTATCAGGTCGGACTCAGTGACAACGCTATCCTTTTTTACTATCTCTATGTCGTCCAGATAAGCATAGCATACTCGAGCATTAGCATACCAGGTCCACATAGAATTGATCGCCTCCTGTAGTTCAGCACTGCTCTCCTTATTAATACAGCACGTGTCGATCCAGCAAGTTTTCCAACCATCTTTTCGCGCCTGGTGCATACACTTGCGCAGTTTCCGGTACCCGGGTTTGTTCTCGACCTCGACGCTGGGCTGCTGCATGTCCTGGAAGGTGACCTCCCCGTCACGCCATCGATGCGATAGGATAGCGTACGATCCTGCTTCGCTGGTGAGGACTTGTTTCAAAGCTAGTTTGCCGTCCTTGTCCGTGTAGAGGAGATGCATTCCAAGAGGATTACGCTCGCACCAGATCGCCGATCGTGACCAGCGTAACGAGCAGGTAGCTTTTGTAGAAAGCGTACTCGCCGCGGTCAGTCCCTTGTGATCACCGATCTTGACATCGACTATGCCCCGTCGCCGCGCAGAGATGAAGACTGTTCAAGAAATGAGGTCAAACCAGACATATGACCGGTCCTTCGGTCCAGCAGAGTATAGCCAGTGGCCTCGCAGAATACATGCAGCTGTAGACAGAAGTTAGTAGCCTACGGAGGATCACCCACGATACACGTCAATCGTTCAGCCTTGGTCCAGTCTGTTGACTACGTGCAGCACCGGCGCCACCCGAGGTACATGCAGCTCTGGGCAGCCAAGAAGGGCATATTCTACCGACTGAGGTGCTAGATAGAGCATACTTCGTACCAACGGTGTCGGAATAGTTTTGTGGTCGTAATAGGGCGAAACACGAGTTGTTTATGCGAATGTACGGAATATTATGGAGGTGACGGGAGATTGTATGACAGCTTTGTCACGTGATTCTCGGATGGAGAAAGAGGGATTGTGGCTGAGGCTTCTGCGCCACGCGATGGCAACCTCTCAGAGCTTTGCTTTGCTGCAACCAAATCTATGCAAACAGGTCCTTCAAAATTTCGATCGAGTGAATGCGTCTCTGGTTGTGTGAATCATCGAGGCTCATAGGAAGCGTTGCATTCAGACCATCGCTGCATAAACGATTTGTCCGCTCGAAATTTGCAAGACGCTTGACTCAACCAAGAGTCACACGGGAGACATACGCCTATAACAGAAATCCTCCTTTAGTCGGGGGAAGTGCTTCGACTTTTAGCAACACGATCATGGCCGCTCTTAATGGAAATTCACACGACGGTCCTGCTCTGGACATGAATCAAATCACAGCACAGCTACAACATCTCGGACTATCGCAGCCACCATCATTTCCGGGAGTCCTGCTCCACCCCGAATACAATCCAGTCGATATCTTCCGGGCGTACATCATCGAGCAGCTGCACAGGATCACTGAAGCGGACCCGGCCATCATCAACAATGCTCTGGCATGGACAGCAGATCAGAAACACGGAGATCTTGTGCTACCAGTCCCGGCATTGCGATTGAAAGGCAAGAAGCCAGACGGACTAGCTTCAGAGATCGCTGAGAAGTTCGAAAGCCCACTTGTTCAGAAGCCAACCGCTGACAAGACGTTCGTGCGCTTCTTCTTCGAGCCCGAACCTCTCGCCTCACTAACCCTGAAGTACATCCCCAAGCACAAGACGCAATATGGTTTCAATCCTCGACTTGGCCTGGAGGATCCATCGAAACCGGGCAGCAAGCGGAAGAGGCTAATCGTCGAGTATTCTTCACCAAACATTGCCAAGGAGTTTCATACTGGCCATTTGCGAAGTACGATCATTGGCGGATTTCTGAGCAAGCTGTATTCTGCCGCAGGATGGGAGACCATCAGCATGAATTATCTTGGCGACTGGGGCAAGCAATATGGTATCCTTAGTCAGGGCTTCGAGAAGTATGGCAGTGAAGCAGAGCTCGAACGAGATCCTATCAAGCATCTGAACGAAGTCTACGTCAAGATCAACCAGGATAACAGTGCGGAGCAGAAGGAAGCGAAGACGTTGACCGAGAAGAAAGACGAACTCGAAAAGGTCAAGAATCCTCCCAAGCCGAAGAAGCCTGCCAAAGGCAAGGAAGCAGAGGCGCCACCGCCACCTCAATGGACCGACGAGCAGGAGAAGGAGTTGCAAAATGCCATTGCAGAGCTCGAGAAGGTGCAGGAAGAGCTTGTCGCTAAGCCTAGCATTGACGAGAAAGCTAGGCAGTTCTTCAAGCGCATGGTCGATGGTGATCAGGAGGCACTGAAGTACTGGCAAAAGTTCCGGGATCTTTCTATCGAAGCGTACAAGCACATGTACGCTCGACTCAGTATCGCTTTTGACGACTACAGTGGAGAGTCTACTGTCAAGGTAGAAGACATGGATAAGGCTGCCAACGTGCTCCAGGAGCGAGGGGTGTCAGAACCAAGCAAAGGTGCTGTAATCGTCGACCTAGCAAAACATGGCGCACCAAAGCTGGGCAAGACTCTCGTGAAAAAGAAGGACGGCACATCTCTCTACCTCACCCGTGATATCGCCGCCAATTACGAACGCTACGAGCAGTACAACTTCGACAAAATGATCTACGTTATCGCCTCTCAGCAAGACGTCCACGTTGCACAATTCTTCAAGATCCTTGATCTCATGGGCTCACCGTACAGCGACACAGTCAAGAAATGCGAACACATCACCTTCGGCATGGTCAAAGACCCTAAGGGTCAAACAATGAGTACCCGCAAAGGCACCGTGGTCTCCCTAGCCGACAGTCTTGACTCAGCCAAGGACTTCATGCACGACGTCATGCGCAAGAACGAGGAGAAGTACGAGCAAGTCGTGAACCCAGAGGAGACGGCCGACACTCTCGCCATCAGCGCCATCATGGTGCAAGACTACAGCGGCAAGATGATCAACGGCTACAACTTCGACATGGAACGCATGACGAGCTTCGAAGGCGACACAGGACCGTACCTCCAATACAGCCACGCCCGTGTCTGCAGCATGGAGCGCAAAGCCAACGTCTCCCGCGCCGATCTCGAACGCGCCGACTTCAGCCTCGTGATCCAAGCAAAGGAAGGTGTAGAGCTTGTCCGTTGCCTGGCACAGTGGCCCGATGTCTTCCTCAACGCTTACAAGACTCGTGAGCCCATCACAGTCTTGACGTATCTGTTCAAGATGACGCATCTGCTCAGTTCGTGTTATGATGCAAAGGATGCGGAAAATAGGAATGCGAAGACGATGAGTGTGATGTATGCTGAGAGTCCGGAGAAGAAAGCTGCGCTGATGGGGTTGTATGATTCGAGTAGGCAGGTTCTGGCTAATGGGATGAGGTTGCTCGGATTGAAGCCTGTAGAGAGAATGTGAGGATGGGGAGCGAGGGAGGGAGAGGATTGGACTCTGCTCCGTCTTGCGTTGCACAGAGGTTATTGTACGGTGGCGGCAGCATTTCGACTGTAATTTGTCTCGCATGCAGTCGAATAGCGCATTATGCGACACAAAAGTGGTGGTTCGCAGGTCTTGGGGTTGGATCGAATCTCCTCAAAAGAGCGGTGAAGCAGGTGGATATTTGGAGGGTGTAGGGGAGGTATCTATGTACTGCTTGCCATGTGGGATCTGCAAGCTGCAAGGCAGGAAACTTATACTTGCACATGTATGCTATACTTCTCTCCCAGGTTCTCGATTTTCCTTATCAGTCGACACTCTCATGAGACAGGTAGACGACATCCGAGAGCTTCATCCTTGTTCTCGCGATCCTGAATGCCCAGGGTGATATCTTTCCACGGCTCCGCGATTACTTCATTACCGTGACTGGTCGTAGAGAAACATCATTGCGCTGCGGGCTAAGCGGGTCTTTGACTGGGACAGACTTGGGGGGTCTATAGTTGAGGTTCCTGACCTACCCAGTCTTGCTTTATCACGACATCGGAAAGCTCATCCTCAAGTGGCACTCGGACCACGCACATGACCATGTGACCATGATGCTGGCCGAAGCAGTAGTGACTGCTGTCGAGGAGACTTCCTACCCCAGCTGGCTGCCATGGTTTGTGGGCGAGCGGAACAGAGGCACGGCGATATAGTGGGAGAGCTGAAGACGTGGAAGAGATGGATCCGTTCGTGTAAGCCCTACCTGTCACCCACCTCCACGAGCTTGCACAACGCATACATGCGTACGTAGACATGACCGAAAAATGTGAGATACTCGCCTAGTCGCAGATGTGACCAAAGAACACGGTCCATACCTTCGTCTAGCGGCAGAAGGATAATTTGTGCAATCTGGGCAAGACAAGATCCTGTCCAGCAGATGATCAGGGCGTGTTTACTCCTATCGAGATGTGAATTTGCCTCCGTCGTAGAAGAGCTTTGCATGTGTGGCTCGAGCGTGCTGGTGGTCACACAGCATGATGCAGTACGCGATGCAGTACACGCGGCTCTTGTCGACCTCGTTAGTGATCGAATATGGTCGTTTCCTGGGCCTGAATATCTCTGGACCGAGTATGGCCAGACTTTCTGTCGGTCAAGGTGTGACGAGCCTCATGGATGGGCCAGCAACATTCCGAGAAACCGACCAGTAAGGACTTCTTTCCGACAGCATTCATGAACTTAAACGCAACAGTACAAGCATTACTCAGTAGAGTGGGTGGTGCAGGTTTCGATTGCGATTGGCTTGATCCATTGCGTGCATGAGCAAGGAAGCGGTGAGAAGATGCGACCTCGTGCTCACTGGCTATCTTGCTGAGGTACCTGCTACCCACGTCTTTGAGCAGAGTACCCTGTAGCGTAGATCTGAGCATGGTCTCGTCCCGGATGTCGTGCATCGAGCCTGTCATGCCTGACGAATGATCTATATTGCTCCAGCCGCAGGAGGACACGTCGACGTGTGGCTGTAGCAGACGCAGAGCCTAAATCCTGCTTAGTGGCGGTCCGCTATCCTGCTTTGCAATGTGGTCGCACGGCAGCAATGGAGTCGCAGTATGGACTTCGGCCATAGCATATTCCTGGTGGCAGCATAGTCGCGAGACGCGGTTGCGTTTGCTGACTCCGTGGACGAGGGAAGTTGTTGTCCAAGTCTGTCTGCGAACAGCATGGGCCCCACCACCGAGAAAGTGGGTCCATCTCGGCCAATCCCCGACTCCACTTCACGTCCTCACCGTAGACGTCTCCTTCATCCTCAAACACACCTGAAGCACGCATTGGAGCTTCACGTCAGTCCTGTTCCGTTCAACGCCGAGCAGCGAGTACCACCACACCACTTCGCCAAGGTCTGGAATGACAATCAGCAACCAATACGCTAGCCAGCTCTCCCAATCCTCCACAGCTGCAGCTTCCAACAAGTGTCCAGTAGCAGTGCGGGACTAGTCACATTGTGCATTAGTAGCCAGCCGCTCCCGTGCCGTCTTCGCGCCATGGCAGAAAGCGTTTGCAAGTATATCCCTTCCAGTCCCCAGCTTTTGGGCCGTCTATCTCGAAACCATGTTTGATCTTCATACATTGTTGATGCCCATTACCCGAGCACAATAACTTTATCACGATTTCAGCAGCTTGCTCGCCGCTGCCTACTTTTATTTCAGCATATACGCGAGATGGCAGAGCTCTCCTGCACAGTACATTGACTACTGTAACTCCCCGCCTTGCATGACCGGTGAGGCAGCCATCGGCCCTTAGTGGCCTACGCAAACAGTCATCGTTTTCTCTTTGACGTCGTCACAAACAATGCCCTCTATACACCCGAGATATTGAACAATGAGCCAACATCAAGCCATCCTCGGCTCCTGGTCTACACTGCGCGTTCGGTGAAATTCTTGCACGGCACTCTTGAGTCCGACCGCACGCCTTACGCCCCACATCGCGGTTCCTACCAAGATCGACGCGGAAGCCGAACTTTACCACAGCGCTTAAGCCTTCGGGATGGGTGAATCATCCCGTCGCAGGCCTCAGGTCATGCAAGCCGAGGACTACGATGATGATACAGGAGCTGTGAGGCCTGGCACGGCTCAAACGGCCACACGTCGCCAACTCTCATCAAGACCACCACCAAAAGTCACGCAAAGGCGCGCTGACAGCGACTCGGGATACTCTTCGCACACCAGCGCACCTCCTGGCGCTCTTGCCGTCCAAAACATCGTCGCTACGTCCAATGCGACACGCAGGCCAGCAGGAAGTAGCCCGAGCAAGAGCACGTCCGCAGTGCAATGGAGAGAAAGTCAAAGCGCACGACCTCAAGCCCCATGTCGCTCAGCATCGGTGTCTCGCGTATGCGCCGATCTGAATTGTGGTCATTCGTCATGTGCTAGTAGGCGGAATCCCGAGCGCCGATTTACGTTCGCGTCTCGAGTCGATGCAGCTCAATATGCTGCAGTCCTGGCGGAACAACAGCGGCAAGCACAATTAGCACGACAACCTGGTCCGTACATCGCCCCAATACAGACGACTCCGCTGCCGGCGGCACCTGTCATGTCTTCCCAGCCAAGACCCGTACCTACACCATTAACACGCTCAGCCAGACCGGTTTCCGTCTATGGCTATGCGAATGTGAGCGGATACGTTCAGCCAGGCCAGTATGTGCCGCCGCACTCACCATCTGGTTACCACAACTTTCCGGCAACGTACTATCCGCAATACCAGCCTCCAGCAGCAGGTATCTATGGCACTACGCCTCCCAACCAAATCATGCCACAGTACGCACAGGCATCTCCAATAATGCAGTCGCCTGGTACCGTGCAATATACTGCTGCACCCGCTCTAAACCGGACATACTCTGCGAGGGACATCACTCCCACAGCCGTGAACTATGCGACTCCTGTTGCTGCTCCAGTACAACCTATGACGCGCCGACTCTCGGCGCGGCAACCAGCTTCCATGCCCGGCACCTTCCCCGGCGCTGAGGAGGGCGAGACAGAAGACTCCGAGTCTGACTATGACTCTGAAGCGGAACGTGAAGCACGGCGTGAAGCTGACCGAGAGCGTCGCCGCCGTGCCAGAGATAGCAAGATGATGCCACCCCCAGTATTACGCCGACCGTCCCTGAGCACAAGGAACACCACTTCTGCCGCAACATCAAGGCGAGTGTCGCGCGAACCCATCAAGCGGAACCCCAGGTCCGATACAGACTTCGACTATCCATCGTCGGATCAAGTCGACTCTGACCGCACCACAAGAGCAGATATCTACAGGCCTACTACAACTGATTCGTCTTATTCAGGCAGGAGTCGTCGGCCATCAATTTCGACCACAGCCTCATCTGGCAGGACCAGAGCAACCACGGTATCTGACAGGTCGGGACTCAGTAGACGTGAAGTCATCATCGAGGACCGACATGGCCGCCGTTCAGAGTACCTTTCCAAGAACGAATACAACGACCTTGTCCGCCGATACGAGCAGCAGAAGCTGGAGGACATTGAGGTTCAAGATCGTGCTGAGCGATATCAGCAACAGATTCGTGGTCGACAAGTACCCGAGCTCACGGCGGAGAATATCAAGCAATTGTCTGAGCGACGGACCAGCGGCAGCCATATTTCTGGCCACAGTCGCAAGAGCAGTCAATCTGCGCAAGCTGCCAAGGATGGAGGTATCAGGATCGAGTCGAATGGTACCGTACTACATGTGTACGGCGATGCTCGGGTAGAGATGAAGCCCGGCGAGGATGGCAAGAATGCCATCATTATCGGAAGCAGTTCTGGAAGGGATAGCGCTTATCACGGGAGCAGGAGTTCTGGTAGCAGGATCAGCAAAAGGAAAGATACTATCACGGAAGAGTATGAGGACAGGTTGTAGAGAGAAGAGCACAGATGAATAAGCAGCGAACATATACGACTGTCACTGCTACTGGCACGCAACCATGAGCAGCGGCTCAATACCACGACCACGACCACGACCATTCATTTACACCACATCAAACGCGATCCAATTAACGACTTTTGCATCCGGGTTAACGTTGAGCGTTCACAAGCGACTTTAATTCTGTTCTAAAGATACCCCACTCACGTCTGATCACGCTGCAGTGCAGCGCACAAAAGTCAGGAGTCCGGACGGGATCTTGGGCAAAGCTTTTCACTATCGCGCAAAGCGAACATACAGAAAAGCACTTTCCTTTGCAGCAAACCTTTCGGCGGTCATCTATTTTTGTAGCGAGGCGTTGTTGGAGCATCAGACGAGGTCACGCTGCACAGAAATAATCATGTTGAGCGCTCTTCTCCTTCTTCTTTCTCCCCCGCCCCACGGCGAGCTGTATAGCATTGCATTATGTGGATTCTGGTTGGAGCATGAGATAGGATAGTTGATGGGCGCGATGATGGCATGACTTCTTTCTTTCCTGTATGAGATATGATTATGATGAGTGATGAGAGCATAGGTAGGGTTGTATGTAATTTGTGGATGGCTTCACCTCTCTACGCTGAATCTCGTGTGTGATGTGGTTGTGTGATTTATACCTAGTGAAACTGAGATGTGGTACAGTCGTGGGTATACTATGCTATCTACAGTAGCTGTTCATAAGTGTACACTCACGTCGTGGTACTCTCGTGTTGCCAAGCGAATGCCTTCGTCTTGGTCGCGTTCGTTCCTTCCAGATCTAGTCGTCTGAGCAAAGCCGGAGACTCGGTCCGCTTGCTGCCCGACTCTAGACGGAAAAGGCCCAAGCTCATTACAAACGCAAAAATATTCTTCTCCCTTGTGACGACTACTCTATGCCATATCGCAGCCCAATCCTCTAGTCCAAATCACTATCTGCCCCGCGCCTGTAGCCTTCCCTGCCCTTCCTGCCCGGTGGACCCTTCTTGGGCGAACTCTGCCTAGGCCTATTCGCTGTCGTCTTGGTCTCGTTGTATCGTGGGTTCTCGCTGGCGCGTGGACGATACTCGTCGTAGTACGATGCTGAGCGCGTACCACCGCTGCTAGACTCGGTATGCGTGCCTGTGTAAGCCGTGCTAAGGACCTCAGACTCTGGGCCAGCCCCGTAGCTGAAGTTACGTTTCCTGGGCGATGCGGAGCTGGACTCACTGCGACGTTGTTTGCTAGGGCCGGGCTTTGCTGCTGGAGCGGCAGATTTCCGGGTCGCGGTGTGAGTTGGTGGTGGAGGAGGTCGGGAGTCAGCGTTTTCGCGGGCGAGGGACGCGGCGGCTTCTTCGGCTTCTTTGCGCCAGCGACGTTCCATTCGTGCTGCTTCTTCTTTGGCCATACGTTCGGCGTGCTTTTTCTCCTTTTCTTTGATGCGTTGTTCGCGGGCTTCGCGTGGGAGGAGAGCAGCTTCCGAGCAGGTTTCGGACACTTCTGAGCCTCCAACGGTGGTGCCGAAGTTGCTGCCATCTGCTATGCGATTTAGGCCACCTACACGAGCGGGCTTTTCCTTCTTGTACTGTTGAACGTCGCGATCGCGGTAGCGTTTCGAATGGTCGGCATAGTCTGCTTCGATGCGGACTTCGGTCATGTCTGATACAGTCTGGGTGCCGAAAGTTTCCGTCATGTAGTCGTCTGAGTAGAGAACGCTGTGTGTCTTGGCCCAACCACGCTTTGCCCGGATACCCTTCCTGCCCTTCTCATCACGACCGACAACACTTTTCGCTGCTTGCTTCTGCCAGGCATAGTGTTGTGTACCTGCTATGGTACTCGCACCATACCCCAGCTTCGTGCTCTTGGTTGCGTTACTCAAGGTCTTGCCGTCTGGACCTTTCCGACGCAACACCGTACTCTTGTAGTCATCCCAGTCGCCTTGTTGGTACTTGAAGCCACCGTTCTTCGCCCAGAAGAAGAACCATAGGGCTCCCAAGACCATTATTACGCCAATGATGGCGAAGAGGGCGAAGAAGAATTTGTTATTGAAGGCAGCAGGAGGTCGTGAGCCGGTGCCTGGGACGTAAGTAGTGGCGGTATCTCGAGCGACGATAGCATGGTTGCTTTTGGTGAACGAGAGTGAGTTAGAGGATGTGTCGCGGGCGATGAAACGAGGTACGCCATCCGTGCTACGCTTGTCGAGCTCCAAGGACGATTCTGACAGTCCAGCAATGTCGGAGTATTGCTCGCTGTTCCTGAGCATCCGAGTTGCAACCACTGCAGGCGCCATTGCGAGCTGAAGGCCGAAGCCTTAGCTGTTGGACTGCTCAAGTATCGCTTCGTTCGATGGCCCGGAGCCGAGTATTCCGCGGGTGAATATGTTCGGTATGGGGTGTGAGAGATATGTTCGTCGAATGGGCGCTCGAGGTGCTTTTGGGTGATTCTGCTGTGCTTCAGTACGCAGGCTCAAGATTGATAGAGAATAGTGTGACTTGCCAAAGTACTTTGATCGAAAGAGTATCCACTTGTCTTGAGAAGTAGTGGTGGCTGGACTCCAGCATGCAAAGCCAGCCTCGCACTTTTTGGAGGCCCAGCTGTGCGTCATGTCAACACCTGCCTAGCAACGGTCGGCCCGTCGCGCGACGCGTGGCCAATTAAATTTACACCTTCGCGTACATTTAGCACTTTTCTCCATCGATTCGGGCATACCACACGAGATCACTACATTGCCAGGGCTCGCTGGGCGATACTCATTTCTTCAGATTTTGGCAACATGGTCACTTTGTGGGGAAGTGAAACAGAAGCACAGCAGACGACAAAAAGACTTCCCAACTCGATGAATTGTTTTACATGCTTCGAGGGAATTCGTGTCCTGACAAGCAAGATACAAGTAGCCATGGCACCATCTAGGACCGATGTACAGACAATGGTCATTCTTTTGCTCTCGGACCAGCCGGAACTTACTTACCTAAACGGATCCCTCTAACAGGAATGATAAGCAGTCACCGGCTTCCTTACAACCTGCTCGTCCCTTGCAAAACTATCGCCAGATCTCTGGCTCTTGATGGACGGGACTGGAGATCCTCGCTGGTGCTGCTGGCCGTACCACCTATCAAAGGCAGTAGCTCTAGCCCTGTGCTTGGCAATACTCCTTCGTTTCATGACATACCCTATATCTACTAAACTCAGCAAGATGCCGGCGAATGGTAGGAAGAGAATGAGGCCGATGAGGTCGCCTTTCACCCCGGATGTGCTTGTGGAGTCGCTCATCGTCACACTTTTCAATCTTGAAAACTCGATCTGGGGTTGTGCACCGGCGAGAACTGCTCTAGTAAGATATATCAGTGCGAGGTCTGGACAATTCTGTTGTATCGCTTCTTGACGTTCTGCAAAGGCATCGTTCCAGAGCATTGTTTACTCAACAAAGGCGTTGAAGTGGATGGCAGTCCCGGTGGTCTCCCAACAAAGAAAAGCTACAGTGCGGTATTGACTGTGCTCTGGCCTTTCCTAATTGTAGGTCGCGATGAAGGGCTGATATCCGCTTCAGACGTTGGATCAACGGTGACAGCCAGATCATGAAGGCCCATTATGACCAAAAGCCATCTTCAATTGACATTTCAGGTCTCACAGAAAAGGGTGTCAAAATTATGAAGGTGAAATTGCTCTGCTAGGTATTGCTGTTTCAATTCATACACTTCCTCTATCATATTGACGTACTCACACGGTATCGTGCTGGTACAAGTGGTAATTCTACTGAATTGAATAAGGACAGCTAATCACACCACCTGCATCATGGCTGCGCCTCTTCCGCAATCTCTCTCTCACTCTCATTTCAAGATCACTCAGATTATCTGATTGCCGTACCCACCAGCCCTCTTCTTCGAGAACCAAGCAGCATCAGGTCGCGAACTCTTGGTGGACACCGACGCCATCTCAAACCCGTCATCAGCCTTACTCGCAGCGCGAGAGGGCGCCCTGGGAACCGCTTGTGGAGCAGATATCGTTGGTGCACTTGGCCATTGACGAGTCTCCTGGATCTGCTTCCTAGCACGAACACGCTTGTAGACTGGATAGAGAAAGTAGCCCATCAAACCAAGAACCAGGAAGGCGAGCACAAGACTCACACCAACCAGACAGGTGCGGTAGTAGGCGCTTTGACCAACGACGACTGCTAAAGGGTCGACAGCGGGAGTGCTGGTGCTGGAGGGTGTGGATGAGGTATTGGATGTTGATTGGCTGTTATCAGCTTGGCGGACGAACATCGTGACTGTTGTGGCAGGGCCGGTTGTGGTGAGAGTGAGCATCCTCGTACTTCCGCTAATCTTGAAGTCTGCTTGGTGGGTCGGGTAGTTGGTGGGTTGCGGTAGTTTCTTGCGGCCTGCGCAAGTAAGCTAATTTCGAACCTTTTGGAGATGACTGCTAATGTTCACTGTAGGGAGATCACGCTTCGGCGTTTATACCGACCTTCGAGCCACAATCGCCTTCACTCTTAGGACCCCAGAGCACAAAGACCATCGTGGTGAACAAGGAGCATTTGATGTTCAGCGACGACAATGGATTGTCTGCTAAAAATAGCATTGTATAGCTTTGTACAGGTTGGTAGTGAACTCTCGAATGACCGATTGTGCCAGCACAGGGTTGAGCGCTGCTTCAAGTCATTGTGGGGATTTGGATCGTTGGTGAGATGATTGCAATGTCCCAACATACACAGACGGAAACGCGCGCGAGACTCCGACACTTCTCCTGGAAAAGTGACTTCATGAAGGCTTGCGTGGAGGAGAGTTTATCATACTTACCTAAGTGCTCCCCGGTACCTACTTGACGGGCTCAGCAAGCCCGGTATTGACTACTGCTTGTCCTCACCAAAGCCCTTGGCGCCACTCATCTTATTCATGCACCACTCATAGTCACGGTCGACCTTGTTGTACTTGGTCGCCTCGCCCTCAAGCTTAGCGGTGTTTTGAGCCTCCGCACTGGCAGCGGCATTGGCTATACCGACACATTCGTGGGACTCGAGCATGCGGTGGATAGAGCAGAACTCCTTGCCACACTCTCCGCAGTCGCCAACGATGCGCTGGGCGACGGACTTGCAGCCTATGAAGGCACAAAGAGACCACGTTTGGGCCTCTTGTCTTATTGGTTGGTTGTACGACTGATCTGAGACCTGCTCGAGAGTTTGTCGGTCGTGTAGGTTGTGCTGCGGACTTGATGAAAGAATATTGCAGGATATTGAGACGAGATTGGTCAAATGGCGGCTGTCTTGATATAGCTTCGTCTGGTGAACAATGGCAATCTTAAGACACTTCGCAGCTACGACAAAGGCATTCATGATACTCTGAGCAGCCAAACGTTTTTTGTGCACAATCATGGATTTCGAGACGGTCAAATGACAAAGATCTGGTTGTGGGCGGCCATCAAGAAGCAGCTGCTAGCCGACAGGCTAACGGCGCTGACCAGAGTCCTGGTCCGATAGAGGCTCTCCGGCGTAGTCTGGCAGCAAGCTGAAGTATTGCTGTCGACCAGGCCTCCAGTCTGATGTCATCGTGGCAGGTACGCTCGGTAAATACTGCAGGTATGGTAGACCTGGCAGTAGCTCTAGAGCTTGCAAAGTACCAGAATCCGCACTGTGATCGGGTCCGGGCTAGTCATGGGTATGGCAAGCATAAACCAAATGAGCCGCCAGTTCGATGACTTTGTCATGGGTTCAAAGCTCGTTAGGCCGTTTAACAGCTCGACTACAAACTTCACCACATTGACTGGCAGCAGATAGCTACGCTGGATGTCGTATCAAGGGACAGAGCAGCTTCGAGGGCCACACCCGCCCTGCGAGACCGCGAACGCCAACCAAGCTCTGGGGATCTGTAAATCACTGGTGCTCTTGATTCCCAGCTTGGTACTGATGGGCGCGCAAGCCACGGTCTACAAGGCAAATAGACATTTTATGGAGAACTTGACGGTAGCCTCGACGCTCAAGTCGTGGAGTGGAAAATGAACGACATGTCCATTGCATGCACCCTCTCAGTTGTTATCGAATTGTCGTTATGCAAAGCTGACAGGGCTAGTGATGTCGCGTCGTCCTTCAGCCCTATCGGTAAATGTCGGCTGCATTGGCAAACATATGTGCAGCGTCATGACACCGATACTCAAATCTTTCTTGCCGCAGCATCTTTGAAATACCATAACCAGTGCCGTTCCGGTCACTTTGGAAAGTATGGCGCCGAACTCAAGGATAATATTGACAAGACATGCTCAAGCCGAACACAACGTCGATCTTGACTACAGCAGTATGTGTCTATATCCTGCCGTTTGTCCTCCACTAATCAACGACAGTACCTGATGCACCTTTGACTCCTCTCGGACGCAAACAAGCTCAATCTCTCGCCCCACAAGTATCTCCGTTGCAGAAGGAAGTCGAGCTCGTGGTTACTTCGCCGCTCAGCCGAACATTGCAAACAACACTTCTCGGCTGGGGTCCAGCAGCCAAACGTCTCGGCATCTCGAACGTGATCTGCCTCCCGCAAGCACAAGAGGTCAACGACCTTCCCTGCGACACTGGTGTCTCCCGCGAAAAGCTGCAGGCCAAGCCTGAGTTCAAGGGTTTCGACTTCTCCATGCTCACGCCGGACTGGATAAGCAAAGAGGGTTTTTGGTCTCCTGATGCTGCTGACGAGCGTGCGCGATGGGTCAGGGAATGGCTGCGAGCACGACCAGAGCAGACGATTGTGCTGGTCGCCCATGGAGATATCTTGAGAAGAATCACTAGCGGGCCGAACGGTCCATCGACGTATATGTGGAAGAATGCTGAGGCGAGGATCTATCGTTTTGACCCGAAGTCTGTGGAGACAGAAGACTGCTTCTTGGATGACAAAGAATTTGTGGCTGCTGCTGGTGGGTATGAGCCTACTTCGACGGAGATGGACTTGGTTGGTGGCGAGCCAGGTGCTGAGAAGCTATGAGTGGGAACGAGCTGAGATGAGAATCTATTCAGACCTGACTATAGATATAAGATCTAGACACAAAAACGCCGCGCTATATAGAACTATAACAACCATAAGAAGCAATAGACTGCTATCATCATGTCGAGACATACGGCGTTGTCGGCCGTATGATATACATCTCCCCCACCAGTACTGCACAGCCCACTACCGTCGTGAAAGCAATGATGCTGAAATTTATCCTCATGAAATCTAGACTATGCACGAAAACGTGCTTCCGTGCCAGTATATCCCGCCATAGTAGACCAGCGAGCGAAGCAGAGAAGGCGAGACTAAACGCGCCGTAGTTGAGGCCCATCGTCATGCTGTAGATTGTTGCCCAGAACGTTCGCTGACTGATTGATGTGCCATTCTGCTCATGAATGGCGAGCCACGCCTGGACAACGCGGCAGAGGAGGATGCTTGTCCCTATGTTTGTGCCTGCGAACTATGAAGCGGTCAGCTTGGTCGAGGTGCTACACTCCTCATGCTACTCACGTTGCACAAGATGATCGACATGAACGCCATGCCGCCCACGGCGCCAACGGTCCCAGTAGCATGAATCCAGTGGTCCCATCCGTAGGCGAAGACTGCGACCCAGCCGTGTGTTACCAGCGACTGGACGAGGACGAACATGCATAGGGAGAAGGGTACGAGAGGGAGTGGAAGGGTGCTTAACACCGTAGTTGCGGTGGGAAAGGTTTCGCGACACCACCTCCAGACGTTGTTTGTGACGGACTCGAGCGTGGCTGGTTCATCAGATCCAGGGATATCCCGACTTGTGTGAGCTCCAGCCTTTTCGAGATCTTCGCTCTCTGCTGGACTCAACTCTGCTGACAGGTTACGGCCGCTATCCGCAGCCGTGACATCGTTCCCGACCTTGGATCGCTCCGATAAGACCGTTGGCGACCCATCCAATGTCTTCTCGCCTGCCTCCTCTCCCACTTCTTGAGTCTGCTCCGCCCGCTTCCGGCTCTCTCGTGCCGCTGTACGACTTTCATCACGCCGTAGCCAGCCCCAAGTGACGTCCCAGCACAACATGACTCCCGCTGCTGGTAAAGTGACCCACCACACAGGATGTGAGTTCTGAACCGGTGTGGCTGCGTTGACTGCCAGAATAGTAACAAGCGTGGCAGTCATTATGCACGCTCCAAAGACAGCACTACGTCTCTCGAGATAAGGATTTAAGATCTCCTCCAGCAATGCCATGTCTTCTCCTTCCCCTGACGAATTGGCCTCAGTCTCAGCGTTCGGAATGTTCGGATTCACTGGCGCCTTGTTCTTCGCTAACTCTGGAAGCTCATACAGCTGGATAGAAGCAGGTATAAGAGCCTCGCTGCGGAAGATGAAGTACAGCAAAAAGGGACATAGCAGGATCACGGTCGCGATGACTGGCACAATGATGTTGGCGGTGTAGACAATGAACTTGATCTGGAACGCCCCGGCCAGAACCAGGTTAGTTGGGTTCGATGAGACCAGAATCGCGGAGGCAATGTTGGCCAAGGCAAACTGTGTATAGATCCAGGCCTTCGGGTTCTCGATGTTCTTAGATATTCTGGTCATATAAGCCAGAAATGGAGTGCCGGAGAGGATCACCGGATCATTGCCTATGAAGCTAGCCAAAGCGAAGAAGAAGGTGTAGAGGTAGAGATACAGTCGCTTGCCGTTACTCCCACCACTTTGCAGTACTTTGTAGGCTAACCATCTGATCAGTCCTGTGGAGTCCATGGAGATGGCGATGTAGGCCAGTGTGATGAAGAAGACCATGATGTTGATCGGGTCGATATTGTCGGCTCCTACTGTACCATCGTGGACTTCTTGTCTACCAATGGCCAGGATGGCGAGGAGGAAGAGGTCCACGATTAGTGGTCCAGTAACATAGTTCATGGGGAATTTCAGCCAAAGTAGTCGTGTCTGCTTGGCTGGTCTAGTATTTTCCTTTCTCGCCACTTCGACATGATTATGCCCTCTATCTCTGGACGAGATGATCCGAAGTGAAACCAAGGTCCTGATAATGCCGTCTGCCAGATTCCTTGGCACGGGTATGGGTATGGTGAATGGGAACAGCACATTAAGATCTGTCTCTTGATGTCAGTCTGGACTTGCCCAGTATCCATCTTGTTCCGACTCACTGGTGAGCACGAATACTATAAGGCATATGATTGATCTCCAATTCTTTATCTGATTCGTGTCTAGATTAGAACTCGTAGCCATGAAGCCGAGCGTTTTCGGAAGGGTTCGCCCAACAATGCAGCGGACTCTCGAGGGATACCTTATTACGCCGCAGGAAGTGTTTCTTGCTCGTAGTCGTACCAAGCATTCAAGTACAACTACTCATCCATTTCACTCATTACCGACACGAAGAGGAAGACGACATTGTATGGTGGCTGACGCACCTACGGTGACGTAAGTTCACGAGCCACCGAAGCTTTTTCGCGATTTGGACACGAGGCAAGGCTTGGTTTGAGTTTGGGCGAAACTGTCACCAGAGGCCGATGATAGTCTGGCCAGCAGCGCTTGCTGCATAGTAGCCGCGTACTGGTCACCGTCCGCCGTCGTTCGAGTACGATGAGCGTGTTTACATAGGAGTATGCTGTGGAATGTTGTACGCCACGTCCTTCGAGTGCCCAAACCTCTGCCAAGACGACGAGCTCTCGACATGCTCCGCCCGCCAGTACGCCTGTCTTAGCTATCATGGCCGACCACTTGCAGGCTTTTTCTCCGTCCACGTGCAAAAAGCCTCGCATGCGCGGCCGTTCTATACTCAGGTGTCTGATTTAGCAGCCCAGACTGCCAGTTTGCGGCTACCAAAAGGCACACTGTACACATAGCACCGGCTGCATCTGCACTCTTCGTCGACTTGAACACGAGCTCCCATCTCGGTAGGCTTCCCACATGGATCACCGTTGCTGGAGCTATGCCAAGGCAAGTTCACTGATTGAGGATCTAGTGAGCTTGGCGCGTGGATATCTGTACAGGTCGTTCATGTCGTGGTTTATGTTGCGATCAAGTGACTAATGGTTCAAAATCTCTTCCGGATCTAGCCACCAGCCATCATATGGGAAGTATCCGCCTTTGCCAGGCTCTGACTGTCCTTCTTCTGGCCAGCCGGTCTATCAAGAGTCAATCGTCAGCACATCCACGACGCCTGCGGTGTTCACTTGCACTTACTGGAATGTCTTGTGAAAGACCCATGTGTGGGTTTTTCTCAGGGTTCAACCACGATTGTCCCAAACACCACCCGTCCCGCTCGCAATTCAAATCGCACATGCCAAATTTCTCACACCAACACTTTTCGGTATCTGGACAGTAGTAGTGCGGCTTCCCGAAGATGATGTGCCACATGTATTCTAACACCAATCCCGTTTTCATGCTGACTTCTTCGACACCCTCGACTGTCCACATCCAATGCCGTATCTGTTCATACTTTGCAATTGGCCATCGCTCAACAGCCTCGCGCGTCACCGCGAACTGTGCACAGCATGGACCAGTGACGCCAGTAGGCAGGTCTTCGTGTGGGAAGAATTTGGTCCATGCTTTTGCATACAGACCATCGAACGACCAGAAGTCGTCATCCTCGTTGAGTGCTGGTACGACCTCGACCTTCGGACAGTGGTTCCAGTTGCATCGCAGAGCTGCGTAGCCTTCTTCGTCCACATGTTCAAGGCGGAGCTTCTGGATCAAAGGAAGGGTATCGAGCATCTATACCAAGGTTAGCTAGTGGCCGATGACCTACTTGTAGAGCAGCTAGGACAACCCACAGGCTCATCTAAAGATCTCAGTCAGCGCGAGCATTACAGTAGCATCGCTGTAGGGCTTTGACATACCATTGTGTACCTGATATCGCTTGCCGTGGATGAAGACCATGTAATCAGGCAGACTGTAGTAGTGCTGTATGATATAAGTCAAATAGACCGCTGCTTCTCGACCCTGGTTCACGGGAAGGAAGTGCTTCTTAATAGGTGATGTGTTCGGCAGCGGTTCCTCGTCAGAAGTACGATCGGCGACATAGACTGTCGCTTCCCAGTCAGGCAAGAACTCGGTGAGCCAATCTGCTGTCGTCTCATTCTTTCGAGTGACTGAGGTTACGATGACTTTCCTTTTAACTTTGGTGGTATGCTCCACGGTTGAGTGCTTGCTCGTAGAGGCGGAGGGTGCTGCAACAAGCTCGCCATGCGACAGTTTTCCACCGGGGTAAGGTGCTACTGATTGCTCGCCTTGGACGTTGCTATTATAATGTAGTGCAAAGAAAAAGATTACAAGCACTGTGAGTGCTCCGACAGGGATAAATGACTTGGTCCATGGTCGGCTGAAGGGTGAAGGATGCGCCATGCTTAGAGTATGATTTGTATGAACACTTCACCAACCTCGATATCAACTATTGAGCTCTATCAAAAGTTCACCCAGCAAGGGTCCGTCTGCCCTGTGGCGTTCTCGTGGTCAACCAAACCATGAGCCGTCAGTTTGGCGAGATCGGCGAGACTGGTCACTACGGCCTCATCCGTTTAGTGATGCGTGGTGAGACGGTGATAGTTCCCGTTCGCTGCAGGCACAAGATATGCTGCTTCTTCCATTCTGGAACGACCCCTGTCTATCATGCAAGCCAAGAGCACCGTTACCGTTAGTTTGAACCCTACTTTGCCGGTCGTGCATGAACATTAAGTTTCGAGCCAAGATTTCCTCATGCGGAAGCAGAATTTGGCACCAGCCAGCTGGTGCAAGTGGTGCAACCTCGGGGAAGTGAAGCACACTTCGTTGAACCTCCGCCGAGGAGCAAACGAGCACATACGCGAAGTGGCTTGCGTCGTCCTCAAACTTAGACAGCGGTTCCGAATTTGCCCTCCAAGATGTGCTCAAGCCTCAGGACCGTTATCTGCAGGCTAGAACTATGCGACGGTCGAGGGCTAAGTCTGCTTTGTGAGCTTTGGAGATTGCTGTAGGAGCTGGCCTCGATGGTATTGATGTGGTCATTGGACATCTCGAACCCATTGTGCTGCTGACCGAGTGTGAAGACCGGACCTGAGCGTTGACAATGGCCTCGTTGGATCCTCAGCGCCAAAGGACAATGGGCATTCCAAGAAGGTTCCGATATGTGGCTGTATTGGTAATCGTCCTTGTATCAACAGCAGTGTTCGCCTCGTATAAACTTAGCACACCGCAGAGAGTGCATCAGATAACGGACAAGCTCAATACACACACGTCTGGTGGCGACACAGGACCGAAGCAGACTTCAGCCAGTGGCACTGCGGCAGCTAAAAGTGGCGAGAAGTATTCAGACGACGACAGTTACGTGGACCTCAAATCACCATATACTCCCGACTACGACGATGAAGAAGACGACCCATCACTGTACATCCCGGACCGAGGAGACTATAGAGAAATCTTCTCGCTGACCACCGTGGACCGAAAGTATTTTCCTATCTACTGGGCAGGCGACGAAGCATACAACCCGAACGTCATACCACATCCGACGAAACACGACATGTGGATCGTGGTTGCTCAGCACGAGCAAAGCAAGGAGATTATCGACATCTCCGGCGAGTTGATTTGCGAGGCTGGGTTCTTGAATGGTGTCCTGGTCTGTGGCGACGCACCAACGATACTACCAATCGCTCCGTCAATAACAGGAGTCTGCGAAGGCGATCTAGCTTACATGAACTTTCGCTTCGGGCCTCGCGATGCACGAATGTTCTACGGTCCATCCGGTCCGATGATCAGTTACGGCACGCAGTCACAATACACATGTCTGGGTATCTGGATCCAAGACGTTCGCATGCTTCTCGACTCGTTCCGTCTGGAGCGCTTTGCTTTGAGCAAGCTCTTCACCTCAGCGACCGAAGTGCGAAGGCCAGCACCATGGAAAGGCATCGAGAAGAACTTCTTCATCTTCTGGGATCTACAAGGCAAAGCATACGCTCACTTTGACCTCAGCCCAGAGCGTGCCTTTGCTGAGCTGGACTTCAACGGTGCTGTAGGAGACGATCTGGCACCGAAGACTGCAAGCGAGGATTCTGCATGCATGGCACAGTACATGCCATACGTTGGACCAGAACAAGAGTCCATCCACCAGGCGACGAACTCACTGTCTATCACACTGTGCAAACGTGCGGATCTGAAGTGCAAGCCAACAGAGAGCAACACTTTTGTCATGCACATTTTCCAACACAAATCTTACTACACGTTTCATGGCATATACGAGCCATACGTGTTGTTGTTCCAGCAAATGGCACCGTTCGCTGTACACGGCATCTCACAGCGTCCCCTGTGGATCCACGGTCGAAATGCACTCAGCAAGGACACCCACTCCCTACAATACGAAGGTCGACCGGAAACAGACATTCCCGAGGGTCATACGGAAATGTTCTATGTGACCTCAATGTCCTGGAAAGGTCACGATCAGAAGTACCACGGCTATCTGGATGATACATTACTCTTGGCATTCGGCATTGAAGATAGTAGGAGCGCCGCCATTGATGTAAAAGCGGGCGACATACTGCAGGACATCGCATTCTGTAAGTAGATAGATACAATCTGGATAAATACAAGCAATCTGTTCATATACTTTGATCGTCTATACCTGCATCATAGCATTCTAGGTAAGCTACAGCTGGTCGGGTGCTATGCAGCAGTATTTGATTCCTTCGCATCCAGGTAAGATTTGTGAATATGCACGTTGAAACGTTCGACATTGGACTTCGACCAGCGGTTGAGATTGACGCAATTTGTAGAGGTACAGTATATTAGCATAAACGCCACTCGACCAGCTGCTGGCTGAATGGAAGACTTAGTTGGATGTAGATTTATACGTAGGATATACTGTCTATCTATCTAGATCATCAATGGTCGTATACAAGTTGCAAGAACGCTGAAGCAGCAAGCAAAAGCGCAATGGTTCTGACGATTTTATTCTGCATCGTCCACGAGCTCACCGACTGGCTCGGCGGGTGCAGCTACTGGCCAATCAACTTGGTCAAGGCCGGCCGCAAGGCCGGGCTCGAGGCCTTCGGGTATGCCAGCCGGTGTATCTTGCTCAGGTTCTGATCGCGCTTCCGGTTGTGATTCCGGCTGAGCCGCAGCCAAACCAAGCCCTGCAATCGCCGGTGGCGAGTCCGCTAGTAATGGTGCTTCGTTGCCTGCTGGCACATCAACTGGCTGTATCTCAGCTTGCGTGGCTGCCAAAGGCTCCTGCGCGCTGCCGTCGAGTGCTGGAAAGTCGTTTCCCGGTGCTTCAGGCATCACGGCTGGTGGTGGACCAGCTTTCGGTAGCATCGGCATTGCAGCGGCGAACTCAGCATCCAGAGCTGCAGCGGTCTCCTCGCGGTCTTTGAGACCGATCATCTTTCTCTGATCTTCTTTTGGTAGAGAGGCGAAGAAGGCAGTATTTGCATCCCAGAGCTTGACACACTCAACATCCCTGGATAGCAGTGTTAGCATAATTTTCCCCACGTCCAATAGGCTTCCGATACTGACCAGTTACACTTCTCGACCTCACCATAGATTGGATGCTTGAAGCGAGGATGATTTGTGGTCCAAGAAGAAGCATGGAAATGATGCTTGACTAGAGCACCTTTACCATGGTGATTGCCAGAGTCTGAGTGTCCAGTCCCAGCAGCGAATGCTTCAGAAGTGAGCACAAGCACTCCTCCAACAACTTTTGACTCCTCAAGGTCGTGGAAATCGTCCCATGTGTACTTCCGCCCAGTCGAAGCTGTCATCTCAGCGAGTATGGCTGTCGTGAAGGCGGATGGTCCTGTACCGTTGAGAACCTCGTCGAAATTGAGCTCCAGTTCTGAGATTGATCTTCCCTGCTCAACCGCAAGTCTTGATAGCCAGATCAAGATGTTATCGATTAGTCTCATCATGACTGGCAGTCGCGGCTTGCACATAAAAGTCCACTGGCAGAAGGATGTAGCTTTTGCCCCAAGCACAGGGTGGTCCTTCAATGCTGGCTCGTCTGTTTCCACCCCTACGACCATACCAACATCGTGTTCGCTGTGTCGCTTCGGGATGAAATGGTCGATTGGCCTGATTGCTTCGACGTCAATGTCGGACCACAGGCCACCCTCCACGTACATAATCAGGTAGCGCAACAGATCCGCCTGAATGATTCTTGCGCTCAACCCTTTGTAGATCGAGACTATGTCTGGTCTGTTGAAGCCATTGGGCCCGTAGTGCTGCTCAACATATGTGACAGCATTCTCGTCCGTCAACACCTCATATCGATAGGCGGGATTCTTGAGAGTCCAAGTCATTGCTCGCTCTGCATCTCGTGCCTCGAAACGTAACGAATCGACCTTCCATGACTGCCAGATCTTGCGAGGAAAGGTGTCGGATCGGTCCACCGATGGTGATCGCAGGCCGCCGAAGGTATTGTGAAGAAGAAAGAACAGGCTACATCCGCAGCATAATATGACGATGGTTCGAAAGCGAGTAAACAGCAGATTCTCCAACGTCGACTTCAACAACCTACGACCCATTGCGCCAGCCTCAGGTCATGCAGTCGGAACGAGCATGAACATGGTAACTCTCAGAGACTTCGAGGCCGCGACTACGATTCGCGATACTCTATGCCAAGAGGAGAGGACCTGCAATAACATCCTGCATGCTCACGGTAGCCATGCGGTGGTCCTTTGGCCTCGGTTCCGTTGTACGCCAATCGCTCTAGTGCAGACTAAATTGGGCATTGTTTGATGCATGTGCTCATCAACCGGGTTCCTACATGAGATAATGGCGATGATAAGGCACGGCCGTTGTTGGCCAGCTGAACGGGTGTCACCGGCTCGGGACACGAGAGCGTGGCGCTTCCTAAGGGAGAACGAAGGTTCGCCTGCTAAAGGTAGTACCAGACGGTGAGCTGCAAGGCCACACTCTGTACGGCAAACCTCCAGGTACGGAAAGCTCGCCACCGAATAATGCAATGGAATCAGATGTGGATCAGTACGCGTTGGGTGTGACGGTCAGAATAGAAGCGTGGTGTGATGTTGGTGCTCGCCATTTGATGTTTGTTGTGCAGAAAATGTCTGTCGCACGTCAGCCATGGTGCGATTCTGGTGTTGTCGGCAGACGGAGCCGACTCCTCATTCGCCGGCACTTCTTGGACCAAGCCGGGAACGGCCACAAATTGAGTTTGATGCAGCCAAGCTTATCATAAGCCTAATCAGAACGACATACTGTAGAGTTCGCTCCACAGCACCCATGTCCGCGGCTTCCCGATGACCCGGCTAGATGTGGTGTCCCGTTGGCTTCCAGCTTGCGTCTTTGAAGCCACCATGATCCTCCCGCGAGTCTGCGTGATGTTGAGGCATCCCACCTTGGCAGTGCGAGACACGAGCTGACCCGCCTGTGCCTTGAACCGCTAATGCTCATCCGCTCGCTTAATATGCAGTAGGTGAACCGACGAAGGATGCTCTCGATCAAAGGCTGCAAGCATGGACGTCGACTGATGCAACTGTGACTCGGCCAAACAGGCGTCTGGAACTACACCTGCATCTTTCCGCCAAGGTTCACATCAGAGCCGAGTCTGGTACTCCGGTTCAACGTACTTCGTGAAGTCCACCTACCAATACGGTCTGCTGGCCTTTCTATCGTCAGCAGCTGCACGATCAGCATCAAATTCACCAACAACTACCATGGCCATGTCTCCATTAGACGCAGCAGATGCTGAGAAAGCACTACACGAACTCGAGAGCTTCCTGGAGAAACCCCAATCTCGAAAGCACAATCGGACTGTCTCTTTCGGGAAGCTAGACTTGCCTGAGTATTCAGTAAAGAAGGACGTCAAGGCCAATTTAAGTCGCACCGCGTATCTCGACGGCCTTAGAGGCTTTGCAGCACTGCTGGTGTACTCCCTGCACCATCAGGTTTGGGCCCACTCTGGCATGGGTGGCGAGTTCATCCTAGAGAACGCTTTCGGCTGGGATCACAAATACTATTTTGTTTGCTTTCCTGGAATTAGGATCCTCTTCTCAGGCGGTCATCTGGCAGTGGCAATCTTTTTTGTCATATCAGGCTATGTGCTGACCGCGAAACCGCTGCGACTGCTACAAGCTCGAGAGTCAGCACAGCTAGCAGATAATCTCAGCTCCGCATTGTTCAGACGTTGGATCAGGCTCTTCATTCCAGTCATTGCAACCACATTTCTATGGATGACGAGCTGGCATCTTTTTGGCATCAAATCGAGCAATCCAATAGCTGCACCACCTGAGAGAACATATCTGGACGAGGTGTGGAAATGGTACTGCGATTTCAAGAATTATAGCTTCATATTCACTGGTGATGCATGGAATGCATACAACGACCACACATGGTCAATCCCAATGGAGTTCCGAGGATCAATTGTGGTGTATACGGCATCTCTGGCTTTCTCGCGATTCAAGACCGACAAACGACTATTATGCGAAGTAGGCCTGATCTGGTACTTCCTTTGGATTGTAGACGGCTGGTTTTGCGCGCTGTTCATGGTTGGCATGCTTCTCGCAGACCTCGATCTGTTGGCAGAGAAGGATCGGTTGCCGGCAGTACTCGCTCGCTTGAGACCTTTTAAGCTGCCTTTGTGCTATCTGATGTTCTTTGCCGCTCTCTACCTTGGAGGTGTACCATCCATCACCAACGATTTGAGCCATTTACGAGACTCGCCGGGGTGGCACTTTTTATCCTACCTCAAGCCACAGGCTGTTTACGACTTTCGCTGGTTCTTCCGATTCTGGGCAGCATCGCTCATGGTGGCCTGCATACCACACATCGCTTGGCTAAAAGCCTTCTTCGAGACCACCTTTTGCCGATACCTTGGCAGAATCTCTTTCGGCTTTTACTTGGTACATGGTCCAGTTCTTTGGACCGTGGGTGACCGCCTCTACGCGGCCGTCGGCCGAGTGCGTGAGGGGCACGTTGGGGTAGTGCCCACTTGGATCAATCTCTTCCCGTTCAGTGGGTGGGGACCGTTCGGCCTGGAGCTGAACTACCTTGTCCCACATCTGATCTTACTGCCACTTACGCTCTGCCTTGCGGAAGCCATCACTAAGCTGATCGATGAGCCGAGCGTCAAGTTTGCCCAATGGGCATTTGGTCAGGATGTGGCAGCACCGAAAAAGGCAGATCCATGACTCATGATGCGCACGTCAAAGTCCATAGATAAGAACTTTCACATTTAGGCAGTCTCAGTCATGAACCGCAGATGTCGAGCCTTGCCGTCCCAGCGAATCTGTATGCAGAGCCTGTCTGGATGCGGTCAAGTAGAGGCGGTATTGCGTCCGCTCTGAACCTCATATCCACTCCTGCAGGAACGGTTAACGAATGAGGTAATGGCTCGGAAGTCTCTCTGAGATCTTAGGCTTTATTTGTGCCACCTCACGTGGAGCAAGGTTCTTGGGTGAGACGGCGATACGAAAAGCCACCGTGGGTGGCCAAATATAGAGTTTTGCGCGGGCTACGTTACGGGACTTTCTCCAACTTCTCCAACCGATTTTATGGATCTCTCTCCTACCCACTCTTTTCGCTCAACATCCTTGCGATAGTAGTGCATCTCTGCACACCTCGTTGCGGGTTGTGTGCATGTATGCACGACGGCATGGTTCTATTGAATCTCCTTATCAGCTTAGCGAATTCATCGTCTGCCGTCCCTCTCGGATACGAGCGCAAGCCAAATGGCTCTTGGCAGTACACCAGCGCACCAAACATACGCGTGGTATTGGGAATGAATGTCTTATCCCTCGCGGAGATAGCCTTGAGACACCATGAGCTGATCACAATTCAGCAGCGCCGTGGGCTCCACCTTATCACAGCAAAAGTCTTAGCATCGCTGCATGCCGGGTCTCTCGCGCCTTAGAAGCTGGTGAAGAACCGGGTGTGCCTGACGCAGCTGAAGTCAATAAACGCTATTCTCCGCGAAAGTTCCACGAGACCCACTTGCCCTTTTGTGTTCCTGTTGGCTTTCGATAGTGGACGCCACAGGTCAACGTCCGGATGATGATATTCGTTGTGCGTCGCAACTTTGCTGTGCGTGAAAACTGCTGAGCGCAAGCCCAGAGCGGGCCTTTGGTCGACCGATCACAATCAACGGTCTTTCTGGTTGCCCAGATGCTGGCAGCCGGTGAGTCGGAGTCTTGGTCTGTTGACTGTGACGATATGCTTTGGCACAAGCCTCTCTCTTGCTACGCGGAGTGGATGTACTGCAGAGAATGACCTTCAGAGGCATTCCCACTTCGACTTCTCTTTCGGTCGCACACAGTAGACTCAAGTCATTCGTTACCAACACTCGTTCACTCGCTCACAGTGTTGACCGCAATGGCCATCCGTACCTTCCTCGTTGCTGCTCTGGCTGCGTTTGCGTACGCCGAGAAGCTCAACGACTGCTCGGTGAGCCTGTCATTGTGGTGAGCTCGGGTTCATTCGCTGACGTCTGTGTAGGGTAGCTGTGTTGGCAAAGCCATCCAGATCACGGGATGTCCTTCGACCAACAGCCACTGCATCTGCTCTTCACCCTCGTTCATGAAGACAGTCTACGAGTGTGTCGCTGAGTGCACCGCCGCAGACCAAGAAGGCAAGCCTATTTTCCTCTGATCGATTTCGATTCCGACGCTAATTATCGATGCAGCCGCTGTCAGCGTCGCCGAAGGTTTCTGCCAGGCCGTCAGCAGCACCCGCTCCGATCTCAAGCGCAGCAAGCGTAGTTGGGGTGAGGACTGGGGCCAGCAGCGTGGTGGATGGAATCAGCCATCTAGAAACAGCAACAAGGGTCAAGCAGCTCCTCCGTCTCCACCAAAGCCCAACAACCCGCCACCACCATCAAAAGGTCCTCCTAGCTCACCAAGCCCTCCCAACCATCAGCCACCACCAGGCCCGCCGGGTCATGATAAGCCTTCTCCACCAAAACCAGGCCCACCAAGCAAGCCCGTCTTGCCACACCCTGAGCAGACCGTATGGTAAACAATCTCACAACAATCGCTACATCAATACCATTCTTCTCGGATCCGGAATTCATCTCACAGCTGTCGCCCTCATGGCGGGCGTTATGCCCGTTCGTGCAGTTTGACCGCATTCAAATTTCGTATTTTGCCATGGTACTTTCTGGTGTGCTGGGTTTCTGTGGAATGCCAGAAGACCTTTTGACTAAAGCTTCGATCGGTACGCCGACGTGTCATGATACAGATGATCAATACAGTCTTTCCTTAATGCATCAAAACTCCCTCCAGGTCTCATTTTGCTCCGACATCAGCTCGGTGGTGGGTATTCAGATTTGCTACCATCTGTCATGTCGACTTGTTTCCGTGCAACTCCATCCCAGCGGAAACAATATCTCCCACCAGTAGTCTCTCGTGGCACTTTGTTCATCATAACGTTACGGACATGGAAAGGATGTCGTCTGGAGGTACTCAGCCTTGCCCACACCATTGCCGCTGTCGTGCCACATCTCGCGCATCATGTAGGCACGGGACAGCGATCACTCCAAGCGCAAACCTGCCTTGCATGGCTTGCTGTACATCCAGTCCGCTTGACGATTCATCGTCTGTACACGTGAGAAGCTGCTCTCGATGAGGTGCCAGTAGATTTCCTGTTCGTGGCAATTCTTGCTACGCGGCTGTGCGGGCTTTGCTCTTCATCCGCCGGTGCTATTGGTCAATTCGAACCAGCGAAGGGTTAGGGTTTGGGTAAACCGCTCCTTTCGCTTGCGAATAGCTTCGCTGATGGATTGACTGACCACGTCACCACGTTGAAGACCTGGACGAGCTGCTAGACTCCAGTGACCGGGTGATCTCTCGTCAAGAAAGTTGCACTGGACATTCTTGGTAGTTACAGCATGTCTTCCGCGCCCTCATTTCGGGGAGTTTAGGAAAAGAGCGAGTTGACTGATTCAGCAAACTCCAACGTACTACGTTGGGTAATGTACTGCGATACTATATTGTGTCACCCCTGGGGCAGACGCATCACTAACTATACACGCTTCGGTCGCTTTGGCTCTGCACCTCCCTTGATGTGCACTCGTTCGCGTGGGAAAACCCGAGTGTGCTGTTTATCAACAACGACCGCCCCGTTGACATCCCCTGGCTATCGTATCATTCATGCCAGCCAGCAGCCGTCCCAAGGCATGGGTGTACGCTCGCATTGACCACCTGTATCATGACTTGTTGCTCGGCCAGTACTTTAAAGCAGAACTAACCTCCTTCCATCCCACCAAAGTGAAGCCAACAAATCTCTCGCGCGAAGCGACAATCCCGTCAACGGCCTGGCGAACGCGGGCCTGAACGTGTAAATAGGTGGCTTGAGATACGGCAGCATTGCGTCGCGCCACTGTGATGGATGGTCGCGAACGAGTTGCGACAGGCACTTGCAACTTGATCCGCGCCAATGTACTGGTATGTCGTGCGCGCAAGCCGGGGTGGACACCGAGCACTACGATATCAAGGTTGCGAAAGGCCGGAACGATGGAGCCCATGGTTGCCATGTTGGTGGGCCATGCTCGAACGTTTGCTGAGATCTCACGAGAACGTGTGCTTAGATCTCACGAGAACGCTTGCCCAAGGCCACACGAATGCCGTAGTCTCGTCTGACATAGGCGTATCGCGGTTTCGCCCAGAGTTTCATGCTCAAGGTGGGTACTGCTAGCGTTGGTAATTCGCCACGGCCATTCAGCCCATCCAGTTCCTCTGCATCTTCGCCACTCGACCACACCACCCATTCAAATGTACACTCCGAGAAGAACACTCGCAGTACTTCGGCGCGGACCTGTTTGCTGACCATTGCTAGTGTTGGAACATTAATCTTCCTGAGCTCGCGGCTGTGCTCTGAACCTATTGCATAGTGGTAGACTCGCAAGCGTAGCCTAGGTAGGAGATTGAAGAAGGTGACCTGTGATTGGACGCCTGCGTGCTTGACCTCACGAGCGGTACGCTTGTCTTTCCGAGTGTTTTGACGGCTCTTAGTCGTGATGTCCTCGAAGCTCTTTTCAGGCTTCACGCCCGTGGCGCGCTGGCTTCGTCGTTGTGTTGACATGGTGGCCGCCAGGGTTGTTGTTGTGTTATGGCGTCCGCTTGCGATCGATGACTGTCGAGGATAGTGCTGAGAGATGTGAAGACTGGTTGAAGAGTGAGCAACAAATGGCGAGCGCATGACTAGCGCCACCTTGAATTCACATTTTAGGAAGTAACGACAAAATCGTATCTGGCAAGGACGATCTACACTACGCGAAGAAGGTCCCGGCTTCAAAGCAGTTCAGATGTAACATTGGAATGTCAGCCGCTGTCACCAAGAGAAGCGTATAACTCCTGATGCCGCAGAATCCTTCAAGCCACGATTGTTCTTCCGCCACCGTTTACCTTCCCGGCCAGTATTTGACTGCCATGCTGAGCTTCAGAAGGTCCGCCACTGTGAAGCCAACGAAGCGCTCCCGTGACTCGGCGATCTTGTGGCTGGCTTCCGTGAGGCGATCTATAAGACACGAACATGCTGCTTCGGGGGCGCCTTCGAGGCGAGGATCGGCTGTAATTGACGGGAAGGAGCGGGTAGCCACCGGAGCCCGCAGCTGAACCGTCATCGATAGAGGTGGCGTTGCATTCACCTGACGATACCGATTCTGCCTCCCAATCTGAGACACACTCAGGTCTAGTTTTCGGAACGAGGGCGTGAATCCATCACTGCTCGTAATGCGGGAAAGCCAAGTCTGATGAAGTCTTGCGATCTCGTTTCGTGTATGGACAAGCAGCCAGCAGTATCGCGACTCCAGCGTGCGAAGCTCTCCAGGCTCGTCTGCCAAGCTTATAGTAGGCACATGTTCGATCGCGAGCACGCCTTGCAAGACTAAACGGTCCAAAGGTTCGATGTCTTTACCATTGGTGTCGAGCCTGATGGTAAAGCGGCATTCGGAGAAGAACACCGGGAGCGCTTCAGCGCGTACTTGCTTGCTCACCTGTGCCAGGACCGGAGCTTTCATCCGGACTAGTAGATCTCGTGGCTTCTCTGGTTCAAGCGCTAGTCGGTAGATATTCAGGCGAATCTCCGGCAGAATGTCGAAAAATGTGAGGCGTGTCTCGACATCAGCCACCTTTGCTTCACGCTCGGCTCTCAAGTTTAGTAGACCCAGATGATGACCGAAAGCCACGACCTCGTCATTCTTGTTGCTGAGCCTCTCGCCTCCGATGCGTAGGCTACGGCGTGCTGGCATGGTTGAAAGATTGATGTGGGATTTGCTTTATTTTGAGCAAGTCCCGAGCCTGTTGTGCTGGAAGCGTGAGCTTGAGTTCTGCTTCGTTCCCGCAGGCACGAGGTTGAAGAACCTTGTTGGAGGGGCCTTGGTATCCCGTGACCGAGTCAATCGTCTGGCGAAAGGTAAATGTATGTGACTGCGAAGTGAATGGAAGAAGACACTGGAGGTGCGGGTAGTTGTAAAGGAAGTCGAGTGGTGAAGCGGTGACCGAGCTCGTCACAGCCCCAATTGCCGCTAATGTTTAAGGCAAGAGCGAACCTCTGTAATCTTGGATCTCTAGATGGCAAGAGCCCACCACAGTCTCACCTAAGCCTGTTGCTCGTCACGCGTATGAGACACTGAAGGGTCTGAACAGGGTCGGTAATGGAACTTGCTCGTTTCGTACGCGTTCTAATCCATCTCGTCGACACCCTCCGGCAACTCCACAATTCGCTCCCCACCAGGCTCACCAACCTCCTCTACCTCCCTCTTCTCCCCTGGCATCGCCCTCGTCCTCTCAATTTCCTCCACCTGCTTTTGCCCCTCTTCGGTGGTAGCATCAATCACGCCCTCCTCAAGACTCAACATCCCTCCATTGCCCAATTGCTCAACAACCTGTTCCGCCTCGTCCACCGACATCTTCGCCAAAACCTCGTTCACCTTCTCTAGACTCCCACTCTGCAGAGCCCGCTGCAGACCAGGCGGGAACGTATCGAAGATCTCTCTTGCCGTGCGCTCGTCGTCGTTCGTGCAGTCGGCTAGGGATGGAGGCGTGACAATGTTGATGGTAGTATTGGGATCAACGGCATGGAGTTGAATCGTCTCGCGCTCGCCGCCGTCGGCTTCGCGTTCGCGGGCCAATTCGGCAGTACGGCTACGGATTCGAGCATAAGTCGTGTTCACATCGTCCAGGAACAGTTTCCTTGCTTGATGGTTTTGTGTCTGAATGCGTTTGAAGAAGAGACCTACACCGTCCTTGCCTAGTTGGCGACAGTATTGCAGTAGAAGGGCTTGATGCACGCATTGGCGAGCGTAGTCTTCTTCCTTCTGATTAGTGGCGTTGCTTTGGCCATTGAAGGCTTCGACCAGTAGGCCATCTGTTTCCTTTTCCGCGAGAACTTCAGGATGCTCACTTATGAAGCGTAGACTGGCTGGGTAGTCGCCGTAGGGTATCCGGCCGAAACGTTTGGCGAGAGGTGAGGCTTTCATGTCATCATCTGCTGCTTCTTCGCCCGGCACTGTTGCTATCGCGCCGTCTTCTATGTCTGCTTCTGAACCAGCGGTTTCTGCACCACCTTGCTTGATGGCTTTTGGGTTCATCAGCTCTGGTTCGGTCTTGACGGGTACGACGGGTGCTTTCGCAACGTGTGAAGTGTCGAAGCCCATATGTATACTGTCACTCGTGATCTTGCTGCCCTCTTCCTTCTCAAGCTTATTCAGCTCTGTTAGTAGGTCTTTCTGCAAGCCTTTAACTTTTACCTCGTGACCAGCGACCTCCTTCAGATATGCCTCATACCGAGCAGGCCCGTCAGCATTGGCTTTATCGACCTCAGACTTCACCTGATCGACCAGTGTTCCCATCATCTTACTGTAACTCGGCTGCTGCTCATTGGCATGAATACCTTGAGGCGGAGCAGGAGGCTGATCTTCTCCCAGACTGCCATCGCCTTGCACTTCCACCAAAGCATCAAACACGACTTCATCGATATCATCAGTCTCTTTCTTGCCTTCAACTTCTTTCTTATGTGCCCCAAGGCACTTCAACAGAGCATCTATCCGCGACAGTAATCCATCGTTAATGACCCTCTCGTACTTGAGCGTAGTGATGCGGTGTTTGCGGTCTAGTCGCTGCTGATGTATCTGGTTCTGCTTGGCACGAATGAAAGAGCGCTTGTCGACATTTGGATGGACTTCGATGTCGCTGTCGTCCGAAAGCTCAAGGGCATCCCACTTGCTGTAATCGACAGGCATGGTGGCGTTGTTGTTTGGCTGGGTTTTTGGGCAGCTAGTCATTAAATAACATCGTCGAGAAGTCAAAAGTTTCCTTCCTGATGATATCGTAGCTGTTGCGAGAAGGCACGTGGATGAACTTGCCCCACTGTGCAGAGCACAAGCCAAGCTACGCCACTGTCCACGGGTACGATGCTTTTCCTATTTGTTCCATTAACATTCATTGCACCACCACCACATCATTTTTTCGGCACGGGAGTGAGATTGGACGACCCGTGCTGTCGAGTGCGAGATAAGACAGCGATACCTTCTTAACAACGCCACTCAACAGGCTCGGAACCCACAGCTTTTCCGATCTAGCAAACCAAACATATCCCGTTCAGCTCAGCTCCAGCCCCGAAGGATGATTCCATCCCAGCGGCGTCCCCTTTGGCGATGGTATCAAAGTTGAGCTGATTTTCGGGATGGTAAGCTCGTAATTGGCTTTTGCAACATCAGCAATAGCACGCCCTGCATTTTCACTCTTTACCTAAAACATCTCTGTCATTAAGCACTGCTTCATCCTGCCTGGTCCAATATTCTTTCCTTTTCCATTGCGCGGCAAGACTACTAAAATGCACTTAAAAGTCCTCCCAGCAACCGCGAAAGATCTAGACCAGGTCTCCACCGTCTACGGCCCAGAGACAGGCGATCTCGTAGCTCCAGCCCTCGCTATATGCTGGCACATCGAGCCTCAGGATCTGGAAGCAGCCAAGCGCCGCGCTCAATGGTCTTACAAGCAACAACTCGCCTTTTTGCAGCCACGTGTGGATCCAACTGTGCGGCTGATGAAAGTCATCGACACTGATGCTCCAGCGGGGAAAGATATCGTGGCTCTAGGCCGATGGCATGAATACCCGCATGGCTACGGAGCTCATGGCGATGCTGAGACGACTACGAAGCTCTGGGAGGGTGATATGACGGGTCTTGAGGTCAAGGAGTTCAATACAGCGTTGTACACGAACCTCCTCGGGGAGCTTTTCGATAAAAGACGTGAACCAGAACGCTTTGGCACGGGATCACAATGGGGTCCGTCTCTACCTCTGCACTGACACTCTCTGTACTCCAACTGACTTACGACTTAACAGTCCTCACGACGCTAGCAACCCGGGAGCCATACCGTCGTAAAGGCGCTGGTGGCATGATTCTGGGATGGGGGCTTGAGCAAGCTCGAAAGGCGGGTGTACCTGCTTTCTTGGAGGCAGCGGTTGGCGCGAAGCACTTGTATGAGAGCCATGGGTTCAAGGAGATTCAGAAGGCGAGTATCGATTGTAGTGACTCGGGCATGCCAGGGGTTGTCGTCGAGTTGGCCATCATGAGAGCGGATCCCGGGACATGACAATGGAGGCAGAACTCCCGTTAAATGCTTTAGCTTGCAAACCTAAGACCCTTTGTTCCAATAATCAGCAAGTGTATCACGTCCCATGGTTCATCGACTTGTGCACGCTCGCGCTTTTCCACTTGTTCAAATGGTGTATACATGACTTGTGCACCTTCCCCACATCGAAACCACCCCACCAGGCGACTTTCTGAAACACCTGTCGAATATACAATTTTGAACAGGCACGCGAGCACGATTGGCAATATCACACGACAGCAAAAGTTTTTGATATTTGGATAGCACGAAGAGCAGCGGTGAAGCAGCAATCTCCCTCACGATACCACACTTTACGAAAGCGATATTTACGATACTCCCACCAACAACCACACCGCCATGTCCGCACCACAAGAAGGAAGAGTCAAGAGCGTGCTCTCTGGCGATACCGTGATCCTACAAAATAAAGGGAAGCAAGAACGAACATTGAGTCTAGCCTTCATCAACGCTCCTCGACTTCAGCAGGACGAGCCTGGTGCCTTCGAATCACGCGATTTCATCCGCAAGCAATGCGTAGGCAAGATAGTACATTTCCGCGTCCTCTACAACATACCGCAAAAGACAGGTGGGGGGAGTCGCGACTATGGTATTGTGAATCTAGCCAACGGACAGACGCTCCCGGACTTGATCGTGCAAGAGGGATGGGCCAAATTGCGAGACGATGCGGATCGGAAGGCAGAGTCACCACAGGCCTCTGAACTGCTCGAACGACTCACTGCATTGGAGGCACATGCCAAGGCCGATGAGAAGGGTGTGTGGGCATCCAAGCCAAGCAACATTCAGAACGTACGTGAGCTGTCAGATGCGAAGGCATTCGCCGAAGAGCACAAAGGTGAGCCTATCGAGACTGTGGTCGAGCGAGTTTTGAGTGGGGATCGCCTCATATGTCGGCTCATGGTTAACCCTACGTATCATGTAACTACGACTGTACTGGTTGCTGGTCTACGGTCACCTACGACAGCACGGACGAATCCTTCAGATGGCAGTACGCAGGCAGCCGAACCGTATGGCAACGAGGCACAAGCCTTTGTTGAGGAGCGACTCCTGCAGCGAGGCGTGCAAGTGCGATTACTCGGCGTGTCACCAAACAATCTCTTGGTAGGTTCCGTGCAGCATCCTGTGGGCAATATTGGCGAATTCTTGCTCAAGGAGGGTCTGGCACGTTGCACTGATCACCACTCGACATGGCTCGGTGCTGAGATGGGCAAGCTACGTCAGGCGGAGCGAGAAGCGAAGGAGCAGCAGAGAGGTCTGTTCAGGGGTGCTGCACCACTACAGCGATCAGCTGGGAGTGAAGCAGAAGCCACCGTTACACGAATCTTTTCCGCAGACACTCTCTTCATCCGAAACAAGGCAGGCGCGGAAAAGCGTATAAACCTCAGCAGTGTAAGACAGCCTAAGCCATCTGATCCGAAGCAGTCTCCGTTCGGGGCAGAGGCTCGAGAATTCCTACGCAAGCGACTCATTGGCAAGCATGTCAAGATCAAGACAGATGGCAAGAGACCAGCTACCGAAGGCTACGATGAGCGAGAAATGGCCACCGTGACGTCCGGCAACACGAATGTCGCTCTCATGCTTGTTGAGAATGGTTACGCATCAGTTATTCGCCACCGCATGGACGACACCGACCGAAGTCCGCTGTACGACGATCTTCTGGCGGCCGAGGTGAAGGCTCAAGAGGAGGGCAAAGGTATGTGGAATCCGAAGCCACCTAAGCAACAGACCTTTGTCGATCATAGCGAGTCCCTGGAGAAGGCCAAGCGACAGCTCACACTCCTCTCGAAACAACGCAAGGTGCCGGCCGTGGTCGACTTCGTCAAGTCTGGAAGCCGCTTCACTGTCTTGGTACCTCGCGAGAATGCTAAGCTCACCTTTGTGCTGGGTGGCATCCGTGCGCCGAAAAGTGCTCGCGGCCCACAAGATCAAGGCGAGCCATTTGGACAGGAAGCGCACGAATTCGCCAACAAGCGTTGCATGCAGCGCGATGTTGAGATTGACGTTGAGGATACCGACAAGCAGGGCGGTTTCATTGGCCAACTCTATGTCAACCGTGAGAACTTTGCCAAGCTGCTTGTCGAGGAGGGCTTCGCCCAAGTGCATGCATACAGTGCAGAGAGGTCTGGTAATGCCAATGAGCTCTTCGCGGCTGAGCAGCGCGCAAAGGAAGGTCGCAAGGGTCTGTGGCATGATTGGGACCCTTCCAAAGATGCGGAGGAGAACGGTGAGGACTACGATGCTGCGCCTGCGACGAATGGCACGAACGGTGCCAATGGCGATGCCGGCATGTCCAAAGCCAAGATGGACTACCGCGATGTCACAGTCACATACGTCGACCCAACGAATGCACGAATCAAGCTGCAAATGCTTGGCTCGGGCAAGCAAAACCTCGATTCGCTCATGAAGGACTTCGCCAATTTCCACATCTCGCCACAGAACAGCAAACCTCTCGCACAGCCACCTAAAGCTGGTGATGTAGTCTCTGCCAAATTCTCTGCTGACAATGTCTGGTACCGCGCCCGTGTGCGCCGTAACGACCGCGAGAACAGGACTAGTGAAGTAGTCTACATCGACTACGGCAATTCCGAGACCCAACCCTGGAGCTCACTGCGTGCAATAGACAACGATCGTTTCGGTGTGCAGAAGCTGAAGCCCCAAGCCGTCGATGCAGCACTCTCCTTTGTCCAGTTTCCGACCAGCCCAGAGTACCTTTCAGACAGCTGCAAGTTCCTCGACGAAGTCACGTACGATCGAGCGCTTGTGGCAATGGTGGACTATAATGATACCCGCGACAACTTACTGTACGTCACGTTGATAGAGCCAGCTGGCGCCGAGGCCTCAGGCTCCTCAGCACGTCTCAAAAGCGTCAATGCTGAGATCGTAAGTGAGGGCTTGGCTATGGTGCCGAAAAAGCTGAGGCCCTTTGAGCGTGCGGCAGGTGATGTGTTGGGTGATTTAAAGGCTAGAGAGAGCGAGGCGAAGAACGAGAGGAGAGGCATGTGGGAGTATGGTGATTTGACTGAGGATTAGATGTTGCTTAAGGGAGTGCTTGGGCTAGACCAAATTGGCTGGTTTGCATAGCGTTGAGCATGGGTGGAAGAGAAAGGTGCATGGATAGCTTGAGCAGGCTAGAGTAAGCAGCCATGGATTAGTAGTCATAGCGAGCTGTAGATATGTAATGCCACAATTGCATTCACGACAAATCTGACTTAGAACGTAATGTAGAACTACGGCGTTCGGTATTGGCTGTCCTTTTCAGCCCCCAATCCACCTCGCATTCGTAACAAGTAGTGAATACCTACTACCATCTTGCCGCCACATACATCTTCACGTTTCCACGACTCATGACCTGAGCACATATGAGCGAGTGCCGCATAACAACAAAGCATTCCTGATTGATCAAGCATTTGTGAGCCAAGATCATCATGGAAGAAGCAGCTCCACAATCGCGGCCTGTCACCATCGCGCCGGCGTTCGATGGCATGCCAAGGCAGCAGGACAACTCGGGTCCACCTCAAGCTTCTACATGGTGGGTAACTGCAGTAGAATGTGAGATGTTGATTGACTAAAACTCACACCTCGGACAGTACGACATGCGCAAGGCGGAAAGTGAAGTGCGACAAGACTGGCCCTCCCTGCGCGACATGCAAGAAAGGTCGCCTGAATTGTTACTATGAAGCGCCTGCGCCTCGGAAGCGGAAGCGCAAGCCTATCGAAGATGTGTATGAGAGGTTGGAGCAGTATGAAAGCCTTCTCAAACAGCATGGTCTGCTCGATCAGTCGGAGAAGGCATCACCCACTGATGAGACACCGACCAACGGCGTGGATGCTAAGACGACAGTCATCGGCGAGAAGAAAACTGGACCAACTGCTGGCGAACTCCTGGGTATGAAGACCGGCAAACTAGTAAATGTTCGTGGCAAATCACGCTACATCGACTCCACACTCTGGACAAACCTCAACGAGGAGGAATTGCATCCTTCTTCAGAAGAAGACGAGTCTGGCGACGACGACCTTACGCGCGCCACGTCTTTCACGAACGGCACTTCAGAGTCCATGGCGGCTGGTATACTATCCGGTGGCTCCCCAGGAGCAAGTCTGTTGAATTTCCATCCGACGTACGATGCAGCAATGAAGATGTGGAAAGTGTTCCAGAGTCATGTGGAGCCCTTGACGAAACTCCTGCACGTACCTACTGCTACAGCACTTGTCCAAAGAGCGGCAGCAAATCCGAGTAGTGCTTCAAAGGCGGTGGAGTGTCTCATCTTCGTGATCTACCACTTTGCATGCGCGGTCATGGACGAGGAGGAATGTGAAGAACTCATGCATCAGTCGCAGTCAGTCCTTCAGAAGAAGTATCATGCTGCAGCCGTCCAGGGCCTAGTCAATGCATCGTTTGTTCGAACAACAGATCTCATGGTCGTGCAGGCATACGTCTTGTTCCTATTATCTGTACGCACAAGCTACGATCCACATACCTTCTGGATCCTGACTGGCATCGGAGTTCGACTAGGACAGCGTATCGGACTGCATCGCGATCCGGAGGATCTTGGCGTGCAGCCGTTTGAGGTGCAAATGCGCCGAAGGCTGTTTTGGCAACTCTTGCCTCTGGACGGCATCGCGTCGGTGATGAGTGGGACTGGTATGGCCGCGCCGTACGAGACATGGGACACCAAGCAGCCGCTGAATATCGACGACGAGGACATTTGGCCTGACATGGCCGAGACTCCCGTGGAAAGGACTGGTGCAACTGATATGATGTTCTGCATGATGAGGACTGAATTCGGTCGCTTTCACAAGAAGATGAAGCCATTCTTTGACGGTGCGGGCAAGCTATGGCAAGCCGGAAACACCGCTGCGGCGGACGAGATGGAGCAGGCGATTGCGGACTTGGAGGAAACTATGGAGTCGAAATACTTGCGGTACGCTGATCCGGTTTACCCTTTGCACCTGCTCGCTCTTCTTCTCGGTCGGGGCGCTCCGCAAAACGCACGGCTGCGTTTACGACTGCCGCGCATGCGGATGAATCCCGACGTGACGGAGGAGGAAAAGAAGACGACGTGGAAGATGTGTCTAAAGATGTTCGACTACGACAAATCCGCTCACACGAACCCGGTCCTAAGGAAGTTCTCGTGGCATATGCAAGCGGTGTTCCAGTGGGACAGTGTCATCTGGGTGCTCAACGAAGTCCGGCGTGGCTCGCCTGCTATCATGGATCCCAGCGAGGCTTGGACGCGTATCGAGTGGATGTTCGAATGCCATCCGCAGTTCATGAGGCCTGGCCGTGCGCTGCATTTCGCGATACGAAAGCTGGCGCTCAAAGCGTGGGATGGCCAGCCCGACCGCTTCAAACCTGCTGATCGGTTAGATCCATCATTCATCAAACAGCTACGCATGATGTGCGAGAAGCGGAGTGCTGGTTCCATCAGCAGTGAGTCGACTACGCAACCCAAGCCGAATCCTTGGTCACCGCCTGTCGATAATGGAGATACGTTTGTACCTGTGGACCCGGCGATCGCAGCGCCGATGGACGGTATCATGTTAAGTACGGCCATAGAGACGAATTTCTTGGACGGGTTCAGTGCGGATAATGTTGATTGGGTGTTTTGGGATCAGCTGATCCAGGACAGTGGGAGTTTGCCTCCTGCCATCAATTTTGGGAGTCAGTAGTCGTTTTCTGCGATCCGGCTCTAGCAATTTGAATGTGTGTTCTATACAGCTCTCAAGACAGATACTCAGCTCAATGAAAGCTGCCCACTCTTGCCACTCAGTTAGACGGACAAATCCAACTTTTCTTTTGGGAGAAGTCGTGATGTCGCGAGCCTCAGGCATTTTTCAGAAGTCCGAATCGTCGGGGCTGATCATCCGCTGTCATCGATCCACAACGATCTCCGGTCGATCACCACGAAACCCATGCACGCCACAACGAGCACTTCCCGTGTCTTTCACCATCAATCACGGCACGTAGATTATGCCGCAGCGCCATCCCTTTCGCTTGTGAGTGATGAAGCAATGGCTTCGACGAGCGTCTCAGTTGTACGCCGAGCCATTCACGTTGCGATTCTTCTCGACCTGCCGATCGTCTTCTTACTTTCAGCAAGCAGAGTTCCAAATAGGAGTGCACGACCTTCTGTAGAACTATAGCATTCAAAAGGAACCCACTCCGCTCCCTCGACGTGCATGTTAAAGCAGGATTTCCTACTCAGGGCCACGCATCTGGTGACGTAAAAATTCTATCATGCTCGACTTGACACCCTTGCAATTTCAATCGCCAACCCAGCAACCCTTGCATTTCGTGGTAGGTTTTATAGGTTGTGCTTAAGCATTACTGGATCGAAAATCTTCCGCATGTGAGGAATCTGGGCCTTTGCTCATTCATCTCACAAGACTGCAGCATATACACGGCACGCCGATGGAGTAAGTCGTGCGTCACCGCACATTTCGACGGCACGTCCGTGTATGATCATGGTGAGATTGAGCATGGATTCTCTCTTGGTGGCATTTCCCTTGTTGGGAATTTCTAGTTATATTTGTGTGAAGACCGCAGGCCTCAACCGAAGCACCTCCCTTATCATCCTCGTCTCATTCTTACTTCTCAGCGTTCTAGCGCTTCTACCTTTCGAGGCATCGGATTACTGCCTTAGCTGCTGGGCAGTCGACCTTTTACATCCATATACGGAAATTGTTTCTGACCGCGTTTCGAGCACTCAGCATCGCTAGCAGGAGACACCCAGTGCAAAATGCCCGGCCAGCAGCATGATGAGAAGTTCAGTAAACGACATGCCATGGACAAGCCCATGCTAGGCTTTGGCACACCGAAGAGCCTTGAAGGTTCACCGCTCACAGCGCACTTCGTTGCTGCTTCGGGCGAGTTCGTGGGGACCTTCATGTTCCTCTTGTTCGCCTTCCTGGGTCACATTATGGCTGTGGATCAGGCACCCAACATTGGATCAAACGGAAGCATTAGCAATCAGACGGTGATCTACATCGCCCTGGCCTACGGCATGAGCTTGTTGGTGACAGTATGGACAATGTACAGGATATCTGGAGGATTGTTCAACCCGGCTGTGACTCTTGGTCTCGTCATTACGGGCAACCTGCCACCTGTGAGGGGTGCAATCCTCTTTCCTGTACAGATTCTCAGCGGCATCTGTGCAGCGGCTGTAGCGAGCGCTATAATTCCTGGTGACATTAAAACAGTACAGACGGCGATTTCACCCGGTGTGAGCGTAGCGCAAGGTGTCTTCCTGGAGATGGTACGTTCATGCTGTCGAAGCATATGTGGTGAGATGATCAAGTCACTGACAGCTTTTGTTGTAGTTCCTGACTGCCGAACTCGTCTTCACAGTTCTTATGCTCGCTGCTGAAAAGTCGAAAGACACCTTCATCGCACCCATCGGCATCGGGTTGTCCTTGTTCGTCGCAGAAATAGCTGGAGTATATTACACCGGTGCATCACTAAATCCGGCTCGATCGTTCGGACCATGCGTGGTTGGACGTAACTTTCAGCACTACCACTGGATCTACTGGATCGGCCCATTCTTGGGTGCTCTGATCAGCGGAGGATATTACCACTTTGTCAAGTTCTTCCACTACGAGGAAGCTAATCCAGGTCAGGATAGCTCGGGCGGTCAATTCGACCGTGAGTAAAGCATCAGAACCCCACGTGTGGAACATTGCTGGGTTCTGACTGCGATCTTACAGGTGAGGTAGAAGAGATGAATAGCACACCATCCAGTCCTCGCGGCGACGAAGAAGAACAACGAGGTCTTGAGACGATCGACAGCCGGGTGGACAATGGTGGGAGGAGGGAAGGCACGAATGGATATCACCCTGGGTACGCTCCTGGCCGTGCTTGATTCAACGACTCCTTTGCGTGCATCTAGAACAAGAATGAGACAATGTGCTGAGACTTCCGGCTACAGGTATCCTGGAAGACGATCACAGACTTATGGGACAGACTGAGGATAGAGGCCTGCAAGTCCGGGCTGGAACTGGCTGGAACAAGCTACTGATAGGGGCTTCCATGGGTCTTTTGCACTTCTATACATGCCGTCATGTTGGACTATATCTATAAGCAATTTGCAAAGATGTAGACTGCTCAGAACTTTACCCCCTTTTGCTTGTAGAGGTCATACTCGATCGCACTGATCATTTCACTGACCATAGGATCACCCGGCGGCAACACCTGCGTCCCGAAAGTCAAAGCCAAGTCCGCCTCACGATCGATCAACCAGAACGGATTGACCATGCCGCCCCAGCTCAACGTGCCCTTCTTCCTCCTTCCATCATCATCCTGCATCAAAAGTATACCTCCCAGACCCCAATTCAATTCAAGCTTGGGCTTCCACTCTCCAATGACCGAGGCGCCGTAGGGACTCGCCATGAAGGCCATCAACGCTTTCTGTTCCTCGTCATTGAGTTGAGGCTGGAACATCATCTCCACCGTCTCTGGTTTGAGAAGTTTGCCATCGTTGGCAAGGATGCTGCGTTGGACGGCGAGGTAGTCGGACATAGTCGCGTATATGCCATGGCCGCCAAAACAGTCCACGGAGCCCGTGTTGAGGGTCGGAGCGTTGTGCGGCGCAAGCTTGCCATCAGGTCCGCGGACGGTGAGCTGTGGGATCCTGTCAGCCATACCTGGGTGTTTGTCCGGCCAAAATGTGATATTTTTCAACCCCATCGGCTTCCACAAGTTCTCCTGCATGAATTCTTCCAGGGTTTGCTTGGTGAGGTTCTCAACCAGTCGGCCGGCCCAGTCGATCCCGGTACTGTACATCCAGCTCGTTCCGGGTTCGTAGATGCCAGCATGGCCGAAGCGAGCCTCGATCGTCACACCCGTGTTAGCCACATGGCCTTCGTTCTGACGGAGCTTTACCAGGTCAGAGTTCATTGCGTCGTAGACTGTGCCAGCACTGTGGGTTAGCAGCTTCCTACTTGTTGTTAGCTTCTGCTCGCTATCATAATCGTCGTTCTACTTGATCTACCTTAGGGTGATGGGGTTCTTCCGCTCCTCAAGAATCGGCTTCTCATTTTCGTCGAAACCCTTGAAGATGGGCTGCTTGGCCAGGACAGGCAAGTGCTTGCCCACATCATCATCAAGACCGATAAGACCTTTCTCCACCACTCTCAACGCGGCAATGGTTGTGAGAAGCTTGCTTTGAGAGGCCAATTGCAAGACAGCATCGTCTTCGATTGCATTTCCACCTGCAGACTGAGCTGTCCCAGTCCTGTAGTTGTATGTGAAGCTGCCTACGATCTCGTTAAGGCTTGGATAGAACAATGCAGTCAGGTCACATGTAGCATACCAGAAGCATTCGTAGCAGCAACGATCACATGTGGCACCTTGCCATCCTTGACGCCCTGGTCAAGCGTCTCTTCTAGCTTTCCCATATTTCCAACTATAGTCCTCGAAAGAGTCCCAGTCTGTCTCCACTAGGGCAGTACTCGTAGCTTTATATATTCTGCCCAAGGGCCCCCAGGGAAGGTGATGCCGAGGTGCTGAGACATCAGATTCGAAGCTACACGCGACGATCCGACGGCCTGTATACAGAAATGGGATAGTGGTACAGGCAGCTGCATCCCATGCTTGGAGAGCCACCGCTCAGCAGGATCATGAATCGTCGTTTGTGGAGCCAACACGCCAGTCTTAGTCCAGGAAACGAGGTAGATCAAGGCACGAGATTTGTAAGCACGCCTGTATACGAGCAGAATACGGTATCATTGTGGTTAGTGAACACGAAAGTGAGACCACATCGGCAAGCTCACGCGGCGAGGACTAGAACAACACCCCACCATCATAACGATGAAAACATGTCTCGGAATATAAGTCCTCTCTTGTGTAGTGGCAAAAGAGGTCTTTGCGCATACTGTCCGGACTAGATCACCCACAGCACAACAATACGCAAGACCCCGGACAGCAGCCTGAACCGCGGCATTCTGCACTTTTGCACACACTGCTCGTCACTCTTGTTCAGTGATCTTTCTCGTCGCTGACAGCGCGCGACTACTAACCACGCCTCATGCTTCTTGAATTCACAATGTGCCGGACCAATGAAGAGATTAGAAGGGCAGCCCGAAGAGATCACGGACGAAGTCGACGGGGGGGGTTTCCACCACGAACGACCAGCTCGACGTGCCCTTCTCAATCTTGGATCAGTAATACTCGTCCGAGCTCCCTTACACTCGAGCCCGCGACTCGAGTCGAGCTCGAACACATGCGTGCCTGCAGCCATGGCATGGCAGCCGCGATGCGTGCTGTCCTTGCAACCGTTCAAGGGCGACTCGTCGGCTCGCGGAGCACATCACATGCCACCTCCAGCCGAGCCGGGACAAGCCCATCCCATATCCCTCACACTGACTTCCCGTTCGTTCCCATTGCTATGACGGCGGGGCGTCCATCCCTCTTCTCGGTATGGTTTCGCGATACCATGTTGCCAGCAGTGAGTCATGCTATGAGCGCTGCAATTCAGAAACTGCTGACTTCGACCGGGACTTACTTCAACTCATGTTACGTCGATGGTAGGAGAATGCTGTATGCACATCGTCCATGCCTGTCAACAATAGCCAAGTCACCCTTCTCTCCACATGCTCGGATTGGCCGGTTTCTGAAATCGCGGCCTTCCTACCGACTTCATACATCATCCTCCCCGTCCTCATCCTCCCCCCCAACCTCAAACCCCCCACTCCAATCCCATCGATCCCCTCTCGCTTTTCTACTAACAAACTTCACAAACCGCAAAGTCCCCCGATCCCTCAAAACAATACTCAGCGTATTCCAGCTCGCAGGGTTCGAAAACAGAATCCCGTCGTCCTCTGCCTCTCCCTCAGCAGCGGCTTTGTACACAGCTGGATCGGAAGTATCTTTCTTCTGCTTAGCTGAACGCCGTGAGCCAGCGCCTGTGTGTGAGGCACCGGCTCCCGCCTTAGCGGAAGAGCCGTGTGCTGCGTTGGCGGGGATGGCGACACCGTCGTCTGAGCCATCCTCGTCGTCGTCGTCGTCGTCGGCGTCATCGCCAGCCATATAAAGCTCGTAACCACCTACACCATCTTCCTCCTCCACATCGTCAGCCTTTCCATCACCATCCCCCTCCTCCACTTCGTCCCCATCATTCCCACCTCCCCATCCCTTCGAAGGCGTCCCACAAAGGGTAAACTCCACCTGCGCCTCCTCGGCCTCATACCCCTGCGCAAGCTGATAATCCAAACCCCTTCGGAACCTTCTCGCAAGAACTGAACAACGCTTCAGCTCCAAGCCGGTGATGCAGGACATCCATTTCCGGAAAGAAAGGCTAGGGAGGAGGAGGTTGAGGAGTTGTTCGCGTGGACTGAGACTATCTTGGCCGGGTTGGGCGAGGGCGTATTGGTATCGGTGTTTGTGGGGTGGACGGGAGGTGCGCATGGGTGGGAGGTCGAGGGTTGTGGCGTCTAGACTCTCCAGTTCTTCGCGGAGGGCGGAGGAGAATTTCTTGTTGAGGATGTTGGTGAGTTGGAGCGTCGACTCGTCGGTGAAGAGCTCGTTCAGCTCCTCGACCGTATCCGGCGTGAGGTAATTCGGGGTGAGGAAGCGAAGTAAGAACTCTAGATCCGCTTCCGATAATCCTTCATCCTCCTCCTCCTCCTCCTCATCATCCTCCTCAGCAGCTTCCTCTCCATTCGCCTGCCCACTCATCGATTCAGGCTCGAACCACTCCGTCCGCGGCTCATCAAACCCCTCCGCCTTCCCCTGCAACTGCTGCAACGAACTCATCCCCGCCAACTTCTCCTCCAACCCAGCCTCGAACCCCTCCTCCCCCTCCTGCGGAATATGAAACCATCCACTAATCGCCATCCGCACCCTGCCCCCATCACCCTCAACATCCCCAACACCCCGATGATAAACCTCCTCAACATCATGAAAGCTCTCCCCCGGCTGCACGGCAAAAAAACTGAGCTGATTCCACGCCGGCGGGATGACCTTCTCCCATTCCGCTCGAGGAAGTTTATACTTCTTCCCATCCTCCCCCTCAACTTGGTCCGTAGGATACAATCGCAAAGCACCACCCCATTCCGCTCTCCACGCCTTCTCCGGATCGGTAAGATATAAAATATAACTCACCCTCCTCGACCCGATCACGTCATCATGGCAGAGTAAATGGCAGCCGGGCACGTAGACATTAACCGCCATATCCGTCTTCCCGCCACTGAGCGGACCCGCACCGGAAACCTTCTGGATCCATCGGCGGAAGGGAGGGCTGTATAGCGCATCGCGGAGTTGGAGGAGACTGGGCAACTTCTTCAGGGCGTCCGGGTGCAGACCATCTAGGTTGGCCAGGTCGCCGGATTGGTGGATCTTGTAAATGTCGGTTTCTTTCGGGGTGAAGTGGATATTCTCTACGATTTCCGATCGCACGGATCGGAGGAGGGGGTCAGAGATCAGGTTGTGGACCACGGCGTGTTTGTAGGGTGTTGATGCGGCGTAATCGGCGGCATACTTGTCTGCTGAGCCAAAGACGTTGGGGCCAAAGTGGCTTTGGATTTCGTCCTCGGTGGCGACTTTCTTCCTGCTGTAGCCATTGCTCTCCTCGCTTATAGCATCTGTATCAGCCTTGCGTTTCATCTCGTCCTTTCTATACAGCTATATTTACATACAGATGCTGAACAAGACTTCAATACCGTCTCATAAATTTCTTCCAATGGACGTCCAAACCCCCCCCACCCAATCACGCCTCACCTCTCCCGCGACTCTAAAACGGCGCTCGGCGCTAAACGTACGGCCAATCTTTAACCCCTGCTCCTGCCGTGACAGGATGACGCCAGCGGCTTTGGGTTTTGGGGAAGTGGGAGCCAGTGGAAGGTTAAATGGGTGGGTGATAGGAGTGCGACGAGCATGTGATATTGTTTTTCTTCTACACGCGCGCTCGGAGCATCCATCTCGTTATACAGGAACGCGAGGCGAGACGAGACGAGACGAGACGGTCGTACGACAGGTCGCAGTAGTGTGGGGAAGAGAGAAAGGGGTATCTGGTATAAGGTACGTGGGAAGCTGGCATACGGTATCACGAGATGCATTTCTTGAGCTGCTGTTGATCATCTGCTCCTTCTTCACCTGCTTGTCCGCGCTCTTGCTCCCTTTCCCTTCTTCACCCAATATACTGTTTAAAGACGGAGAAGCTGATCTAGTGTCTGGTACACGACAGTCAACATAATAATACAATCACGTCATATCAACAACACCAATCACATGCACAACCAGCAGTAACCAATAATCCCATCAACATCAACAATCTACCCCACCCCACTTACCCACCTACTCACTCCCACCCCAAAAAATGGCCATCTTCGACTCCATCGGCTCCAACTCTTCCTCCGGCGGCCTCCCCGGCGCCCTCGTCCGCCTCGTCCTCCGCTTCTTCCAATTCATCCTCGCCCTCACCGTCGCCGGCCTCTACGGCACGGATCTCCACCACGCGCACCAACAAAACAAGTACACTGATGGAAAATGGGTGTTTGCTGAAATCGTGGCGGGTCTGGCGGCCGTGACGGTGTTGGTGTATGGGGTGCCATTTTTCAAGTCGTATTGGGCGTTTGGGTGGGATTGGGTGATGTTGTGAGTTCTTCTCCTCTTCATTCACCTTATCCTCCTTCCTCGTTCCACCCTCTCTAATAATGGTTAATAGCGCCCTCTGGACCGCCCTCTTCGGCCTCTTCGGCCGCATCTACATCCCTGCCCACCCAACCCCGAAACAAGGCGGTATCCACCGCATGAAGAACGCCGTCTGGGTCGATCTGGTCAATATGCTGCTCTGGCTCGTCACGGCGAGTTATGCTACGGTGATCTTTTTGAGGAATCGGGGGAGTGGGAGGACGTTGCATACGGGCAGGGCGAAGGTGTAGAGTATTGGCCTGCTGCGACCGGTGGAGGCGTCGGTGTGGGAGGGTAGGGAGGGGTTGAGGGGGGAGTGGTTTGGGGGGGTTAAGGTGCATCCGGGGTGGGTGGGCGTGGGAGAGGTGGTGGAGATTGGGCAGATGAGCGGGGTTGTGTAGGGAGAGTTCCAAGGGATGTTAATGGGGAGGGAGTTGTTGATGAGGCTTTTGATCATGTCTTGATGATTGACTAGGATAGCGCTGCGTTATACCCATGCTGTAATGTTAGCGTTCGTGGTTGGTGTAATATTGTTTCGTCCTTGGAGTCGATTGTCGTGGCGATTGTGTCAAGCTCCATGTCGTGGCCTACCCATCTCGTTGGACCCATGTACCACTGTTGGAGTAGGGAACGGCGATAGTCACGTACTTGCATAGTGTATGCAAGACCTGCATGATATCCGGACCTTCCGCTCGGCGTGCCGAAAGGTGGTTGCTGCGCGGTCAACGTTCCGCCAAGAGCTGATGAGATGTGAAGTCGAGCTGATTACTGTCTCATACACAGACCTGGTCTTACCAACCAAAAACCATGGCGTTAGCTTGAGGAGCAATACAGATGCAAAGACCTCTGCGAACCTGCTCAGCATTCCCGGCAATGAGCTGGTCTTGGCTCGCCAGTCCCTACAACCCCAAATCACTGGTAGATAATCGCAACCACTCTTACAGCGGGGCAACCAACCAACCATGTTCCTCTCCAACCTCGTCCAAAAGGCCCAACAGCTCATCGACCCCGCCGCCCTCCCGGGACCCCTCGCGAACCTCACGACTGCCTCCTCCGACCGACCCTCCAAGGCCCAGCTCTTCCGACACCAGTTCCGCTTACCAGATACTCAAAATCCGCTGTATGAGATCACCGCCGAGCTCACCCTCCCCTCCAAGCCGTCAAATCGTAGTAGTGGTAGCAAAGCACGCACCTATCAACCACATCCCGGAGCCGGCACAGCCAAGAACTGGGATAGTTCGAACTGGGACCGGACGGCGGAGGAGAGAGGGACGCATTATGTCGGTCAGCTGCATATCAGTGAGCAGTTCCTCTGCTTTAGCACGGTGAATACTACCTTCGTCTCCACGGCTTCGACCTCAGCTTCTTCGGCTTTCACGGGCCGAACTCATGGGACTGGACCGGCTGGAGATGGGTTCACGCTTCCGCTTTGCGCGGTCCGGAGGGTGGAGAGGCTGCATACTCAGAGTCATATGTTTGCGCTCGCCATCACGACGTGGACGGGTCAGGACGCTGGAGTCAAGGGAAGTGAGGCGCAAGGGTTGGGATCAGGGAATGCGCCTCCCAAGCTTACAATCACGCTAGAGGGGTCCCGGTTACAATGTGAGCGGTTCTGCGATGGGTTGAAGAAGGGGTTGAGGCAGGGGATGCGCGAGGTGGAGAATATGCGGGTCGTGGTCGCGGAGTGCTATTCGGAATTCTTCTCGCAGGGAGATTTCGAGGCCGAGACGAGTCTTGCGGTTGATACACGGACGGGGGCGGATGGGAAGGAGATCAAGCCGCCGGATACAGGATTAGGGACGCTGTTCACGTATCCGGGGAATACGAGGAAGTTGCGGGATCGGAGTAAGATGCGCTTGTGGCATGAGTATATGAGGGACAATGGTCGCAATACGACGTTGGTGCGACAGCCGGACTTTCATCGCCTCATCCGCGTCGGCTTGCCGAATCTGCTACGTGGCGAGATCTGGGAACTCACGTCCGGATCGCTTTGGCTCCGGCTACAGAAGCCCAAGCAGTATGAAGAAACGCTCAAGAAGCACGAAGGCCAGCAAAGTCTAGCAATCGAAGAGATAGAAAAGGATCTCAACCGCTCCCTCCCCGAATACGCCGGCTTCCAATCCTCCGAAGGCATCGGGCGTCTGCGCAGAGTGCTAACCGCCTACTCCTGGACCGACACGGAAGTAGGCTACTGCCAAGCCATGAACATCGTCGTCGCCGCCCTCCTCATCTACCTAAACGAAAAACAAGCCTTCTACATCCTCTCCACCCTCTGCGACCGCCTCTTACCCGGCTACTACAGCCAAACCATGTACGGCACCTTACTCGACCAACGCGTCTTCGAATCGCTCGTGGAGAAAACCATGCCGATAATCTGGGACCACCTGCAGAAAAACGACGTCCAGCTCTCCGTCGTCAGCCTCCCCTGGTTCCTAAGTTTATACATCAACTCCTTCCCCCTCACCTTCGCCTTCCGCGTCCTCGACGTCTTCTTCCTCGAAGGCCCCAAAGTCCTCTTCCAAATCGGCCTCGCCATCCTCCGTATCAATGGCGAAGAACTCCTCGACGCCACGGACGACGGCACCTTCATTTCAGTCTTGAAATCCTATTTCGCGCGGTTGGGGGAGAGCGCGCACCCGAAGAGCGAGAATGCAAAGCATCGCCAGATCACGAATTTCCAGGCCCTCATGGTCGTGGCGTTCAAGGAGTTCGAGGGCATCACGCAGCAGACGGTTTCCGAGCAGAGGGTGAAATCGAAGCCGGGCGTGTTGGAGGGGATAGAGATGTTTGCCAAGCGGACGAGTATCCGGAATTTGGGGCCGGAGAGCAAAAAGTTGTCTGCTAATGATCTCGGGTTCCTGTATGATCGGTTCTACGCCGTGTTATATGAACGACAGCAGCGCGCGCAAATGGTGCAGGCGGAGACGGAGCGGAGGGCTAAAGTCGCTAAGACGAAAGCCACGGAGGTCGTCTCCGGGATTTCTACCCTGGCGCCAGAAATGGGTAGGGTGGCCCTGGGAGCGGCGAGTACGACGATCATGTCCTACGACGCTTTCCGGGAGTTCCTAGCCGGAGTAGCAAAATGGGCCGTAACGGACTCCCCTTCCTCCCCCACCAAGCCCTCGCACGAGGAGAACGGCGGATACTTCAACTCCCTCCGCAACCGCAACGTCCTTACCGCAACAAACGCAATGAGGGAATGGGGCACCGGCCCGGAACCCGCCGATCACGAGTTCCTGCAACGCTTATTCGGGAAATGGGATTCTGAGGATGTGGGCGGGTTATCTTTACAGAATGTCGTTTCGGGACTCGCGCCGATTAAGGGCGGCAGGGATTTGATGGGGGTGATTGAGTGGTTTTTTGAGTTGTATGATGACGATTCGGATGGTAAAGTGGATCGGGAGGGGATTTTGAGGATTTCCGAGGCGTTGCTGTTTTTGACGAGGAGGGGGGTGGAGGTTGGTGAGGTGGAAGGGGGTGCTGGGGTTGGTGCTGTTGGGGGCGAGGGGCAGCAGAGTCGGGATGAGAGATTTTTGGGGGCGGTTAGTGCGTTTATCCGGCGCTGTTTCGAGTATGCGGATCCGGATCATCCTTCGCGGCAGGCGGAGAAGGAGGTGGTGGAGGCCACGGATCTGCTTGGTCTTTCTTCCTCCTCTTCAGATGCTCAGAAGGACGCCGGCGAGTCTGCGACAGACGATGCCATGCTCTCCCGGCCCTCAACCAATACCTTCGGCCAGACCACTCCCGCTTCGCCTTCTCCCTCGACGCCTAGCAGGAATAACACAGCGGCGAACGCGGCTCTGGATCCTAGTAGTCCCGTTCATATCACCCTCCCGACTTTCCGGATGTTGGTCCTTGCGGACGAAACGCTGGAGGCCTTTTTCGATTCCGGGTTCGCGAATTCCTTTCACCTTGCCGATGCGCCGTTGGCGAGTAGCACTATCACCTCACCCTCATTCCTCGGCGCTGTGGGCCAGGCGAGCGCTTCTGCTTCAAGTGCGATGGGAACAGCTAATAGCAGTCTCGGTGGTGGGGGCACAGTATCACCCGCTAGTCTCGGTCTACCGGCTATCAGTCCCGGTGGCGCGGCAGCGGGCGTTGTCGGACCTGGAAAAGGTCTCCGCGGAGTCTTGGACAATATCGTCACGGATGGGATGAGGGTTGCTGCTGAAGTCCGGCGACGCATGGACGAGGCGCAGAAGGAACTTGATCGGGGGGTTTCGGGGAGGACGGCCGAGGCTGATGATGATGATGAGGAGGGCGAGGATATGGGAGATTTGCTTGAGGGGGCTGAGGCTGATGCTGGGGGGAGTATTAGGAGTGGGAGGTCACGAGAGGCGAGTTTGTTGGATGAGGAGGTTGGTGGGAAGGGGGTTGTGGGGGTGGAGAGGGTGGGGAGTAATTTGAGTAAGGATACTATGTTTGAGCGATGAGGGCTAAGGGGTTTGTTGGATGGGATGTGGGCCGCGACTGCCTGCTCTCACGACACTTGGACCAGATTGCGCCTGCTGTGCAGATGATGGTATCGCATTTGCCAGCGTACTGCGGCGGCCCGCTCACAGCTACCTGGCCCTGGACGAAGTGAGCTTTAGTATCCTACTTCTCAGCACACGCCACTGTACTCGCGGGACTTTTATACGATCTTCCGGCCAACGCAATGGGAGATATCTTAGGTGGCCCACGCGGAACATCAACGCCACCGAAATAGACGCCGAAACCCATTGCCACAACGCCTCCCCTTCTTTGACTTGGTACGCGATATGTTTGAGGGCACCTTCGCAAATCACACAACCGCGCTCACCACAGAAGTGCCGGAAGGCGAAGAGAGCATAGAAATACATCATTGACTTGCTTCTTACAGCATGAGCTTGTGCCTGCTCTACGGGTTGTTACTCGACATCTCAAGGCCGGTCGCAATGGTGTGACTTCACGGAACGGAGTGTGCCCCGAGGGGTTTCAACGTGATGAAGCCGCAGGTCGCAAAGCAGTGTGATGGTCTAACGTGCTCGCTCTCGACAGCGTTGCAGCATGCTACGGGTATAGTGTTCTTAACCCTACACGGACGTGGACGATGTGGGCATCAAGACTCCCACGGACGGCCCGCCGAGTTGTACGGGGAGATGGATGGCATCGATACCGTGAATATGGTGGCGCTCTAGCCAGGAACAAACAACGTTGACGGGGAGAGGAGAAGAGGGAGACCCTGGGAATGTGGAGGGAGGTAGCGTGGGAGGGCATTGCTTCGTGAACGAGGTCGTGGCGGGAACGAGGAAGTACAAGTGAATGATAACATCATGGTATTGAAGAGACTGGTGTATGCCAAGAACGAGCCTGACTTCTCAAGGGTTGACAGGTGATGGAAGCTCGCTCTTGCCACATTGGACCTCCTTCGGTGCGGCCCGAATCTAGCGCGTGTTCGTTTGCTGCCTTCCTAACAAAGCCTGTCCTGTCCTCGACCTACACAACATCGTCAGAACAATACACGATGGCCTCAAAAGACAGAATTGTCGACGCCCCCTGGTCCAATCGCACGACCACAACCGGCGTTTTCGTTCTTCCACCTACCACGCGAACTCCGCAACAATGTCTACGGCTCGCTCATGAAGTGCTGTGAACCATGCTGCGACCCGAATGTGCACTATACGCTACGGGCACGTCGGTACATCATTCCATCCATGCGACTGATTTCTCGCCCGTTCAAAGCCGAGTACGAGCAAGAAACCTCCCGGGCGGTGGAGCTGCTGTTCACAACATCGGTGGGCCTTCGTCCATACGTTGGTAGTCAGCGCAGGCCCATGTTCGGAGACTTGCCGGCGCAGATCGGCTGCGTCATGCCATATATCCAGCGCATCGAGTTGGCTATCACCGCGAATGACAACCGCGCGTGGTCTATAGGGCTGAGTGCGTCCTGCCTCGTTCCCTCTCGCACACGTATCAGTACTGACACTCACTGCTACAGACGCGGACTACATCTTGTCCCTCACTCTCAATGGTATGGACCAGCTTCTCGCCATGATGCCGAAGCTTCGTCACGTTGCATTGGAGATTCACGCCGTTCACAAAGGTAGAGTGGGAAGAGGAGCACGATTTGCAAGACTGGTGCGCGACATCATCGCCACTGGCGAAGAAGTGGAGCAGCGGGTGCCAGCCAGATTTCGCCAAAGCATCAAAGTCTGCTCTTCTGCCATAATCAAGTGCTCATTCTACATGGCTAAGCCGAGACCAGGCGAAAGCGGCGCACGTCTCCACATCCTTCCTTTGGAGAATAGGCGACAAGTCAGCTACAAGGCTGAGAAGCCAGAGCGACACGATGGCACTGCGCATGATGGCCATTTCGTACTAAGCGCCAGGGACGCAGGCTCTTTTGACTTGGCAATGGAGGAGACCATGATTTTGAGTAATTACGACGAAGTGGAGGGAGGAGTCGTCGATGAGGAGCATGTGAGGGAGTATGAGGCGGCCGAAGGCACTTCGGGAATTGGGGTTTGAGGATCTGACAAGAACATTGTAGATGGTGTGAGCTTGTAGATTGCGAGGCCCAATAATGGTTGACCTGGTGCATGGATTTAGCCATGCAAGCAGAAGGACAGAGTAGCAGACGTGCGCATTCGACTAGGGCGCGCCCATGCTAGGAGCTTTGGCATGAGGTATACAGCCTCGATGACTGCTCCTACAATCCCAAGAAGTACCCCTTCCCCGCATGCCATTCACTTCGCACTCGATCTCTGAAAAAAGGAACCCTCACACGTCAGTGGCATAGCTCGCGCCGTAGCAACGGCCTTCTTAACGCCGCCTGATGGATATGGACTGCGTAGAGTCTGACGAAGAGCTATAGCGGACGTGATGGGTGGCGGTATGCTATGTCCGGCCACTCTCATGTTTATCACATAGAGCTAAAAGACTACTTTCCAATAACAGCATTGAGGCCGTCCAGTGACTGTGGATGTCGGCCTCGAAGATGTGGGCATACCAGTGCCATTCGAATGATGTCTTGAAAACCAAACAACGCCTGCTAGCAGAAAGTACCTTCCTACTGTCACAATGTATACATCTGCTTAAGGTACCTGGTAAGGATGAATAGTGTGTGGATAACAGTGCCGTGAACTTTCTCCACCCTTGCAACGAATAACGTCACCACGAAGGTTTGGATTGAGAGACTTTTAAGTCCTCACTTAAGTCCGAATGATGTAGACGACCTCCTCTCACGATATATAATCTAGAAGCAATGCTGCCCGTGCGTTCTACAATCGTATTAAACTAGTCAATTGAAAGTACACGAACGCCACCATGTCCGACGCAGTAAAATACACCAACAAGCTCCACGGCGCCAAGGTCCTCGTCATCGGCGGATCGTCTGGTAAGCAAGAGACCACTAGAACTATCTGACCAGCACGCCATAATTTCCAAAATCCCAATACCTTGCTTACAAAACAAAACACACAGGCATCGGTTTCGGCGTCGCCGAAGCCCTACTCGAACACGGCGCCCACGTCATCATCTCCTCCTCCAACCCAGACCGCGTGAACTCCACCCTCGACAAACTCCTCAAAGACTACCCCTCAGCCAAATCGCGCCTCTCAGGCTACCCGTGTAATCTCGGCGAGCAGGCGAGTCTGGATGAGAATGTCAAGCAACTGCTTGAGAAGTCGACGAAGGAAGGAGGGAAGTTGGATCATGTGGTTTATACGGCGGGAGATTCGTTGGCGATGATGTACGTTTTCCCACGATCTAAATGACTGACCAGGAAGTGGTGAGATTTGGAGCTGACGGTTATGATGCTGTGTAGTCCCATCGGCGAAGTAACGACGGAGAAAGCGATCAAAGCCGGTATGGTCCGCTTCTTCGGGCCCTTGTAAGTGTGGCAAATCAAAACACACCTCCCCCCTTTTCCTCCCCCACCACCACCCTCTCCACATAGACAACACCTTACTCACTCGGTCAATTTTTTTTGTTCGACGAACAGAATAGTAGCCAAACACGCCCCCGCCTACCTAAACCCTGGCCCGAAATCCTCCCTCGTCCTAACCACGGGCTCCGTCTCCGAACGTCCTCGCCCGAACTGGAGCGTCATAGGCTCCTTCGCCACGGGATTGCAGGGCATGACCAGGGGTCTGGCGTTGGATTTGAAACCCATCCGGGTGAATTTGATTTCGCCGGGGGTGGTGAATACGGAGTTGTGGAATGGGATGTAAGCAAGCAAATCCCTATCCGATGAGTGGGAAGGTCGTTAGGAGGGAGTACTGTGTGAGGTGAGGTGCTTTTGCTGACGTTTTGTGTGTTTGTCGATGTGTAGGTCCGAGGAGCAGAAACAGAAGCTTTTCAAGGAGTCGGCGGAGAAGTTGCCGACGGGACGGGTGCCCACACCTAGTGATATTGCGGAGGTGTATCTGGGGTGTTTGAAGGATCAGGTGAGTTTACTGCTCTCCAAAGGACTGTTGTGAGGGTTTTCTGACGGAAAGGGGATGGTGTAGAACATGACTGGTTCGATGATTTCAACGGTAAGTGGGAGCTTCGTCCTTCGATGTTGTGAGTCGAGCTCTGCTGATGTTAGTTGCGATAGAATGGTGGCGCGCTGCTTGTATAGGTGAGATGGCATGCGGGTTTGGATGAAGGCAGTGAGTTTGTATGGTCGGGAGAAGAAGACGTGCTTTTGTGTACTAAGGTGTGGCAAGTAGCCATCACATTGGCCTTATTACTGCACCACATTATTGACCTCGGAGACTCCAATTGTCCGTCGGTAGTCTGATGAATCGCATCTTTGCCGAAGTGTCTCTGTGTACCTCGTCCGTGAGTGTGTGCGTCTGCCTCGGAATTGTGACGTGCAAGTACCTATGTAAGGTAGCTCGTACTTGTAAATGGGTGAGCCACAGCAATCGCAGCCACAGCAAAAAGATCGGATTAGGATTCTTCCGACAATTACGCCACGGACCTGCCAATAAACGCTTCTAGTGCAGCGGGAGGCGTGGCAAATTGCATCTGTGGCAGTACAGATTATTGATGTATCGCAAAGACAGATGTATGTAGGTCGCATGCAGGAGTTTGCAGCATTTTGTTTCACGGTGGCATGGATGGCCTGACAGTATTATTTATCCACTTAATCGACGCAGACGCGGTATACTTCTAAAGCAGACGCGTCCTGTATATCTCGTGAATCTAATCATGCCCGCCGGAGTTTTGAGTTTCGCACTTCACCTGGCGCACGCTTGAAAGGAGCGAGCTCCGCTGTTCGTTCCCAGTTCAGGGAATGGCCAGAGGCATATTTGCACTGGGTCGACTGTTCAAGAGGAGCAACTCTGCGAATACGACCACGACCTTTACGACCACCACCACCACCACCTCGACGTCGACGTCGAGTACTGGCACGACCACTCCGCCATCTGAACAACAACCAACGCGGAATCTTCCACAGATCGAGGCTGTCGTGTCTCCGCAACAAGCTGGGGCAAGGACGAGGCGCAGCGCGTCTCTCACCAAGCTCAGGGAAAAGGGCAGAGGGACGGAGTTAGCGGAATCCGTGGCAGAGGTGAGGGAGAGTGTGTTGCTGGTTGGAGAGCTGCCGTCGCCTGCTGCGACCGACTTGTCGCCGGCACGGAGCGGGAGTGAAACTTTGGGCGGTGGTGAGGGAGAGGTGCCGACGCGAGACGTGAGCGCGAGTCCACCACCTGTGCAGAGAGAGGATAAGGTGGTGCTGGACCCGCCGGTGGTACAGATCCAAGCACCCACACCGGACGTGGAAGCGAAAGAGCTGCTGGGACGACACTGGCTTGAGCGGAACGACACGGCGGTCGACACACCTCTACCTGCACCCTCCTACCAGCCAAGACTAGACGACGAAGTCAGCTCGCTGCGTTCCGTCTCGCCCAACACCGTCCCAGCTGATGGCCCACAACGACATCAGCTCAGCATCAGCACTGCCCATCCCGCCGATGAGAAGGTAGTGGAAACGGTCATTGACGCTCCTGCTTCCCCCCACCCCAACAACATCAGCTCTGCTCTCAACACAAGTACACTAGCTGCCTACTTCACTCCCGCTCTACCCGACATGTCACAATTACTGCACCGCAAGATCTGGGTGCGGCGGCCCGGTGCCTCGGCTACCATGGTGCAGCTTAAAGCGGATGATTTAGTGGATGATGTTCGGGATATGATCTTGAAAAAGTACGCCAATTCACTGGGGAGGACGTTTGATGCACCGGATATGACGTTAAGAATACTGCTTCGGGCGGAGGCTGGACAACCTAGGGTGGAGAGGGTGCTCGGGCCAGAGGAGGAGATGTGTAGGACCATTGACGAGGAGTTCACGGGTGGGCAGAAGGTGGAGGATGCATTGATTATCGATGTACCTGTCCAGGAACGAAGGACACCGCGACCATCACCCCGAGCGTATCACCATCCGAGCTATCACATGCTGGAGGACTACCGGCCGGTGGAGAGTGGAACGGACTACTTCCCTCCCATGCCTGCTGTGATACCACCCAGCATGCCGCAAACCACGAGCTCGCATGACGGCAGCATGAACAGTAGCAGAGGCCACCACCCTTCCATTGCCGGCCTCCACCCTGGACAAGAACCACGCTCAATAGCCGTCCTCAGCACCGGCCAGATCCCTCCTCTACCCTCCCCAGGCAGTGTGATGCGGAACCGCGGCCATCCACATCGTCCAAAGGTAATACGTCAGCACACCGCCTCGCCCACCATCCTCTCCCACCCATCCCAAATCAACAACTCAAGCGGCGTGCCACTGAGTGCCGCCGCTCAATCCAGTCTTAATGTAAACCCACAACTACCGCTGGTCCACCGAGGCAGCACAAGACCACGGAACGACTCGATGGCTTCGGAGACACTCCTGCACCACAGCAACACCAACGGCATGTCCGTCCCATCGAGCGCTATCCCACAACCACCCACCCCCCCAGCGCCGGAGACTCTGACCGGGCACCAAGCAGGCAGTACCCCGCCCACCCCATCCCAACTCGTGGCCCCCGGCCGCCGAATCAAGAAAGCCGGCGGGCGCAAGATCCACCCCGACAAAAGCGGCGGGAGGAGTAGCCACCAACGCTCCGACAGCCAAACGGCCAAACCCAGCACCCCCAACAGCATCCCAGGCCTCACCAGCGTCCTCGACAGCAGCGTGCCCCCCATCTCCGTCCTGATCGTCGAGGACAACATCATCAACCTCCGCATCCTGGAAGGGCTGATGAAGCGTCTCAAGGTGCGGTGGCAAACGGCGATGAACGGGGCAATCGCACTGGATAAGTGGCGGCAGGGGGGTTATCATTTAGTGCTGATGGATATCCAGATGCCGGTGATGAATGGTCTGCAGGCTACCAAGGAGATCAGGCGATTGGAGCGGGTGAATGGGATCGGGGTGTTTAGTGCGGACCCCGGGAGTGTGGAGGGGAGTCCGGCGGAGAAGGAGAAGGAGAAGGAGAAGAAAGAAAGGCAGACGCCGAATGGCGCCGAAGTCCCATCATCAGCCGTGGAGGACGGCGACGACAAATCCAAACCCTCCGACCTCCTCCCCATGCAAAAACAAAAAGAAGGCACAGCCCAGCTCTTCAAATCCCCCGTCATCATCGTCGCCCTGACCGCCTCCTCTTTGCAATCCGATCGCCACGAGGCCCTCGCAGCGGGGTGTAATGATTTTTTGACCAAACCGGTTTCGTTTGTCTGGCTGGAGCGGAAGGTGAAAGAGTGGGGGTGTATGCAGGCGTTGATTGATTTTGATGGGTGGAGGCGGTGGAAGGAGTTTGCGGCGCGGGAGGATGAGGGGAAGACGGAGGTGCAGCGGGAGGTGGAGCGGGGGAGGGAGGAGAAGGAGAGGGGGCGGGTGGCTAAGATGGTATGTCATCCCCTTTTTGTACCTGCTGTTTTGAGAAGTTTGGCGTCACTTTTGAGATGCGTTTGGTGGGTGCTGACTTTTGTTGTGTGTGTGTGTAGGCTAAGCTGCAGGAGATTGCTGCGAAGAGGAAGGAGAAGGAGGAGGAGGAGAAGAGGAGGAAGAGGGTGAGTTTGTTGGCTCAGCAGCAGTTGCTGCAGCAACAGGCGGGTGAGGTGGGGACGAGTGTTACTACTACGAATGGTGAGGGCTCTGGCGCGACGGCGGAGGGGTCGACGAACGGGGTGGCGCAGAGTGAGGGATGAGGTGATATGCATTTACCGAATTGATGGCGACTTGAGGGGGTGGTGCTTTCGAGCGGTGTCGTTTCAAATCGCTCGAGTAGGGATTGGTTTCCTTTGCTGTCGTCGTCGTGGCGATTTTGAGCGAGGCGTTGTGGTGTTTCTTTGTGAGGATATGGTCGGTTATGGTCCGGGTGGGTCTGGGGGGAAAGCATTTACTGTAATCGTGGAGGAGAAGAGAAGAGCAGAGAAGAGAAAGCAACATCATGTTGTATGGGCTGAGAGCGCAATCGCCTACCGGTTTGCTGAGAGGTTTTCTGGTCTTCTTCGCACTGCCATCTTACACGGCCTTGCGGGCCTCTATTTGCACTCACACAGATGGCCATGTTGTGTTCCACAGGTACAGCGACGATGTTGCGTGAGTCATTGCGTAGAGTCATGCTCGCGAGTGTTATGTATACAGGCGTGCACGGACTTCTGATGATCTTGGTTATGACACATCAAGACGGGCAGCGTGGCGGCCATTGTCTGATGATATAGGAAGGCAGTACGTCTGGTATGCTGTTTTGGTGAGTTAATATGACGACCAGTCTTCCTCACACTTGGACGGATTCTCGAGACGATGGACAGCCTTTCCGCCTCTTCGATCTCCCAAGCGAAATCCGGGACATTGTCTACTTGAATATCGACGCCAAGCACGTTCTCCCCATCGCGCGATGGCGGACCGTCGGGACAACGAGGCCCTATGTACCTGTTCTCCGGCTCGTGAGTCGACAAGTCAAAGCGGAATATGAAGACAATCTCTACCGGACAAGCGCACTCTACCTGCTCAAAAGTAGCCATGTGCTTCCGAACCTTAGTATGCCATCGAGCATAGGACATATGTATCACTCACTGCAGGAGGTCGTTCTGGCGTTGACACCTCAGTGGGACATGGAAGCTGACGGTACGTCCCTGTTGCTCAATATACCGTAATGATCTCATGGAGTCAGGTGCTAAAACCTTGCGAAAAAGTGCTGGCGGCGCAGGTCGATCATGTGCTGACCGACCTTTCCAATATCCTGCCGGAGCTCAAACGAGTGTCCATAAGGATACAATCTGGAGACCTGCCGATCCGGAGGACAACGTCCTTGCGTCCGATGACGGGATCAGCTTACGCGGGAACCTTTGATGCGACAGCTTTCGAGTGGCCAAGTGAACGTCATTGCAAGCAACTCGCCTGCGCCAAACTCGCCATCGACGACATAATCACACTCATCCGAGGTGGCGATGACTTGGAACTCTCGTGTGATTTCGTGGTGGCGTCACGGCTGTATTCCGTCAATCGCAAAGTCGTTACTGAGCAGAGCCTGGCTACCTTGATGCAATACGACGATACAGATCTGATCCTCTGGCGGGTGATGGATCTCGATGGGATTATTGATGGGCTGGTGCCGTGGAAGGCTGCGTCGGTGGAGTTCTTGGAGGCGGGAGATTATGATTTTGCGAGGTTGAAGGAGAGGCATGAGGAGGGGAAGGCTGTTGAGGCTTGGAGACATAGAGGCTGGGCTAGTAAGACCGGACATCAGGGCTGTGATTGTTGTAATTATGAAAAGTGATCCAGAGTCAAACAGTGGGCTTGTCTCCGTACAGGGCATGCAAGTTGTCAGCCGAACGTTAGCGTGGATAGGATTAATCGTTTCGTGCACCCCTGGGAAACCAAGCTGTTCGACAGAGTGCGTATACGACGGACCGATGCTCGTATGCTTCTTTCGAACAGTTTAAGGCTGGAAGACATGGTGAGCATGCTCAGCCGCAGGGCATGCTCCTGAAGACAGTTCTAACTCCTGCCCAAACCCTAACCCTAACAAATGTGCTCCGAGCTGGGACGTCGACCATGCCTGATTGGGCAGCTTGGTCAACGCCTCGGATGTCTGGTGAGCTTCCAGGAGGACCTGGCTTCCTACGTCAACGCCATTACATTGACGATCTAGCTTACCTAGAAGCTCCCTAAGCTGCTTTGACATATGAAGCTGGTATATAGGTTGGTACTGGTCCTTCTCGTAGCTCTCATGTTCCGCACACCTCTTCTCAACCTATTCCAACTCAGCCGCCACGTCACAAGGACCGTCTCTACTATCATCAAATAGTCAAGGAGCGAGACTACCGATGCAATGTCTCGACCAAGTGGCCTCATCGCCAACAAGGGTTTGGAGCTGTTGACCTTTGGCACGCCCAATGGTAAGATGACCAACAAGCAGAGCAGAAACGAGAGCAAGAGTGCAATCAGTTAATATACTGCCAGGCCATAAGGCGTCTATCATACTCGAGGAGATCAAGGAGGCCTATGGCAAGCCCGACTATGTTTACCAATCGATCAGTATCATGGAGAATATCCAGAAAGAGTCAGCAGCGATCGAAGCAGATTTCAGACACATCTAATCCATTCCACAGGAAATGGTTCACCGACCAAGGGCCGAACGGTCGCATACCAGTACTCGTGGACCACGACCATGGCAAACTTTCGATCATGGAAGGCTCTGCTATCCTATCGTACTTGACAAGGCACTACGATCCCGAGCACAAGTTGAGCTTTACGAACGATCCGGAGCTTAGTCAATGCGAACAATGGGTTGCATGGCAGCATGGTGGGCTAGGACCGATGCAAGGACAAGCCAACCAGTATGGCCGAACTATCGTATGAGGACCGGCAGTATATCAGCTGACATGGATACACAGCTTCTACCGCCTTGCGAAAGAACGCATCCCATACCCAACCCAACGCTACGTAGGCGAGACCGAACGACTCTACGGCATCCTCGACAGTCGTCTCGCCAATCACGAGTATCTCGTGGGCGAAAAGTACAGCATAGCCGACATCGCCAACTTCTCCTGGGTGAACGTCGCATACTTCGCAGGCGTACAGCTCCACGACTTCCCGAATCTGTATAAGTGGTGGGAGAGGATCAACGCAAGACCGGCTGTGCAGCGAGGAACCGCTATACCAGCCAAGAGTGATATTGTAAACGAAAGATATCAGGAGCGGCTGAAGGAGGATTCCGAGTTCAAGCAGAAGGAGGATGATTTGGCGGACATTGGTAAGAAGGCGAAAGAGCAGTACAACTACAAATACTCGAGTCCGTAGTTGAGTGTACGGTCTACTCTGCGAATTGGTCGGAGCATGCTCAAGATACATGCATACCATTCCAACAAGGGCGGTGGCCTTTGCTCACACGCTCAGCCAATGCTGCTGAGACACAGGGTATCTCGCACCCTTGATCTCTACGTTCGTCAACACGTCATCGAGCTGACCTAGCTCCTCCTTCGTCAGCGCCACTTCAGTACTGTTCTCCTTCAGGCGATCGATTGACATTGTGCCCGGGATCGGGTCGACAGGAACTCCAATAACATCCTTCTGCTGACAGACCCAAGCTAGAGCGACCTGAACGATCGAGCAGCCTTTCTGTTTTGCAACGGCGTCGGCAACGTCGACAAGCTGGACATTGTTGTCAAAGTTCTCCTTCGCGAATCGAGGAAAGAAGTGACGATAATCGGTCTTCGCCATATCTTCGTGCTTCCGGATCTGGCCATTCAGAAACCCACGACTGAGAGGACTGTAAGCCAGGATGGGAATCTTGTTCTCCTTGCATGCATCGGCAACCCCATTGTGGTAGATTCCAGTCTCGAACAAGCTGAGCTCGACTTCGACAAGTGCGATAGGTGTCACCGAGGCTGCTTTACGAATGGACTCCCCACTGCACTCGCTCAAACCAACCGCTCCAATCTTGCCGGCTTTGACATACTCCACCAACGCTCCCACAGTCTCCTCGACGGGGACATCATGGCTCAGACGCCCAGGCTGAAAGACATCAACTCGACACTTCCCATCAAGGATAGCCAGGCATCGATCCATAGCCTTCTTGACACTCTCAGCATCAACGAACGCCAGTCCCTTCCGCGAATCCAGACAGAACTTGACAGTCACGATGACTTTGTCGGCGTCTTCGGGGTATTTGGTAAAATAGGCTTTGATGAGGTGAAGACTGTTGTACTCAGCAGTCCCGTAACGCTCGCCTGCGTTCCAGAGATTCGAGCCAGACTCTAGAGCAGCTTTGAGAACTTCCACGGCGTCTTCTGTCGATATACAACCAGGGTGCATGAGGGAGATCATGCCGAAACCTACTCGCCCGCACGGCTTGCCTGCGATTGTGGTCGTCATGGTGGGTATGGGCGGGAAATGTGTCTCTGTGAGATGACAAGAAAGATGGCTGTCTGATCGGAACGCATCTTGAGCGAGAAGAGTATTATATGCACGTTCGATCAAAAGAGCAGACACAATTGACTGTAGTGTGCATGGCTAGCAAAGGCCCCATATATGCAGCCGAAAAGAGGAAATCCCTCGAGCCTAATCCACATCAGGAAGCTGCCGTCTAAGCGGCATCGGTCTTTAGCTAACACAATAGGTCTCACTCATATGGCCGCAATAGAGGGGATGTATGTAGCGAAAAGCGATACAAGCCGAGCCTTTTTTTTTTTTTTTTAAATCTATCTCTACTATGCTCAGCGATTGAAACCATGCTTAAAATTTCCACCGCCTCATGCCAACGTAATCCTCATGCTTCGTCTCTCATCTAAGCCCACATAGCCCTGAACTTCACATTGAACTCCGTATGCAATTTCTGGAATGCCTTCAGCACATCCTTGAGATCCTCTCCACTCCCACCCGCCGTCTGCAAAGTCTCGCTGACTTCAGCCTGGAGCTTCGCAGCGTTGGCGGCACGTCTATCCTCACGACGGCTGGCGTCTTCTTCTTGCTCAGCTGCGTCTTCCCAACTGTCAAGTTTCTTCGCCTTCTTCGTCGTGACGACCGGCTTCGCTGGACGCTGTACCACCGACATAACAGAGTCTGCGACGCTGGGAGCAGTGATCGTGCTCTCGTTGTCCTCGGAAGCTGCAACCTCATTGTCCTCCGCTTCATCGTGGGCGTCGAGGTCACCCATGACGTCCAGCATGTCCAAATCGGTACCTTCTCTAAGCTTCATGAAGTTCAGCAGACTGGTGATGATGGTAGCCAGGACAAGGGAGAAGTCGTTCAGCAAGAACCAGATGTCTGATCTGCGGATGCCGTTTGCTTTCTCGATGGTCATGACGTCGCCATGCTTGAAAAAGTCGAGAAGCCATGCATTCAGTGGAAGCTCCATCTCATCGGGGTACACCGACACATGCGGAATGACAGCCTCCTCTAGGAAGACACCATCTCTGGTGGTAGCACACAAGTCGTGAACCGTGTCAAAGTCATCGCCAGCACCAGAAAGCGCGACAAATGGCGAGCGAGTCTTGACTGCTGGCAATCCATCAATAGAAGTATTGTCTCCGCGCACATCAGCTCCAGCGTTCATGCCTGTTAGTGGCAATTTGCGATCATCGTGCTTCACATGTTGATCGACGAACGTCTCGACATATGTGCGATACACGGCCAAGGTCTGCTGATTGTGCTGGCGCAGAATCTCCGATGCTCTCTTCGGCAGAGGTGGAAGGAAGACGATGGAGGAAGACGGCTTGACCATCTTCTCGCGGTACTCGACATCTGCCTGGCGACAGAAGATGCGGTTGAAGAGGTGAGACATGACCAGCATAAGAGTCTCGACAGTATCCTTCTCCTTATTCTTCATCTCACCACACAAATCGTGGAAGTAGCCTTCCTTCAGGAGAGCGTGGAAGGCGAATGACGAGTTCTCTGTGAAGTAGAGATGGCTGACTAGTCCTGCGAAGTTCAGTGGCGCGCCATTAGGTGCCAGCAGATGTTGTCGGCGAAGATACTCGATCGAGAAGCGAAGATGATGCATAGTCTGATCCTTAAAGGAAGGTCCACCCATGTACAATCGGGGTTGTGCCAGTAGCGCATTGATAGCTCCCACAGCATACTTTGAGTTCTTCGATTCGTGCAACAACGTGAACAGACGCAGTACCAGAGTTGTGGTGATCGGGAAGTGACCACTGAGATCCGGCAGTCTCGAGCTGATCAAACGACAGACCTTTTCCCGACTAACGCCCTGGAAGACGACATTACCCAGCAGATCGAAGCCACGACGTCCCGCACGACCAGCACATTGCCTGTAGTTGAGTGCAGTCAAGAAGACTGAATCACCACTGAAGACGACTGTCTTACAAGGCATATTGATACCGAGCGCAAGTGTTCCAGTAGCGATGATAACGCGCAGGAAGCCTTTGCGGAACAGGATCTCCACGACTTGGCGATACTTGCGATTCATACCAGCGTGATGGACACCGACGCCTCTCTGCAGCGCATCGATGAGCCACTGGATGATGTTACGCTTGCCGAGCTGTTTGATGTAGATCTGAAGCTCTGACAGCTGGACTCGTGTGTAATCGGCGAAATGGAAGCCATCGATCGGAGCTTCTGGGCTGAAGGTATCCCACGGACTAGAGATCGCATCCGCGGTATCACGTTGTTGGTCGAGCTTTGAGCCTTGATCTTCGTCCTGCAGCTTGCCCTTCTTGCCACTGGCCTTGGTCTTCGCATTCTTGAGCTGCACCTTCTTCCACTCCTCCCAACGCTCAAGCGTCTTCTCCCATTTCGGACCACTCTTGCGCTGCGATAGCTCAGCGTCTTGCAGCTGCTGCAACACTACTTGACAGATCTTCTCGCACTGATGGCGATCGTAGTTGAAAAGGATGGCGGGCAGAGCATCGTGTGCATGCAGCCTGCACAGCATCGGCAGAGTCGTCTTGTGTAGGTCGGCTGGGTCGGTGATATCTACAGTGCTCGCATTGGAGTCGCTCAACGCTTGCGTGGTCTGCTTAGCCTCACGATCGTCAAGCCTGAAACTCTCTTCCAGCTCATTGACCAGCTGCTCATACGGTGAGTCTTCGGCGGCTAGCCAACTCTTCAGCAAAGCCTTGAGCTCTTTCTCCCAATTCAGGATGTCGATCTTGCGACAGACTGTGGGTAGTGCTTTGGCGGGATTGAGTTCGGCAGGGACTGCGTAGTCTGCGGTCTGCAGCTTGTTCATAGCTTTCCACAACTCGAAGCAGTCTCTCGGCTCAAGGCCAAGATCTGCAGGCACACCTCTCGACCTGTCGACAAGAGCACCGACCGGGTGCACGTTGTTGAAACCAGTCAGACCTTCTAGGCCGAGTACACCGAATGTGGTTCTATCGGGTATGCCGTCAAAAACGAACTGCTTCGGTGGTACGTAATAGTACTTGCGAAGATCTGAGTAACGATGCGGATGCTGCACAGTGATCAAATCAATGCCAATGGCCTTCTGCGTGTCTGTCAACCAGCCACCGAAATCGCCTGGGTTGCCGACCGTGGCGGACAAGGCGATTATGGGGCATGGTGACATAAGTAAGAGCTGTTCCCAGACAACACCGTCTTCAGCTTGACCGATTGAGTGTACTTCGTCGAAGATGATGCGGCGCACCCTACTGGCCCATCCGTTTGCGTTGGAAGGCGCGAGAAGCATAATTTGCAGCACGTGCGGCACCGTAACCAAGACTTGGCAGCCGGTAGGATTGTTGATGCGGTAGTCTCGTGTATGGATAGCCCAAACAGACTTGCCGCCATACTTGAAGTTCTTGGTATAGCGAGCCTGGATCTCAGCAGCAATCTGATTGACCAAAGCCTTAGTCGGAGCCACGTAGACCAGCACGCCATCATCGTCAGCCTCGAGGACTTTCCGCATGGCGTAGAATGATATGAACGTCTTGCCAGCAGAAGTAGGGGCGACCACAAACACACTCTGGTCTTTGTCGATGCCATCCAAAACCTTGCGCTGCCAGCCGTCAGGCTGAAAAGCGACTCGACTATCTGGCTTTGAGTCGAAGCTACGCTCCATATAAGGCCCGCAGTATGTCAGCTGGAAGTCTTTCGATGGCATCCCAATCGCCAGAGAGTCCACGAGCTTAGCTGGCAAAGCAAAAGTGAATGCCAGTTTCCGATCAGACAAAGGGTCCGAGGGAGCTTTGGCTGCAGCCGGTAGATCCAATGTCTTGACAGTAAGCTCAACGCTGATAGCGACAGCCTTCGTCAAGCCCTTGCTTTTCATGACCGATTCAGCAAGATTCCAGATCAGAGCTGTAACCTCAACACGACGAGAGTGCTCCTTACGGCGTACAGCATCAATCCAGTATTGGAGTACGCAGTTCAGCATATACAGCCTGACTTCTGCTTCGAGCACATCCTGCCATGTCGCTTGTAGATTCGTCACGTAGTCCTTGGCCTTCCTGAACTTCAGCCGTGTCTCTTTCTCGAGATCTAGAGCCTTGCAAACTACCTGCCACGCCTTCACAATCTTGTCGGCTGCTGAACCTTCCTTCTTCGCTTGTTCAGTCTTAATGTTGGCCAGCATGGCCTGTTTAGCCTGATTCTGCTTGACATTCTTGTTGCTGCCAGAACCTTTCTTGCCGACACCACCTTTTGCGTTAGTGGTTGATGTACCACTGTCAGACACATCGGAGTCTGCTGGCGATGTGATCGCCGAAGTTGACTTGCTGCCTGCCTTGCCGCCACCCACGATGATGACTTCTGGCTCTAGACTTTTGCCCACAGCGTTTGTGAGACTGGCAGCGTACGTCCGCATTTCAGCCATGAACAACTGCTCACGCTTCGCAACCCAGAATGCTTGCTTCTCATCCGCCTTGGTTGGTGGGCCTTTCTTGATTATCGGCTTCTTAGCATTGTGCCAATGTGTGAGCTCCTGGAAGATTCGGTGGTTCTGTGCCGTCTGCTGACCTGCTACAGTATCATCAATGTGTAGTCGCACAGGCTCCAGATGCTTGTCGAACACCGAATTGGAGAAGGGTAAGACTGCCATATCATCGGCGTTGCGCTGCTTTGGCGCATTATGGCCGTTCATGCCAGATTTGCCAACTGAGCTGCTCTTCTCGAGCACGAGATGAGCACTCGAGAGCTGCTCGACTGCAGACAATAGTTCGTCTAAAACACTCTGCGCCTTGCTGGAAGGCGAGACTGCATGCTTCGTGAGATGAAGATAGAGTCGTCCATCGACAGAGTCTGCGATATCGTTACTTCTCTCCATCTTGCCGAAACCCTGCGTACCAGTGAGCACAGCAGCAGACATGCTCGCGGCAGATCGCAGTATTTGCTGAGCTCCATCTAGGCCGGGATTGCTTGCGACTCGACGACTTGCCAGCGGCATGTCTGACAATAGTGCGACGTGAAGCAGGTAGAGACAGCACAGCTTCGCAAGCACTGCAGCATCAATGTCTGCTGGCGGACTCCTCATGATCCTGCTGACGGCAAGCACAGCCAGCAGCTCTCGAGCGCTTAGCTCGACATCTCCCACCTTCGACATGTCGTCGCTCGCGTCCTGCGACTCAGCTTTTGGAACGGTAGGCACCGTCAAGGCCGATGTGCCGACTGCATTCGCCCGATGTCTCGCCTCCAGCACGATCGTCATGACCTTGGTATCTCGCCACTCCAGACCATTCATCAGAGCAATGTTGTATTTCCGGGCGATGAACTGCAAGATCATGCGACGAAGTGCGACCCGCTGTGATGTTGGCGCTGCCTCAGCAGACGGAAGCTCTGACTCAGTACCCCTCTGCTCGATTGGGTAGGCACCGTCGTGCATCATCAAGAAGTATGGTCCAGTCTTGGTCAAGTAAGTGTTGAATGCTTCCGAAGCGTAACTGTCAAAATTCTTGACCATGACTTCCGGATGAGATTTCGGCAGCGATATTGACAAATGCCTTATCAATGCAGCCCGAGCAAAGTGAAACTTCGCCACGTCCTCCTCCTTCGCTGTAGGCGGGACACACAGATCCCTGTTGCAGTCGAAGAAAACAATATGGAAATTACACTTCCGCGTGACGAGGTTGTGAAGTAGATGCTCGACATTGTACGTGGCGTGCAACATCTGAAAGCCAGGCGAGAAGTCGAGTTTGCGGTCGGAAAAGCATCGCAGTAGAAGTGAGTCGCCTTCGATGATGAAGAGTTCGTCTCCAGCATAGTCGCCCACGAGATCGACTCTTCGTGATAGTAATTTTCGGTACGAGTTCAGAACGCGAGCGTCAGTGTCCTCGCCATCTTCATCGTCAGAAGAAGTGCCTTCCGAGTCTGCTTCATCGTCATCATCTTCTTCATCCTTTTGAGCGCCAGCTTTGGCTTGTGTCGAAGTCGCGTTCGCAGTCACTGGTGCCGGCGCTGGTGCTTCATCATCGTCATCAGATTGCGCATCCCAATCATCGGCAAGATCATCTGTCTTGGCCGCGTCCGCGGCATTGGACGCACTCATCCTCTCGGCGTGCTTTGTGTGGCGGAAGTCTCTGCACACTGACTGTAGGCTCAATACACGTTCTTGAGACTTATGAAGGCAAGGTCCAGCCCTGGGACGAAGGCGTCAAGAGTAAGCAAGGTCAAGTTGTGTCTCAAACAGTGGTGACGAAGCGTAAATTTGTTTGGTATTCTTGTCAAGCCGTGAAGTCCCACCAAGCGCCAACGACATTCGACTTTCACCGGTTCGGCAAAGTGGAGCACGGGCCGGCCAGCGGTCCGCCGCAGCATTTTAACATAGAAGGAAGGGATACATTGCATTGATGGGCACTGAAACCTTGATCACAAGATATTGCGCGGGATTGATTACACCAGTAGACATTTCTAGAGCAAGAACACGATCATGATCGACATGATAGGACTCTAAGCTTCCTCGCCCTCCTCAAACTCAACAAGAACAGTCCCAGCTTTACATATCTCGCCAACCCCATGCACAACCCGACTCACTTTCCCATCAGAAGGACTTCTAATAACCATCTCCATCTTCATACTCTCCACCACAACAAGTGCTTGTCCCTTCTTCACTTCCGCCCCCGATTCGACCTCCACCCGAAGGACTTTACAGGGCATAGGTGCCAGTACGCTGTTCGCTACATCCTTTTGTCCTAGAGCCTTGGCTAAGAACGGTGGCGGCACGAGCTGCAGGCGATGAATGCGGCCGTGTTGGAAGAGCGTGACTTGTGTAGGGATCGGTGAGATTGACGGCGGGAAGATGATGAGGCGTGTCTCTACTCGTGAGTGCCGGTAGAAAGAGCGCAGAGTGTTGTCGTCTTGTGAGTAGGTCGATGTGATGGTGTGTGTGTTGCCGTCCAACGTGAGCTGGTAAGTTTCCGGCGCAGTCTTAAGCACGAGCACAGAGACAGGTGTGGGTGTAATCTGCGGATCTGATGACAGCTCCGCAAGGTGGAATTGACGAGGCTGCGGTGCATTGCCGAAGCCAACAGTCTGCAAGGGTAATGATGGCGGGTTTGCTCTTCGCTTGCTCAGCTCGGCCTCGTACAGGCCAACAGCAGCCTGCATCCACACCTCCGGCTGCACGACCTCTTCGCCAAAAAGCTCCTCGTTGTGCTTGCCAATGTAGCCTGTCTCGACCTCCCCTTTGATGAAGTCTTCACTCTTCACTACCCTCCTGACAAAGTCGATGTTTGTGATGGGGCCAGCGATTTCATACTCTTCCAATGCATGCTCCATCTTTTGCAAAGCAGCTTTGCGGTCATGACAAGAGACGATGAGTTTAGCAATCATTGGATCGTAATGCGAAGACACTTCATCGCCTTGCACGAATCCGGCATCGATGCGAACACTTTCTGACTCTGCTGGTGTGCGAAGGTGCAGGAGCTTGCCAGTGGAGGGCAGGAAGTTCATGCTAGGATCCTCAGCATAAATACGTGCTTCGATCGCGTGGCCTCTTTCCCTAATTCGGGCTTCGACTTCGTCCTGCGTGAGCGGAAGTGGTTTGCCTTCAGCAACCAAGATCTGCCAAGCCACAAGATCCAGGCCTGTAACCATTTCTGTTACAGGATGCTCGACTTGCAATCGTGTGTTCATCTCCATGAAGAAGAACTCGCCGCTGTCATTGTCGAAGATGAACTCCACAGTGCCTGCACCTTCATAGCCTACTGCAAGTGCAGCTTGTCGGGCTTTCTCCCACAGATCTTGTCGAATCTCTTCCGGCAGGTTTGGGGCCGGCGACTCTTCCAGGATCTTCTGATGGCGACGCTGTATACTGCAATCTCGCTCGCCGAGAGCCAAGCAGTTTCCGTGCTTATCAGCAAAGACTTGAACCTCGATATGCCGAGGCGTGGTAATGTACTTCTCGACTAGCATGATGTCGTCGCCGAACGAACTTCGAGCTTCACTTTTCGCACTGTCAAGCTGAGATTGGAACTCAGATGCACTCTGCACGATCCTCATGCCCTTACCACCGCCTCCTTTGACAGCCTTGAGCAGGACAGGGTAGCCTATCTGCTCAGCTTCCTTCTCCAGCTCCTTCGGATTCTGCTCTGTGCCATGATAGCCGGGGATGCAAGGTACGCCAGCATTGATCATAATCTCCTTCGACCGCGCCTTGTCGCCCATGGCTTCGATGGCCTTCCATGGCGGACCAATGAAATTAATTCCAGCCTCGGTGCAGGCCTTCGCGAATCCAGCATTCTCGCTGAGGAAGCCATATCCAGGGTGAATAGCTTGGATACTATGTTCTTTGGCTAGCTCGATTATCTGGGCGCCATTGAGATATTGGTCTGTGCTGCCTAGGTTGATGGCAAACGGAGAGCTGAGCGCATGCTGAGAATTTCTGTCTGGGTCTGTGTAGAGTGTTGTGGTCCGTATACCTTGAGCGGATGCTGTACGGCCAACACGAAGAGCAATCTCGCCTCTGTTGGCAATTAAGATCGAGCGTAGTGGTTGATATGTAGCTTCTGTAGCATTCCACCTTCTGGGCGTCTTGTTGATAGTCCGTGTGGATACCCTCCCGGGTCTCCGACGAATTATAGACCGCATTGTAGGGTCGTTGATGGTGGCCCAACTTCGTCTTCTATCTCACCTGTCGTCTGTTGTGTCCAAAGTCAAACCCCATTGACCCGCGCGTAGCCGACCGAGGCAATTCGGCTTAAGAAACACGACAAGCACGCGTCGCACACGCGTCGGTATACAGCGAGGACGACGACCTTGGACTTGTGAGCATTCTATGAGTCGAATAGGCGAGATAGATGCTTATGATATAGACAAGAAAGGGTGCATGGAGGTGAGTTTAGTATTGCTTCACATGGTCAGCACGAGACGTGCATCAAGTGCCCCACATTTCTTCTTCACGTTGGAACTTCGGAACTGCAGCATCATGCTTCCGATTTCGATTCTGTATCCTCCCATTCAAGAAGGCACAGAACATGGATGCATAGCGAGTGGTAGCTGCCCTAGCTACCAAGTGTTTGATGATACATACTTCAGCCTCCGCACCGCCTATTCAAGTGCCCATGCCACGCCAGCACATGCATCGTACTACAGACACCTCGAGTTGATCCAGAGCAGCCATGGCCGACGAATATGATTACGATGTGGATGAGTTCGACTATGGCGATGGCTGGATGTATGTCGAGGACGAGTTTGGCTTGGCGGTAGGTACTCTACCCAGTCTCGGGCAGCTGCATGAACTCCAAACCACTGGGTCAAACACTTGATCTGTGCGCTAGTATCATGGGTTGAGTGATGGAAGGCCCTCAGAAGGCTGACAAGGCATAGGACGAGCTGGCCGAAGGGCAAATACCGGACCCGGGTTACTCGGGGACGAATAACGAGATCGAGATGGACGAGTACGAATACGACTTCTTCGACTACTGGATTGACGCCGAGTATGGAGACGATCCCTACTGGGACCATGGCGATCAGCGGAGTGGTACTGCAGCATCACCGGAGAAGTCTGGGCAGAAGAGGAAGAGAAGCGCACCAGCCAAGCCTTCTGTGGTGGACAAGAGGAGAAAGACCTCGGGCAAGCAGCAGCAGCAATCGATACCAGTACCTCCGGGTGGTGTAGTTGACAATGTGGTCTTTCTAAGCCAGAACGAGCGCTACAGGAGATCGACGGCAAAGCCAGCACCAGGTAATCACTTGAAGAGATATGGACTACTACCCGACTGGGAAACACGCTTCGCGGACGCGGATGGCGAGGTGAAGATTGTCGATATGCCAGTGGACATGATGCAGGCGGCTGAAGCCACTGCGGACGAGACGCCGACCAATATTCGGGCATTGAGTGCTGAGGTTCTGGATGGAGATGAGGATGGAGAAGGATGGGAGGACGAGGGCGAGGACGCAGAAATTGAGGGAGGATCAGGGCTTGAGCTCGATCCTGAGATGCTCAAAACGATTTTGAGGCAGAGACTTGGTGAGGCTGGACTAGAAGGCATGGATGAGGGTGCGTTCATGGCATCTATCAGCAAGCTGCTTTCAGGTGAAGCTGCGGATGATGATGCCACCGCACATCTGGCAGACATGCTTCTTGGAAAGGCCGCAAGTGGTGGCGGCGGTGACTCTGCAGTCTCTAGCTGGCTGTCGCAGCAAGGTGTGACGCTCGAAGAGGATGACGACGATACCTCGTCGGTCGCTGCCTCGTCGGTCGCTACCGCAGGGCTTCCTGGGCCATCAACAATGCTTTCTGTCAAGAGGAACGCAATCATGTCGCCGCCTGACAGCGGCGTGAGTGGCTTGGACTCGTCGTCGCAAACTGCTGTTGCATCGAAAGAAATGCCTCTGCATTCTGGAAGCCCCAAAGCTCAGCACATGAAGCCACCGAGGAAGAAAGTGAGCTTCGATGTCCCACGAACCGAAGAGGAGGACGAGGAGCTGGACGACGGCGACGAGGCATCGATGACGTTGCCGACAAGTCAGCATGGCGTACCGAAGGTCGCAGTAACAGCCGCTCGAGCAGTACAAAGCAAAGTTGCAAGTGCTAGAGCGAAAGCTGCTGTCAAGGACCGTGCGACACCGGGTGATCAATTGCAGGACGAGCTCGCGGTCGAAGCAGACGTTGTGGTAGCGCCTATCAGGCAGACTAGAAAGAGGAAGGCTGCGAATGAAAGCGATATTGCGAGTGACGTAGCGGAGCTGGGTAAAAGGGCTGTCAAGGAACCTGCGACGAGGAAGACGAGGAGTGCCAGAGCGAGAAGTGGGAAGTGAAGGAAAATACGAAGACTGTTCTGCAGCTCTAATCCAAGACTTTCGGACACGACGCAGCATAGCAAAGCATGAAGACACGAGCGCATACGTCTGCAAGAGTAGGTGGCTGAAAATAGCAGATGAATGGCGCCACTCATGCCGCCTGACCACGAGTAAGGCTTCAGTAATGTCTACGCCTATCACAATGGCATACGGTTTCGTTCGCTCCAGCATCGAAAGTCGCTCACTCAGACCTTCACTCAACAAAGGAAATGAAACGCGGTCCACGTGCATGCAGACAGGTCTTGTAGATTTGAGACACGGTAAGTATATAAGACAATCTACTTCCATATCTACCTCTCCCACACACCATACCCGGTGACCTGGCACAAAGCATTGCCAAGCTTACACATAGGCACGAGGACATACTTCTCGACTATCAATACCTCTCAGGTCCGTAAACAACCATAAAACTGCAGCACATGGCCGACCACTGGCGTGGACGCATCCGTCGGGTAAACGAGATGGACGATGAAGAATATGCCCTTTCGCTAGCCGAGATGGAGAGACGAGATGACGTCCTGGCGCTGCAGGTTTCAAGATATCAGGAGCTCGCCGCCACACGCCGTCAAGAAGAGAGGACACGTAGGCACGCTGGAGAGCGGCAGCAGGCGATGCTGGCCGACGACGAGAGGCTCGCACGGCAGCTCGATGCTGAGGAGAGAGGACTCGCGGGGGCGGAGGCGTGGGATAGACAGATGGCTGAGGAGCTTGCTAGGGAGCAGGGTGGGAACGACGACTTCAACTTTGGTGGCCTATTCGGCAATGCGTTTAACGACGCTGGTGGCTATGCCAACGATGATGGACTGGAACGCCAGCATGATCAGGACCACGAGCATGGCCATGGCCTTGACCACGTACACGATCATGAGCATGGACTTGATGACGGAGAGCAGCGCCATCATGAATTCGTCCACAATGAGGAAAAGCATGATCGAGAGCCGCTTTTCGTGGCCGAAGAAGGCCAGGCGGATGATCCCATGGCCGAGAATCTTGCTCAACACATCGTCCAACGCAACGCAAGATTCGAGATGGTACGCTGCACCGCCTGCCAAGACGCATTTCCTCGCAATCTTCTCTTTCCAACGACTTGCGAGCACTTCTACTGCGTTGACTGTCTCTCACATCTATTCCGCAGCTCCATGACAGACGAGGAACTATTCCCGCCTCGCTGCTGCGGTAACGACTTGCCACTGGACCAAGCACGCCGGATGCTCGGTGCAGACTTATCAAGAGAATTCGCTATCAAGGCTGTAGAATTCAGTACAGCCGACAGAACATACTGCCATGTTCAGCCGTGCTCAACATTCATACCACCTACCACGATCCACAATGACATTGCCGTGTGTCCGACCTGCAACGAAAGAACGTGTAGTCATTGCAAGGCGCAGACCCACGAAGGCGATTGTCCTCGGGATCCTGGCGTACAGGCTGTCCTTGAATTGGCACAGGATGAGGGCTGGCGACGATGCGAGGGGTGCAGCAGGATGATTGAGCTCAATCAAGGCTGTAATCACATGACGTGAGCTCACCTGACACCAGACAGTGAAGACATGCTAATCAGGTAATTTTAGATGCGTATGTGGCCGTCAATTCTGCTACGTCTGCGGAGCGCGCTGGCGGACCTGCGGGTGTCCGCAGTGGCAGAGACAACGCCTACTTCACCGCGCGGCAGTCCTTGTCGACCGTCAGCCTGCCCGCCCTGCCGCGGCGGCGGTCCGGCCGCCCCCAGCACCGGCGCCACCGCAGAACGTGTTCGACCGCTACCTCAACCCTTTCGCACCTCGACTACCTCGTCCAGTGCCTGTAGTACCGGATGCAAGACTCCAGGCTCTTCGAGATGAACGTATCCAGCAGATGGCCGCTCAACTGCAGGAAAATGCTAATTGTGCGCACCCGCTGAACTGGGCCGCGACCAATGACGATCCACGACGTCGCGCAGGATGCGAGCTCTGCGGCCGTGTCAAGAACCGGGTGTATGCTTGTAGGTGGTGCGGCATTGCGGCTTGTGTAAGTGCGAACCCAGTCTTGAGATATTCATGAGTTCACACTAACCATTTTCACAGTATGCTTGCAGGAGGAATAGGCTGAGATGAAGCAGTTATGTGGACGGTGTACCGACTGCTGGTGCCGATCATGATTTACGACTAGGCAAGCGGCCATTCTACTACTGTACAATAGAGCATATCATGACACGATTGCTCGCTATATAATGCTCTCACGTCCTTGTTCGCGGTTTAAAAGCATAACTGTGTGGTCTTGAGCATGTGGTCCAAGCTTTCGCGTCATGTGATCATCGATGAACCTGCTCGCTGGCTACTTCCACGTCCGCCATTACACGATCGCACATACCATCAGCATTAGTATGCCGCTCTGTTGCTTTGCCATAGTTCAGTCTACTAATTGGTATTATCAATTATCTAGCGAATGTACATACAGTATGTCGCATAATGAACGAGACGCCATTCTATCATTCCGCTACGAGCATCAGACACACCTTCAAATCCCAGTCTCTAGAACAAGATGGGTACTGCCAAGCCCAAAAGCCCGCCCAACCATGCCAGTCTGTCCGGCATGGCCACGGGATGCGCGGCGCCAGTGTACTGTACAGTATATGTAGTGGAGGTGCCGTTCAAGACAACATACGTAGTTGATGTGGCGTTTCTGACAGAATATGGTGTTCCAGACAAAGTGCCATTGATTGATGGCGCAGGTGTGATGGCAGGCTTACTCTGGCTGGAAGTCGTAGATGTCTGGCTGCCGATTGCCGCTATCAGCTGACTCAATGCTATTGGGTTGACGCTGGTTACGGGACGGGGCGTCATACTCTCTGCGAGAGCAGTTGGTGAAGCCGGAAGTGTAGTCGAGCTGCCGCTCTGGATGATAACTGTGCTGGGCGTGGCTGTTGCAAATATGCGGGCTGGCGTGAGAGTCTGAGCGACCGTAGTGGGCACAACTGCCGAAGTGATGACCACAGACGTCGGACTAGTGACCGTCGAGGCTGGTGATGGGACGTAACGTGTAGTTGTTGTCGACAGTGCAGAGCCTTCAGTACTCTGGACCGTCGTAGACGTAGTCAATGTTGAAGTCAAGGTGGTCAAAGATGTTGACAAGAGTGTGGTGATTGTCGAGTTGCTCTCGGTGATCGTGGTAGAAGCTGATGTTATGGTTGTGAAGCTTCTGGAAGTCGAGGTGAAGTTTGACGTTGAGCTGGGAGGAGAAGCGACGACACCGCCAGGGGTAGGGCAAGATTCAGCTGGTCCGCCCAGTTGCGATGCGAACCCGCTGAGGCCGTCAAGATAGCTCAAGAGTCCGCCAGGTAGCCCGTTGTTGGTCTCACCATTGGGGAAGACAAGTGACGCCGAGTTAACATTCGCAGGTAAGGTGAGCGCAGTAGGCTGAATTGATTGTGCGCAGCCTGAGGAGGTCGCGGTCGCACCCACAAAGCCGAGATATTCTACATATGTCGTCGGGTATGTCCTGGACCGGTCAGTACCAAGAAGCCGTTGCACAAGAAAGAAACGTACAAAACGGTGCCAAGCGTACTCCATGTCAGCTGGTCTACATGTGTGAAGGTCGCCACAGGTGCACCGCCAGGTCCAGATATAGTGCTGATGATCTCGTTGGCCACTGTGGTAGTGTCGAAGCCGATGGTTGAGGATGACCCATTGCTGAAGATGGTGACATGCGGCACGATTTCAACGCTGACATTCTGAATAATGTCATATGGGAAAGACAGCAATGCGGATGAAGCTGCACCCAAGACGCAAGGCGCACATGACGTCGCAGCTACAGCGAGGCTCAGTCAGATCGCGATTGTGCCACGGCTGCTTGCAGAAGCTTACCTGCTGCCATATTGTGTGTTTGAGTACCTGTCTAATGTCAAGAAATAGCCGGCAAGAGCTTGCGAGGTTCCGGAAGAAGTTCGACGGAAGAGAGGCGCCGGAGAGGAGGGAGACAAAAGCGATTGATGTTCAAGAGCCTGAGCAATTGCATCAATGGCTGAAGGCCTTGGCTGGCAGAGGGGAACCGACTGCATGGAGGCTGCAACGGCCATCACTACCTCATGGGGCCAGGACGATCGCAACATGCTGGTCGAAGCGCAGAAGAGATACCTCAGTCAGCTTTCAGTCTTCACCTTCCTGTTTTTGACCACTGCCCGACCCGCTAAGGCTGCAGTATGTGACGGTCGTGAATCACAGTCTCATGCCAGGCGGTCAAATCAGCTCGAGCAAGTCAGAACACTCCAAGGTGGCTCCCTGGCGCATGCATATCAACAGTACTTCATCGTCCAGACACCTGCGTCCGCTTGGCATTGCCGCAGTGCGGCTGTAGAGTGTGCCTTGTCTTCACCGGACGGCGAGAACGTGGGATCGGTACTGATAGTACGGACGCGAGATACAGTCCATCCATGGTGTAGTGCGGGACAGTGTTCGGCCCCAGCATATATATTGCAGCTTGCTGATACAGCCGGCTGATGTTGGAGTATTGGCGAGGCTCGTGATGGGCTGAAGTCGGCATGGCTTGGCGGAAGACTAGCTTCAACAGGGATGCGGGAATCCTTCGGTATTGTTTCGCTTCCATTTCTGCACCTCTCATGCAATGGGCGGTCGAGAGCCTCTGTGTTATGCCGCGCCCGAGCAGTAGCACACGAATGACCACAGGGCTGGAAGATTGTGCCCTGGAGGCTGGATCGCTCTCCTTCGCGCCCGGAGACGAGCTTGCCTGCACGCCGAGCGCGATACTACTACACAGCCTGCTCAGATACCCCTCATAGCTCACTCGGTATCGAGAGGGTGGTCATCCGATGGATTTGTCTATCCGCTGGTGGCCGGCGCGTCACTGTTGTGTTGTGCCTGTCGTTCGCTATGCTAATCCTGCTGATCTTCTGTACACTTTTCAGTAACTAATTAGCAGTAATACGGCCACCATGGCCACAACACCTCTGCCGTATCTTGTGGCGCCGACTTACTCCTGGGACGGCGTCGATGGGCTTTGGTCGACTTTTGCCATCGAAGTCGGTACACCACCGCAGTCGCTGCGCGTTGTTCCAGCCACTATCGGCCACGAGATCTGGGCTCCCGTTGTAGAAGGCTGCGAGGGCCTCACACAGCTTGCGAATTGTGGCAACCTTCGAGGAGTTGATGGGAATGGCAGTCAGGGCTACCAGACGAACGCGTCAACCTCATGGAATGCTATACCTGGCGACCCCTACGTGCTATCGGATGGCCAAAATCTGTTTGGAATCTTCGACACTGGCCTTTATGCATACGATACCGTGGCCATAGCCCGAAAGGGCGCCGACAATGGCTCGGTACTACAGAAACAAGTCATTGCTGGAATCGCAACGCTCGACTTCTGGCTTGGGACAATGGGACTAGGCCCTTCGCCCAGCCAGTTCAGTGGCGATAGCTCAGCGCAGAGCTTGATGTTCACTCTAAAGAATCAGAGTCTGATACCGAGCTTGTCATACGGGTACACGGCTGGACAACACTACCATAACGTACCTGGTAGTCTCGTCTTGGGCGGTTATGACCAAGCTCGACTGTCGAACACACCGACGCCTCTGACACTACCGCTGAACAGCAGCGCTGGGACCCAGAACATACAGCTCGGTCTACAAAGTGTAACAGTCCAAGGTGCGCTCGGTGGCTCGACGCAGCAGCTACTCGACGGCGCAATATTCGCCAACCTTGACTCTGCAGTCTCGCAATTATGGCTTCCGGAGAAGGTCTGCGAGTATTTTGCGGAAGCATTTGGCCTCACTTACAGCGCCAATGTCAACTATTACTTCATTAATGACACTATGCATAAGCAGATGCTAGCCAGTAACCCGACTTTGACGTTCTCCATTGGCGCTGTGAGCGGTAGCACGGTCAACATCGATCTACCCTACAAAGCCTTCGATTACAATTTGAGCCAACCCCTGTCAGCCTCGCCATATCTATACTTCCCACTGCGCCAAGCAAAGAACGAGTCGCAGTACACGATCGGCCGCGTATTCCTGCAGGAGGCGTATATCGTAGTGAACTGGGATAATGCTACGATCACTATTGGACAAGCTGTAGCGCAGAACAGCACCACCAGCGTCCAACCAATTATCGCTCCATCTCCGAATCCTGCGACGAACGGATCTGCGAGTCCAGCACCAGCGCCTCCAGCCGTACAACATCATGGAATCTCGACTGGCGCAATAGCTGGCATCGTCATTGTCATAATCGCGCTCATCGCAGCAGCAGCAGGATTCTCCATCTTGCGTATGCGACGCAAGAGACGTGCTACAAACGATAAATGCGATCATGAACCAAGTGCACTCGAAGTCCACAACGGAGCAGCGGAGGAGTACTATCCACCCGAGAAAGTCGGGAACGAGAAATCAGCATTCGGATCATACGCGCAAGTCAATGAGATGGAGTCGCACAACCGACCAGGGATGCACGAGCGCAAGACCAGCGAGCTGGACAACGAACACCAGATCCATGAGATGGAAGCTATGCTGCAAGACCGCGAGTTGATGAGCACACCAGTCTTCGAGCTCGAAGGCCATGCTGGCAATGAATTGGACAGCCGCACGCGACCGATGAGCGAGATGTCGTCCGCGCGGAGAAGTCTAAGGTCTTTGCCAACGAGCCCGATTGCGGGTCGACACATCGATCTACCTCTACCTTCGCCACCTTTGCCGTCGCCGCCGATGTCGTCTCCTGGCAGTGATGGTGGGTTCCCATCTCCTCCGCTGCCTTCGCCACCTTTCTCGGCTGCAGATACAGAGCATCCTTTCCCTTCGCCTGCCAGCGAGGAGAGGTTCGTTACTCCCCTTGGTACGCCCGGTATTGAGGAGCCCGAGAACACACTTGACCGGACGGTCGCGGGCTCTGGCAATGCGAATCTGACCGTTGCTGAGCACACCGCTTTCCGCAATAGTAGCGTATCCTTACTTGATGGAGTTGAGAACGAACAAGAGAACGCTCATTACGTCGAGGACATGGTCAAGGACGAGACTGTTCCGCCGCACCTCAAGGAAGGAGCATCACCACCTACTTGAAAGGCATATCTGTTCTATCAAATCCAGCAGGGTGTAAGAGACTGTAGATGCATCGCCGCCGCCTTCAATTGAAGCAGAGCAACGGGAACGGTCCAGACCGTGATAGTCCGATCTTGGACCGCCGGCCCATGTTGTCTCCACGTCAGTAGGGCCGCCACCAAGCCATATGACTCCAGGAGCAAGAAGGATGCCGATGAGCAGGTGATGGAGGCGTCAAGTGTACGAACGGTATGTGTGCGGGGAGTGAGGAGGGGAAAGGATGGGGCATAATTAACCTAAATCAAGATAGCATTATGGAGCTCCTGGTATGGTCAGCTGAAGATTTGTCAAGACTGCCAAGGTGGTGTGGTATGGTGCATTGAGCCACAGCCTATAGGTCGATTGCTATCATTTCCTCCAGTTCTCCAATACGCTGACAACGTCCTGCACCTTAGCAGTGCACCCAAAGATGCCGCCTTCGGTCCTTATCATCTCCACAGCAGCTTCATGTAGCTTCGCCTCACTAGCCGCACAGCAGTCCTCGACCAACAAACACTCATAGCCTCTGTCATTCGCTTCACGCATGGTAGTATGCACGCAGACATCAGTCGTCACACCGCAGACGATCAGTCTCTTCACGCCCTTGACTTGAAGCATAAGCTCGAATTCTGTATTAGCAAAAGCACCCTTTCCAGGCTTATCTACCACTGGTTCGTTCTTTAGCGGGTACAGCTCGGGTATGATATCGTGTCCAGCTTCGCCACGGATAAGCAGGCGGCCTAGAGGTCCCTGATCGCCTATACCTAGACCTGAAGGGTTGTTGCGCGACCGGAAGAGTTCGCGGGTTGAGAGCGTTGCAAGATTTGGCCGATGTCCTTCGCAGGTGTGGAAGATTGGAAGGGCTGCCCCCCGGGCTGCGGTGAGGAGCTGCTGGATTGATGGTATGATGCTCCGAACAGGGGAGATGTCATAGCCTTGGTGGGAAAGGTAGCCGCCTTCTTCGCAGACTTTACTTACATGTCAGACTAGATGGTACAGGAACTGCCGGAGGGTAAGGCGGCGTACAGTCGCGTTGCATGTCAATGACCACTAGAGCAGTGCTGTCCGGCTTGAGTGAACCATCGTGAGGCCATGCATACGGCTCCGCGTGTAGATATTGCTTGCGTTCCTGCATTGTGTATGGGAGATGTTGGTCGAGTTGTGCTTTCACAGAAGAGCAGCCGAAGTCGAACGCTAGGTATTATTCTTGACAAACTCTATTATCGAAAGCTGATTGTTGCCCCATGCTACAATCAATAAACATCGGACTTTTTGGGCGCTGCAAACCCAAGAAATGCTAGGGAAGGAAACCCATGCTGGCTAAGACAAACAGGACCTGGTTATCATGCCGCGCCAGCAAGTGTACGGGAAACGCTCACGAGCAGTCTACAACGACTTCGCCATTTTTGACAGTCCACAACGACCGACGGTCAAATCACGAGCCGAAGAGGCGACGCAGAGACTTGTGGAGAAGGTGACCGGGCTGAGTCTACATGATTGTGCGGACGTCGTTGAGCATCGGAGGCGGAGATTAGTGCTTGGGGCGTGTGATGCGAACAGTGTTGTCTTGCCGGTCAGACCACGAAAGACCAAGAATGGGAGGCGGAAGAAGGTGGTTGAAGTCGAGGTGACAATAGAACATTCCGGGCCGCAAGACGTACGTGAGGTGGAGAGCAGAGAGGATGTGGAAGAGATTGAGACAAGACAGGCGGAGAGGCGTGTAAATGATAAGACGGCTGAAAAGGAGGAGGCAAAAGAGCAGCAGGATCTCGTATCATCTACCGAAGCGCGACGAGTATCGCCGGAGCCGCCGAAGAGGAATAGAGACAATAGCATACCCCAAGCACCGACAATCTCAGCTCTAGATCTCTCTTTCGCAGATCTCACGGACAAGCCAGACGACACAACGACAATCGCTGCAGTACCAATCAACAATATATACAGCAACCACTCTCGAACTCTACTGGACCTCTCCTCGCACGACCTCACGCCCTTCGCCCTTTGGTCATCCCAACTCTCTGACCATTTCTCCCTGGCCAAGATAGCCGAAGCCTCTTTCGGCGAAGTCTATCGTTTGTCCCTACTCTCGCCACTTCCCGGTCTATCACGAGCAGACGAATCAGTCTTCAAAGTCATAGCGCTACAGGCACCAAAGTCTATCCTCCCAATCGCAAAGAAAGCTCGAGCTGCAGCGCTGGCGAAGGCAGAAGGCATGTCAAAAGTGGAAGATGTTGCTAGTGAAGTGCGGGTACTGCAGAGGATGAGCAGTATACCCGGCTTCACTAACTTCCGTGACGTGCGGATAGTGCAAGGCCGACCTCCGCCTCTGTTTGTGGAAGCATTTCAAACCTACAATGCTGAACAAAAGGCCAAGAAGAAGGATCTTAGCCACTTTCCCGACCCAGTGAAGAAGACCAGCTATTGCGAGGATCAGCTCTGGGCGGTGATAGAGATGCAGGATGCTGGTACGGATCTCGAGCAGCTGGTCGAAGCGGTGGAAGGCGAATGTACGAGTATCTGGAGTGTCTGGGACGTTTTCTGGCAAGTCGTGCTCACGCTCGCGAAAGGCGAAGAGGGTGCAGAGTTCGAGCACAGAGATCTCCATCTAGGGAATATCTGTGTGCGGCATAAGAACGAGTCGACCCTTTCAGCTTCCACAGCAAATATCGACATCACGAGCAAGAAGCTAGGATTCACAGATCTAGAGACGACAATAATCGACTACACCATTTCCCGGTGCCGCCTCACCTCCAAGACCCACCCCTTTTCTGACCCTGAACAAGAGATAGCCTACCACGACCTCCTCCCCGACCCCTCTCTCTTCCAAGGCGACAGTACCGAAGAATACCAATACGACATCTACCGCTACATGCGCGGGGCCGTCTTAGCCCAGGATCCTATGTCGAACGAGGACATGCCCGACAACAAAGACATCTGGCAACAATACCACCCAACCACAAATCTAATCTGGCTCCACTTCATCCTCTACAAGCTCCTCGAGCAGCTCTCCTGGCCTTCATCCCAGAAACCACCGTCTCGCAAGCTAAAAGTGGCTGTGAAGCCGGCTTTTGCGGAATGGAAACGGGCGAACGACCTGGAACATACACTCCTCCACATGCAGGATCTTCTCGATCCCGAGACGGGGATATGTAAAAGCTCTCTGCGTTCTGCAAGCGATATCGTGGCCTTGGCGTTGAGTGAAGGCTGGTTGGGTGTGGAGGATGTGGTGGGCTGTCATAACGATGTTTATACTGGGATGATGGTGGGAGGAGAGGGTGATGTTGTGTCTTCTTCGCCACCAGGTACTGTTTACCTTACTACAGACGAATGCGTGGCAGTCCCGCAGAGCAGTGATCCACCCGCTCTCCTCACATTCGAGGACGCACCGACGCATATCCAAATCAATATTGATATCATGGAGGAGAAAGGTCTGGAAGCTGCTACGCACGCGGCTCGGAAGACGAGACGGAAGGACAGGGCGAGGAGGAGACGGAGTACGCTATGAGGATCGTACGTACGACGCAATCTGTTTGCTACTGGCAGCGTTCGAGCATGGCGTATCTGGAATCGAAAATGTGTTTTGGAATGGACGCCCTGGTTATCTTTGGTAGCATTTTGATACCATGGGCCATGCCTTGCCTAGATGTCTATTATACCTAGCCTCTCCAGCATACAAGACTTTGCCAGGCTATCGTACGCGCTCCTGCTCACAATATCATATCGGTGTCGTCGTCCGCAGTAGCAGCAGCCGCAGACGCCGCACCATTCGCCGCATTATTCGGAGCGGCACCATTACTCTCCTCCGCCTTCTCGCCCTTGCCAAAATAGTCCTCCATCTCAGCATCCAGCTGCTCAGCCGTCTTCTTCGGTCTCCTACCTCCCACCCCTCCAGCAGCACCCTCGGCATCACCTCTACCTCCACGTCTGCCTCCTCCGCCCCGTCCACTCTCCTCACGTCTAGCCCCAGGTCGTCTTCCACTTTCTCTTGGTGTCCCGCGACGACGAATTGGCGATCGCGAACCCCTTCCGGGAACATATCGATCGATGTTCTCTGGAGCTGCGAGTGATCGGCCGTTTTTCAGCGGAGAGTCACTCCTATCCCTTCTCCTCCTATCCCCTCCACCACGATATCCATCCCGCTCGTCCTCCCTCGCCCCACCACCTTCAATCCGCTCAAACATACTCCTCTCCCTCGGCTGTATCCTGTCGAACAGACTCCTCTCCCTAGCTGCCGGACCTCGAGGGCCACCAGGTGCACCACTCACCCCACCACCTCTCTCAGCCGGTCCCGAGGGGACCAGAGTGACTCGAATCTTCTGGCCCTGGGCATTCTGGCCATCGAAGTCCTCGACTGCGTCACGCGCGTCATGAGGATCGGAGTAGACTACCCAGGCTGTGCCGGTGCTGCGGTCTGAGCGGTCGTAGTTCATCGTGCAGGAGACTAGGGCGCCTTTGCGGGCGAAGAGGGACTGTTCTTCCGTTAGTGTCAGGCCGGGCAGATGTGGTTGCGGTTGACTTACACGCAGGTCCTCTTCGGTGATGTCGTAGTGGATGTTTTCGACTCTCACTTTTGCGCCGTTGCTGCTGCTCATTGTCAGTCGTGTCCTGCCCTGAGCGTACTGATCGATGCATACGCTTCTTGGCCTCGACCACCAGCATATCGATCGTCTTCTACTGGCCGAGAATGCATGCGGTCGTACTTGTCGTCCTCGTATCGGTCGTGAACCCATTCACTACACGAGTGTCAGCTGATCGTGCCAATAATGAAGCGCAGTGAATGGAGATATACTTGTCCATGCTCGGTCGTTCATCGGTACGGTACTGTATTGGCAGGTACGCCTCGGTCAGCTACTGTTCACGTTCGTGTCGCCGTCGCGTCGCGATCGGTTCGTCGTCGTTCGGTCACTCGGGAGGCGCGCGATTGCGGTCATACGGTAAGGAGGGAAGGAGGGTGCACCTAAGATAGGATCTCGGTCAGTCCAGCTCATATCCTGATCTCGAACACGTGACATACCTTTCGAACGCCATCTCGTGGATACTCGTCCCGACGATCTTGGCGCGGTGCTGGAGCTCCTCGTCCGCCTCGAGTTCCGCCTCCTCGTGGGCCTGATGGCGGTGCTCGATCTCGATCGCGGCGGTCACCTCGTTGCTATAGATCCCTTCAGTGATGGTTGTACAGATTCGAGGGAGCGTACGATGCATACAGGCCGCTCCGAAATGATCTCGTCAAGGCTGCGATCCATAGTGGTGCTTACGCCAAACTTTGTTGCTTCCTGGCGTGGTTCGAGCTGTGGGACCGATACTGGCATTGATGAGGCTGAAGCTTGGATATAGAACTATTGCTTAGCTAAGCAGAAATCGCGGACTCGTTTTTGCGTGGTTGGCTGTAGGAAACGTCCGTGTGTCCACTCTTGCAACATATATGTTCATTTCGACTTTGAATTCAGGGTGAACATAGGAATAAATTCCCGGTCGAGCAGTTGAGGACATCATGACAGCCATCACGGACATCCCTGCAGGCTCTCAGCACACCACATCAACTTGATCGGAATTCATACCACCCTGGGCTTCGGGCAAACCCTTGTGGTTGTCTTCACCCGACACTTTAATACTTCCTGAATCTTTTAGGCTAGCACCTGGGACACCGCAGTGGTTTGGCTGGAGACAGGCCAACACTCTCTGAACACGTCACCGATTATTCACAACCGCCACCATGGTAAAAGGCCGACAGACCGTCCGCCTGCCTCAGCAACACCGGAAGAACGATGAGATGTCAAAGAAAGCCACAGTTGATGCCACCAAAGAAGTTGGCCCTAGAGACCCTCTCTCGCCACAGAACATACAGTCTGTTCTCCTTCAGATTCTGCCTCTCCTGACCTTGGCGGCCTTGACCTCGCCAGTATCTCAAGCCACATTATCTCCCGTCTACGGCTCAATACCAAGCAGCATAAACCATACGGAAGCCATAACAGCAACACTCCTCCTCGGCTTCATCGCACGACATCTGTGGCGGGAATGGATAGGCGATGTCAGCATCCAGCCATACCTCACGCTTTGGGCGTTCTGGGTGCCCTTTGCTGAGATGTTCTTGTTCAAATATTCAGACTCATGGGGGCCGATCTTGGGTGCTATTATTACTGGACTGATTGGATGTCATGTCTTGCTTGTCGGAACTGGGTATGCAGTGGCGCAGGTCATAGAAGGGCTGGAGCTGCAGAGCACTATGGGCGTGGTTGGCGGTGTGGCGATCCCGGCATTAGTGCTTGATTTTGCGGTCTTCAGACCACTGGAATTCGGGCTAGCGAGACTCGTGCCAATGCTGTGGATGTGGTCTGGTTTCTTCACGCCGCCAAAGCTGCTGTACATCATTGCTGGTGCATATGGTCTAGCCTCTCGACCAAAGCCGTACTGGCTACTTTCGCTGAGCATACCCTCGATTCTGCTTGCTTTCTTCGCGAATCCACATATCGATGCCTCACCAAGAAACCTGGAATTGGTGAACGAGGGAGTTGCAGCCGTGAATTGGACAGTCCTTGATCGCTCGTGGTCCAACACGGGCTACCTTTCTGTAGTCGAGAACACAGAACTCAACTACCGAGCACTACGATGCGATCACTCCCTGCTCGGTGGTGAATGGCTCCTCACTTCAGAACGAAGAGAAAATGAAGGCTGGCTAGTCAGCGAACCAATCTACGCCGTCTTCAGCATGCTCGAGGCTGTGCGCCTTATCGAGGTACCCACACCTGTTCCGGACAGCTCAGCCAATGCGCTCGTGATAGGCCTGGGCATCGGCACAGCACCCAAAGCCTTCATAACTCACGGCATTAACACCACGATCGTTGAGCTTGACCCGAAAGTCCTCGACTTTGCAACGAAGTACTTTGGTCTCCCAACAAACCACACATCGGTAATTCGGGACGCCGTAAGCTGGGTCAAGGACCAAGCCACCAGCACCACCTTGAATTCGGCGCAGACGTACGACTACATCCTTCACGACGTTTTCACGGGCGGCGCCGAACCACTAGCACTCTTCACAATCACCTTCCTCACCTCCCTCCGCTCCCTCCTAACGCCAGAAGGCGTGATAGCAATAAACTACGCCGGCGACCTAAATATCCCCCTCACAAGCACAATCCTCACAACCATCCAACGAACCTTCAACGGACAATGCAAGATCTACCGGGATGCGCCACCAGAGCCCGAAAGCGCAGACAAGAAGTCAGCTGAAGGCGACTTCCTAAACATGGTAGTCTTCTGCCGCAACAGTGCTTCAGGAGGCGAGATCACATTCCGCAAACCGGTGAAGAAGGATTTTTTGGGGAGTAGGAGTAAGGAGCACTATCTCCTTCCCAAGGCGGAGTGGGAGATATCTTTCCCGTCCTCCATCTCAAAGAGAGATGATGGCAAGGGTGGCAAGGCTTTGGAGGTATTTGAGAAAGGGTCGCAAGGCAAGTGGCGGAAACAGCAGGAGGAGAGTGCATTGCGGCATTGGTATATCATGCGCCGGGTATTGCCGGCGAAGGTGTGGGAGATGTGGTAGTGGAGGACTGCTTGAAGGGCTTGTGTGGTACAAATTGTGCTTTTGTAAATATTTCTGGATAGATAGAACAAAAGGTCTGAAATTGTAGGGAATCGTTGCTTGTGTAGGACTGAGCGCAAGCTGTGGCTTTTGTATCACTTTAGCAGCACGAGTAATGTGCCTGATGCTATCATAATGCAGAAGACAATGCACGGCCGAGGTACGCCAATTCGCACACTCGCTCCACGCACCGTATACATGCCATGCATGAATCATGTGCTAATCTACACCCTCGCCGTATGATCCAGCAGAAACCCAAAAACTCGACTCCGGCCATGACACCTATGCTCGCACAAACCACCCACGCCACATCGATCAAGAGCCTATCCCGATTTGCCCTTCTTCCGTTTGTCGGGAGGACAATGTACATGCATGGCCTTCCTCTGCCTCTTCAGAATATCATCGCTATAACCCGCTTGCTGACAACAGGGCATTTCGATCAAGGGCTTCGAGTCCAGGATTTGTTTCGCCGAAGCTCTATGCTTGGGATCTGGATTAAGCATAGCGAAAAGTAAGGCCCGGATATTGCCCACCACGGTCGAACCTTCGAAGATCGTAATCTTCTTCCACGCTTGAGAGCGCGCGGCAGCGGGCATGGGACCAGCTTCCTCTTCGGAAGCTTTAATAAAGTCGTAGTCGGGTGAGTATTTCGCTATAAAGTCATCCCATGTGCCGGCGTAGGCGTTGTACCGTCTATCGCTCGGCTGAGCAGCATCCCATGGTGTGCCGACCACGATCATGGTTATGTAGACGATACCGCAGGACCATATATCTATCGCTCGAGGGTCGTAAGGGTATTCGTGTTCGAGGACTTCGGGAGCCATGTACGGTCTGCTCCCCACAAGTCCTGGATCGCATTCCCGGATTGGGGCGTCAGGGGCGATTATGCTTGGTCTTCGACATCGTTGGAAACCTGGATGTGTGCCTGAGAAGACTTCTGAGGTACCGAAGTCGGCGATTTTGAGACAGCCGTCTTTGTTCAGCAGGAGGTTCTCGGATTTGAGGTCACGATGCGCGATCCCGCGACTGTGAATATATTCAACGCCTCGTATCAGTTGCTTGAACATGCAGTTCTTGTCTTCCATGGAGAAATAGCCTTTTGTGAGGTTGTCGTTCAAGTCGCCGTATTCGCACCATTCCATTACGTGGTTCCATTTACTCAAATGCTCGGAGTAGCATAATTGGTAAGTTTGCACGATATTCGGGTGCTCAAGAGATTTGGCGATGGCGAATTCACTTTTGATCTTGCGCTGGTACTCGTCCTGGGTTTCGTTTTCCTCTTCCCAAGGTCGGAACTCCTTGCAAGCGAAGACTTTGTCTTTCGATTTACCTTCGCTTGCTGTTTTGCTGTTCATTAGTTGGACTGTTGCAGCACCACCTTCACCGATCGGCTTCTTGTGCATGCGATTGACAAAGTTGAAGTGCGTCTCCAGTGGACACTCATCTACGACCAGATCATCACGCGGCACAGCCGTAGATAGCCGCCGGGCTTTCGAACCAACACCTTCGTTCACACCCTGAAGACCATGCTCTGCATTCCTCGTGAAGATGGAAGGCCGTCGTTGCACTGAATTCGAGTTCTCGTGCTTCAGTCGTGTGATTGGTGCCGCATCGATTTGAAATCTGATGCCTGAAGTTCGCGAGTCGGAGCGGCTGGGATCTGTTTCGTCTTTCCCATCAAGATCGTCATGCGCATGGGTATCATCGTGCTCGGTAGCGCTTGAGGTGTCGGTATTTTCGGAGTCGTGGTGCTCGAACGTAGTGGAGGATGCAGCAGGCGACTCGGCAGGCTCAGTCTGAGGTTGCGTCACTGCGCTCAGTGGCCGACTACTGGTTACTGAATCGACCTTGGAAGCCTCTTTCGGATGCGACGACTGTGTTTCAGGTGTCGAGGTCCTAGTCCCAACGTTGTCCGGTAAAGGTCTCGCTGAGATGGCTGAAGGTGTCTGTGAAGCACTGGACTGAGGCCGTGAGGATGAGTCCTGATCTTGCGATTGTGGCGAAGGAGGACTGCGAGGTTGGGAAGTGGGTGTAGACGATCCAGTATTGCTCTTATTCCGACTATGAGATGTAAAGGCACGTTTCAAGAAACTAGGCTTCTTCGGACTCGGTGGTATCGGCATTGTAGCCTGGCGCTTTGATCTCAGCTCGTCCGGAGAAGGTTCATCTTTGCTTCCAGCCATTGTGGTAGCCGTGTGCCGCAATTTGTGATCAGTCGGCTGCCGCGCCAAAAGCGCCATTTAATGGCGACCAGGTGATGTTGTGTAACAGAAGTTCGAAAGATGTGAGTACCAGCTACCCTCCCTTGTAGCAATGACGCGCAGCTTGAGGAGCTAGGTATGTATCGTGTCGACTACTCCCCGTAATTGTTGCAGTGTAGTGCCGCCACCTTAGGCTTGCTCGAATAAGCTGCAAACTGCACGTGAACAGGTGATGGCGCTCTTCCAGAAGCGACGCCGCATATGTCATTCACCAGTGGTAAGGACTACTGCAGATAGCGTGCAACGCAGGCCTCGCGCAAGCGGGCTGCAAGAAGGTCTGTAGTCGCCTGGCTGATGCTGCAGAGTTGACTTAGGTCTCCGACCAAAAGCAATGCGGCTGCGGGGGATTTTTGGCACGCGGCTGCGGTTGTAGTATAGCAATTAAGGAAGGAATCGATTGCGCGCGTTGTCGGCGGCTATCATTGTACGAAGATGAGCTGTAATGAGGAGCTGCAGCTCGGCGAAGACAACACTATTGAAGGGGGGGTCGGTTGTCGAGAAAGCCAAGATACGTTGAGAATCTTGAACGCTGACCATTCCACCCCTCCTCCGACGTGCGTGATGGTCTCAGGGACCTGCTGCTGGGGCAGCAAAGACTGTGCCGATGTAGCCGGATAGCAAACCTCGAAATTTCGTCCGAAGGCGGGCTCTTGCCGCACTACACCGTACTCATTGACTACTGCTGCAGCTTGTGTTTTGTGTGCGGTAACGGAATCGGACGGACTCTCGGCCAAAGATTGACACCCGCGCGTTCACGTATTCGAATTTTTCTTGCGAGAGGACGGCCAAGGTACAGCCAAGTGAAAGCCAAGGTGTATCACCATACACGCCGTCACAGGACTAGGATGACCGTGTCGAGGATTGCAAGCTCGCCACTAGAGACAAGACTGTGGATTGCCGCACCCAGATGCTCAATTGTGATCATACGTCACCAGCTTACTACTTATGCCACAGATTATCCGGGCATTGCTGACAAGCCTATCTACCACAAGAAGGCTTAAAATCACGCAGGGATAGAACTCGCTACTCATCGGAACAAGATTGTCTTTGCAGATCTCACCGCGCTTTTCATGCAAAACGTCTCGCAAACCGCCGGCACAAGCATTGGCAAGACAGGCTCGTAACACCGCCCAGGGGGCATTGGTGATTCATGTAAGCAGCAGAAGTGCGCTGGGATGCAATACGGCCATTAGCCAAGCTTTTTGTTCTCTCGACGCCTGGGCAGGGCAGCGTTTCTCAACCGCACGTGAACGGTAGGGCTTCAAGAGGCTTTTGCAGGCTTAAGACGACCATCACCGTCATCTTATTGTTGACGCGTCGAGATCTCGCATTATGGAAGGTGAGAACAGATGAATCCAACTCACACCCATTTGAACTCGAAGCAGAGAATCCAAGTTGTGCAAACCGAATATCACTTCAGTCTTGATCACACACTGCCCCTGCTCGCATGCTTCATACACCTTATGTTCCTGTAACAGAGCGTAACAATGCCTCCTGATACATGGAGCTCGGATTTCCGTGGCGCCTCGCAATGCCATATAATAATTTACAACCCATAACAAATACACCTCAGAATCCAGGTGGGTTCAGCCTCTGACTGACCCTCGTCCACTTTGGCAACTTGTGCACACCTTTCCTGTATCCTCTCGCCTTACGATCAAACATGGTGTATTTGTCCTTCGGCAGCATCTCTTGCTCTGTAGGCATATCCACCTTCCATCGCTCAATAAGCTTGATTGTTCCTTCCCTTCGCGCCGCATCTCCTGTTCGCGTATGTGATGATCCAGGCATGACTTCCCCTTGTCGTGGTCCTCGCCCGTGTCGGAGCTGTTGCTGGGATTGTGTTGCTTCGTTCTCGAGGATGCGTTGGCCCTGTGCTGTCTGTAATAGCTCCGAAGGTGTCGCTTTGATGTTGCTTGAGGATTGTGTAGGTGCTTGTGCTGGTGCAGTGTCGGTGGAAGTGGTGCTATGTTGTGGTCTTGAGGAAGGTGGAACGACGGTGACAGCTTGTCTCTTGAGTGCCGTGTCTAGCACTGAGACTACATTATCGACTCGGCGCATACGACGACGGTGCCGTAGCTTCTGAGGTGGTGAAAGCCGCCATGGGATCTTCCTAGGAGCTTGTCAGTGGCCAGTAGCGACAACAGGCTGGTAGCCATACCATAACAATCCTCCCGAGAGTGGCGCTGATGGTTTGAATGCGCCGAACATGTCGTATATTGGTATCTAGATGTTTTGGCATGCAATGCGCCATAGACTCAATGCCTGAGATGCACTTCGCCGCGGGAGTGCCAAGACATGAGCGCGATTCGGGTAAGTACGCGCGGTACCTTACATATACATTCGACTTCAAGAAGGTTTCTATACATGTGGCAGGGTGTAGTCTCCTCTCGGATTGACTCTTCGATCAAGACACCTGCCGCTTTGTGAGAGCAGTAGCAATCATGTCATACTACTTTACAATTATCGGAACACGAGACAACCCTCTCTTCGAGCTCGACTTCGGCACTTCGAAGGTTGGTGGTGATGGCGTGGCACGCTTCCGCGAAGAAGCCAAGTATATGAACCAATTCATCGTGCACGCTGCGCTAGATGTGGTGGAAGAAGTCCAATGGACCAATAAAGAGATGTATGTCCATCGGCTGACATTATGCGCCGGTTCGTGTCACACCCTGCTAATGCCCGGGACAAGGTACCTCAAGCGCATTGATTCGTTCCAGAACAACCACGTCCACTGTTTTCTAACAGGCGGCAACGTGAAGTTTATGCTTCTCATGAACCCGGACCCAACAGCCACGACATATTCAGCCTATCCGACCTCGCAACCCAGTAGACCCTCGACCGCACGACAGAGCACGACGCTACTAGCTGCGAGTCCGAATAGTCAGGCTACCGAGGAAGCCGTTCGTGCCTTCATGCTGGAGGTGGGTAATTATTATGAGCTATCAATTAAAATTGGGCTGACTGCAACAGGTGTATGAGAACTGGGTGAAGTGCATCATGAACCCTTTCTACCAAGTCAATCAGGTTGTCACGAGTCCTGTGTTCCGTAACAGGGTCGCGACTGCCGCGAAGAAGTATCTTTGAGATGCTACAGCTCACCTTCCTTCTGACTTATCACCTTAAAGGTAAGCACCATGCTGCAACGCAAATTCCTCGAGCGGGCTTTCCGCAGCCTTACCACCGCGCATGGACGGTCGTGCAGTGCAAGGAGACCATCAGCATGCCTGCGTGCCACCGTTTGTAAGCTCGCTGTATCGAACATCGCCACAAAGCTTCAACCAGCGTGCCCGCAAGAGATGTCGAAATCCTGCACGAACGCACTGTCTGGTCGTCGCTGGCATCTGACGTTCAAGGCAGTGGCGTTGGCAAAACGATGAGCAGCATGTCGAGGCAATGGCGTGGCCTCCCTGCGATCGCGTTCAGGGCAACCATGGCGGTGCGACCTCAAGCGAAAACCCCGCAGTCTTGTTCACGCCATCACCTACATTGACAAACACTGAAGTATCGACAAGCAGCATACCATATCCGTATCCACATTAGCCGACCATCCATCTCAGCTTAGCACAACGCACCAACCGGAAACCACGGTCCAGGTACGTCTGCGCGTCGTCTGCTCAGACATGGCACTTCTCCGATAGGGTGTTTGACCAGTGTCTAGCACTCTGAAGCCTCACGCTCATCTCGAGTGCGCGGACGCCGTGGCAAACGCCATGCCTTTACCCACGCCTCACACCAACTGGCTGACTCTGGTGTGGCTATGCATCCCACTCCTCGCTACAACTGAGCCGGGAGTCGTGAGGATGAACATGGCTCGAGCTCAGGACTCATTGGCTCTCCACGGAAGAAGCACCCCCTCCGTCCGTCTAATCAACGATTTGCCTCGCAAGCCGGCTTATCATGTCAATGCCTCAATCGGTATGCCAGGTCAAATGGTCAGCCTTATACTTGACACCGGAAGCAGCGACTTGTGGATGTTTGCTCCGATCATGCGCTCAGCTCTCCCAGATCGCGCGACAGGCATCTGTGAGTACTCTCCAACGGCATCTCTTGGCACAACGGCCTCACTCGAGTCGTCAATGCTGACTACAGCTCAGTCTATCGTCCTCGACGTACAGAGAAGTCTCCAAGGAACCATTCGATATCAGTTACGTTGATGGCACACACGTCACGGGAACCTACATGCAAGACACACTTGCTTTTGGCGACTCTATCATGCTTTCAAACCTGACCATGGCTATTGTGGACAAAATGGGCCAGGGCCATACTGGAGGGATGGGCATCATGGGTATCGCCTCAAACGCTGGCGAGGCCGCAGTGGAGGAAGGCGCCCGGGCATATCCAAACTTCATGGATTTAATGGTGGAACAAAAGCTCATTGCCTCGAAGACATACAGCCTCGATCTAGGGGGTAGGGGTGCCCAACCAGGATCCATCTTGTTTGGTGGTTACGATACCTCGAGAATGGAAGGGAACTTGTCGTTTCTGTCCCTTCAGCCACTGGCCGGAAGGACTGCTTACTTTGCCGTTCCATGGACGTCATTCACCTTGACAGACAACGATGGAACTAGAGCTGTCGGCGCTGGAAGCGAACTCAACCTTACGGCGGAATTTGATTCGGGCACAAGTATGACTTACGTCCCCGTGTCGCTCTTCGTCCAACTGATCACGTATTTCAATGCTCACAGCTGCCATGGTGCCACTTGCCTTGTCTCATGCGACGTTGCAAATTGAACGGCTCTCTGAACTACCAATTTGCTGGTGGTGTCGATCGCCCTTGGATCTCTGTTCCTTTCTCCGAGCTTGCCGTCCCGATGCCTCTACAGGATGGAGCAGATCCAGGTTTTGCAGACAGGAATGAGGTTTGTATGTTTGGTCTGTCCGCCTCGGGCAGTAACGACAGGTATCTATTCGGCGATACCTTCTTGCGGTCCGCTTACGTGTTTCATGACCTGGACAACAACCAAGTCGGCATTGCTCCGGTAGCTTCCGACTCCATCGCCAAGTCACCACACATCATCACAGTCACCCATGGTACCGGCGGCGATACGACCACTGCCACCTCCGCAACGTCTGCCACCGTCTCGACTGGCATAATACGTAGCGACGGATATGGCCATTCACCAACGACTACAGCCACTATCTGGGGCTAGTACTGTCACCACTGGGTCGAGGCTCGCGACCACGGGCACGCAGGCTTCTGTTTCATGAACCATTGCGAAGAACGCTACGAGAAATTGTTGGGAGCCATGGCGCGGATGTCCCCCTGAGACAGACCGTAGAGAGTGACGTCGGCGAGGCTGGCGTGGCCTTGGGTATTCCGCAGGTGGCAGCGACGACGGGCATCGGCCTGGTACCAGTCAGTCTGACCCGCAGCTGAATCGTTGATTGCGATGGAAGCACACCTAGGTATCCTTGAATCATCTTCCCTTTCTCTACTGAGTTCTGGCCACCTCCTGATGTATACCTAACGTAGCAGTGGATCCCGCCCATCGATGACGGGGTGATACTTGCAATGCTGACTTCTAAGCTCTGCTGGCTCGATGAGACTGTGTACACACGTGTGAATACTGGTATCTAGCATGTTTCACGATAATGGAGGCTGCCAGTCAATCATATATTTCAAGCTTGTTGTGGCTACTAATAGGCGCCTTTGAGCCAACAGCTTGCACGAAGTGAGAAAGAACGATCCCCATGCTTTTTGTATGGCACCGCTCGAGCAGGAACCCGTCTTCGGAAATGAACCAGGAAGGGCTACCACTCGGGCGCCTCTTCCTCGACCCAAGACCAGAGATTCAGCTCCAACAAGCTTGCAAGTTACCTTGCTATCAGCTTAGTAACAAGTATCATGGTAGTGGGCTTGCTGCTCTAGGAGTCAGCATAAAACACCATCGAGTTGACGTTCAGAGGCGGGGCAAAGCACGATCCAGTGTGCGGTGCGGTAAAGACAGTAATACAAGTTAGCTGCTGATTACACAAGTAGCAAGTAAAGACCTTCGTTATGCAGACAATCATTGATCAGAGACAATCTGATAGCTCAGTGCCCATTCTACCTGTCCACCATAGTTTGCGCCACCATCCTGTCGTGCTAAACAACGCTATTTTTGGCAACCACGATCCATCGTCTTGGCAACAGAAAGGAAACGCCATACGCTTATGCATGAAAACTGAACAGCACTTTAGTCTCGGGCATCACAGCCTCTCCGCCCTCGCACTGCCGACACATCATCTGGTCTGCTATCACTCCCTTGCTCAGCCTTCTTCTCTGCCTCGGGCTCCTCGCCAAGCGAGTACATGTTCCAGCCTGGCTTCCGCCACGAATGTAGCTTTCCTGACATCGTCCGCGCATGGCGAAGACCTGGACGCTCCAGTTTCCGTCGAGCAGGCCTACTAGGCTGTGAGTGATGCAGAGCAAAGGATAGCGGCAGGTCATCGTCGTCCTCGAAGAGTTGCTGTACTGGCGAAGGAGGCGTGACTGTCACCGTAAGATAATTTGGCACGCTTGGCCTGGCCTGGTCGTGGCCATGAAAGGACTCCACATCCAAATCGTCCCGCAAGTGAGGTGAGCTGTCCGGGGTGAGGCCAGGTACCTCATCGAATGGTAGAGGTGGTCGCGTAGTATCAACCTCGGCCTCGGAATGGCTTCGCTGGATAGATCGCCGCAGTGCATAATCTTGCCGCAGCATGAAGGCGTCCCATCTCTGATCAAGCTGCTCGTCGGTCTGCTGAGCACGTTGCCGATCATTGTTGAATAGTGCGAAGTCTGTGATGCCAGCGTCCCACTCTACCTCATCGTCGTCCTCGCCATCGGACGCCCAGTCCTCGTACTCGTACATGGGCGACAGGAAGTGGTCCTCGGGATGGTCCTCCAAGTCGTCGCCAAGGAATGAGTCGTGAGATGGCTTCGAGGATGTTTTAGGACCAGCAGACATGGATTGTGGTTCTGGGACGAAAGTCTTGCTGCCATGAGTGGCGAGATGAAGGGTGGTAGGCCGGGAAGGGCTGCGATGCAATGGGTGGGGAGGAGAAGGCATCCTGGTTATGTAGGGTGAGATGTTAGTAGGTGCGGTGACGGACACGCGACAGGCTGCCTCTTCTGAGGTAGCCCTATGGTCCGTGGGAGCGCAGTGGCGTTTGGTGGAGCGACGCAGATCGCCGGCTACTGTAGCGGAGGATGGACCAGATAGATGCGCTGGCGGGATGCGGTCGCGCGTCAATGTCTCTCGTTGGATGCCAGTGGGATGCAGTAATCTTTGGATTTCTACATGTGCCGGCCCGATGGCCGGTTATGCACATGTAAGGGCAATTGAATAGCCTAGTTTAATGTTCGAGTGTGGAAGGTTGCCTTTTGCAGGCGTGGGGGCCGGGTCAGCCTAGTACTCTGATCTTCGATTTGTGAAACGCAAGGAAAACGTGCAGAAAGAATGACTGGAGTAAATTAGTGAAGCGAGAGAAGGCAAGTTATGAAGGAAGAGAAGCTGGATCGCGCTTTCTATGACTCCGGGAGTCTGTGAGGCCGGGCATGCGTATGCAGCTATGGAGGCTTGCGCGTAAGTGGTCAGAAGGCGCAGCGGCTGGTGACTGATTGGTAGGAGTCAGCTGTGAGACACCGACGCTGAGGGCGAAGAGGTATGTGTGGAGGCAGCCAGGCAACCAAGGAGGAAACCGGCTGCCTCGATTCCTGTTCCTCTGACCACCAGAGATTACTGGACGACTTCTCCCACGTCAGCCCAGCTCTAATCCATGGCCTTGACTAAACGCGGCGTTCATGCAGCAGATCAAGAATACAAGATGTGGTGTAGCGTGGGTGTAGGCTGCACATATCATGCAGGAACGGGTCGGATGACGGCCACTGGCGAAAGATGCCGCCATCGTAAGGTCGTGCAACCGCGCCAGTCGCGCTATTAGAGTTCTAGCGTTCCACAAGCGTGGGATCACAGCATTGCTTGGAACAAATCTCGGCCTAGTCTGAGCCTTCAGTTGTCTTGTCCGGTATAGTCTTGACGAAGATAATGTGTGGTGATGTGATCAGATGACGACTAGTCCGAGGTAATAGAGTCTGAACGGGTCGATCGGCACAGACCCATGCTCAGGACAGACACATGTATGCGGATGTACTACTGTACAAGTAGCTCGACAGAGGAATGTCAGCAAGACGATCCTCTGTATGCAAACTTACGCCTCTGCCGCTGTCAAAGCAGAGTAATCAACATGCAGCTGTCAATGATCTGTCAGGGCAATCTTGCGAGCCACAGGCCTACAGCACGTAGCCATATATCCGGACTATTCGCGGGCTCTCACTTTAGCCACGAGACCGTTGAAAGATGATGAAGAGCGACGAGTAATCAACCTTACGACTGAAGGAGGAGGTGTTGCAATCGTTCAGAGATTGCATGCGCTAAGGGTCAGTATTGTGCAAGAGGGGAACTTCTGATTGGTTGTATATCTACATCGCAGTGGGTGTGCTCATATGGCCATAATATATACAGATCCTCTGATCCCGCCCTAGGAATGTTTGGTCCATCTTACTCCTATCGCCTCACTGCCGAACTGCTTACAACACGCCCGTCTACCTCGCTACCAAGGGCCGGTACGAGGTATCGTCCGGCTTCACCTCGTACGCAGGCTTTTCGTGCTCCTTGAGGTGATGCTCCAACACTGTGCGGCAGGTCAGCGCAAACCGGAGACAATTTGCTGGCACGACTTTATGCTCCAGGAAGTTCTGGATTTGATAGCCGTCCATCAGGATGATATCGCCGTGATTGAGCGTGACAGTCACGAGATCTGGTGCGGTCTTGTTGCGCTTTTCGTATAGGCCGAGCTCGCTGGGAACCTCCTTCAGACGGCGCTTGTAGGCTACCTTGTCTGTGTCGCTCAGCTTGTCCAGCTCTGCAAGCAACTCAATACGTCTCTTGTATTGTGTACTGCCTGGCAGCGGGCGATCAGTCATCAGCACTCCGGTCTTCGAGCAACCGTTGAAGTGCTTGGCTTTCATGCGTAGGTGCATCTGAGCCTTGCCGCCAAGAGACAAAGTCGCAATCCGTGGACCTAGGCCCTCTTCGCCATCATCATGGTAGTCGATCTTCTGTCCTTCCATGTAGGCGAAGATAAGCTCCTCGTTGAAGTCGGCATCGCTTGGGACGTCTAGCAGAAACTCCTTGGCCGCCCAGTTCAAGCGTGATCGGCAAGCACGAACGGGCCATGGCGCATTTTCGAAGGGCTGGCTGCCACCAGTTGCCACAAACTTGTACGGCATTCCGTAATTCATGGAGAAAGCCGTCATGAAATCACCGTCCAATATTGTACCTTTCTGGGTTGCCTGCTGTGACTCGTCTGATGTGGTTAACATGCCGGGCTCTAGGACTATAGGTGTCTCGGACACAGGAGTGAGGAGTTGGGTGTTGGCGGCAATACTACGCGGAGGAGTCTTTGGCGCCTCGAAATCGGGAGCGGTGCAGTCCTCTGGAATGGTAGACATCTTTCCTTCACCAAAGCGTCGGCGCTCAAGGCCCATATCCGCAATCTGCATCTCACGCAGCATGTCGTCTGGACCATGGAGCTCTGCAGTGATCCGCTTGTTGGCTACAGCATGCACGAATCGGCCGTCGATACCAGTGAAGGTGTAGGTATATATTTTGTAGCTGAAAGCATAGCTGATTTCGACATGGACACCAGGAAGATGCTTGTTGCGCGCGAGTGATGGTCCATCGCCCACGCTCTGCCAGGGAGAGTGCAAAGATGCTGGCATGATGGGATCATGCTTTGACAGTAGGCCTTGCCATAAACATGCTGGCTTGTCACAGCGCCAGCCCTTCCAAAGATATCGCTGATTACACCTTCCGCACTCGGGACAGACTACACCTCTGGTTGTTATATAAAGTCGATCGTCGCCCAATGCCTTTCCGAGATCAGGCAAAGGTGGGCGAATAGAATACGGTACCTCCTCACAAGGCCAGGATGTCCTCTCGTGCAAGAAAGCAGGATTATACTCCAATTTGCCGGCGGGTGCGTCCTCTCCATTTGGCAGTGTCCAGAACTTCTCACAAGCAGCGTTGAGACAAAGCCATCCTTCCAGATAAATCTGTGGGAACGTTTGCTGGCAGTGTTGACATACATTGCGCAAGGCTGGCGCTGTACTGCCGCGTTCCGGCAAATTGTTGTCTTTAGGAGCGTGCCAAGGCTGACCCTGACCTGTCATCCACTCCATACGGTACTTTATAGTGATCCACGCCTTGCTCCCTTTGCCAGTAGTCTTCTCAGGCCAGACCATAGTCGACTTAAACCATCCTAGAACGCAGTACTTGTGCGGCATCGCACATATAGAACCTGAGTTCTTGTTCCCGCAGATGACGATCAACGGGTTCTGTAGCTCTGTGTCGTTAAGCATCGCCACAACTTGTGCCTCTTTCATAGATTGGTTCTTCCCTTGAACCATACCTCCTGTACTATCCTGCTCCATACCACCTCCAGCGCGGGAGATGATGACTTCCGAGTCCATGTACTCACGGCAGTGACCTACGCCATCGAACAGGAACGCATACACGTGCCCGTCGTTTTGATGACAGCCGCCTTGTGGCTTCTTGAAGTATGGTACGGTTTCGCAGAGTGCTTGACGACTGTGCGCCCAGACTTCAGGCTGACCAGCTGGTTGTGGTTTACTCCCGATAGGCTCGCGGTGTGTCAAAGCTCGGGAATAGGCCAATTTTTCTGGATCCACAGACTCCAGCAAGGTCGCGTCGCCGAGCTGAGAGCTTGGAGGTGTCAGGAGGGCAGTGGTGATAGTCTGCTTCGACTTTACAGGTCTACGAGTCGTGCTCGACAGCGTCTGTGGTCTCGGGCGACGAGGTTTCGGCGCTGTAGAAGCCCTGCTTCTTACAGTCTTCTTTGGCGGTGTAAGGTCGGCGTTAGTGGCCTCAACATGATCCGAGCCTTCGCTCGCATCAAAGGACGAGCCATTATCTGCTTCAGAAGATACAGCGAAATCGACCTCCGCGGCGGTCGGCTTCGTCTTGCGGCGCTTTGAAGGCACGGTCGTGGTGCGTCCCGGCGTTTTGTCTGGTGGGTTGACTGTCTCAGACGTGTTCGCATTCGCAGCTACGACCGCGGTAGCCTTTGTACGTGTGGAGGGTTTGACAAGCCTTGCAGGCCTTGCAGGTGTTCCATTTGATGCTGATGCTCTCCTTGCACGTTTCAAAGGACGACCAGAGACCTCCGGGACTCCATCGCCGATCAAATCCGTGGTAGTCACAACTTTTTCAATGGAAGGAGACTCTAGCACTTCCGAGGTCTCGGCAGTGACGCCAAATCGAGATGGAGCTTGAGTCTTTTCTTTCGGTCGTCCAATCTCGGAGAGTTCGGTGGCGATATTTGCCTGCAATGTCGTAGAGTGTGGGATAGCATGATGGATGTTTTTCTGTAGCGTGGGAAGCGCATCCTCGCTCAGTTTCAGGACCACGATACTAGAGGGAGACTCTTGTGCCGTAGTGGTGGCGTGCTCGGTCAAAAGCTCCTCGTTGGCTTGCGGTGACGAAGAATATCGAGCTCCAGCATGTAAATTTCCTGACATAGTCGAGTGATCGTCGGAACTGGCGACCATTGCATGGGTGAGGTCAGCGGTTGTGTCGGGTCGTTGAACAGCCTGATCGCGGCCTTCAGCGATACCGGACTCTGCCTCTCCACTATCTGCCTCGTGTGTTGTCGTGACATGTGCTTGTAAATCCTGCGTCGTGTCATCATTCATTGCCATAGTCGAGCCTCGAGTAACTGGCGCATCAGTGACATTCACATCTCCATTCGCACCAAGGGCTGGCATAGCCTCATTAGTCTCTTCATGATTGCCATGAGATCCACTTTCCTGAACAGGCTCAGTCTCGTTGTCATCCACAACACTCGCGGCAACTTCTGCATTTCCCTCCTTATCAGGTGTAGGCCTCCGAGGCTCAGCTACCAATGTCGCACTGCTAGCTTCACTTGATACAGACGTACCTTCACCAGCGGCGAGATCGGGTGCAAAATCCTGCCGTCTTTCGGCTTTGGCTGTCTGCAGAATAGCTGATGCAGCATCTGCTGGTGAAGAAGCCTCAGGCAAGGGAGCTACTGCCTTCTTCACAGTATCCCGGCGTGACATCTTCGTGGTGACCGACTTGGCTGCTTCCGGAGCTTTCATTTTCGTAGTTTGTTTCGTAGTCGCACTCACTCTCGCCTTCACCTTCGTCTCACCGCTCGCATCAATGGCCGCCTTTCGCCCATCAGAGGCCGTGGTTTTCAACCGCTTTGCCACCGAATCTTCCTTCGCATTCCCGTTGACTTTCCGTTTTCGTTCAGACCCACTTCGCCTTAGAGCGGCTGTCATTGGCTCCTCAGGCGTGATCGTTGAATCCTCGGCTCCCATGGCGTAATAAGATGTCGTCTTCCTATTCGATCTTGAACTGAGCTCTCGCCCACGGAAAGCCGCGAACTCGTCAAAGGCAGCTTTGGGAGCCATGCTTGCGGGAGCCCTCCTCTCAGACAGGTCGAGTCTGCAGGGAGTCAAGTTTCATCCCGATCACCGCCGAAATGACTCTTGTAAATCTTCGTGAGTCACATACTCCATCCACGAGGCCAGGAATGGAAGGTGCAGTGACCAGAGGTAGATGGCGGGGAAGGGTCGAAGCTGTGTCGAGTGCAGGGTCGCTGAGGCTGCAGGAGTCGAAGTATCTGGAAAGTTGGTGTGGATGTAGGAGGGATTGTAGTGAAGAAGTTTCAAAGAAAGACGAGTGATGTCGAGGGCGAAGTCAATGCTCGAGGCTCGCACGGACGTGGTGTGGCAGTCTCATGTGATGCGGGGTCGATGGAAGGATAGCAAGTGTGAAGCGAAGAGGTTGAACGAATCTGGACGATGGGATAGTAAAGTGAACCGAAGTGTCAAAGAGCAAGTGTGTTGTCATGCGTTTGAGCGCGGAAGTGGGTTTCGAAAGAGAAAGAATGGAAATTTGAAGATGTCGGGAGCTCTCGTGACCATGGGACTGACGGCCTAACGGTCATCTGCCATGATCACTCTGAGCAAGGCAAAGAGCGGCTATGGATTGTGAGAATGAGCAAGGTAGCGGTCTTGATTGAAGATGATGTTCACGTAATCTTACATACTACATTTGTAGAGCCCAGGAGCAGCTGCTTCCTACTGTCTCCGCGGCAGGCCACGCTCCTTCCTCCGCCAGAGTACCATTGATAGTGAAACACCGCTGAAAGGACAGGATATGCCATGCCGATGTAGCATGCTGAAGGTGTCGTGATGCGCATGACAGCGCGTATCGTATGCTTCACGGCCTCCAAATATCATGACCAAAGTAGACCCGAGCTTGATATCCCAGCACGGTCTCCTGATCTGCTTACACCCAGCATCTCGTCGAGCCCAGAATGATGAGCGCATCGAGACGATGAGTGAAGCGGAAGGGTCTGCTCGGCTGCAAATGCACGCAAGATGCAGCGCGGAAGGTCAAGAAAATGATGTATGGAAGGAGGGATCAAGCATCGCGAATTCAGCCGAGGAAAAGGACGCGCGACTCATCGCCGACAAAATCACGTCTGTACTGGGCAATGTTGGTGGCTATGGCATTGGCGTCTTTGCTCGCTGGCGTGGTTCTGAGATATGCCACAAGGTCGCCAAGCCCTTTGTTCCACCGCTGTTTGTCTTCAATATTAGTAGTGGGGGTACGGTGGGTGCCGAGCAGCTTGAGAAGTTGATTGTCTGTGATGTTAGTGGCCTATGTCAGCTTCCTTCATTCTCCAATTTTCATACGGATCATTCTTTCGACGGGACAAGGAGCGAAGGAAAGATGGTATAGGGAATAGATAGTGGAGGACGCACCAGTGAGTCCCATAGACCTGAAGTGCTGATTAGGACACTTCAGATCTCTGCAGGCATTGCCTGCAGCTTTCGCCGGACACACAGGCTGTACAGGGTCGATGCGATGGCTGTACGTCAAAGACTTGTAGCCATCGGAGACTTGTTGCAAGAAGTCGGGATGATACCGATAGTCCTTAAAATGGGTCAAGGCGCTCTCGTATGGCCGATAGTAGGTCTTGGGCTCGCCGACATTGTCCTTCACGCCAATCAGTAGAAGTCCGACCAGTCAGAGTCGTCACGCACCTGGTCATCTACAGCCACTTGGTCTGCGATGGCTGGTTGGAGTTCAGGTGCCAAGTCGTCAGACAATGTTGGTGCTGTAGTGGATTGTGCAAAAGCCGATGATGGCTGCTCCACCGAGTGTACGTCCTCCGCGTGCCCTGCATGATGTTCCACCACGGTTGACTGCTCGTTTGCTAGCACATTAGGTTCGTCTGCATCAGCCACTACCTGGCTTTCTTCCACAGGCTTGGCGGCTGATACAATATCCAGATCTGGCGTCGGCTCATATTCCTCCTCATCCTCATCACCCTCGTCGGCCTCTCCTTCGTCAGGCTGGAACACCTGACTTTGCAAAGCGGGCTCGCTCTCATCTCCAGTGTCCATAATAGAGTCATCCAACGAGGATTCGTTTGCGGGATGCACCTGTGTACGACTCTCAAGGTCTGGGAGTACAGTTCCAGGTTCGAATACAGCCTCTGACTCCGAGACCGCAGTGTCGTCGACACTCTCATCCTCTTCATCATCACCGTCACTCTCGTCTTCGTCCGAACTGTCTTCCTCCATCTCGACATCTTCATCGAGGGACTCGGGAGCACTCATGACAGCCGATGCGGTTTGCGGAATCTCAACTTCTTTCGCTGGAAGATCTGCTACGGCGGTTTCGGTGGTCAAGTCAGACTGAGCCACATCGCTTATGGTCGTCGCTTGTGAGCCGATCTGGTTGCCACCATCACTTGCTTTCGTGTCAAGGTGAGCCCCATCGACTTGTACAGGTTGGGCAGGCTGAGCAACAGGTGGCACAGTATTGCCTGGTGCCGTATTGTCTGGGTTGCTAGATGACGCAGTGATCGGCGCAGCAGCTGCCACCGTGTGCTGTATTGAGGACTGTATAGACGTGGTCGGATGAGCAGACGGAGGCTGTGCTCTAGTTTGCACAGGTGAAGCACCGGCTGGGACTCCATCGTGGCGAGCAACTTGCTCCTGCAGCTCTTGCAATCGTTGGCTAAGCTGATACATTTCTTGCTTCCGAGCAGTGTGCGCCGCGACAGTAACATCAGCTGGTCGGCCTGCAGACGTCAAGATCTGCTGCGCGGCGACGATACGACTCTCCTGTAATTGATCACGAGTAGTGCCAATGTTGGCGGACGGTGTAGCTTGTCCAGGCGCTGACGTTGATGTAACCGATCGAGCGCCACTGGCTTTGGCTTGTGCCTTAGTCGCTTCTCTCTCAGCGATCTTACGCTTCAGGTCTGCAATCCTCAAGTCCATATCAGCAGCGACTTGTGGCGAGCTCGGCGCACTAAAGGCACTAAGTCTCTGCTGTAGACCTGGCAGAGATCTCGAGCCACGTGCAGTGCCTTGTATAGCTAGCTGCGCTGCTGTAATGTCGATTCCCATCCCGTCGTCGTCGTCCTCGTTATCGCTAACTTCGATGACGACACGTTCGCTGTCGCTGTTGCTTCGGCTTTGGCCAAATAAGTGGCGTTTGTTGCTGGCGTCTTGACCTCTCGTAGGGGTGTCCTCGTCAAAGTCTGTTGCAGCTGCGCGCTTCCCGGACTGGTTGAAAGTTGTTGCAGACGCAGCAGGTCTGCGAAGAGCAGCTTGAGTGCTGTCGGACATTGACTCGCTGGCGGCAGAGATAGACAGTGGTAATGCTGGTGGAGCTTGCGTCTTCGAAAGTTGGGCAGGGGTGCTCGCCATGAACAGCCCTGGTAAGGAGCCATACGAGCGGCTGGGTGTGGGTGGGAATGGCGAGTAGCTAGGCTGTACCGACGGTGAAAACGTTGTTGTCGACTGTATGGCAGTGGTTACGGGCACGACAGCCTGACGTGTTATATCTGCGAGACCAGCCCCAAGGCCAACGGAAGGTGATTGTGGAGCAGCTGAGGTCGCGTGCGTGGAAAGCGAGGACTGTATCACCGGAATTGAGATCGCGGCATCGCTACTAGCTTGCTGAGCTGCGAGTTTCTTCGCAGCCTGCTCTGCTTTGAGTGCCTCCAGTCGCTGCTTGATCAGTTCAGTCTGGATCACAGACCTCCCACTAGGTTGCGCATTCGGTCTGAGCGCAGTAGAAGGGGTTGCAGGAGCCGGAGCGATCTGGATGGGTAGAGCCGCTGGAGCAGCCAGACTTGGTGCAGGCCCTCTCGAAGTAGGCGCTTGCGTAGCGGTTTTCACTGTTTGCTGAGTAGGTGTCGGTGCAGGTTGACTCGTCGCTGGTATCCCAGGTGGCTTGTTCTTGGACGTTCGTGCTGCAGCGAGCTTCGCTAGGTACTCTGCACGATCAGCAGGGGCAGCAGGTCGTGGAGGTGGTGGTCGTTTTGTAGCTGACGGCCTGTGTTCTTCTGCGATCACCGCCGAGGAGACCTTCGCTGTGCCATCAAGCTGAGACACTGCAGGCGGAGGTGCAGTCACGCCATTGGCCCGACCTTCAGTAGATATTGGAAGACCCAGCGTCTTATACATGCGTACCAACGCTTTTCTGTTCCTGATATCACGCGCAAGATCGTCGAACGTGTAGCCAGCATTGTGCATCTGCAGCACGAAATTACGAGCCGAGGCTCCAGTGTTCCTACGTAAGGTCGCGGAGACGTTGTTTCCTGCTAGAGACGCGTCGCGTTGGCCTGGTGTCACCTCGAATGATGACCTACGAGATGTCGCCGGATCTGTCTTCTGGAGGCGACGATCGCGTCCATCGTTCTGCCCTCGCGAGTATGGATCGCCCGGGCTGGCACTCCACATGCTTGGTCCTGGTCCTGAATGGAGGGAGTCGCCCTGACGAGAGATGTCCGGCTCCAGGAGTCCTTCTTCAAGTTCGCCTTCTTCCTTGTCCATGTCTACATCTTGCTCCGCGAGTACGCTTGGCTGAGTCAACATAGGTGCTACAGGTGTCGCAGTTTGGTGTTGTACTTCGGGAGCTGGAGCAGTTGGCACTGCTGGAGGCAAACCAGTGAGTTGGCCGGACTGCAAAGCCTGTAGGATGCCCAGCAGTTGCTCTGGCGAGACGCCCTGAAGGAGAGACGCTAGATTGCCGGGTAGACCTGGTATGCTTGCGGGTTGTGGTGGATTGGGCTGCTGCTGTTGCTGCATAACAAGCGCGTTGTGACCGTTGGACGCCGAATGCGCTGTGTTCTGGCTGGTCTGTTGCTGTTGTGGCTGGGTACCGTTCACACCGAACTGGAAAGGCATGCTGTGCGCCATGATCGCAATACTAACGCTTTCACGAAAGGAAACACATGCGCATATGTCACCTCCTACCAACAAGGAGATTTGAGTGAGATTCCCAAGGCTTCACTGCACCTCGCTGTCGCCGGGATCTTGACAGGGGCCAACCGCGACTGAATCACAGACGGTCTCGTGACGCGTCCCTGAATCTTTTGCCGTACTGCAGCTTTTGTGTAGTGATGTCGACAAAGGAGGCTCCTGCAAGCCCCACGACAAATGATGGACGATTTGCGGCAGAAGCGGGAGTGTTTCTGAGCACGTGCCGACGTGGTACGGTGGCACCTCGCGAATGCCAAGACTCGTGGTTGCTCCCCGCCCGAGCTTTGTTTACGCGGTAGTGGAAAGTGCAGTCCCTCACTATCTAAGCAGGACCGGACGACTCGGCAACAACGACCGTCGCTCTCACTTCACTCACGGCGTTTGGGACTGTACATACACTCACTTGGAGCGATATCGAAGCCAAGACTCGACGGGGAATCGATGGCATTGTAAGGCACGATCCGACTGCGCGTCAACACATACGTGCTTCGACCCCATAGATGAACATGAGTACACAAGCACAGAATGGACCGCGATGGCGGAACAACCAGTTTGGAAGGGGCAAAGACGAGACGCCATCCCCTGGACCACCACCTGGACATGCGAGGTCAAAGTCGAGTATAATGCAATCGCCGCTTGCACCCCCTGCACAGCTGGGCCATGTGCGAAACCAGTCATTATCAGATGTGCGGCTGGGTGGGATGAAAAGGACGAACTCCGTAAGGACAAGCACACCAGTCGGTACCTTTGCGCCACAATTCATCACGCAGGAAGGGTTGGACGGCGCGGAGGATCGAGTACGCCACATCGAAGGCGAGAACGACTTCTCCGGCAAGAGATATGTCTGGGTGCGAGATCCGACAATCGCGTTCGTGCGCGGATGGGTGACCGAAGAGTTACCTGAGGATCTGCTGAGGGTACAATGCGATGACGGCTCGTTGCGGGATGTGCCTGCGGACAGCGTGGACAAGGTCAACCCAGCGAAATTCGACAAAGCAGACGACATGGCAGAGTTGACACATCTGAACGAGGCCAGCGTGGTGCATAATCTGTATCAGCGGTATCAGGCGGATCTGATCTACACATACTCTGGCCTGTTCTTGGTGACCATCAATCCATATGCGCCACTTCCGATCTATGGCCGCGATTACATCAACATGTACAAAGGACGAAACCGTGAAGATGTGAAGCCGCATGTTTTTGCGATGGCAGATGAGGCTTTCCGGAATCTTGTGGACGAAGGCACAAATCAGTCGATTCTGGTTACTGGTGAATCTGGAGCTGGCAAGACTGAGAACACGAAAAAGGTGATACAATATCTGGCTGCAGTTGCAACATCAGACACTCCTCGCGCCAAGTCTGGTGGTAGGCAACTCTCGAATCTGTCCGAACAGATCTTGCGAGCGAATCCCATCCTTGAAGCATTTGGTAACGCGCAGACTGTACGAAACCACAATTCCTCTAGATTTGGAAAGTTCATTAGAATTCAGTTCACTCGAGCTGGACAGATCGCTGGGGCTGTGATTGATTGGTACCTGCTTGAGAAGAGCAGGGTTGTGCATGTCAATTCTGGCGAACGGAATTACCATGTCTTCTATCAGCTGCTTCGCGGTGCGGACAAAGCTATGCGAAGTGACTTTTTACTGGAGGGCATGGATGTCAAGAGCTTCGAGTATACGCGACATGGCAATGAAACGATCAACGGCGTCTCTGATCTTGATGAGTGGAACTCTTTACTAGAGGCATTCTATATCATGAATTTCTCGGACAAGGGACAAAAGTCTGTTTTGCAAACCATGGCTGCTGTGCTGCATCTGGGCAATATTGGCGTGGTCAAGGAGAGTATGCGTGGAGATCAAGCAGCATTAGCGCCAGACGCGGGTGTTGCTATTCGAAGTGCCTGCCATCTTCTCGGCATTGATGCTGAAGCCTTCACCAGAGCATTATTGCATCCTCGAGTCAAAGCTGGACATGAATGGGTTGAGAAGGCACAGACGCCAGAACAGGCTCGATTGGCTGTAGATGCGCTTGCGAAGGGTATCTACGAGCGCGGCTTCGGAGACCTCGTCACTCGCATCAATCGACAGCTGGACCGTACTTCTTCTGGCTCGTACGCAGACGACACATCATTCATCGGCGTGCTTGATATCGCTGGATTCGAGATCTTCGACAACAATAGCTTTGAGCAGCTCTGCATCAATTTCACAAATGAGAAGCTCCAACAATTCTTCAACCACCACATGTTCGTTCTCGAGCAGGAAGAATATGCTCGGGAACAGATCGAATGGAAGTTCATCGATTTTGGTCGAGATCTGCAGCCAACGATTGATTTGATCGAGGTGGCCAACCCGATTGGTATCTTTTCGTGCTTAGACGAGGACTCAGTCATGCCGAAAGCGACCGACAAATCCTTCACCGAGAAATTGCATGGCTTGTGGGACCGTAAGACGCCCAAGTACAAGCGCAGTCTGCTCAAGCAGGGCTTCACGCTCACTCACTACGCTGCTGAAGTCGAGTACGATACTGAAGGATGGCTGGAGAAGAACAAGGACCCGCTCAATGACAACATTACCAAACTTCTGGCGGCATCGTCCAATAAACACATCGCTAATCTCTTCATCGATTGTGCTGACGTGGATGAAGCCTTTGGAGATGGCGCATTCAGGAGCAGAGTGAAGAGGGGCCTATTCCGGACCGTAGCCCAAAGGCACAAGGAACAGCTTTCGACTCTCATGAACCAGCTGCACAGTACGCATCCACACTTCGTCCGATGTATCTTACCCAATCACAAGAAGAAGCCAAAGCAGTTTTCTGCGCCACTTGTCCTGGATCAACTGCGCTGCAATGGTGTCCTGGAGGGTATCCGAATCGCTCGCACGGGCTTTCCCAACCGGCTTCCTTTTGCAGAGTTCCGCGCTCGTTACGAAGTCTTATGTCCTAGATTGCCGCGCGCTGGCATGATTGAGGGACAAGAGGCTTGTAAAATCATGCTTGAGAAGCTCAATCTGGATCGCAGCTGGTACCGAGTGGGCCTTACTAAGGTCTTCTTCCGTGCTGGTGTTCTGGCTGAGTTGGAGGAGGCACGCGACAAGCTCATTCGCGACATTGTCGAACGCTTCCAGTGCGTAGCCCGTGGTTTTGTGCAGCGACGTATCTTCAGGAAGCAGCAGCACAAGGCGGAGGCTACCAGGATCATCCAGCGGAACTTTGCTGTGTATCAGCAGATGCAGGCCAACCCGTGGTGGCGACTTTTCGTGCGAATGCGACCTTTGTTGGGTGCGACAAGGCAGAGCAACGAGGTCAAGAAGCGGGAGGAGGAGATCAAGGAGCTGCAGTTGAAGATGCAAGCAGAAGAACAACATCGTGCCAAGGTTGAAGACGATCGACGTAGAGCTGATCTTGAGCGAGAGCGTGTGCAGCAGACGCTCGAGAGTGAACGCGCTCTAGCTCTGGACAAGGAGGAGATCTTCCGTCGACTCCAAGAGAAGGAGGCGGCGCTCGAAGAGGAATTGCAGGCTGCTCGACAGGATCAGGAAGAACTTGAAGGCCAGCTTGATCAGCTCATAGCCGCCAAGAAGATCGCAGAGGAGGAGGTCCAGCAGCGGCGCACGCAACTGGAGCAGGCCGGCGTGATCATCGAGAAGCTGGAAGGGGAAAAGCAAGACCTTCTGGACCGCATCGCTGAGCTAGATACTCATTTGCAGGATGTGGAGCGTACGCGCACCCTCACCAGCGAGCAGGAAGAAGCATTGCAACAGGAGATGCGCATGCTCTCCAGCCAGCTCAGCCTAAAGGATCGCAAGCTGCAGGATCTCGAGGCAAAGTTGGTGCATAATGATCAAGAGCTTGATATCAAGCTTGCCACTGCGACCAAGGACTTGCACGGAGCCAAGAAGCAGATTCGAGATTTGCTTGATGAGAACCGATCCATCCGCCAGCAGATGACTGATCTGTCGACCACTTCGGCCAGCTTCGAGGATGTGATCCGTCGCAAGGACAGCGAGTTGGCCATCATGCGGACAGATTTGCGCAAGTTCCAGGACGATCGAAAGCGATTTGAGGATGAGAAGCATAGTCTTACTACGAAGCACGATGGCGTCCAGAACCGCTTGCGGCAGATTCAGGCCGAAATGGAGGCTATGCAAACACAAACTTCGCAGCTTGAGCGTGAAGCTGCAGATGCCAAGCGTGCGCTCGAGGAGCAGACTTCCGCCAATGCCCAAGTGGACATGCTGGAGGCACAATTGCACGATGTCAAAGGCGAGCTTTTCCAGACGCAGACGGATCTCAGCCGAGAGCGACAGTCTCGCGACGACGTCAAGAAGATTGCAGATGCTGAGTACCGGGATCTCAAACGAGAATTCGAGTCGCTAAACGACTCCAAGGTCACGGTCGAGAAGGAGATGTACGCTCAATCTGACCTCACTCGTCGAGCCACTGCTGCCAGAGAGGCCGCTGAGAAGGATCGTAAGGATTACCAAGCTGAGCTGCAAACGCTTCGCAAGAAGTTCATCGAGCTGCAGGAGGCCAAGCTGGAATGCGAGACGACTGCTGAGAGGAACGTCACTAAGCAGGCAAACGACCGACACGCTACTCTGCGACGGGAACTCGATTCGCATGCTCAGCGTGCCGACCAGCTGGACGGAGAGAAGACTGCTTTGGCAAGTGAAGTGCAGAAGCTCAAGCGATTGATTGGCGACTCAGAGAACTTCAAGCTCCATCATGATCAGGACAAGCAACGCCTCGAGCGCGAATTGGTGACCATCAAGGGGCGGCTCACTGCATCAGAAAACGACAACCGTGCTTTGATGAACAAGGTCCAGCAGAAGAACCTTGACATCGCTCGCTCGAACTCCAAGGCGAGCGACACGCAGCGTGGCCGCATCAGTCAGCTCACACAGGGCAAGACTCAAGCCGACGAAGAAGTCAAGAAACTCCAGCGACAAGTCAACGATGCGCAGCTGACCATCACTTCACTTGAGAAGCAGAAGGAGAAGCTGACGTTGAATCTGGAGGACCTCAATCATGAGATCGACAGAGAGCACAAGACGACTCGGAACGCTGAGCAGCAGTCTTCGAGCACCAATTTGCAGCTCGCAGAGGCAAATAGGAAACTTGAGACTGAACGCCAGCTCCGTACCCAAGCCCAGCAGAACACTCGCACTGTGCAGAGTGCGCTTGACAATGCCAATAGTGAGCTCAGTGAGGCACATGATCATCTGCGCCTGCTGCAGAAGGTCTTTGATCCCGAGCATGGCCGTCTGCCATCGAATATGGACGGCGCGAAGCCCGACCTCTCCAGAGTCATCAGCTTGGCACAAAAGCTGGAAGCCTCCGAGCAAGCACTCCGACTGGCCACAGACCGCTTCTCGCGCGCCGAAGCTCAAGTTGAAGACCTCCGGATCCAGCACCATGAGGATATGCAGGAAAACGACTACAAGCACCAGAACTCGAAACGCGCCTTGCTGGAGGAGATGAATTCTAGCCAGGTTAATGCCCGTTCGTCTCCTGGCCACATCCGTCGTGAGTGGAACGCTGAGCCTCGCAAGACGTTCTCGCCTACACCACTTGGTGGCACGCCGGCCAACCAGAGACATATCAGCAAGGCTAGCAATGACTCTGCGCGGAGCGACAGAACCGTCGATACTGCGACATACAATAATCGGATGGACCTTGCTGCTGAGCTAGAGCTCTTGCAGAATCAGCTGCAGATGTCTGAGATGCGGAATAGGCATTTGCAAGCTCAGGTTGACCGCAGTCCAAGTAAGGGTGGATGGGAAGAGGAGAGTCCATCTATTCGCCGAGTGCAAAAGCTGGAAAGGGAGAACTTCAGATTGCATGATATGCTTGACGACTCTGCCAAGAAGGTGACAACGCTCGAACAGAGTATCAGGACTGGGCAGCTTTCTCTCAAGGAGGTGCAGACCAAGAGCCACGAGGAGCTGTACGACTTGATAAATTCTCAAGAACAGTCTAGACGGTCGATCTTGACAAGCCACAATGCTGCGATGTCTGAGCTCGCAGATGCCAAGACACAGTTCGATGATGTGAAGCAAGTAAAGGCTTCGACTGAGGTGGAGCTACGGGATGCGAAGTCTGAGTTGGCCGATCTGCAATACGAGCGTGAGCAGGAAGCTGCCAACCACGCCCAGCTGTTGCAGGAGTTCGCTGACCTACAGATCCGACTCGATACTGAGGCCTCAAAAGCGATCGACGTCAGTGCCAGCATGAACCTGTACAAGGCCAGAGCAGATGAGTACTTCGAGCGGCTAGAGCAGGCCGAGATCGCCGTACTGAAGGCGTCCCGCGCCGAGCAATTCGCCAAGCAGCAAGGCAAAGAGGCGGAAGAGACGTGCGCGACCATCATGTCTGAGCGTAAGCAGATGGATCAGCTCGTCGAAGATTTGCAGCGCCAGACCCAGCAGTATGAGGAGAAGCTGGAAGATATCTCCACCGACCTGGACAGTGCTATGCAAGCCAAGAAGCGTTTGCAGAACGAGCTCGAGGACTACAGATCTCAGCGTGCCATGGACATTGAGGATAAAGAATCGTCTGTCGAGCAGACCAGGAAGAAGTATCAGACGGAACTGGCTTCGCTGACCAACGAGCTGGAGATTGAGAGGGATAATGTGATTCATGCTCGAGGCGAGAATGGTCGGCTTCGGGATGAGCTGGAGGAGCTGAGGAACAAGTGGGATGACGAGGTGCTCAACAGCTCGACTTGGGCGAAGGAGAAATCGAGACTGGAGGTCGTGCTTCAGGGTCTCAGTGACTCGAGAGATGATGCAGTGGGAGCGCATAATGAGGCTCAAGGCAAGATTATAGAGTTGCTTGGTCAAGTCAGGAGTCTGAGGACGAATGTTGATGATGTGGCTGCTGAACGGGACTTGCTGTTCCAGGAGAAGAAGGGCTTGGAAGCACGACTTCGTGAGGCTGCTGATCGCCTGGATGACCTGACGAGCAATGGATCCTCGCCTTCGAAGCGTGATGCCGCGAGCATGGACCGAGAATTTCTTGAGCTCAAGTCAAGACTTGCACATCAAGAGGACATTTCGACTGCTGCTGTGGGCAAGATGCGAAGAGCTGAAGGCTTGGTGCAGGAGATCCAGAGGGATATTGCGACTGCTCGCGAGACGAGTGTGAGCCTACACAAGGAGAAGGCTGGTCTGGAGAAGGCTTGCAAGGATCTGCAGCTCAAGTGTGTCGATTTGGAAACCAAGGGCTACTCGAGCGGCAGCCAAGATGTGCGCTTCTTGCACGGTCGTGTGCAGGAGGTGAGTGACTTTTACTTCAGCTTTTCTGTGTTCTGTCCGCTAACATTACTGTCACAGCTCGAGTCTCAACTCGAAACTCTCGAACACACCCGCTCATCTGAAGCGCGCAGCGTGCGCACCGTGGACCGTACCGTCAAGGACCTCCAGTCGCAGATCGAGCGTCGCGACAAGTCCCTTTCGCACCTCGATTCTGAACTTGGTCGCTCTCGTGACAAGATTGGCTCTCTCTTATCGAATATTGAGGAGCTCCAGCAATCAGACTCATCTTCTCAACTAGCGACAAAACGTGCCGAACGCGAACTGCGTGAAGAGCGAGAGAAGACTTTGCGCCTCGAGCGTGAAGTCGATAGCCTACGAGCCGTGAATCGCGAACGTGATGCGAGCGTGCGGCGTTCTGGCACTCTCGCAGCATTGAGCGATAACGGCGGTGGCAGTCGAAGAGGCAGTTCGATCGGACTGCCTAGCGTGCTGAATGGTGGAGACGTGAAGATAGAAGTCCCGGCCAGGAAGAGCAGTCTGAGCAAAGGTTTTTTGTAGATGGAGGGGCGCTGTATGGAGTACAACGGAACATACGGGTTCTTGAGCTTAAGAGTACGGCGTTTTTGTGATGGGATCTGCTGTTTAGGTTGAAGGTCATGCGAGGTCAAGTTGGGGAGGACGGCGAGATTTGAGAGGTTTGCATCGGGAGGTATATGGCGCAGGGATGTTTACATGATGCACAAGGGTTGAGGATTGCGACGAAGATCTTTCGGGCGTCGGATGGGAATATTATATTGTATAGTCTCGTAATCTCGAGTGTCCACGTGGAATAGCAGTGCTTATTCAGGGTGCGATCAACGCCCGTAACAAGATGTAGCCTCCAACTATGCCAACCACAGAACCCAATACGAGCGCCTCGCCCTCCCAAGTCAATGCGAGGTAGGCTGCAAGTCCTACAACAAGTTCGTACCGGCGGGCAGCTGCCCTACGTTCTCGCCAATCGTCTCGAATCGTGAGCGTAGACTCGACCGTAGCTGTCACAGGCTTGGCGGACACAGTACAAGATAATGCAACAGGTCTATGATCACTAGTCGGCTGGATTGGTAGTGCCGTGTATGCGTGTATCTTTGGCTGCGCGGTCTCGAGGAATAGGATCCGGTCACACCACGATGGTGTACGGTGTTGGGCCCAGAGCCAGGCATCCTGTGCCTCAGCCAAGGGTTGGAGAGATGTCCGCTCGACTGTTCGGCCGTCGGCGAGTTTATGCTGCTCTGTCGTTGTGGCTACGGCGTTCTTTTGTGCGCCGGAGCTGAGTTTGTAGGTTGGTGGGAAGTTGATGGGTGCTTCGGCCAGGTTGTGAAGAGTTTTGCCTTTCTTCAGTTCACGCGTTAATTGATCGTGTCCGAGCATGTGGCTGTAGTGGTGAGGATCGTCAGCACTTTCTACAGGCTGAGGCCATGTTTTGGTTTCTGAGGCATCCGGCCGTGTGTCCGACGTGCGGTAATTGAGGTCGCCTGCGAAGAAAAGATGGGATGGTGGAGAGAACAAAGTGCCAGCTTTCTTGCCATGCTCGGTCGTGCCATCTGATGATCCTGCTAACAATGGCTCATTCTCGCCGGAGCCAAGACTCCTCTTCTGCTCTGCGTGTTCGGGAGATGCATGTGGCGCTTCGAATGACAGACCCTCACATATAGACTTCCAATCCTCGTTCCGTCTCTGCCAGGCCTCTTCCATAGGAGCCAAATGTGCCGCAACAAAAGTCATGATAATGTCCTCATGCTCTCCATCAATCCCCAGTCCCAGTCTCACACCCACAGCACCCTTGTTCCCCATCTCGCCATATACGCCCACGCCCACACCTGCCGTTTGAGACCACCTCACTCGATGAGCCACATGATGCAGTCCGAAAGCCATGATTGCAGTCATACCCACGTTTCTCGTGAGTAGAGGCACATATTCCGTCTCGGTATTCTCGTTGCCGAACTTGCGAGACGAAGCCAAAGATACTGCTTCAGCGAAACGATCAAAGTAGGGTGTCAATAACGAGCCACCAAGGAAGCTGTGCGATATGGGAGCAACCTCTTGCAGGCATAACACTATCAGATCCGGTGGAAGATTAGTTTTCAAGGCATTGAAGAGGGTCGTGGCGAAGAAGTCGGTGTTGATCAGAGTACGGCCACAGTTGAAGGTGGTGATATAGCACGATATTTCTGCCATGGTTGGTGTTTGTGTTGTGAATGTACTGATGCTCGTCTGGCTGTGATACTAGAGTCTAGTTCTAGACCTTCGACCTACGTCAGTCTGCCAAGCCAGGCACGAGACCATGGGGCTTACGGAGCAGAGGATGCAACGCACATTCACTTCTCTCCGACACCTCGATTTCTGTTTCCTGCATGGGTAGGCACGAGAACCCATCAAGATTGGCATTGCCACCGAGATAGACTCAAGATACGATCTGCCAAAGACCTGGTATCCATCCGGTCGTGCAGAGCGTTTCATCGACGTCACGGTCCGGCTTAAGAAATCGCCACGTTTGAGGTTAACAGGATCTACACAACCATGAACTGTCAAAATGCAGCGTGTTCCCCCTTTCACGGTCTACCGTCGACACAGGTAATGTCCAAGATGGTTTAGGCAGCATCTGCGGCTCGAGCCTACCCGGAAGACGAAATACAAGACGGCTATGCATAATGCAGCAGACACGAATATGTTGCATAGCCTAGACGTGCAATTAATCTGCGGTAAAGCGAGCCTGCCTTGTGACCATCTCAAACACGCTATTGCTACATTGCCGGCTAATACAGCAGTGTCAATTCTATATGGCAGACGACCACATCCTTCACTCCTGCCTTTTTCCCTTGTCCAGACCATATCACAACATAACGTCCACCAGCCATGCCTTCGCTTCTCTCATCTACCGTCGCGCTCTCGCTGGCCGGAGCTGCGTCGTGCGAATATCTTTTTGCCTCTCACTACAGCGGCCAAGTCTACACCTTGAACCTCACGAATTCGAGCTCCCACTACTCGCTGGCTGTGTCCTCGGTCATTACAGCATGCGGTGGTCTGCCTAGCTGGCTCACTTATGATGCTACGGCCAAGAATGTCTACTGCAGTGATGAGACTATGAGTGGAACCGGGTCGATATCCTCCTTCTCGGCCAACGGCAACGATGCTCTTACCGTGACTGGCAAGACTAATGCACCTATCGGTGGTGTGGCCAACGTGCTGTACGGTGGTGCGACTGGTGATGGCTATGTGGCTATTGCTCACTAGTATGTTGCTTCGATCAGACCTCGACCTGCCGAATGCTGACTGCATCCACAGCCAATCCTCTAAAGTCTCCACCTTCAGGCTCCCAATCACGTCTTCTTCTCAACCACAACAAGTCTTCACCTTCACCATGAATGGCCACGGACCCAATTATGGTCGCCAGGATGCACCACACCCTCACCACGTCGTTGTAAGCCCAAACGGCCAGTTCCTCATGTCACCAGATCTCGGCGCCGACCAGATCCGCGTTTGGAGCATCAACCAGTCCAATGGCAATCTGACTGCCTGCCCAAGCTACATGGTCCCAGGCGGCACTGGACCCCGCCACGCAACCTTCGATACCGTTTCCAATGGGTCAAGGGTGGTGATGTATGTGGCCAACGAGCTCGCAAACTCTATCAGTGTCACGCGTGTCACGTTCCCAGGCTCAGGATGTCCCATCTTCCAGCCACTGGAGTATATCAACCCCTTCCCAAACAACAAGACCGCACCTTCTGGAAGCAAAGTAGCCGAAGTTCACGTATCCGGCACACATCTCTACAGCACGACTCGTGTTGACAAAACATTCTCAGGTAATGATTCCGTGGCTACTTGGACTATTGATCAGACTTCTGGTATGCTGAACTTCGTCGACTTGCACGACTCGTGGGGTACCTACCCGAGGACTTTCTCTATCAACAAGGCAGGTACTCTGCTCGCGGTTGGTGATCAGACGACGGCAAATGTGGCTATTCTGGCAATCAACGCAACTGGTGGGCTTAGCAGTAACCCTGTGGCATACCTGCGTCTTGGCAGTGCTGGTTACCCGGAGAACGAGGATGGGTTGAGCAGTGTGGTGTGGGCGGAGTAGGATTGGATCCTGCAGAGTGGAATGTGTAATGTAAACAGACATGGTACTATACACTGCAAGTGGTGCAGATCCGCACCGGGTGTTCATCTATCTCAATGGCTATGGCTCATGCTGAAACCATCAGCTCCTCCCCACACGCCCATTCCGCTGTCGACTCCCTGACATGACTGACTCGACAGCTGCCCAATACTTGTCCCTATCCTCATTAACGTGCGCCACATGTGCTGACTTCTCGAACAAAACGGTTTTTACGCCATATCCCGCCCGCCTAGCAAGCGCCACATGCTCCTCAACGCTTGCATGCGGGACCATCTCGTCCACCTTGGAATACAAGTACACCCTTGGCGCGTCGACCGAAAACAGGTCCGGATCAACGAGTTCCTTGCGAAGCTTGTGCACGACATTGTCACTTCCTAGTAAGGCTGGGAAGCTTATGATGGGAACGACGATGGTCCAGACAATGACAGTGACCCACCATCTTGCACTCTTTGGGAAGGAAAAGATGATGGCTGCTGCTGCTAGTGTAAGTGACGGCGACCCAGGTGAACTATCCAATGCCATCGCTAAGATTGGAAGTGGAGATGCTTTCTTTTGTTTCCAAGCTGCCGCGAGTTGGACGGCTGTATGACTTCCACCATTCGAAAAGCTGTGGAGAAATATGGCATGGCCAGCTCTCTGCGCAGCTTGCAGAATCTCAATAGCAGGTTGCAATCGTGATTGTTGTGTGGCGTAAGGCGTGGTCAGCATATCCTGGTATACGCATTCGAGAAGGAGTATCTGCGCGTCTGGGTACCTTTGGCAGTAGTGGGTTGTGTACTTGGCGATGTGTTTTGACTGAGCGCGGAACCAGGCGCAGATGATGATCGTTCGACATGCATGTTCTGTTATTGATTTCGTGTCTTTGCTGTTCGGTTGTGGTCGAGATATTGATGTTGTGTCGGTAAGGTGGACGAAGCCGTCCAGTGGTTGGAACTTGGTTGTCATCCTAGGGCGCACGGTGTAATCCCTCGTAGTTTTGACGATTGAGTCGTCCCATGGGAGAACATTGTGATATATATGAGACTTTCTGCCTTGTTACTCTCATGCATCGACACTTGGCCATTCTACGCCCGTAGATCGCACATCTGAGTCCTGTGATTGGTCAGTCGGTCACTACACCAGTATTCAGCCCTAGTGTCCTTCCTTGATCGTTCGCAGGGCTGCCATCCCATCAGTAATCGTGCCTCGGTGCTTGTATGAGTAAGTATGAAGGATGTTGGCAGTGGCGTTGCTTGGCATTTGCAAGTGATGGCGTCTACGATCATCAACAGAAGAGCATGAGTTTGAGACTTGTACGCTTAAAACATGTATCACTGCCAAAATCTCTTCAAACATCATCGCGCTTGAGCTTACAGCCCTGCCGCTCTTGGTATGAGTTAACGTACACTCGCCGCCAGCTCCTTAACGCCATATAGATGATGAAATTCGTTACAGTTCAGAGACGAATCGCCCTTCTGAGCTCACAGTCTAGGAGTCTGGTGACGATCTAGCAACTCTGACTCGTCTGGCACGAACATTTCTTGTGCTGGTATGGCTGGTACTGCGTGTTGCTGCGACAGCGCTGGGGATCGAGGTGCTGTGAACGGCTCGGACGCCCGCGAGTACCTGCATCATATTAGTTGAGAGACATACCCCAAAGTTGATGTTGACATACCTGTCCCGATCTGTCGCCACGGAGCTGAGTCGTGGATCCTGCTGCCATTGTTCCTGCATACCCAAGCTACCTGCAGGCTTGTGCTCATGCCAAGGCGTGTATTGATACGGCGGAAGTTGGTTGCCGTACTGGCCTTGTGCAGGATCGGTCATGTAAGGAACACCATGACCGTTGGATGCTTCGGTCATATATGACTGGTGTCGGTTAGTCCCAGGAGGTGCCTCCGTACCATCCCGGCGTAGACGGCCAAGCTCCTCCTTCATGCTCTTATTGCGCCCCAGCATGAAGAAGAGACCACCGGCGATGAGCGCCACAGCTGCAGCGCCGATTACTATGCCTGCAATAGCACCGGGAGATAGTGCGCTGGATGATTTCGCGGCTGCAGGACTCGTTGTGGCAGCAGCTGCCGGTGAGGTGGTCGCCGAGGTTGCGGATGCCGTCGGCTCCCAAGAATTGGTGGCTGTCACCGTCAATGTGACTTGAGTGGCAGTCGCCGCAAGAGATGACAAAGACTGGAAAGCGCTAGTGGGCAACGCCTCACCAGGTTCTATCATGAAGTTTGCCTCCTTGGCCAATTCGATCTGATTATTGAGGAGTTGGGAGGTGCCAGGGTTGATGACGCCGAGCATGCCCCATCCTGGCCAATGTTAGCAATATAATCATGCCGACCATGTTACCAGAGCCTAAGCTCACCTATACAAGAGCCTGGAGCGCCACAGTAGTACTGTCAAAGATCAGAAAGTTGTCGTATCAACAAAAAGCGTTGCCACCTACCCAAACCGGTGCCGTGTCGTTGATAGTGAGATTGAATATTATATTCTGAAGTATGGTCAGTCATGCAGACCTCCGAGGATATGACGACATGACATACGGATGAGAAGCTGGCATTGACGGGCTCGAAACCAGAGTGGCTAGTCTTGATATCAGCGACCAGTCCGGCTTTCCTTCGTGACAACCAGCGCTTACAAGCCAGACTTTCCAGTGATGTCTTCGTATGGTACGCATGGGAAGCCTGCTGAGGGTCAGTATCGCTGGGTGAATGTCGATAGCTGAGGTATGATCATACCATACTCAGCCCGCGCAACAGAATGGTTGCCTGGGAAGAATTCGAAGGACACGATATCGCCTGGTACCGCGTTGATGGATGGTGGATCGAACTCATTCTCGATCTTCCCGACCGTGACCGTGTGTATCGTAATTTCTCCAGAAGTCACAGCCGTAGCTGTCGATGAGCTAGTGGATGTCGAAGACTGTGCAGTAGCATGACCCAACAGCGCTGCCGCAGAGGCAAGCACATATGAAGTGTACATATTAAGCGCTGGTGGCAATATAGATGTGACAAAAGAGATGAAACTGCTTCCAGATCGCGAAGGCACGATACACAAGGTCGGTTGCAGCAGGAAGAGGCTGTCAAGATCGAGGAGTAGGTCGAGGTGGGAAGTGAGCACTGCCAATGAATCGGCACCTCCTCAAGATCCTACGGCACTAGCGGAGCCATTGTTGGTGTGAGACGTGGAACGTGGCGCCGTTGGGTGGACTGCGGAGAGTTGACACTTGCAGATCTCCGCCGTTGTGCTTTCCTTGGATGTCAGACCGGTCTGGCTTGTTGTTTATAAAAAGCCTCTGGTTGTGGGCTTTCAAGCTCGTGGTTTGGTCTTGTCTGTACATCTTGTCTATCGCGGACTTGCTTGTTTCTCGCCGATTTGCTTATACACTTGCTCTGGTAGACATGTGGACTATCTTCCCAGCGAGCGTGCATGTCGCTTGGCTGGTTGCATGCACCGCCCATGTAGCTAGCCGTGATGTGTAAGAAGTCAAAGACGTGCAGCTGACTCGGGCTGACATTCAAGCTTCCGACGGTGCAAATTACGGCCGTGCCTATGAGATATGGCCAATGAAGGAGCTTCGGAGTGCTCAGCCCGCCCATGGACATGGCTTTCCCTAAAATTACATTCTGAACCATGCGGAATTGCATTGAGACTTTACTCCCGAAAGGAGCACTGCTCGGGTATGTTCTTGGATGCTCAGACACGCATTCCCTTTGCCGTCATCGAGCTTCTCAGTTATCGACATCATGTGCTTAGACACTGCTACTACGGAACAGCTCTTTGCGATGAACCACACAACCTCATAGAACACGAAGTCATTGTCGCTACAGGGACAAGCAGCACCAACTCGGAGAGAAGCATCGGCCCAGGGAGAGATGACTTGAAGAACTAGGATGAATGTTACTACGGCTGCCTAACAGCCGTGACTATACGGACTGATGTCAAGGGTAGAGTATGGCATTTGATCCTTTTGCAGACCGGGAGCTTATGTCTTTTCTAAGCTCTGTTCCAACTACTGTGTTTCCAGCAAGACCATTGAGTGACTGCTTTAAGTCTGGGAGTCATGCCTCAGACTTCGTGCTCACGCATTCCTCCTCGACAGCTAGACTGAAAACGGATTGCTTCCAGCAAGACCATTGAGTGACTGCTTTAAGTCTGGGAGTCATGCCTCAGACTTCGTGCTCACGCATTCCTCCCCGACAGCCAGACTGAACACGGATTGCTTCCTCGAGATCCGCTGGCAAATTCAGACCCGCGTCTTCGCCATACGCCAGGATGTTGAGTGCGGCGTCACAGTTGCTGATCGTGTGGTCTGCCAACCTTGTGATCAGGGTGCGGATGTCGTATGTCATCTTGTACTGCAATTGCTCCATGTCGATGTTGTACCTACTCGAGCTTAGCATCTCGAGCCTGGACTTGTCGTGGATCGTCTCCCACAGTCTCTTCAGATCTTGAGCACGATCTGTGTCGGAAAGCGTGGTGAAGCCAGGGACGTTGGCACCTGCGATGTTGATTTTGCTGAGCTGCTCCAGCTTCTGCTTTGCCATCTCAAGTCCCAGGGTGCGGAGGTTTGCGATGATTTGGTTGAGAGTAACCTCAAGCTTCCCCACCTTGGTCTTGTGGTCCTCACACGTGCTCTGGCATACAGCAGGGCGTTGTGTGCGGAACAGTTGCTGGACAGCTTCGTCGCCCAAAATGGGTATCTCCACGAGCTCCGCGTGAGCCAGACGCGCGGTGCGGAGTGTGCTCACCAGTTTGAGGCGAGGGGCTACCACAGGCTTGGCGGTGTCGATGAGGGCACGGACGACCATCTGCTTGATGTTGTGCTTGATGCGTGCCTTCGAAAGCCCTGGCACAAGCTCGTGGATGACGGGTCTCCACTGTCCCACGATGATGTCCGCTTCCTCCATGGACAGAATATGATGGCCGGGCTCCAGTATATGTTGCACGTAGCTGCATACCGCAGTCAGAAACTCATCGTACTCCCTGCAAGAATCCTGCACAAGTGGGATGACTTCGGGGAACGTCGTTGCTACGGCGTTAATGCAGCCTAGTGCCTCGCTCGTCTCCTTTGCGAGCTTGTCGCTGCTGTCCTGGCGTTAGCTGTGGGTCGACGCCTGTTGCAAACAGTGGATGATGCACTTACACTCTCTGGTCCACGGGCTCATCGTCCTCGTCCATCTCATCACCGCCCATCTCATCATCGCCCATCTCATCATCGCCCATCTCATCACCGCCCATCTCATCATCGCCCATCTCATCATCGCCCATCTCATCACCGCCCATCTCATCATCGACCGCATCGTCGCCATACATGCTAGCAATGCCTCCGTAATCCGTCTGAGCTGTCTCGTCATCTTGAGCTTCGGCCGGGTAAGGCGCACCTTCGAGCGAATTACCCTCACCCGGATCGCCGGCCTCTACCTCCATGCCGCGAACATCCAACTCGCCGTTGTAGCTGAAGTCGCCATACTGCTCAGTTCCCAAGTCCTGGTCTTCGACTCTGCCGGTCTCTTCGTACCGGTGATGTTCATAAGCTTGGGCACCGTGGCGATGGCTCTCATCACCGTGATCTCCATCACCTTGGCCGACGGCGACTTGATCTTCATTTTCCTCCCCTCCATAGCCCTCAACTCCATGACCTTCACCTCCATAATTCCCACCCTCGTATTCCGCTCCTCCGGACCCTTCACCTCCATGACCCTCAGCTCCATATCCCTGACCTTGCTGACTATCGCCTCCATAGCCTTGGCCTCCATCTGCGTCACCTTCGGGGTCGGCACCTCCCGAGTGACCGTACGCGCCAGTCTGGTGCGCTGAGTACAGACCCTGCTGATGGTAAGCAGCATCATCGTATTGCTCATCCGCATTGTCCTCGCGAGCATTGCCGTGCTCATCGAAGCCATTGTGGCTGGTCTCATGATGGTAGCTGTTGGATGCGGGCATGTGGTAGCCGACTGTGCCGGTATTGTAATTGACCTCGTCCTCATTGTCTCCCTCAGTCTTGATCGGCGCGGATTGCGACATCTTTGCCTGGTTGCTAATTGTCTCGTCAGTGCTGTCCTCACTGGACTAGTCTGTGGCCAGGCTTACCCGGAGTGGAGGAACGTCTTGTTGATGATGCAATACTAGGGGAGGTCAGAAAGGAGCGTTGTGTGGATCTTGGTCAAGATGTTGGTGACTGAAAGAAGATGAAGGCGAACCACAAAAGAAGAAGTCTTTATTCAGGGGTCAATATGCAGGATCTGATCACAAGCTGGTATACCTACGTGATGCATGTGATCGGACTCGGTCAACAGGCAGAACCGTGCGTGAACGTAGAGCCATGAATTGTGACGCAAGACTACCGCCTGCAGATGCATGACCATGAGTTCAGGCCCCAGGTCCTGTGTCCAGCTCACCTCATCCCAGCCATCTACATCGGGTCCCCAATAGCCTTGCGAAGGAGCCTGATGTGCTCCAGCATGGTAGGACTGAAGTTCTGCTCCAAGACAGCGCGTGCAGTGAGCAAATGCTCTGGGACTTGCTCGCCGTGGACATTCTTGGTAGCGACGGCGGGCGGAAGCTGCTTACCAGCCTGGCCTTCTTCGTCGGCTAAATCTGGAGCTGTAATGGGCGTCTTGCGCCTCGGCGGCTTAATGGTGTTGGCTTCACAAAGTCAGCCCCCTAGATTGGTCTCATTCAAGATGCCCATAACTTACGTGACTTGGTAGTCTTTGCGTTCGCCATGTTCTGCGTGTCTGGCGCAGGAGTCGGTGGAGTCGGAGTGGCTTGAGGTCGCTGCGTGGATGAAGCTGGAGATGAACGTCAGACAATAGCTTGATTGGATTGCGGGCTGAGCTTCACTGACCTTGCTTGGGTTGAGCTGACTTTGGGATGTTGGTATTGGGCTCATTGCCAAATATGGAAGTGCAGAGCTGCGAGCCGAGTCAGCGCTCTGGCTCTGCTTTCTAGGATAAACCATCTGCTTTCGGGGCCACCGAGCCTCGACAAGAGCGTGCGGTGCCCCTTGGCATTCGTATGGCATCAATCGAACAGTACCTGCTTGACGATCGTACAAATGGCGTGCATTTCGCGCACAGAGATGCCGGTAGCCGCCACAAACTTCTCCTCCTCAGCCTTCTCCGCAGCAAGCCGTTCGGCCTTCCATGCCTCAGCTACCGTGATGGCGCGCTGGACCATCTCCAACTTCTTGCGCTCCTCGTCCAGGTCGGCCATGACTTTTTGGTACTCACGGAGCTGTGGACCCCTGAGTGTCTGTAAAATATTAGCCTCAAGCTTGTGGTGACGAACGTAATGTTTCATACCACGCCCTGGACGACCAACACATCTTCGTTGGTAGAAGCCACCGCCGGGGTTCCGTCAGGCCTGAGCCTCTTGGTGGGATTGTCGTCCTTATCGACGGCAGTAGTGACGGAGAAGTTGTTGGGGTTGGCCTGCAGCGAAGGATCAGCTACTGGCTTCAGAAGAGCTCGACGTTGAGCGTCGCTTACCATGGGGTTGTCCACCACAGCCGGGGTGGGTGGGGCGGGAAATTTGAAGGCTTCGTGTTCGGACGTGGACCCTAAGTTGGTGTTGGCTGGCCCAGGATTGTAGGCGTCGGCTTGGTCACTGTCGACCATCCCTGAGCTTGCGAGTCCGCTGAAGGCGTTGTTGTTGAAGCCGTTGTTGTTGGAGTCGTTGTTGTTGTAGTCGTTGTTGTTGAAGCCGTTGTTGTTGGCGTCGTTGTTGTTGTAGTCGTTGTTGTTGAAGGCGTAGTTGTTGAAGGCGTAGTTGTTGGAGTCGTTGTTGTTGTAGTCGTTGTTGTTGAAGGCGTTGTTGTTGAAGCCGTTGTTGTTGAAGGCGTTGTTGTTGAAGGCGTTTTGCTCCGAGCTTTGGTCACCATAACCGTACTGCTGCGAGTCCTCGGCAGCATCGTAGGCGCCATTGTTGCCCTGATCTTCTTGATTCTGGAGGATGCCAGGCTGATCGTAAGACCACTCGCCGTACGCCGGAGGCTCAGGATACTCGGGATCGTTGGAACCGCCATCATTGCCCACTGCTCCATCAGTCTCGCCAGCAGCGTTCGCGCCGAACACTCCTATCAAGTTAGCAAGATCCAGAGCACGGAGTGTGAAGCCCTTACTGTCCCAGTCATACCCATCCTGGTTGTTGTCATACCGCATCGGGTAGTCCTCATTGCCGCCGTGATAGCCGTCAGGAGGGCCGCCTTCATCAGCCATGATGCTTCTTGAACGGAGTGTTTGTTGGTGTGGAAGAAGGTTGAACGAAAAGTCGAGCAGGGGAATGTTTGTGTTGCTTCGAAGCTTGCAGATCAAAAGGAGAAAATACTTATACTACCTTCAAACGATCAATAGGCGCTAGCGCGAACCTTATTGTGGGAAGGTCACATGCGTGTGACCTGGAGTGGGTGCTCTCATGTCGACACCATGAGCTTGGGGAGTGGAAGACCAAGTGAAGAACACCACGGCAGTGTCTTAGCTGGCGGTATGTTGGTTATATCGGAAGATGCGCCCTTACGAGTTGACAAGTAGGAAGTAGAGGCTGTACGGATATGGCGAAAGGGTCGACATGTGAAGGCCACGGAATAGGCAGGCACGCGCTGGCCGGTCCAGGGGCTGAATTTCCATCAAATTCCCTATCAAACTCATTGAAATCCTGTGCAGGGTCCCCGAGGCTGATCAGCGCGCGGATCTCGTTCATCACGGCCCATCTGTTTCCGCGCGGCGAAGCAGCATCACCTCGTGATTCCTCCTGTGATGCAGCCCATTGTGTTTGATGAAGTTCAGCATCTGCGAATTTATGCCAAGACCCGGGCATGGGTCGAAGCGCCTGCACCGACCCCCGCTCGCGTGGGAGTCGCAAAGTTCGGCCGAGCAACTGGGAGAGTTGAGGAATGCGGACGGGCAAACGCACTTTACAACCGCCCGAGCCACACACCCGTGATCAAGCAGTGATGGAGGTACATAAGATGCGGCGCCGCAATCGAATCGATGCCTGGCCAGCCCAGTCATCAACACAACCACAACATGAGTTCTACAAGAACGAAAGCAATGGACGACGAGCCACAACATGTCGTTGCGCCGCCTATGGACAGCACGACAACGCCAGCACTACCACCAGTCGAAAAGCCACAGACTGCGAATCATGCAGGCAGCATATCATCCTCGGACAGCATAGTCGAGAAGCCGGCACCAACACAAGATGAACCAAGGCCATCACAGACTGAAAGCGAATTCGTCTACCCACCTTTCAAGCAACAATGCCTCGTCATGATCGCTCTCCTCTCTGCAATCTTCCTCGTGGCCCTGGACCGTACTATCATTGCCACAGCTATACCCGCAATGACTGATGAATTCCATTCGCTCAACGATATAGGCTGGTACGGAAGTGCCTTCATGTTGACAAGCTCTTGCTTCCAACTTCTACTCGGAAGAGTCTACACTTTCCACTCCCCCAAATGGGTTTTCATACTCATGATCTTGCTTTTTGAGATCGGATCAGCGATCTGTGGAGCGGCGCCAACATCGGTTGCATTCGTAAGTACTGTATACCGAACACATTCATAGACTCACGCTAATGTCTTCACAAGATCTTCGGACGAGCAGTTGCTGGTGTTGGCTCCGCTGGAATCATGTCCGGTGCTATCATTCTCATGGTTTCCACTCTGCCGTTGGCAAAGAGACCTCTTTGGATGGGATTATTCGGGGCCATCTTTGGGGTGGCTTCGGTCGTTGGTCCGCTAGTTGGTGGAGCTTTCACAACAGACGTGTCATGGCGTTGGTGCTTCTACAGTACTGACATCGACTGCTGGGGCGAAAAAATGGGCTAACGTCAACATAGTCAACCTACCTATCGGCGCCGTCGCGATTACGGTCATTATTTTCATCTTGAAGCCTCCACAACCACAATTCAAGGGCTTGACACTGCGACAACGACTGGCAAAGCTCGATTTGCTCGGCGAGCTCTTCTTGTTCCCATGCATCATTTGCCTGCTTTTGGCACTACAGTGGGGAGGCTCGACGTAAGTATCTGACATGTTCAGCTGGAAAGACTCAACTAATGTTAATTTCAGCTACGCCTGGAATAATGGCCGCATCATCGCCCTCTTCACACTCTTCGGCGTCCTACTCATCGCCTTTGTGCTCGTCCAGATCTTCATGCAAAAGACGGCCACGATCTCTGCCTCCGTCATCAACAACCGCAGCATAATTGCAGGAATGTGGTTGACCTTCTGCATTGCCTCAACCATGCTCATCTTCACTTACTTCCTCCCAACCTGGTTCCAGGCCATCAAAGGAGTCTCCGCCGTCCAATCTGGCATTGACACCATCCCGCTTGTGCTCTCCCTAGTTGTGGGCAACATCAGCGCAGGTCAAGTCACTGGACGCTTGGGCTACTACACTTCGCAAGCATATGCTTCTGTGATCATTATGCCAATCGGCGCTGGTTTGCTTACGATGCTGAACACTACCACTGGACATTCGGAGTGGATCGGCTTTCAGATACTTTTCGGGCTAGGCATTGGGCTTGGTATGCAGCAGGGTAACATGGCGGCTCAAACCGTCTGCAAGGACCGCAAGGACGTTCCCATGGCCGTCAGTTTGATGATGTTCATGCAACAGCTTGGTGGTGCGATCTTCATTTCGGTCGGTCAGAATGTCTTCGACTCAGGTCTCGTCAGCGAGCTTGTGGGCGCGATACCTGGCATTAGTGTCGGCACGATCGTCAACACTGGGGCGACTGATCTACGTGGCATTGTACCCCCAGAAGACCTGCCTCTTTTGCTCACAAAATACAACTTCGCACTGCGGCAAGTGTGGGTTGTCGGTACGGCTATGGCTTGTCTGGCTGCGCTCGGTGCCTTTGCACTCGAGTGGAAGAGCGTGAAGGGCAAGAAAGGCGGTCCTGCTCCGAAGGCTGCACCAGATTCTGGCGATGCCCAGAAGGAGACAGCCGCACAGAGTCATGTTCCTGCCAATGAGAAGGTGTAGTTTGGATGCGAGTGCGATTCCGCGAAGCTGACTGCAGAGCGCCCTATGCAAGTCAACGTCGTTTTCGTATTCGTTCTGTCGATACAGAGGGTGGACTGAATCGATGGACCCCCTGCTAGCTTTCACGTGGTATTCTACCAATAAGCACGCCGGTCTGCTTGTGCTCGAATCCAAATTGGCTCTGTGCGTTGGACCCGCTTCCCATCGATTCAGTCCCCCTCTCTGTATCTCGACTGGACTTCCTACTCACATGCCACTCTACCGCGAGTTGTAGTTAAAACCCATGTTAGCCGCACTGGAGATAAGAGATTGATCCAAGCGTTGTGAAGCAATCTAAGCCTGTCAAGCTTTGCGTGCCGAGTCCGATCATGGAAGTTCGTCCGACGTAGGTGGAGCCGACATCATGATCGATTGGCTGGAGGGCTTGGGGTAGAACAAGCTAATGTGAGTTCATTGGTGGCACGGTACGACGACCTTCCTCATACAATCTAATGTCGTGCTTAGCCTATGGCCTTGAGTCCTCGATACTGAGGCCTTCCGGATCAACATGCTGGTCGGCGTCACCTAGCATGTCGCGTGCTGCAAGTATCTATAGTGGCCGGCGTGCTGCGCATGCGATGTACGCCTTTTCGCAGCTGTGGAGCTTGTGTGGTTTAGAGAACAATCACCATGGCGTCGCAGCGACCAGGCTTCCTGCGCACGAATACTGAACAGCATGGTGGACCAAGCATTGAACTTGGAGAGATCGATCCCAAGAAGTCTCATGGCTCACCCGAGTTTCATGATGCGGACGAGAAGGTCGGCACGACTATGGATGTCGAGCCAGCCTACGATGATGCACCACCGGAGTACGAAGATGCTGGAGATGGATTCCACAAAGTCACTGCGCCTGTTGAGACGGCCAAAGATCTCGTCACCCAGGTGCTGCACGTCGACGATGATCCGACATTGAACCCATACACGTTTCGTGTCTTCTTCTTGGGTGCGTGATTTGGAACCAAAGTGTGGTCTACATACTGACAGAAAGCCAGGCGTTGGACTATCCATCTTTGGCTCCGTCCTCCAGGAGATCTTCTACTTCAAGCCGCAAACGATCTACGTATCGGTGGTCTTCCTCTGTGTCATTGGATATGTGCTCGGAGAGGTAATGGCGGCTGCTATTCCACGAAAGGGCGTACTTCGCTACCTCAACCCGCATCCCTTCAACATGAAGGAGCACGCAGCCATCACGCTCATGGCCTCCGCCGCCGCTCAGACTGCAACTGCCACCGAGGCGCTTGCAGCTCAACAATTGTTCTACGGTGGCTACCCATCTCGAGCGGCCGGGATTTTCGTGGTGCTGTCCTCTCAACTAATCGGCTACGGACTTGCTGGCTTGCTCCGCGATGTACTCGTTTATCCCACGAAGATGTTGTGGCCTATCAACCTTCCAGTTGCCACCCTACTCGAGACCCTCCACCGTGATAAGGTGGAGACGAGGCGTAGATTGAAAATCTTCTACATCGTCTTTATTTGCATCTTTGTGTGGGAGGCTTTCCCGGAATATATATTCACCGTGCTGACGGGTTTCTCCGTGTTTTGCTTGGCGGATCAGAACAACCTCGTCTTCACCAACCTATTTGGCGGTGCATCTGGAAATGAAGGTCTCGGCTTCTTGTCGACTGGAACTATATTGCAGGGAAGTGTATCTGTGAACGTACGGGACGTCTGCTAACGATGTGCAGGTCTACAATCACCCCTGTGGTACCCTTTGCAGACTCAGATCAACCAATTGGTCGGTATCTGCGGCTGTTACATTCTGTTCATGGCTGTCTATTACGGCAACATATGGCGCTCCTACGACTTCCCCTTCCTCTCACAAGAGCTGCTGGACGGCTCCTCCAACTCCACAAACTATGTGACCTGGAACCAGTCAGCAGTTTTGACGGCGGACTTCCTGATTGACCAGGACGCTCTCAAGGCTCAGGGGATCCCGTATCTGACAGGAAGCTATATCGTCTATCTCATTACGAGTAACATGGGTCTGACGGCAGCACTGACGCATATGTTCATCTGGAATCGTGACGACATCAGGGCCGGATGGGCCTGGGCGAAGCCTGCCAATCTCAAGCGGCTTCTTCGTGCCGACACCTGGAAGTTCTGGCAGAGAGGCGAGACTCCAGAAGAACGCTTCGCTCGCAAACAAAACGACCCGGATCTCGATCCGCACTACAAGCTCATGATGAGGAATTTATACAAGGAAACACCTATGTGGTGGTGGGGTGCAGTCGTGATCATCTCGTGGGTCGCAGGTGTCGCGGCATTATACGGAATGAGGGTGAGATACTGCTGCCCGACTTGTCTGGTTACATCGAAAGCAATTGCTAACCGAGATTGCAGTCAACCCTGCCGTGGTGGGGCTTCCTTATCTCTACCATCCTCACATCAATCTTCCTTCTCTTCTTCGGCGCGCAGATGGGCATTACTGGCTTCCAGTTCAACACTCAGCCTATCTGTCAAATGCTGGCGGGCTACATGTTCCCCGGACGCCCACTCGCAAACTTCTACTTCACTTGCTACACCTACAACTCTCTCCAGATGGGCCAGCTCCTGGCCAAAGATCTGAAGCTTGCCCAATACGCTCATTTACCACCAATGTGCACTTTCATTGTGCAGATCTCCGGCTGTCTAGTTGGAGCATTATTCAACTGGGTAATGATGGTCACTATCGTCGAGAATCAGGCCACCATCCTTACCTCCATCCAGGGCAGTAACATCTGGTCAGGCCAGAATATCCAGCAGTTCAACACCTTGGCAATTGCCTGGAGTATTGCAGACGACATGTTCTCCGTCGGTGCTAGGTATCAATGGGTCACTCTATCCTTCCTCGTGGGCTTCGTTGCCCCCATCCCGCTATGGCTGGCCTATCGATATACGAAGTGGTGGCCATTCGAGTACTTTAACACTTCCATCATTCTCTGGTAAGTCGAATCCTTCCTAAAGACCGTTGGTAAGCTTGCTATCTTTTGGCTTCATGCTGAAGCTGTCAAACAGGTATTTTGGCAATTTGTTCGTCGGCATCAACTCCAGTTTGACCAGTTTCTTCATTATCGGCATCGTTGCTCAATATTACATCCGAAAATACAGGCCTCTAGCAAGTCAGCTCAATTTCCTGTCAATCTTCCGACTATGCTCACCTATCCTCTAGTTCTTCGTCAAGTACAATTACCTGGTTGCCGCTGCCCTGGACGGTGGCACTCAGGTCCTCGTCTTCATCTTCACGTTTGCTGTATTCGGCGGATCTGGCAAAGCGGTACCATTCCCGACATGGGCTGGCAACCCCGATACAAGCGTTCACAACGTCGATTTCTGTATGGTCAACCCAGCGAACAATGGTTGAGACGAGGTACCAACACCGTAGTGGAATATATGCGTATTCAATCCGCCGTTTGATATGGTGAGGCCGGAAAGGTGTACAGAGTATTAGATAGCGTGAGAAAGATGCGCTGTCACCTCAAGATGAAACCTCTGATCGCCATCCGATGTTTTATCGACCTCTACCTCCCAAGTCAGACCTATGGGCGTCTCGAATGTATGTGGATGAGTATACATCACGTGTGAAATCTCGAATCCTAATGTGGTTAGCGTCAAAAGCTCGTACGCTAAAGGCTGTCCCGAGATGCCTTTAGCCAATCAACGCACGATCGGCCACGCTAGCACCCACACATCTCTCATGCGCGGAGGGGCCAGATTTAGGAAGTAGATTGTCCCTTGTCCTACCATCTAGCCCAGATCGATATCTTAAGCCTAGAAGAACAACTTCCAAGCCGTCATGATCGTTCGCAGAGTCCGTGACGCCATGCTCTGACTACGATATCCACAGGCATGAGGGTCATCATGCTCACACCGCACACCATCTTCTTCGGTTCCTGTACCCCGCCACACGATACGCCGAGGTCGCTGAAACAAATGCAACCTGACACAGCGTGAGAAGCAGCTTGCAAAGACGACTCCGTTGGACATCGATACGATTTAGGCACAGCAGCTACCACAATGGCGGATGTACCAGCTACCATACCAGTACCACAAGATGGCTGGAAGATCGAAGGCGTCAGAGTCATCCCAGGTGATCAACTCGATGGCAACACCCCACAAACTCCAGGCATGGATCGTAAAGCAGCTGTCAACTTCGCCCGAGTCGGTGCCCAGAAGTTATGGGCAGGCACAGTATGACGACACCAGCAGCTGAACACTTCTTCTCGTAGCTGAACAACGCAGGTACACATCCACCCTGACGCGAAGACTGGAGTTCATCACCATGGCCACCTTGAGTCCGTGATCTACGTTCTGAAAGGGAAGGCACGTATGCGATGGGGTGAGAAGCTCGAGTTCACGGCTGAGGCTGGACCTGGCGATTTCATCTACGTACCGCCTTATGGTATGGCAACGATCAAGCGGCCTTCCGGATGTCTGAGGCTAACGCTCATACAGTACCACACCAAGAGATCAACGCCTCAGCGGACGAGAAGCTCGAATGTGTGCTAATGCGAAGTGACAGCGAGGCTGTTGCTGTGAATTTGCCTGATGTTGAGCCGATCGAGAAGCCAGAGACGGTGCATTGGGTCGACCCAACACACCCTCATCCTCATGGGCATGATCATAGTCACTGACGAAAGCAATGGCTTGAGTATACTATGCCGCTCTCAGTTTCAAACAGTCGTGACCCACAGCTGCGTCTGTCGGCCAGACCGTCTTAGCTGTGAACAATGGCTTGCTTGAACTCGTGAAAGGCGCGAACTTCACCCAGCTGTCGTACGACAACATTGATAGCTGTATGCGAAGGTTAAGCATGCTCAAAAGCTTTGCTTATTCGAAATTCAGCATTTGAGGCGTGCGTCGCTTTTGCCAGCTGTGACGAGACCTTCAGCTCACAGCCACAGAACACATGGATTGGTGCCCGCCAGCAGCCACGACTCTTTGCTGATTTCCACGCAACCTGAATCCCCAATAGTGCTTGAACGTGGGAATTCGAGATGCATCGCGACAGGTCGCAGTGAGCTGACCTAGGTACGCAGTAACATGCTGAGGAGAACATTTAGACGACCCTGAAGTTGGTATATATGTCTGCGAAACCTCCCATGTTCCACAAAACCACCTCTTGACTTGATCACTTCTAACAATACCCGAAGACCACCAATACACGATCAACATGTCTTTCCCATCCCAACCAGCATTCATCTACGAGGGCGGCTGGGTGAGCTAGCAGCCATCATAAGCCCAAAAGCGTTTTGCCGCTGATTTAATTACAGTCCGACGAGACACGTAAGCACCCAGCGTCTAAATGGCTCGAGAACTACACTACCAAGGTGATCGACACGGGTCTCCAAGGCAAATCCGCAGATGGCATAGGCCACACAAAGGACTGGACCTACCAGAAGTCCACTGGCGAAGTCATCGAGGGTAACGAGAAAGCGTGGAAAGCGCTCCAAGAGACTTACGCACCATTCAAGGAGCATCTGCATGATCCCAAGCACGTGGCCATCTGGGAGACCAAAGATGGTTGGGCTATGTACGGCGTGGCGTCCGTGTATTATAAGTTGCAGGTTCCTGGCGAGGGAGGTGTCAAGGGTCCTCACGGGAAGGAGTGGGATGGTGTATCACCTGGAGCTTTCTACTTCGATATTGTCAAGGCGGGTGGAGACAAACTTCAGCTCAGAAGGACGAATATCTTCAACGACCCTAGCGCAGCACTCGTGCAGATGTTGAAGAGAGGTATGTTGAAACCGGAGCAATTGATGGGTTGAGTATGTGTCAAAGCAGTGTCACGGTAACTGTCTAATGGTCAATATGTCTGGCAATGCTTACTTGATATCCTTGCTTTGAACGATAGTGGCAAAAGCATCTCCAAGCTCAGTCATTGTCATCTTCGTCGCTTCAGCACCAGTAGCACCAGGGATGTCTCTGTCTCCCACCGCATCCTCAGCAACCAGGACGTCGTACCCCAGACGATCCGCATCTCTGGCAGTGGTCGACACGCAGACGTGGGCCTGGCACGAGTCAGCATCTGATAAACCCTGATCAAGCCATATTGCCCAAACTCACCATATACCCCGTCAAGACGACCTTCTTCGCACCGGTTCCCTGCAGATAATCGTGCAACTCCGTATCGGCAAAAGAGCTCGGATGCAACTTCTCAATATACTTCTCACCATCCTTCGGCTTCAGTTCATCAAACTCCTTCGCCAATGGTGTGTCTGGTGTGAACACCGGTGCTCCATCAGGCACCTTGTGGACAACATGCACGACTTTACCACCAGCCGAACGGTACTTTTCTAGGAGCTGAGAGATGGCTTTGCGGGACTCTGGAGCGTTGGATACCTTAAGCTTGCCTTCGGCGTATTCGTTTTGTGCATCGATTATGATCAGGGCGCTATCTGAGGGGCTGGCGGTCGATGGCTGCATGCCCACAAGGGAGCGGAAGGATGCTGCGGACGACATGTTTGTGTTGATGTGTTTGGGGGCCTGTAGGTATGAAGATAGGTATGTACGAGAGAGAGAGATACACGATGTACCTACCTTTGCTGCAACTGCCTCGGACTTGTGCTAGAAGAAATGCCCATGACGATGTTCGTCTGGACTCTTGTCAGATGCAGCCCCGCAATCAATCGTAGTGGGGTGTGACCCGGTCGGGCGGCGGGAGAGCTGTGGATCTTGTATTAACCGCGAGATGGTGAAATGCAATCGAGTATGTGTATGCGAGATAGACAAGGGCAATGACCAGGATTAACGATCTGACATTGATAGGAGAAGTGCCATATAAATTATTCATACCAAGACCCATCATCACTCGTATCTACCTAAGCACTAGCAGTATCATTATACCCGACCCCTAACCCGACAGGACAGTTCGGAACATTCTTCTGCCAACTAGCCGCCTGCTGAGCATAAAGAGGCAAATAGCTGTTCGTCGTGAAAGCCTTGGGCAGATAATAGCTCACATCACTCATGCTGTAACTTCCTCCTGCAGCTTTCAACGCATTGATCACATCGCTGGCGATAAAGTCCAAAAACACCAGGTCGACGGAGATAGGCATACTGCCGTTGGTTGGAAAGGAACCATTTGCCTGGAAGTCGTTGGGAGTGCTGTAGTAAGGAATCTTGCTATGCACGGTGTCGTCGCCGTCTGTGCCGAAATCGTCTGTTGTCGTATACCCGGGTGCACTGACAGTGTTCTGACGGCGGATGATCCGGCCAGTACTGCGCTTATTCAAACTACCATGGACTTCCGTGACAGGTGGGTCTACACAGGCGTCTTGTCCTGACAAGCTGGGGTTGTAGAAGTCGAAGTCGCGCGAAGAGAGATCACGCTTCTCGTAGGCTCCAGCGTTCAGGGCACCGAGAACCGTGCTGGCTAGAGCGAAGGGGACGTTGGGAATGAATTCAAAGGAGTCGGTGAAGGGAGAGACGATAAAGGAGTCGTCGTAGGTGAAGGGTCCTTTGATCAGATCGAAGCGGACGGAGCCAGTGTTGAGAATGATGATGCGGGGGATGTCGGCACGGGTCTTGTTGATGACTACGGCGGAGAGTGCTTCTGTGAGCACGGTATAGATGCTGCCGTTGCTGAGGAAGGGCGCACAGCTGATGCACCAGGTCTGAGGAGCACAGCCGTATAGAGAAGTCAGATTTAATTCATGGCGGGTTTCGGTAATGTTCTCCGTCACGCTCAAGCCCTTGCTGGTGTCGAAAGTGCGAACCTGGCTGCCTTCGGCGTGATACTCGAATGTCAGGCGATTCCAATCTAGGTAGCGGCGAGAGTAGAGTAGGTTCGATGCACTGGTAGAAGTAGCAAGCGCGACAGTCTTTGTGCTAGTGGAGGTGGAGTTGACCTTCTTGGCTGGAGTGCTCGGGTTCGGGACACCCACAGGGTTGGCGCAGCCACGGTAATGGGAGCTGTTTAGACCGCTCATACTGAACCAGCCAAGAGTCTCACAGTACCGGCCGGATTCCAAAGCAGTGGACTTGTCATCGTAGACAGCAAAGTCTCGGACGTGGGAGTGGCCACCAAAGAACTGGATGGGTGTGTTCGGATGCACAGCTCGGATAGCATTGAAGATGGTGGAGAAAGTGCTCGAGCTGTCTGTAGGCCTGGCTGGGTTGTGGCCTAGCACCATGAAGAGATCAATAGACTCACTGGTGTGAAGAGCATCCTGGAACCAAGTCTGATTGACCATCTGAGCGGCCTTGATCACCTTGGAGGCGTTGCTATTGCCTGTGAAGTCATATAGCACGCCAAAGGACATGATGCGTGTGCCCTTGGGTGTGAAAAAGTAGCGATGCGTCTTGCCAATGTACTCATAGGTCGAAGTGTTCGGGTTAAAGATCTGCACATTGCTCGTGAGATAGTGCTCGCCATGATGACGGCTAAAGTTGTAGAAGTGCTCGTATGCGATGTTTGATATGTAGAGCTCGTGGTTGCCGATCGTGAGGAGGTCATAGTTGATGTTCTGCCAGGTATTATTAGCTTTTGCCATCAAGGTGTCCATCTCCACCACGACACGCCTCGAATATAGGATTGCTAAGCACGCCGTTGGGAGATGTGGCGTCCGACAGGCCAGCCCCATCGTGCAAGTCCTACAAAGTCGTCAACAACCTCGCCGCTGCCAAGATCCTCCGCCAATGCTTACACCAGTATCCACAACCAACAAATCGACATCATACGCCTCCGCCTTCTTCCTCATGTCCTTCACGAAGCTCGCGTAATCTCCCCAGTCACTACCATAGTTCTTCTCCTTCAGGTGTCCTTCCAACCATCCATGAGTATCAGTCGTGTGGATCACATTCAGCTGACCCCAAGCCAAAGGCGCGCGAGGCAAAGAGGAGGCATTCTGGGCTTCCGGTTGCATGCGGCGAACATTGCGAGTCTGGATGATGTCTCGCTCAGAATGTTCGCACGACTCGCAGGCCACGGTCGTGCTGACCAGGCTGGCCGCGAAGGCGATGGTGAGGAATCTCATCGCCGCTAGGACCAAGAAGAGGATGAGGAAGATGAGGAGTACTTACCGTCGCACAACGGCGAGCTCGAGGAGGACTATATGGGCCTCTTGAACATGAACTCGAGCCATTCATGCATGCAAGAGTCAGTCGACATCACGGTTCAGCAGATGACGCTGTCGACGTGCATATTGACCACTTTTCTGCACCACGGACGACCATGCTGCCATCAGGCACACGACCTCGAAGCACGTGGGCGGCATACCAAGAAAGTAGCAAGCAAGTAACTCATGCAAGCCGCTCGCCTTGTCGTGCTTATCCTGCAGGTCGGGCCTGCCAAGCATGCGGAATTTCCGATCCTATGTGGCGGGCTGAACTCCACCTGCCTGATGTGGCCTGGCGCCGAGATCAGACGAAGCTGGATCCTGCTCAGGCACGATGGTGATGCTTCGGAAGCACAGCAATATCGACTCATGCGTTGATACGGCCAGCGAGTGAACAGTCCGGATAGTGCTCGATACCATTCGGTGAGTGATCTGTTTCAAGGGCCGGTATAATCGACCATGCTGCAATGCCACCAGGACCGTGAAGTAGCTATCCCACGACAGGACCTTATGACCGAGCCGACCGGGATGTGACACGAATCAGGTTCATTGCCCAAGTTATGGACTTCACCCTGCTTCAGACCGGCGATCTTATTGTCTTGTGCCATGGCACGATTATGGCGTCGTCAACTCGGTAGGCCATGACCATAGGCGGTCGCCGTTCAGAGTATACACTATGGACCTGAGAGTAGACAAGCCCGACATATCAAGGATCATGAGCCTACAGGACGATTAGATCAATTACCCGGAGTAGACTGACCATACAACATCCACGACTTATATATTGTCTCAATGGAGCTTCCAGAGAAGTAGATTTCTGGTAACTTCCGTCTGGAGGACAAATATGCGGAGGGTAGTCGCTGCCAGAGAGCATCGGGGTCTGCGGCCCATGCAGACAGCTTGAATCGAAGCTTGTTTGAGGTCTCTGTGATAGTAGCTTTGCACCGACTGTGCAAGGCTGGTTTGCGACACCCTCGTATGGCCAAGTCCATCCGCCGAGCCGTCCACAACAGCACCGGCGTATGGGTGTCTTGTTGCTGTAGCCGAGGAAAGAATTCGGTGGCTGCCATTAAAGAGCATGGCCAAGCTCTACTGGCCTCTTGATTTGAGGACCAAGGCCTTGATCGTTGACTCGGCATGAATGTCCGGATCGAGCCTCGAAATCTTGCTACTCAGGCTTGATGCAATGAGAGATGGCGTGATGGCTGAGCTGGGCGGTATACCCTCGCTGCAGTGTTTACTGCATAGCCAGAAGTCCCTCTGCATGGCAAAAACTGCTTCATAAAGGGATGTAGCCGGCGTGCTCCGTAAGCATTCTCTCGTGGTCGAGCAGCAAGGACTTGAAGGCCATAAATAATGCAGTGACCTGAATCGCAACCCCATTGTGTGGCATATCGCATCATGCGAACAGCGCCCGAGGTCATCGCCAACAATATCTCCTTGCTCTTCACCACTGCCGGCCTTCTGCTACGGTACACGCATCGCACAACATGAGAAGATACGAAGCTGTTGCTCTTGCTTGCCATCTACTGCCATCTCCGAAAGTCACAGTGGCTTCATAGGCAGTGCTCGGAGGTAGTGCGAGGTGGATCGAGTTGGTCATGCCGAGTGTTGCGCCTTGCAGGGTCTTGAGTACGATCGCGGCGCATTTGGGTCTGCTCGTCGATGAGCTTGAGAAGCTAACGGCTCACTGTGATATTGCTGAATTTCGCTGACGCTGTGGCGAAGATCACGATGACCTGTAGCGGGCATGCATCGGTGCGTTGTTTACTCGAGCTCTGCGCCGTTCTGCGGCAGGTCGCAGGGATGATCTGCTGATGCTGTGGGCTTGCTGTATTGTCGTGAGCTCTGAAGTCTGCATATCGACGGCAGGTGGAAAGTGGCTTATGCAAGGGGTGATCAAGATATGCAAGTCCGGCAACCTTACTGTGACTGCCTACTCCAAACACGAGCTGCTCGCATCACAGTGTGTTTTGATGGCATTTCATCGCTCTGGGCACGATCCGACTCGATGGTCGATTGCACATTGGCCGCGATCGAGGCGAACGATGATGGCGGGCGTGGTCGTCGGCTTGTGCTACAGCTACCATCACAACAGAAGATGTCCTGCTATACATGGAGAGTGGAATGATCTTAATGTCAGTCGCTGCTCGCTCGTACTGCTTGCAGTCGCCGCCGCCGTGGACTAGATCACGTAGCTTGCCCACGTCGTGTGACGGAGGACGTCCTTCTCCAGGCCTTAACACAACGGTCAAGGACGTGATGAAAATATCATCGCCCCTCTACTGTGAGCAGCATGTCGCTGGCAACACGAGTGCAAGAAGGCGAGGCCACTGGGGCATCCCGCTGGGCATATTGCGTACAATCACTCCAAAGGGCCTACCTACCACCTCGCAATTCATCAGCTTCCTCGCAGAACACGATCATTCTTCTCCAGCCTCGAGTACAAGACTCAAGCTCTGATGAAAAAGGAGTTGATGCTAGCGAGTAACCATGCGTACAAGTTTGAGGTTTGCAGCGCCATTGAGCAACGTTAATGGTATCAATCAAACATTGCGCCGCACGACCGACAACGCGAGCCAGCAGCCGTCCAGGTGCTCGGCAGGTCGACGATACCCCTTGGATCCGGCCACGCCGGACCATCATCACGTCCGGGGTCGGTGGTCTGCTATTCTTGAGCAGCAGGCTACACGACAGAGGTACTCATGGACCTCCCTCCTTTGAACGGGCCGGCCCTCTAGCTCTATGAGTTTATTGCCGAAGGAAGAAGAAGGTGTTGAGAGGAGCGAGGCAAAATATCTATTCGACTTGTGGTGGTACGTGCGCCTAGCGCTATCTACGGAGCTGTACAGTGCTCCGAAGACATTTCCTGCGGGCATACTGTGTGGTCCGTAGCTTGCTGGCGACGACGTGCTTGTTGATTGGCTGCTCTCATGGCGGCGAGGTTGAGTGGGTCTGACGGTGTCGAGCCTCCGCCGAAAGCTGAAGCAGCGCAACTCGGGGCCATGAAGGAGATCTTGCTTTCGCCTGGAAAGGAGCAAGCAGGAAGAGGTCGTACGTGAAGGAGCACAGAGGCAGTGCTACGACTTCATGCCCCATTGTCTGTCTCGCCACGAACAGTCGCTCCTTCGACGGCTTTCTGCATGCTGCCCATGGAGTCGGATGGGCGCTCTGGCCGATATGAGGGCTTTCTCTACTCGCAGACCTCCTGGGTCGTGAGGAGCATGTGATCACATTTTCGTGCCTCGATGCTCTGATCCGTGGTCTTCAAGAACGTCGCGGTCTCTCTAACAATTGATGTGGGATGCATTATTCACTACATTTCATCACTCGAGCCATGTCTGCCACACCACTCCAAGACAGAAGGGTAGCATTCTGATCTTCGGGCATCTCGCTACCATAAGTTGCACCTTGACTACCTGGATGGTGGCATGTTAACGTAGTACATTTGAGTGTACAGTGAGAGCTAGACGCGAGGCAGCAAGTAGACTGCGACCATTCGACGGCCATGCCACACGATGTGGGCACCTGATGGAAGACACGAGATCATCAACCATGCTAGTGGCTTCATGAGATCTTTCTTCAATAGCACAGCGGCTCACCAGCTCTCCCATCACTGAGCAATTCTTCTTCAATCACTTGAAGGGTGCCTTGGTAGCATAAGTACCTCTGATCTTTCGTGAGATCTACTCAGAAGCCACGTCCACACTGCAGAACTCGTTGTAAGTACTTGACGGGCTACACGAAGGCTGCAGCTATCCCAGAGCCCCCTAGCACCATTCCTTACACTGACTGGCAAGTCGTCAGCTCGAAATCATATCGTGGCCTGTGGGAGCTCTAATAAATACAGTATCTTGAGTTATGGCTATCTCACTGTCGTGAGGCTCGAATGAAACACTGAATGGTGATACATCAACTCAACCCACTCTAGGTATTTGCACGATCTATCATGGCAATCAACCTATAGCGATCTCGGCGTCGTGGTATTTACTCGAAATACAGACTGGTCATATGCCAGCTGAACTCACTCTGGCTATTCATGAGACCTATTCACATCATGCCTTCGCCCTCCCTGCAAAACAAGTGGTCCAAGCTTCACAGAGTCATTATAAGTTGCCGCCAGCTTCTATCAACAAACACTTTCTCTTACGCGTGGACGATTTATCATTCCACTGCCTCCCAGTACAATAGCTCTTCATCACTTCAACTCCTCCACGATCAGAATGACCGACGACCAGCCCGACAAATTCCCAGCCTACCACGGCGGCGATGTCTCCATCATGATCTCTCCTACCCAGCCACTTTATCGCCTCTACCGCAACGTCCTGATCGAGCACAGCTCTACCTTTAACGACATCCTCACCACAGAGACAGCGGCGAAGCTCAGCCAAGCCGCGATCAAGAAGGGACGCCGCATTAAGTACCACCTCGAGCTCAAGATGGTCAAGAACAGGGATGCGATACCGCATTTCAACCTCGAGCAGTATTTGATAGACGAGCGTGGTCAGTTCAATAGCCCTACTTCAAAGGTGATTGCTTTCCAGAACGGCTTACCACAAGACCCTTACCATATTGTGAGTCTTGACATATAACGGATACCGTACCGCACCCGCTCACACTATCGCACAGGCTTGGGACGCCGTCCTTGGCGCTCTGAACAACATACCCCTCCACCTGGGCGATTTTGGCAAGGACACTCTCACCGACATCCTCAACAATGCCGTCAGGATCACGGAGGTCGCTGAGCATCTCGACTGCGTGAGTGAAGTCGAAAGATTGGACTATGCGAGCAACACTGACATCATGAAGATCCCAGTCATCACTCAACCCATCGAGGCCATCTTCCTCTCTACAGGCCAGGTCGTTCAAAAGTCGATCTACAGTAACCCTGTGGCATGGCTCGACTTCGCCTACCGAATCCGCTCCAAGATCCTGTTCCGTGAAGCGCTCATCCACGCCACCGCCCAGTACTTTACTACACAGAGCCGGGACAACCTGTCGAGTCTTGACGACCATGTCCACGCTTTCCTCAAGAAGAAGGCTGAACGCATGAAGAAGAGCGTCAAAGACAGCTTCCTCCAGATCATGACTTACTTGCCGAACTACATGCACCGCGAGGAGTCTCTTGGTCGTGCTGACAAGGACAGCATCGGCCAGGCGAGCTACGCAAAGCAGGTCTACGAATGGCAAGCTCTCAACATCATCCGTACGTGGGTCGGCATGCAGATCGCGTGCGATGAGACACATCAGGCTCAAGACATGGGCAAGAGTGTAGTCGATCCAATCATGCAAGGTGGCAACGCCTACTTGAGTAAGCCCGACCTCGTCGACTTCCACAGATTCTGCCCGATGACGAGCAAGGGCAAGAATGCGCTCGAAGACCGCATCAATTTGATCAAGGAGAACATCAAGGGGTTTCTCAAGGTACCTCACTGCACATAACGTACAACATCTACACCTACTGACAGTACCACAGCCTCTCACGAAGAACATGTCGCAGCTGGATCTCAAAGGCTTGAAGGTCGAGTATTTTACCTGCGTCAGGGTCGATCACGACGAGTACCCGTGGGACACAAACGCGCAGGCTCACAACCAGATTCAGCGCGACACGAGCGACGGTGCTGGGGAGAAAGAGGATGATGAGTACAATGAGTACGGCGAAATGATTCCTGAGTGTGATGAGGAGGATGAGGAAATGGAGAGCGAGGATTGAGAAGCAGTGCGAGGCATTCACGGAGATTTGAGGAAGGCTGAAAGGGCGGAAGTGCGGCTTGAGAATTGAGCTGGTGATGAGCTCTTTTGTAATGCTGCATATGATGAGGCTACTTGGACGGCAGAGATTGGCGTACTTCGCAGCTGGATATGAAGGGCATGCTGCGCTCGGCGTCCTGATAGTCCTTCTTCGAGAGGCTGATGAGTATCGGCGGCTCAATCATGCCGCTGGTCCCACGACTCTAGCTGTTCAACTCTCATCCACCTATTCTGTGTCGTTCGCCTCGCAACAGTATTTTCTCCGCGCGCTTATTCGTCCCGAACATCGTCATGAAGGATTTTCGTCGCTCGCCTCCATCCAGGATACAGACATGGAGGCAAAGATGTTTGGCTCCTCTTCAAACACAGGCAAGACATAACGCTTTCTCTTCGCAAGCACTGCTTTCAGCTTATTCGTGATGCCTTTGTAATGAGTTTCCCAGAAGTCAGGCACGAGCTGGTCTAAGCTCATCGATCGTTCGGCATGCATGATCTCCTCATCGGTCTTCTTGCTGTCGTCTTCAGCTCGCTCAAAACACGAGCCGATGTACAGCGCAGGCTCAGGCGAAAGCAAGGTCAGAGCACCGTGGGAAGTCATATCCATGCAAGGCTCAAAGACGAAGCAGGAGCTTGACATGTGGTCATCAGCTTCGCCTATGGATCCGCCCACCGGATCATCCTTGGTCCTCTTCTCAGCAAATAGAGTACGAATGCTTTTGTCGCGCAAGAAATCTATGTCAAGTGCCGTGTACACCGGATCCTGCGCCAGGATAATAACTTGGTGCTGTTGTTGATCCTGCAAGTGTTGCACAATGTCCACAAAAGCGGCAAATTGCGTCACGCTCCTTTGCCTTGAGGCCCAGTTGTCTCGACTGAAACTTCCGGTAGCTAGGCAAATCGCTTCGGTGATAGCCCATCCTCCTTCCGGAACCTGCTTATCGATGATTGCCAGTGTTTCTTTACGACAGGAACTCTGCCGCCAGGCTTTCGACTTGGTGGCGAAATCTGCTCGCAGTTGGTCTAGAGTCAGGTCCATGAGTGGTGGATTTAGTCCACGCCGATATGCAGGCGTGCGACCTTTGCCACGACCAATTTTGCACCAACCATCTCCAAGTGCCTCCTCGACGCCGTGGGGCATACTGTGCGAATCAATTAGATCGATAATGTGCTTGTCCATCAAGTCGACTCGCGCCCCGGGAGAGTGTAAGATATCGCGGAAAGCCATGCTCGGGTGCTTGAAGGTGACGAGAGTTTAGAGAAAGATCGGACCGAGTGAGGGTATGTCGAGCACTGATGAAGGGGTTGCAAAAGCACTAAGATGGCATACCGGATTCGTCGAAGCATTGAAAAGAGACATTCTGATACATACCTGATCCTGAGTAGACCAAAGTAGCTTGCCTGTGAGTGAAATGGACTGCTAGCTCAGGCCATGGTTGGTAGTCTCCGCTCAAGATAAAGAACGAAACAGAAACTGAAACTATGAAGTGGATTAATTGTTTACGGATCAACAATGTTCCGTTTCCCAGAACCATCCAACTTACTCCTTTGTCTCCACGTGCAAGGAGAAGACCACAATGCATTGTGGCCTGCCGCCCATAATGGTCATGGGTACTTCATACACTCTTTCAGGACGGCCAAATCAACTATGCCATTGTCGCTACTGGTAGCTGGTCTGCGGGCATACAAGTACCCGACACGTCGACTCGATCAGTCCTGAGCACACCATCCACTACTCAAGCAGGCTTGAAGTATCAACAAACATGATACGCGATTTCGGCCCCATCATTGCAGAGGATGACCTTGAGGGTCGGACGAAAGCCATGATCTACAATGAGTACGTTAAGTCGCATGCAGGTCAGACCAGACAGTACGGCTGTCTACTCGTCTGCTTTGGTGTCGTGGCCTTGCTCGGCTGGAGGTCACAAAGACGCGTCAATGCAGTCACGTGTGAGTACCGTAGGTGGGAAGCAGCTCAAATGGCCATGCAGAGTCGATCTGGAAGTTGGGTCAAGCTCTCTGCTTCTTCCATGAAATGGGTAGAGCATCCTCGAAAGCAGTAGGCGTAGACTGTCCAGATACTCTAGCTAAGTAACATCTCTTATCGTATACCTTGGTAGATGCTGAAACTCGCACGAATTGACCCAGTGTTGGAATATTGTGATGGCCGCTACGAAAGTGCTTGATATCAATTTCCTGACCTACATGCTGGACGCTGGAAACCAATATGAACAAAATTTTAACATCGAATCATCAAAATCACTTCTTCCCCCCCTTCTTCTTTTGGCGCCGGACCATCAGATAGTGAGACAGTCCGTAGAAGATGATCCCAATGCCGAAGCCAACTGCGAGAAGAACCACCGTCTTCTGAGTGGGAGTCAATGAGCTCGTGCCTGGAACAGTCATGTCCCTTGCTCCTACCTGAGCGATCGTATATGGTGTTGGGGCCATTGTATGGATTGGAGATGGGGGCGTCTTGAAGTTCTGACTGTGTTGTGGTGATTGTTTATGGCAGGTGGATGCTTGATGGCTGGGTATGGACTTGTATTGACCGTCTGAACAAAGGCCACATCCGAGTCCATTGTCGTCTCATGATGCCATCCCAGTGAAGGATCTTTTGTCCTTGCAAAATGTGTACCTTGTTCTTTATCAGCTTAGTACGCGGCGGAGACACTGTTGAACCCCGAGAACGACATTGTTGTCCCGTGGTATCCTTGGAAGGAATGTGCTTGTCCTCTCGGCACCAGAACAGGAGCCATACTTGAAACGCAGTCTGATCTGCAGTAGCAGTGATAGTGCATAATTTTTTTCGATCACTCCAAGATGTGAGCATCTGTGGCTTCGTCCAAGGCAAATCAAACAATGGGGATTCGATCGGCCTCGAACCTTGCCGCAGCCATGTCTGGTTGTGCAAAGTCGATACCGATCATAAAGGACAATGCCTCGCTTACCTCTCAAAGCACCGAGTCTTTTATGTAGACAAAGCGGCCCGGGCAGTTAGACAATGCTTTGTCTTGCAGTCACAACGTTCAAAGGTGGTGTCCTGGTCTTCTTCTTCTCGATCCTGACTGCCATATACATCCTTCAGCAATAAGACCATACCCTGCCAGACCCCAAAGCAAAACAAGTCTTACAGAATTCCGTCGAAATGGTTCGTACACTCTACTCTTTCAAGACTTGTCCGCACTAATGCTGTGCCGTCAACCCGGCTAGCACTTCCGAAGCACTCGAAAACTTCGACACACTCTCTGCCACTTCCCTCGACTGCTTGGACGCTCAGCTGGTCGGCTGCCACGTTTTCTCGCCCGATAGATGCCCCAGGTGCTAGGAAGAGCCCTTGGACATTCTCACAAGCATCGGTGCCGTCGGGAGGGAAGCAAATAAGCTCGCAGACCTGATCGAGAGCGTCCTAAAGGTCTACGACATCCTTGGTGCGGAATATCATGATATTCCGTTACGTATCAGAGCTCGAACAGCTGACCACGGCGATACAGAGCTCGCACACCAGCAATTTGCTCTCAATGACATGATCTTGCCGGAAGATCCGTTGATGGCAGATGTATGGC